TATATAATTCTCAACTTGTCAAGTCGTCTTTCCCACTGCTCTAAGAGCTAGCAATGGCTATCAATAATGCAACTATTCAGTGATCAACGCCCTCCTTTCCATGGACAGCTTGACTCCTAAGTAACAAATAATTTGGTATAGTCTAACTGACATACCTAAACCAGAAAAGAGGACAAGCCTATCCACGTACGAAACCGATACCTGTTGCTACCTGTTCCCTGGACCTCACGTTTGCTTCGTATCCCCCTTCTCCCTGCCAAAGCATAACCATACTCGCCCTTCAGAATGCGCGATACAGTCCCCTGGCGGCCAAAAAATGCAAGCAAGTTCTCAGCCGTATCTTGCCCCTATATCACTGCCGTTTTAGCCTCGGTCGAGTTGTAAGCGCCCTTGGCTTTTATCCGTTCGGGCCCAACCATGAATGATATCCCCTTCCCCAGCCTGGTGGCGCCCGACGAGGTTAGACACTATCACCAGCCCAGCCTGCAATAGAGCTGTGATACTCGTACGGCCCTGATCCGCACCGAGAGAGCGGCGCCTCCTCAAGTCCAAGTAGCCGGTATCGGTGAGCTTAGATCCGGGATGAAGAAGACAACGGCCTTACCATAGGTGGCCGTTCTTCGTGGCTGCATAGCCAATGATGCTTCCCGCCTCCTGCTCCTTGTCAGTCGGAGTGAAGGAGAGATGCCTGAGAAAGGGTCGTGATATTCTTCCCCCCGCTTCCGGGACTTCCGGCCTTGGCGTAAGACTGGCCATCTCTCGGGCGGGGACGGGGGAGTATTACAGAAATCCTGCTCTTAACCGGACCCAGAGAAAGCAACACGGGATAGCGGGGGCGGGAGATTTAAATGCCAAGACAGGATCCTACCAATATACCCCGCAGCAGCCTAACCGATTGATAAGGATCGGGATGCCTAACTGGGTGATTCTGCCTTATCAGGGAGAGGAGAGGGTGGCAGTCAGCTGGCCGGCAGGCATTGAACGAAGTCGAGGTCTCTGCAGCCGAGTGGTGGGTGGCTTCCGCGAGGTTGCGGATTGGATCAGCTGTGGCCGGCTCCTATGCTGAAATCTCCCAAGATTGTCGATCAAAGCATACTCTCGCTTGCGACAGATTTTTGGCTCCTCGTTGACAGGGGTGGGATAGAAGGACCGTCTGCCGAGATAGGTGTGAGCATCTTTGAAATCACACGATTCCAAAATGGGACCATGGAACTGTAAATTGAAGGATCGCGGGCACCGAGGTAGGACAGTAGGTTACGGTTGTTGAATCAGTAATCATGGGCCGAGTAAGCACGAGGCCTAGAACGCGCGTTTGGTTGCTCATGGGAATACGACGCCGATGCGTGCCACGGTGCAAAACGCCAAGAAGGCTCGTACCTTTCAACACAATTAAAGGAATTAAGCAAGGCTCCCGAAAGAGCGTGAGAGAGGAGGAAGCGCTGGTGTACACTACAATCTCTTATCTAGTCTTATAGATACACCCTTGTTCGAATAGCCTGGCGACGTTTTTACGATTAGACCTCAGAATCTACTCAAATGAAAACTATGAGCTGGGAGATTCCCCCTTGGTCATGATTGTCATTGGGCCGATCCTAAGATGGTACTAGAGTTAGCGGACACCTGTAGGATCGCGCAGCTTCAATAGTGATATGCTTTGCCTCCTAACTCATGGAGGGCTCGGTCATGCTATTCCTCTCCTTCATCTATGCAAGAGAGTGGCGCGGTTCGCCAGCCACGCTCGACGCACGTAAGCGGGAATTCCCCAGGAGAGGTAACGGGATAATAGTGCCTAGCACAAGTTATGGCCCTATTTTGTCTTACCCCATTCCGACAACAGCGATCAAGTTCCGAGCCTAGAGAAGAGGGAAAGAGTATACATAGAACTTGGCATCTCCAGGTTCAAAGATCTTGATTCATGGTGATCCCATCAAGCTCGCTCGCTCGTGTCTTATCCCATATCATGACTGCTATGGCTCTTCGCCATCTAACGGGTCCATGTGGACTATCCATTAAACCTCCTTCCCATGTCTTTACAAGGCGATTAACGATACTACCTGTGCCGACATTCTATGGCCCCAAATGTGTTAGCAGGGTCTCGTATGCTGTGTGACCAGTTCAAGTACACCGCTTAAGGAACACGATCTATTTCTTACTACCTAGGTCCTTGCTCAGCTCCCTGCTCTGATAGGCCGGAGTCAGGAGCGAGATAATTCGATTGACTACTTTAGAGGACCAAGAGCAAAACCCTCAGTATAGGGGTACCATTCGATGCCGCTATTACGAGTCATGGCATTAGGACCTCAACCTAAATGCCGCACGTAGCACTGCCGTGTGGAACAGCATGGCTGCCGGTCGTTTTGTTGTTCAGGGCGTCTGTGCCCGTCAGCATCGAGATGCAACTTGGGCAGCCCGCATTGTGCCGTCATTTCCGCCGTAAGCAGTTGGGCCCAAGAGCCGAATGTCGCATTTGATGCGCCAAGATCAGACGACATCAGTTGGCATTTAGGTTCCACCACTTTTTATATCTGATCCTTCAGCGCGCGGACCGTGCTGCGCCGCCGGCCTTGGCGCTGACGGATCAGCAACCTCTCCAATAGGACTACGCGGGCCTCAAGCCTGGATGCATCGTACAAACGCAAACCCCGCCAGCAGTAACGCTTGTCAGCACGCGGATATTGCTACCTTCCTTTTTGCCATCTCTCCGTGCCGACACCGGGCTTCGGCTCCATTAATGATTTGAAAAAAGAAGAACTCAGTGACATATTGGCTTTTGACGTGCCTCCAGTTCCTCTGTCTCAGGGAAACAAGTATAAGTAGTCAACTTCCTCGCGCTCGAGACTACTCCCAACCATTACCAACCATCCAACACACTCTTTATCTCGGGATATTCGCGGATACCTATACGAGAATCAGCCACGATGCAGCCTTTATTCACTATCTTCCTTACCGCCACTCTCCTCTCAACGGCCTCGGCCTCAGCCACTCTCGGCCGGCCCTGTAGTGGGAATGGCTACGACTGTACTGGCGAGCTTCATGAGATCGCCGTTTGTAACGGAAGCCGCTGGGTTCTCGCTGCCCAATGCGGCCGGGGTTGCTGTGTATGGCCACTGGGTGATCCCACGCCGTGGTGCCGTTGCTAGGCAAGGTGCGGACGGTCTTCCTTTATAGTTTCCCTAGACATGGTCTAATCACTGACGCATCTAAGTCCGCTTTCTCGGCTTCTACCTTATGCAACGGGGTTTGATAGTCTTGGGCCCTAGTTCTCGGCGGTAGCTAGTAGGGAAGGCAGACGGAACCAATTACCTACCGTATCAGGTTGGATTCTGGGCGTTTGAGGGCCATGTATCTCATAACTAAACGCGCCACATAAATAGTTCTATTACTAGCTCCTGTAAGGCTACCTCGGCATGATCGATGAGCTTGGTGTGGCAAGTTGGCAATATACGTTAGAGTTGGTCATTTACATCTGAGTAAAGCCAAGGTAACCGAGTTTCCAGAACAGTACTCCATGCCTTGGAAAAAGGCTAACGGAGGTGTCCCAATTATCATTTGGTCTGAAGCTGGCCCTGGCGTCAACGATGTCAGCATTACGTGTTTCCTAGTGCGGAAGTCTTGCCGAATTCTCGCCAGGATCGGGGGCGCAACTTTTATGAGGTCTGGATAACTACCGCCAATGGCTTCGAATTCACACCTGAACGACTAGACACCTGGCACAATGGCCCGTCCTTCAACCTTCCTGTCTCGGGCTAATGGCAACAACATCATTCGTAAAAGTCCACAGGTGATACGTCTTGCCGATGGTGGTCAGGTTACGATTCTCAAACGACGCGAAGGTGTTGAGGCCTAAGCTAATGTTAGAACCGTAGGTGCCTGTTCTTGTAGATAAGCGAGGCAAAGGCAGTAACTTGGTGTGTTGGGAGTGCGTATTCGAGAAGAGTGTTCTGAAGACTTCAGGCTTGATCTGTAATTCTATTGTGAAGTGAATTGGCTACTGCTGTTAAGGGAAAGAGAAAGTGTTTATCGAGCAGGAGCTTGAGGTTTAAGTCGGTACCCGGCTCCTCCTATCGTGAAGTATAGTCGAACCCAGTCGATATTGCCATTCTAATACGACATAGGCTCGCTGGTACCTGAGGTTTGAATCGTGGGTGCCTGTTCTTCTGAATAAGCGAAGCAAGAACAGTAACTGAGTATGCTGTAAGTGCGTAGTTGCGTTGCTCTAGAGACTTCAGGTCTGGCGAGGCCTTGGTCAAACTAGCGGTAGTATCTTGGTAAGGCCTGCCGCCTTGGCCGAGAACCCGAAAAGCATCCACCTCAATAAATAAAAGAGATATTTCTATATATATAAATCCCAAAACTTGGGCAATACAGTTATTAGCGTTAATAGAAGCTACTCACTCCCCGCTCAACCACCTAAGAGCCTACGCACAGGCATATCCTCATGAATTCAAAATGATTTGTCGGTAGTAATTAAGGAAGATACACTCGACATACTCGGTTGCCCTACAATACGGCCAATCTAAACTCTATTAGCTATCCTTCGTAGTTCCGTGAGCATCCTGACACTATGTCACTCAGCAAGGTCATTCATTGCCTGGTGATGGATACGTACGTAGTCAAACACAAGGTTTGCCACGCTTCGGTGAGAAGCGTGTATTTAAGGGTAGAGCGTAGGTATTATTTGAATTTACCGCTGTGCGGACAAACTAAATGTAAGGTAGACTGTAGTTTATATAAGCGTTTCCTTTCTAAGCTTCTCCAAGGGTCGCCGGGCCATATTAGAGTCTCTTGGTCACCCAGCGCTCCGGCGATTTGCCGAGTAAACATTCCCCCATCGAAGTTCAAGGAGAATGTACAAGACGTCTGCCGTCAGAATTTCTTACTGATAAGAATGCACATTCGTTTAATCCGTTTGATATTTGTTTTTATTGGCTCTGGCATCTAGGATCTTGACGGTACACTATCAAGACGCGTCCCCTGAACCCACCTCCAGCTTAATCTCGCTAAGGCCGAGTCTCCGGGACGAAAAGGGTCGTAAAGTTCCAAGTCTTCCCACCATCTGGCGTCGACATCTCGCCGCCGGTTGCTTCGTGTTCCCAGCTTCCACGATAGAGGAAGCGCTCATCCGGCTGATTAAGCGTGATGAAAATATCTTCCCAACCTATAAGGTATACCAGTTAGCTACTGAAAATATTTCGTCATGCCCGTGGTGTTGAATTAGGGGACGTACTGTGCGCCGGAGCAGCAGCGCAATTGCCCGCTGCACACTCTGTTGAAATGTAAAATATCGACCCGTGTTGTCCTCGGCCTGATACGATACTGTTACTCCATCATCTTCGTAAGCAACACTCTGCCCAGTTTATACATACTCGATGTGAGCTCGGAAACGAGCTGGTCATTGATGTACAACCTCTGCTCCCATTGCTCCGTGCCTGTGTTGAGCTTATCTATAAGAGGGCGTCAGTTGAACGCTAACAGACTGAGAAGATTTAAGAAGTTCTGCCTACAGTGTGTCTTGATGCGAGAACCGGGAGGCGCCTTTACCGGGGTGCCGGCCGTGGGATTCCCGTTTCCGTACTTGTATGCGAAATTACACCAGTTCTGGCCAAGGTCCTGGCAGTACCCTCTGCGGCGGGATGTTAGTTAGCGTCACTAGACAGAGTAGGTTTCCATACAGTCCCGGGGGCGAATTCTGGGTGACTCCCTGCAGGAAGTCCTGCCTGTCCATCATTATCGCACTCCACAAGGCAACATCTCCGGTGACGGGATTAGGAATGTCTCCAACGACGAGTGTGGCGGCAGCTTCCTGAATGAAATTACCACTGGGAGTGAGGAGGGTGACGATATCGAGATTGGCGTGGCTCAGTTGGACGAGCGCCGACATGGCGCCGAGGCTGGCGTAGGGCTTCATTGTGATAATAGCGTTCGTTTGCGTGTTTGCTTCAAAGACTATGTCTTAGTAGGAAACGACGGGATTAGGCCAATATCTTTAGCAGGGTGTTTTCGTTTCTATATAACATAACCAGGGGAGAGGAATAACAAGATGCGGGGTTCCCAGTCGTTAATATACAACGCATATTGACTCATAATTCTAGTGCGCACACCGAGGTTTAATTCGTCGACTATGTCAAATTGAATCCTCGCCTACCGGTAGTTCTCGACCTAATAAGCCAATCTTTCCAGGTTTAAGCAGTTAAATTTAGAGATATATCCAAAACGTCCGTCCGGGCCCTAGGATAACGAGTTTATCTGCAGCACTCTAACCGAGATGAGACTTTGAGAAAAGCGGGAGTTTTCCCTTTCATGTCTCCCATCGTGGCTCCCGCTATCCCGCTGAGGCATGACGCTGGACCGTTCTATCTCTTCCGGATGGTTTCCTTGAAAAAGTTCCGATGAGGTAGACCAAGAGCCCGCTCGATCCTCGTATCGAGGGAGCGTTGAGGAATATCGGGCAACATCGGCTTTGGGAAATTAAGGATAGCCAGGTAGAATCGCCCACACTCGGACGCGGTAGGTGTCTTCCTCCTGCTGCTAAGCTATTAACACAGGGGAGCCCTAGATAGCTCATTTGAACCCCCCTCTCCCACACGATCCCTATTCGGATTCTTCCTCTTAAGCGGTATTAGCCTAGGCGCTGTCCGTGGACTCGCCGCGACAGCTGTTAGTAGCTGGTGACTAGCCGGCTTTCCCCAGCGACGATAGTGGGCAGAGCCCATCACACTAAAAGAGGGTCTTCGAACTCGTCATGATCTAACCACTTGAAAGGCCCAATAGCTATAGAGAGCGGTAGAAAAGATAAACTATGTAGCCGCGTGTAAGCTAGACAGGATTTAACTAAAAGCTGACCACCGGAGCCACCAGCGACCCTAGCGACTTACCAAGGCGGTGTCAGACCAAGCTCCTTGTGAGGGTTCTGCGAAGCAGTGAAGTATAATCGAACCCAGTCGATGTTGCGATTCTAACACGACGTAGGCTCGCTGGCACCTGATGTTAGAATCGCGGGTGCCTGTTCTTATAAACAAGCGAGGCAAGAACAGTACTTGAGGATGCTGTAAGTGAGTATTTACGTTGCTCTAGAGACTTCAGGTCTCGTCTCTAATCTGGTAGTGAATTGGCTACTAAAGAAACTAAAGTGGGAGCCTCCTTCATCCATTCCCCAGCCAGAACAGCTAGTCATTAGATACAGCTATCCAGTCCTCATCCCGAGCCTAGTAATCTCTTCCCAACAGTGTGATCCTGCTTCCAGATACGACATGTCTCCTAGAAAAACGGAGTGCTCTAGGTTGCACTTGGAATTACTGGGCTGGAGATGCGGGAAGATCCCAAACGCGTCCCGATCAGCCGACTTCGCCAGGTCTGGCCGACGAGGCGACACCACTAATTACAAGGATAGAACTTTTCCTTCTTCGCCACCGCCCCATTAACCCAGTTGCGGTGCCCTTGCTCGGCGGGACAGACCGGGATTTTTATAATACCGGGCGCGCGAATGTCACGATCGTAAAGGGCGTCAAATGTTTCCTTATCATTCGGGTTCGGTTCGACATTCCCACCATTCCGGTTGCCCGCCTTTTTGTACGTCTCGACGGCTCTGTGCTCAAATTAGTTCACTTCCTCCGGTAGATATGTGGGCAAAGAAGACGGGGAAAAAAAAAATCAATTTCAAACTCACCCGGCAATGATATCATGGTGTGTTACCGTGCCCCATTTCGTACCGTCGAGTTGGTTTATCCCCCGCGGTAAGCGGAAAGGTTGTGTGTCGCAAGGATCGATCGTCTTAACCTCTCCAGGTGTACAGCGCCAACCTTCCGAAGTGCCGGGGGCAGATACAAGGAAGTATGCTCGGCGGTCGTAGCAGGAGTAGGAGTAGTTGCTACCATCCTTTGATACGATATCGGGGATGGCGTTTTCCCCCCTGCAATCGCCCGCGTCGAGAACGGCGGGAAACTGTCCCGTCTCATTCCACACAGTCGGAATCGCCACTGCGTAAAAAGCCCGTTTCCCAATCTCTTCTTGAGCGAATTCCTCCGCGATTTTGGAGCTAACATCGCTGTCCTTAACGGTGCCATTCCTGCTCCCAGGTGTGAGCCTGCCATCCTTGGTGAGTTCGGTGAGGGCCCTGATGCTGTCGTCGTCGCCGCTAAACAGTTTTTTAAGAACGGATGCAGCCTGTATTTCCCATAGCTCGATGGTCGAATCGATAATGGAATTGAATGCCATCTCCTGGCCGGCTACTCTACTGTTGATGTCCAGGCTAATCAGCAATGTGGCCTCCCCCAGTTGCGCTTATATCGATCCAGTAACCAGGACCTATTTTTGGGAAAAGGCATGCCATGTGGGCAATAAAGAGATCAATGCTTCATGTACCTTGCTGGATCGGTCGATTTAGCAGCGCTGAACCCTACTGAAATCATCGCGTTTGTCATGTCTTTGGCGACGTCGGTCAAGACATCGTCGGCGACTATACTCCCAAAAACTAATTTGGAGAGTTAGCAACGATGCCGTACTATAGATATTGGGACAGAGAAGGCTTACTGTTTTTGAAAATCATAGCTCCGCCCCCGGCAACTGGGATTGTGAGAAGATCTAGTACCATACTCAAGGCCCCTAGGCTCTCTTCCTTGGGCGAAAAGATCGTCATGAACTCATGAGATCTACGTTGAACGTCTTGCCCAATGGTCTTGTAGGAGTCGTAGGCGGATCTAACTAGCTGTTCCCCGTCGTCAGCAAAGTCGTCACTTGGTTAGCTAGACACCGTCGCCCAGCATTCAAATGGTTGGCAGTAGCGATGGAAGGGCAGGAACGTAATACTTGATGAACTTTGATTACGGCAAGCCACACAAAGTAGGTAGCAGCACCTGTCAAGTCTTCCGGTTTGTCGGTACCAATCACGTTGTGCTCCGCGCACTGCATCACATGACAGTTGGTTTCTCCCTTGATGAGGTCGCAGTTCGCTTCTTCGGGAGCATGGAGGAATTGACTTATTGAGGCCGTGAACGTGAGATTTTGGCCAGGCCGGTCGCAGTTCCTCCACCTAAACATCATATCATCCCAGGCGGCGGGGGCTTCGACTCCTTCCCAGCGTTCCCTTGGGAGGTACCTGGAAATAGATGTTACTTGATCCAAAGTGCAAGGTATGTCAACCCACGAACCAGTTCGCCTCTCTAGATCGCAGGCTGGTGCGCCAGTCCTGTAGAGGTTCAGCTTAATGCCTGTCCAATCAATCGGACCTGCGGCACCTGGGATATCCTCTGCCGTATTATAGCTTGGGGGCTCGACAAAGTTTTGCAGGTCGACTGCCCAGTCGCAAGTGCCTCCAAAGTGACTAAAGATCAAATTCGAAGTTAGCAGTCTTGTCTTGAGTCAGGGGAGCGAAAAGAGAGAGAGTCTCCATACTAGTCTTGATACATCTGCTTTCGCCTCGTCTTAGTATCTTCATCCATCCACGCAACCCATTCGACCTCATCGTACACCATTACGTTGCTATCGCTTTCTTCGTCAATCCACGATTTAACATTACCACCCCTCTTAAGGATTTCGTTGATTTCCGCATTCGCGAGATAACCGCCGGTCCCAGTGCATCGCCCAGGTCGAGCATCCGAGACTATCCGAGATCCGGTATAAGTGCAGTCCACACCAGTACAGCCAGCAGCTGCCATGTGGAAGCTGCGCCCGTAACTACTGACGCCAACGATAATCTTGCTTGAGGGGACACCTGCTTTTGTAATCATGCTCTACACAATGCGGCACAGTCGGCACGGTTAGTAGAGACGACTCGTTGCATGGGGTGTTGGACCAGGGGCAGCGCGGACGACGTACCAGGGTATTCAAAGTTTCTGTCTTGTTGACATGGCTGCGCAGACAATTTCCAATGGGACAGCCAGGCGTGCTCCATTTGTTACCGTGGTCCCACTGACCGTGCAAATCGTAGGTCATGTACACGATGTAATCGACGACCTCGCTGATTTTCTTCAATGGAAATTGCCGAAGATACCAATAAGACGCTGGTGCCGCGATGGATACAGACTTGCCAGGGAGCTTCTGCTTCAGGAGCTTTAAAAAATCTAGGTAGTAACCACCTTCGGAAGCTTTTCCTGGATCATCCTCTGGGAGATCAGGACCCTGTTTTACCATCAGTCCATGGTTAGCGACAAAATCAGGCGGCAATACGTGTAATATGATGTAGGCATCGGGGGGCAACGGGTGAAGGAAGAACTTACTCCGGGATATTCCCAATCTATATCTACTCCGTCGAGGCCATTGTCGATGATAAAACGTGCGATGTTGCTCGCTAGCTTTTCCGCATTCTCCGGCTCAGTCCCTAGCCTCAGAATCTTGTATGACGCAGGTTCTGTGGAAAACGCCCAGCCCCCAAACGCGGCGATGCGCTTAGCGGACGGGATGTTTTTGAACTGCTCGAACTGGAATTTAACGAGAGGATCGCCGATGTTGACTTCGTAGTCCGGGGTCAAGTCCACAAAAGCGAAGTGGACGTGTGTGTAGTCACTAGGCACTTGTGAGGCGTCCATGTTGAGGCATTCCCGCTCGAGATTAAAGGCTTCAAAATATCCGAGCTTGATGAAATTCGATGGCTTCTCGCCCATGATTATTTTGTTTCCACAGTTCGAGATGCAGCGGTTTTGGACTTTTGCAAGCTCCTGCCGTGTTCCCGTCGCTTCGGTGCAATAATCGGCAGTTGTACCACATTGGCCCCACTGGAATGGTTTTAGCCTGGTGAAGGCAGAAGGGGGAGAAGAAAGGGAGGTGAAGAAGGGGGAGTATACGTACAATATTGCAGCATGTGTTCAAGGGGCAAGGGTTCATAAGGGCAAGATCCTTCCCCTTCTCCGGCGGTTCAGAGTCTGGCATTTGCGGGCCACACACAGCGTTGGGAACTGGCAATGGCAAAGGGCGATCTCCTTCGCTCACACAGATCCTGACACCAGGCCAGAGTCCTTCGCAGCCATTCCAGCCTTGAAAAGTAGAGTTAGTAGGGTTAGTAGAGTTAGGAGTGAAACGAAACTCAACCAGCGACACAGGGAACGCTGCGCACTGAAACTTACCCCATGTATTCTCATTGAACCGCTCCAACTCGTCTAGTGTGAGACCATGCCTAATAGAAATCCCAGAACAGTTGTCATCTGGCACCGTGTCGTAGGTTGCGCAGGATCCATCACTGTTTTGTTGCTTCCTCCTATTCGGCAAGTCCCCTGGGGAACAACAGACCTCTTGGTCGATGACGAGATTCGGGCAAAGGTCCGGTTTCGGGTTCCATTTAAGGAAGTCGGCATCGCTTATACCACATTTCGCGGCGAGAGTGCCGCACAGATCCCCTTGCACGACTGTAATAGTCGTACACTGATCACGTTTCGATATCTGCCGTGGCCTTGGATTGTAGCGTCTCATAGGGGAATTCTCACTCGAATTTGAGAAACGGAAAGCTGACGTGCGAGGCTGGAGGATATCAAGCTCAACGCCCTCCAGCGTCGAGGAACCCGTTTGCTCCTGAGCACAGGAGCCGCTCGTCCAATTCTGGAGAGCACTTTGAACTTTGGTGATGTCGGTGCTGGCCATAATACCCAGAGTTTCCTCAGCGGCTCTCCCTGCACCACACAGCTGAACCGCAGCAGCATCCTGAAGTCCTCGGGGAAGAATGTGGCCCACGAGATGAGGGATAAGCCTGTCTGCGACATCGACGTTTGAGATCCTCTGACCAACATAGACGCCGACCACACTTTTGCCAGCGGAAACGAGAAAGATTGTCTTCTTGCCTTGCTTTGATGCGGCCCTGAGATACTGGCCAGCGTTCCGAAGACCTGAGGCTGCATTAGCAGCACCGCTGTCTTCCGAGTCAGAAACTGGCGAGTCGCCCCACCAGGCCAGCTCCACATCTGAAGGGACAGTCGTTTTGTTACTGATATTGGCGGCTCTTCGGCTGACTTGAATGGGGCTGGGTGCCTCGTTGAAGAGCTGACCTCCCCAAACCGAGCAGGCTCTGATGTGCTGTGGGTTGACGGTGGGAGGATTGTAAATGGCGAAATCGAACACAACAGATTGCTGGCATTGTCGGAGTTCGGCAAGAGAAGCGTAGACGTCCCACCCGGTGTGATCGGGACCGGCATCAAAGCAAGTCCGTGGACAAGGTGTGGGGAACTCCCCGCCGGAGACAACGTTCAGACCAGAGCGGAAGGCAGTGGCAGGTATCAATAGGATGCCCAACAGGGTCCCCAAAATTGAGATCGAGTGGCCTCGGACCATCACGGCAAGTAATGAGTGCAAGATTCAGAAAAGGTATAGGGGCGAAGGAGCAAGAAACGACACATAAATTGCGATGCTTGATGCAAGAAGTTGTCCTTCTCTAGACCAGATGCAGAATCACTCGCGAACTTCACTTCCTTTATACCTGGCAGGCTCAAGGCCTACTTCTCCTTAATCACATCGTTGCACAATTGCGCCTTCGAGGTACCTGCTACAGTTCAAGGCATACCGTGCTCCGGAGCGAATGCGCTTCAGGGGTAACGGCTCGTTACTTGCAGACAGACAAATCGCCAATGGCTCTGCCCTAATATGCCACATCAGCCGTTTAATTTAAATCGCTGCGCCGCTTATTCTGGGCGAATGTATGCATATGGGACCATCGGTTGGTTGTGAGCTTTTGTCCTCACAGCCGTGCGCACTCTTTTCCTGTTTGCGAGAGAAAAACAACATGCTGCTGGAGCTGGAAGAGGACGGGAGAGGGCTAATGGGTCCTACACCTATATCTCACCACGTTCATTTACGGCCTAATTTCGAGTATCGGCAAAAGCGGAACAGGCTATTATTATCAGGGACGGTTAAAACGGAAAGACCCAAAACAGATGTCGACCCGAGCCTTTTGAAAATCCTGCAGTTTTAGATTTCCCCCTATTTTCAACATGGGATCCTGTGCAACATCATCGACCAAGACACACCGCTTTCTTTCACAGAGGCAGAGAGTAGCGCAAACGTCTTCCGCGTTAAGCCCCGTCATCTTTTTTTTCAGCATGCCACTACTCACTGTGTTCCTCGCTCTTTTGGCAGCGCCTGCAGCCACGCAGGAGCCTCCTACTAAGTTCCAGGTTGATCTCGTCTTCCCCCGAAATGAGACATACGTTCGAACCGCCTTTTTCCCCGTTGTATATGCTGTCCGGAATTTTCAACTCGCCGACTCCCTGAACCTTGAGATCTGGGGCGTTCTAGAGACAGACGGAAGTCGAAACTTCCAGGAAGGTGCAAGCGATGATTACACTCTGTGGCTCTTCCCTACAGGGTATCTTGGGTTCAGTTTCGGGGGCGAGTCCCCAGATGCTGATCCCCTATTCTTTATCGAATCGACGAATTACCTTACCAACGGCACCGATACGCACTTCCACGTCGAGTGGGATGCGTCTCTTGACAATTATACCGACAGATGGATCTCGGGAAAGCAACGTCTCGAGTTCAGCATCGCTCCGGATGGGAAGGTGCCGGACATCGCCGAAGCCATCAGGAGCTGCGGTTACAAGTCCGTGGCCGTTGATATCCCCAATGCCGAAGACTCTGTGAACAGACATAGAGTCTTGAAGGACATCGAACCGACAGACCAATGTGGTACGCTGACTGACTACGCTGATGAGGTGGCGGCAAATGCATCGAAGTATGCCTTAACCGCACTCAGTTGCAAAAACGGGGAATGGCAGGAGATTCGGGAGATTTGCAGTGGCATGCCAGGGAAGTGGGGACAATATCGCAGCTGGTTGGCACTGGTCGCATCGCTGATTGTATTTACAATGATACTCTAGTTAAGCATGAGCGAGTTCTATCTTAAAGCTTTCTATTTTAAAGCTACTAGTTGGAGGATTGAACGTTGTTCGGTGGCGCTGTCTCCGGCTTCGAGAGTTGTTAACTTAGAGTGTGTATCTAGAAGACTTTTTCCTTTAAATAAAAAACAAGCCCTACAACATTAAACTTGCTGGGTAGTATCGCGTGTTAGTCTAGTATCAGGAGCACCTTTAAATAAGACGTGGTCTAGGGTGCCGGAAATAGACGGCGCTGGCTACCAAAGATGGGAAGCCAGAACAGCGATACTTGAATTAGATTTGTATTTAGTTGCGGTGCCCACCGCAGCATAACGCAGTACACAACTATAAATACAGGCTTTCACCTCCTGCGACAATTGACGAAAGGCTACGTGAGCTATGTTATTGTGTATAGTACACTCAACAGCCGCATCCACAAGCGGCGCAATCGCCCTTTCCGCACTTTGCGTTGGCGTTGTTATAAGACCATTCACAATCCTGCCAGCGACCGCAAGGCGTCCAACCTCCCCATCCCCCTTCATATGCCAACCAACACCACGGCTTCCCGTTCCACGGATAAAGAAAGTTGATTTCTGCATTGCAGTTTCTCCAGCACCAGCCGTTATCGCACCCATAATCGTAATCCCAACCACTGCCACGACCCTGCCCTACGGGGCAGACCTCCCTTTTGTCGAAAAGGCTCTCTTCCCTTTTAGCGAGACTCTCAAGGCTGACTTTCTTCCCGACGGAGCTGTCAAGATTTTCGTCGATTTCGGCACCGTTCCTGAGAGGGCTGCCGATGCCAAGCTCGGAGGGGTGCTTCTTGCATTTTCGAAGTGCAGCCGTATCCGTACCCTCTGGGAGGTCTTTGAGGTCCCATTCCATGACACCAAGGGCACCGCATTCAGCTTCAACGGCGGCACGGTCAGCGCCAATGGGTGTGCAAAGTGCTGGAGTGGCAATCAAGCCAAGGAGGGAAACGAGAAGCTTCATGGTGTAGAACTGCTCTGTTTGGAACTATGGATGAACTGAAGCACTTATAAGGGTTTTCTGATAAATGAAAAGTTGAAGAATTCTTAGATTTACAAGAGGTCGGCGGTTTGGATATCTTATATCCTCATCCTTAAACTTAGAGGCTGTCTGGAAAAGGGTATGCTCGGCGCAAGCAGCAGTAGTATACGATTGGTTTCACTGAAGGATCAATCAAATGACCTCACATGAGTCGACTGCTCTACAAAAGGACTCTCTTGAAGAAGTAAATATGTACGATCCTACAGCATCCTTCGCTAACCAATGAGACATCTATTGGCTATCCAACTATCGTCAGACAGGTAAAATATGCGCGCAACCACGCCACTCCATGCAAAGTATCGCAGTGTCCTCCGAGTGGTTGTGACAATCGCACGCAGCCATGAGACAGCGCAGGTGCGGCCGAAAGACATGGCCTACAGTGGTGACTTAGGCCGGCAAGTAGAAGCAAGATTGCAGGCCTGACCTGGTATGCCCAGCCGGCGAGTATATTAAGTCTATGATTGCGTTTGAGTTGCCCCGCGGCCGTCTCTACATTAGTAGCAGTATATGCGGGACTAGCGCACCGCCCCGGAGACCCTTCAGTTGGCTTGATTAAGGAAACTAAAAGCGGGCCGAGCCAAGGCGGGGAGTAATTAGGATGCTGTGGGATCTCGTATTCATTAAACTACCACCAATATCGAATGTTCCTGGATGCTCGTGCTGAATATATGCATTCCTATGTACACATCGACGTTCCAGGGGTTGGAAACAGAAAAATGGACACGGTACTAAACGAGTTATCCTGAAGCGTCGATGTGATTTGATGTTCAACCTGAGTGACCTCGCGACTAAATGCAGGGATCTCAATAACTGTTAGCAGAGGCACTGGCCATGAGTGCTTTCCAACCCATGCCTGCAACCTGTCCACTTCCCCGCACGCACGGCATGCATTATTGATTATTGATCTCGCAGGGAGTCGATGAATTGATTGCTGCCTGAGGCCTGGCGCCGAGAAAGTTACCAAAGTTTGGGGTAGAAGGCCCGTCGCTCCAAAATCAGGATAATGCGCCTCACTGCGTCCCTGATGGAGATGCCATACTTCGAGAGGATACAACTTAAAGCGCCAGCCCCTGTCACTTGGCGGAAACTTTGTTGCATCAATGATCTATGTGGAAAGCTAGAAGGCGATCTACGCAGGCGCTGCACGTATACTATTCTATATACTAATATATCTCTCTCTAGCTGCATCTTTTAAGGTTCGACCAGGGGGACTGTGTACTGCTTAGGGGACTGTGTCTCCGCTTTTTATTTACTTATCTGAGGTTTTACCATGCTGCCCAAAAAGGACAAAAAACTTGAGCTCCTTCAACCACTGTGATCCATCATCAACTATAACATCGCATCCGCCATCAAATCGAGCCCATTTCCATCATCAAATCGAGCCCATTTCCATCATCAAATCGAGCTCATTTCTGTCATCAAACCAAACCCATTTCCGTCGTCAAATCAAGCCCATTTCCATTTTCAAATCGAGAGCTTCTTCTCGCCATCAAATCTATCATTCCATCTATCAATTGAAAGTGTAATTAAGGTACTTGCTTCTCGTCTTAAAATTGTGAAAATTCTATGAGTGAAGACAGTTTTGCCGACATCAGACTTGTCACCACTGTATTCCTCGATTGGTTTCTATTTTGCGTGAGGTGGCAGAGCCTCGGATAAATGAATAAAAGTGGAGACACAGTCCACCGAGTCGAACCCCCATTTAAAATCTTACGACGTCGTCCTGGCTAATAAACGAACGCCGGTTTGCAATACCCCGGCTTTGCTCTTAGTACAGCTGGAATCATAAATTGCGGGACAAATAACGGAGTAGAATTTATGCTTCTCAGGCATTTTCCCAACAGGGGATCTAGCTATCTAAACCACCAAGTCTGGTTCGTCGTCTACCACGGCTGAATTTTGAAACCTGGAATAGTGCTAGCCCAGGCTAGTGATTAAGCTATTATCTTAATGTCAATTAATGCCATTACCGCCACATTTCTAGTCCTGTCGAGATCAAAAGTAATCGACACACTAGAGGACTAGCTTTTAGAAACAAGTGACCAAACGCTCATTTTATACCCCAGAACTCACGTCTGCTTCGCATCCCCGTCCCCCCACAGCTGCTGCCCGATGCCGACGCTCATCCAGGTCGTCCTTCCATCCCAACGCATCCACCAGATTCTCAGCGTGGTAAGAACAACCATCAAACTCCAGCGATCCCCAAGCTCGCCAGTAAGCCCAGCACCGCGGAATTTCAGCGTGAAATCCCGCTTCCTCACCCACCAGGCTTTGGGCCACGAGATAATAGCGAGCACATCTCCCTCATTACGAGATTCCGCCCTGCTGGTGCTGCTACTGCCACCGCCATTACCGCTCCCAGTATTAGTCGAAGTTGATGACACTCGAAAGAGCTCATAGCCTTCAGAATCGTGGCCTCCTCCTCTCTTTATTTTCCGCCACTCAAAATCCTCTCGCCGGACCTTCTCGGTCCCCACCTCGATCGAAAAGCGAAACGTCACTCCCATCCCGGCAGCCGTGCTGGCACTCATCCTCTCTCTGACTGGAGAAGTGGACTCGCCGAGAGGAGGCAAAAGGATATGGCTATGGGAGTTGAATGAAAATAACATGGGGGCGATGGCGGAGGCGTCCAGAGCAGCCCCTATGACTGGGTCGTGTTCGTCCAGGCCATTTCGGAGGCACACGCCCCTTCTATACCCGACAGGCTTCATATTGGAGAGATCCGAGGTGTTGAGTTGAACGACGTATACGGGCTTGTCCTCATCTTCTCCGGTGCACAGCATGGCCGTGAATCGTCCTTTTATGAAGTCGCTGCTGGTCGGCAGCCATTTCTCGAAGAACAAACTCAGTACTCCCGGAAATTGAGTATGAAGACGCAGGGGTTTCCAAAGACTGGGAGTGGCTGCCGTAGACGAGTCGCCCTGGACGTAGTCTGGAGGTGGTTGGGCCTCTTCATTCTCGTCGTAGGCGGGTGGACTCGGCTCGGCATCGAGCACAGCGGCGGTTGGTTCCTCGGCTTTACTCATGTTGGAATACTCTGGAACGTATCTCCAGGGAGTGATTTGAAAAAAAGGAAAAATTGTAGGGAAGTATGTCAATCTCAAGATTCGGGAAGATTATGAAGGATGGGTAAATGGGTAATAGCTCGATTTGGACGTATACATGGACAGGATCAATTTATGTCTGTTAGTCCTAGACTCGGGCCGGGATGGGATTGAAAGGTACGGATCTTTTTACGGGACCAGCCACGAACGGTACGCAATCGGATGTGATCTTACGAGCCAACTGAGACAGTCAAAAGACGGCTCGCTCGCCAAGCCAATATACATTAATATGAGGTTTGGATGAGATGGATTACACTGCCTCTGTTGCCATTCTTTTTTGTATTGGAAAATATAGAGTTGGCTCTATACGATCGAACCACGTTAGCACTGCCACGAAGGCATGTGGCACACTCTAGAGTATCTTTCATAGCCTATAGGCCCGTGAACGAGGAAATAAATTGACACTCCGCGTAACGACTACGTTTCTTGTGTAACATTCTCCCTTCCTGGACCGGCCAGGCTGATTGAACCCCTTTTACAGCCCGACGGACGCATACGCCGACGGATATTGCCAAGCCGGCGTCAAGCAAAAGATGATTATCAGAACCCAGGCATATCCCACGAGGCGCAGTCCAAGACCGATGGTGTTGTCGTATTCGAACATGCCACCTCGCCGCATGGCCCGCACAGCCAACGTCTCAGCCAAACAGACCGCATAATTGGAAAGAAAGAACCGAAACTCATGGACGACGCGGGTTTTTCCGGTGAGTACCCAATTCGACAAGGCGTGGCAGGCTGCCGACATGGCGAAAATCCAAAACGCCCTGAGTGCCTTGCAGATAAGCACGGCCCACGGTCGTTTAGTATTTTCCTTTTGTTGGGCGATCGATTTGATGAAAGGAGGGACGTATGTGTCGAATATCCCAACGTGGAGTTTGTGCCAGAAGCGTCGGAGAGAGTAGACTTCTGCAATATTACCGAAGAGCGGAGGCCAGGCCTCGGGATTGTCCGTCCGCAGAACTCCCACGAACGAGATTGCCGATAGATCGTGAGTGAGAGCGAGGATAGAATATGTGCCCCAGACCCAGTTAACAGACATTAGTGCCCGTAACGCGAGGTCTGGATTACTCAACGACGGCAGCAGACCTCGCTTCGTTGGGCCAAAATGCCAGATCGTCACGCCAAGCCAAGCGAAGCTGTTGACGAGGAGCTTGGAGATTAATTTGCGTAGGGTGAGAAGGATTGCGGCCCGGCAGCACCTGAACGTTACGAACCGAACGCTACCACGCCCCGGGCCGGCGTCGTTGGAAATATCGGTAGGCATCCTGCGGACATTGCTGAGCATCTGAAAGACAGACCAACACCGCTGGGACAAATCGCCCAGGCTCTTGCTCAAGACACGTTTCTCTATTAAAAGAACGGAAGCTGCGTGTAAGGCGACGGTTATGACGGACGGAATAATCATGCTATTCCACGGCAGGAGAACCAACCCTCCCCCACCCAGGCATACACAGATGCTGAGAATGTGGAGTCCGCTGAGTACTTGTCGTCTAATGTTGAGCGGCTGTTGAACGGCGAAGAAGAAGAGTATAAGGGAGATGGCCAATAGCAGCAACAGAAAGGCTGCTTGGGCAGAAAGTGATATCGCCATGTTTAATAATCGAAAAGCGGGAAGTGGCTTGCTTTTGTTTACATGAGGCCCTTTTGTCTTTCCCTTCTCATCACCGACGCCTGGTTCAACTTATAGTCATCAAACATGGCGCGGCTGACTCGCTGACAACCTAACTAGATCCTATGTAGGTTCCTAAGAATGCCTTACGACCCAGGATCATGACCTCACCGCTCCCCAAATTGGAGAATGGAAGGAAATACGCCGAGGGTAATGGACCCGCTAACCTTTGGAACGCCTGATGGTTATAGCATGAGGCGTACTACAGAGAGAACGAAGAGATGGCGAATATGTGTAACTCTCGACTTCATCCTTGGTGGGGGCTTTACTACGCCCCTAGTTAGATAGAAACTCACGGATGGGAAATGAGATTCATATGGATCGCAGTTCTGGTCTCAAGGTCGTCCAATGAGACGAGGAGCGTCCGAGGCAGATCGGTGAGAAGGTCAAGAGGATCAAGGCAAAGCTGGCGACCAGTCGTAGCTGGGGCAGACAAACGCCGCCGGCTTCCATAGGTCATGGCATTTTCAACACCAGTTTGATTTCTAATGAACGTTCACCGTGCTCGGAGGGATGATCACTCATTTGGTTCTCATGGACGATTGAAGGGAAAACGAAAAGAACAAAAAAAAGATATAAGGACGAAACGATCCCCAGCATCTGCCCGTCATGAACCCACTCCGTCGCCATCGAAACCATCGTCTCTCCTGAAGTCCCAAAATCAACATTTCAAAGTTTCTCGCACCCACAACACCTTCAACATGCCTCTTGCTGTCGAAATCGGCGCTGGCGTCATTGGCGTTAGCGGCACTGTATTCAGGATCCTGAACCTCCTCGGCATCGCTCCCCACGGGCCCCGCACGGTCGATGGGGATGCTGGCCTTTGGTGTCTTCACAATAACTACCGGGGCTGCGTCGGTCTCCTCAGCGACGGCGAGCCTGTGCCTGCTGCCATCATCGAGCGCCAGGACGTGGGCCCCTGCAACGTCCCCATGTATAACTTTGACATTTGCCACGACCAGATCGCCAACCAGGCTGCCAACATCTGGAGCTCCATCCCTGCTCCCGGAGGTGAGTCCTTTCGCTTGAGATGAAATAATGGTCACTTTCAACTTGAGACGTTCGACTTGCTAACCGCTGTCTGATCTGTAGTCGCCCAGTTCGATAATGTTCCTCCGGCCTGCATGAACCTTGCGGTCGTCCTGTCGGGGTCATGCACTGGTGAGGGAACCAATCCCGTCCCGTGCGGTTCGGCCTGTATTCAATATACTGGTCTCAGTGATGAGCAGTTTGCTGCTCTTTCTATGGCGCTTCACGGTTAAGAGGATCGATCGGTTTGGTTTGGGAACATGTCGCTGGTGTGCTTGAGCTGCTATTGAATTTCTTTCTTAGGGCAAAGGCGATGCCACTTGATCGTTCCATCTGGTATCCCGCATTGTTTGCCCCTGTTTGTTGCAGATGCGCTGTTCTTTAGCTCCTGTCGCGTGATGGGTTGAAAATACATTGGAGCTCCGAAGTCAGAATCTTACACGTAGATGCTCCGTGACACGTCCGTTGAAATCTGTCAGCTGCCCAGTCCACCATATCCGTTGCCCTTGATGCATGAAAGATGTCAAGAAGGGGGCTACATGCGGCGGCCAGAAACGCAGCCTCCTCCCACATAGGAAGTTCTCCGTGCAAGAGTGATTGGTACAGGAAACTGAGATGCCATAGTTGAACCCGATGGAGTCGGCGTCGACGGAGCTGGGATCACGGACACGCTCACGGACCATGAGGACGAAAGGGTCGCGCTCACCGGGCGTGCCCTTGCCCTCCTGTCTGGGCGGCGCTTCCCACAGTGATGAAAGACGTCATTCTCGAAGAGAAGGTGGTATTGAACGCGCAAAGAAAAGCGACCCGACAAGTTTCAGAGCTCTACGCAGCAGCGGCTGGAATAGACAGGCTAGCAATCACGGAATACGAAGCGGCAGCAAACGCAGAAATAGAAACAGAGTTTGCCTTCCAAATCGTCAGCGTTTTCATTCTCCAACCTGGTTGCGAAGTAGCTTATTTGGAGAGCGATATCCCTCATGATACTTTGTAGGCCAACTAACCAGCGGATCGGATGTCTTTCGGTGCTCGCGGGAACTTTCTAGTGGCTTTCTACCAGTTCCGGCTGATGACCATTGGCCACTCATTTCCTCTTTCTTTGGATGCGTGATGTTGTGGCCAGGGCATCGCTGAATGGTCTTGTCACCTCCATGACCAGGACGCTACCATATAGGAAAGTACTTCAGCCGATGTACGGACTCGTTGAAGCTCAGTTCCGTAGCGCTAGAATTGACGATATCAACCTCGCGATATCCTAGGTTATGAATTGTTACCCATTTCAATAATCCCACAATAACCTTTCTCGAACCTAGTCGAAGCCAAGCTGTAATACACTCCCTTGCCCCTTAACTTCTTCTCGTTTCGTTGAGATTGCAACGTTTGCGTCTTCCATCAACTTATCCATGCCATCAAGGAACTTCTCGCTCCCCCGTAGGAAGTTTTCCAAGCTGGCGCTGATGAGAGCCTCATTGTAGTCCTCAATATACAGCGCACTCACGTCGATACCAAAATTTTCTAAAATCTTATCCCTCTCACGACGGCTCATTGTTTCCAGTGGCATCTGGTGCACCCTGGAGCAATAAATAGCCACGCTCGCCGCCTGCGCCGTGTTTATGATCTTTTTCAAATCTGTTAAGGTAACATCGACTGGCAAGTGTGTTAGCGAGTGTAATTGCTGACGCCTCAGTCCGCCGGGGGGGGGGGGGGGGGGGGGGGGGGGGGGGGAATATAATAGTTGATACTAACCGTCGTCGATCCTCCCCAACTTCCTAGACGTATCCATTCTCTTGTCAATGCCGCACTTCGCTAACAAAACAGAGCTGAGCGCCAGGAGTGCCACCGCTGCTGCAACCCACATGTTGCCACTCTCCAATCCGGCAGCAATGGCACCAGCACCTATGCTACCAGCAACTCCAACTCCCCCCATGACATCGCCAGTAAGTTGTTGGCGAGAGTAGACGACTTCCAATTCCGACCGAACCTTTTCTATACCAGCCTCTAGGGAAGATATCTCTAAGGCGGCCTGTCGAAGACAAATGACTGACAGATATATATCTTCATTACCAACCCCTAAATAGCCTCGTTAGAGCCGACTCGAAAAAGGGTTAAAAAAGAGAGAGAGAGGAGAAAACGAGGAGGAATGACTGAGATTACTTCAAAGCTAAAGGGAAGAGGTACCATACTGCTCAAAGATGTGTTTAGGTCGGAGTCTAGTACCGGAAACCTCATCTGGACTTGTCTCAATGCGCCCCGAAAGTTTCTATGGAACGGGAGCACCGGGTTCAATGTTGCGGCCGTCTTCTCTGCAATGACGGCATGATCTGGTTCAGGAAACTTTTTCTCGAGCTTTGGTGGAAGACAATCCATGTTAGTTATTACTTTTCAACCCTTAGCTCCAACCTTTTTTTTTTTCTGTTTTCTTTTTCCTTTACATACCAGCTGGATGATTTCTTTCGTAGCGTCAAGGGCTTCCAGAGGGCCCAACTCGAGCTCGAGGTGGGATACCACCTGCTTGAAAGTCTTCCCGGCGAAAAGATCCTTCGGGCTTTTCATTTTGTCCAGGCAAATAATGCTCACCATTGAGCTCAAGACTGATGCCACCTCTGAACCAGTCTGCAATCTAGATTCAAGAAGATCGACTATGAGCCCGTTCTCTAGCATGAAGCAGATTCCTGAGTGAAAAGGAAGCAAGATGCAAGAGCAAAGAGAAGTGGGGGACATGTAGCTGTAGAAGAGAACGAACAAAAGAAGCAAAAGAAATAGAGTATCTTACATGCGCTTCAATCCATCACAATCCCTCTTGATCCCCTCTGGCACAATGAACTCTTGGACTCTAATGGGAAGCTGATATAAGGGTTTGAGATGCTTGCAGTTGTTTTCAATTTTCTCCCTATGTCCCTCGGCCATGTTTGCCGGCATGTTGATTGGATGGATATCCATGATGTGCGGAACGGTGCCAATGTCGGCGAAAAACTGGTAGATGGACCAGGGAACTCTGGCGTAGAAAAGATCTCGAACATCCGCAATCAAGATGTCGTGCTTGTCGACCGCATCATACATTAAGGATTGGTGCTCAAATTCGACCTATGGAGGACAGAACGTATTAGTGGCTTCCATTCGCTTGATCTTTGTAAGTCGGCGGATCTCTTGTCGGCTGGCTGTGACGGGCGACCAGGAGAGGGATTGTTCTTTTTCTAGACGTTTTTGAAATGCCCACCTCGACAGGAACAAAGATGTCCCGGCCACTTGAATCATTATATTTCGGCTTGGGCGCTGGCCGTGCAACCCAGTCCTTGGGAACATCATCCCTTAACAGTTTTGCGAGCTGATCATTGAATTGGGGATGCCATCCTAGCTCATGAATGTGCCATACGCGTAGCCGAACCACAACAGGCGACACGTTGTTTCCGCGAGAATATGGGGGAGGAGGGAGGAAAGCCGGGGTGGGAGATGAGGAGAGAGATAAGGAGGGAGATGGAGAGTGTGGCTCAGTTTGTGAGGAGTTCCTGTGGAAAAGCCCTCTCAGGTGTCTCCCCTTCATGATTGTTTCAAGATGGGGGAGAGGAAGAGGAGAAAAAAAGAAAGAAAAGAAAAAGAAAAAAAAAAAGAGGGGGGGGGGGGGGGGGGCAGCGAAGAGAAGAAGAAAAAAGGTGAATTAAAGCACGATTTGGACCACGAGAAATGAAACTAGTAGATGTGGATAGCAGAGGCGTTGTAGGCACGATAATACCAAGCCAGCGTTTTGGGACTTCGGTGCGAGTGGGACACTATTTTCAAGCCGTGTCAGGTTCCGGGAAGGTGGAATTGTGAGATTTGGGAGATTTGGCCAGGCTCAATGAGACATGCTTGGGTATTATAGAATGCCCTTCTCATCCCAACCCGCCCTCCACTGCAAGAGCCTAGACCTGGTGTACGCAGCATTCGACCGAGAGTGTCAGAGCCTTGCAGAAAAGAAGTCGATTCTTCCATATCGATTGGACCTGACAGCGCAAATCTTAGACGCCCGCATGCACAGCCACCAAACATTGGGAATTGCACCGCCATCAATTTCAAATACGTGGTCGGCTAATGACTTGGAAAGGGGAATGGGGCCAATGATCTTCCCCCAGATTTCAATATCACACAGCCAAGGTGGTGTGCAGAGCGCAGAAATGTGGATGAACCTGCCAACCAAACAGCGGGACTCGTTAGACCAATATACTCGCCAGCTGCATACGTCGCATGCACCGCCCGCACATGTCTTTGGGTCGGAGACTCAGCAGCCTGAAACTGAAAACCCTCTCTGCAAAATACACGCCACGACTCCCTCCTCCTTCGCGGTCCCAAACCACCATCATATCCCAGCTTTCCTCGGCGCCGAGGGAAGGAGGGAAAAGGAGAAGAGAAAGAAAAGAAAAGAAGCAAGGGAAGGTAGAAATGGCCGATATCAACGGAGAACAATCACCTCTACTCGCCCCCAGCGGGCACCAATCCCATAGCCAGCCAGATCTCACCGCGTCCATCCAGTCCTCGAGTTCGCGAGATAGTCCCGCTGAACTCACCGAAGGCCACTCAGCCCCCGAGGTGCAAGAGCCAATAGAGCCTGGGGAGCTCTGGCATCATTACGAGGTTCACAGGCGGTCCGCAAATAATCACATAAATGAATACCTAAAATGGCGTGCCGAAGTACTTCGCAGCTCCGCCACCACACCGCAATCTCAAGGTAACCAGGCCCTCCCGAGCAGAGTACACAACGGAACCTCCCCTCTGACCTGGCACGTTTCCTTTTCACTCCGTTCTTTGTTTTAGTTTACTCCCCCCCCCCCCCCCCCCCCCAAAAAGAAAATTAAAAGGAAAAAAAAGGAAAAATTCTCCTAACTCAAGACATTTTTATAGAGTTATCTGCCCCGAACCAGGCGACCCCCTCCCGCGAAGCGTGGCGCCTAAAAGTCGCGAGAGACTTTTCCGTCAAAGACCTGCTTTTCATGGGCAGTGCCCTGGAAGCCATTCGCAAAACCCACAGGCCACCAACGGCCGCCACGTGCTGGTAACAATGAAGCATTCTCAATTTCGGCCCCCCTTTGATCTACGCACGATAAACTTACTAGGTACCAACAGGACCTTGCTCTGCGTCGGCGCTCTTTTCTTCCCCCCAACCAACCGGGCGACGGCCGTGATTTCCGCCCTCGGCGCCTGCATCGGATTCATCGGCCTGGGCCGTCACTATCTTCGCTCATTTGCGCTCGTCACTTGCCAGGCTAGGGTTAAGCATCTCACGGGATTGGTGAAGGTGGATCAGATTGATGAGAGCCACCGTGACTCTCTTAGCAGTTGGCCTTTCAAGTTGCTGGACACATACAGGATCAGGCGATGAATTGAAAAGCAATCCATGCTGAGGGAGAATCTCGAGTCTCGCCGGGCGGAGGCACGTTTACATATAGCTTAGAACTCTACATATTACTTTTATATTAACTCTTATACCCGTGGCACTATTGTTTCCGATTGATGCACCGATCCGACGTCTGTTGGTTGTTGTCAGAGCTTATGGCGGCCGCCCAGCAAGTTCTGGTCGACGACAATAATCCTGCTTCCTCTCAAATGTGAGACGGCGACCAGACCGCACTAGTTCCCATCAATACTTCGTATAACCCATCTAAAATAATATAAGACTGACGATTTAAATTCATATTAGTATATACCTTTCTACTTGCCTGGCCGGGTCGAGTTAGTTGGACGAACTAGTTGATCCTCTCACCACAAATGTGGGTTCGATCTCGAACGCCGGACCTTTTGCTGCGACATGATTAACTTTTCAACATCAGAAATCGATGCCCAGATCCCCCGGACCGCGTCAGTCTCTGGTGGCGACCTCCTAAATTCCGAGGTTCTGGATCTCCAGAGTAAACCGTGCACCTTCTCTTCATCTTGTATCTTCATGTTGCAAAAGTGGGACAAGGAAGCTCGGACTGACAATTGAATTGGCATCTCGATCCATGCATCATCCCCGGAGTGCTAGTCCGGGAGTTTTGAGTAATGGATTTAGGAACAGGAGAAAAGTGGCCAGGGGGCCATGGAGAATCTGGATTCTGGAGACCGCTCGGGCTTCAGCTCATCCAAGACTTCATCGCAACAAGCAGGTCCAAGGCAGATATGGGGTGGTGGTCGGCTCAAGAAGATCTCGACGAGCCTTTCGCTATACACCTGGTGTCGATGTTTTGCATAAGATATGTCGCGGAATGGATGGCACAAGGCGTGCAGTCGTGCCTTGTGCTGTGACATGCCAGGGACAGCGCCTGAAGTTTGATCAAGTCATCTGTCGCCACATCAGTATATTAGCCGCACTGAATGCCTATTATTATAGACAACGGCCGCTTTCTTCATGCCGAGATCGATGTCCGCGGCGACTGAAAGTGGGGCGGCCAAGTAACGCCAATGCTTCAGGATCATATCTTAAACGAAAAGGGTGATGTAGAGAAAAGGAAGACAGAAACACACACAGAGAGAGAGAATACGAATTCACGATGCTAATTTGAAGCAGGGAGGCCTATGAATACGCTCTGCTTAGCTCGGAATGTTACAGCTGTCCTGCCATCTCGTGTCCCTATACGATCCCGCGTGACTTGGACAATGGCCTCAGCCAAGATGCGGAACCAGCCACCTTCGAACGGGCGATAGCGCTCGCGATTTTGGACCACCCACTTCTGGTAGCCAGAATGAGAGCAGCAGGCTCGAAGGAGCCGTGTTGAATAATGTTAAATCAGATCGATCTGAGTCGCCATGTCCTATGGCATGAGTATAGCCCGTGTATCGGAAGGGATCGATTCATTCGTTCCTGAGATCACACCATCGCAGCATGGTAATAGATTCTTTGGCGACTTAGAAGTTCACCCGGGGTGGATTATCTACATTGTAAAGCCCGAGGTTCCAGACTTCATCGACCTCGTGTTTGAATACGTTCACAGCGTCGCGGAACGGAATGAGCAGAAAGAGCTTCCATCAGACACTGGCCCAGAAGTTCAACATGGACTCGTTCTTGCAGGCGCATCTTCTCCTCAAAGAGCATATTCTGATCGTCCAGATATCGCCTCATTCCCGCCGAAGAGCTGATGGATCTGACTCCAACCCCAAATTACACAGCGTTAGCCACTTGACGGGGCTAGCGCATGCCCTGTGGCTGGGGTCCTCGGCGAGCAGACTTGACAAGGATGCGGCACCGGCGTTCAGAACTCGTACCCCTATTGAGTTTCGACGCTCTATATACAACACGCTGCGGCAGACAGAACCGGAACGGAGCCGAACAGCAGCATCAACAATGTCGTGTCGTTTTATGAGCACAGCTGCAAACGTGAGATGGTGGCTCGGATCCGCCACAGGATCCGGACCGGCGAGCCTGCTACAGCGGAACTGGAGAGCCTGGTATAGGCGGCAGCGGGGCGCTTCCGACAGGAGCTCGTGGACAAGCTCAAGAGGGGGGCCAGTAACAACTATCGGGCGCTTGCGAAATTCATGGAGGACCCGCTCAAGCCGATCCTGGAGGAAGCCAGGAAACCAAACCATGCGAGGTCTCCTAGGAGGTCAGCAACCTCAGCGCGTAGAATACGACTTAGATTCGTAGTTATACAACCCGTGGAAGTCGGGCAAGATCATGTACGTCATAGGCGCGATCAATGATTAGAAAAGTGCTGACGTATTTGATATATAGTCCTCCTTTGCCTATCCGGGCCGTGGCTGGTAGATCTCGTTCGGCGAAGAGAAAAGGGGACCTATTTAGGATGTCATGAAGGGAACAACATGCTGCGGCCAGAAACGTAGCCTCCTCCCACGTGGTAAGTTCTCCACGCAACAGCGTTCAGTACAGGAAACTGAGATACCATAGTTAAACTCGATGGAGTCGATATCGACGGAGCTTGAATCACTGACATACTCACAGACACGGTCACAGACCATGAGGATGAATATGCAGTGTTCAGAAACGAGCATGATTAAGAAGAGGAGGACTGGATGTAGTAGCATTCGAAGACGAATATGTGTGCGAGATTTTGGTTGGTGTGAGGGGCCGCTTTCTAGGCACGTTGTCTCTAGGCTCAGCTTCGGCTTAGCCTTGCATCAGTACTCATCAGTCCTGCTCAGCTTCTCTGCTCACCCCTTTAGCTGAGCAGACCATCCCCTAACCCTGCTAGGCCGAATTCTAGGTTTTTTGATTGTCCTTTAATAGTTCATGTCTGCGTACATGCACATATTATCGAAGCCTTAATGGAGAGATCAACTTTAGAGCCTTCTATGTTGAGATTAATAGGGTCCTAAATCTTAGGCCAGAGGATACTTTTAATATTTTATGCTCTCTGTCACGGGCCGACCTTATGAAGGCCCAGGTGATCGATAATGATTATTCTCTTTTCTTTCTGATCGCTTTCTGTGTCTGGCGCGCAGGTGGCTGCATCTGCACGCTGTCCTTCCTTTTCCCTAGGTCTATATAATGTCGGCCCGTCACAGAGTGAAGAGAGGCCGATTATATAGTACTAAGGGTCTGTAATGTGTACTTACATGTAGATGGTAGGGGTTACTTGAACTGACTACTGAAGTGTCTTGAAAGACAAACTAGATATATGCGGTAAAGACTGTAGTTTTTATTGACGTCCTGATCATTCTCTTGTCGTAGATCACGACAGCTCGTAGCGATCCATCGTGGCTAGATCACCGTGGATTGTCGTGATTCAGAGTGATCACTCCCTCCGTACTAATAGTGTTCCCCCTCCTTTGGCGGCAGTACCCACTCTGCCGCGCCCGACCGCCTGCCCAGGTTGGCCGACTAGTGTCATAACATTAGGGGCCACTGCCACTGATAAAGATGACTGGCTCGGGGAAGCCGTCAAAGGTGAGCTCGTACTCGAAGGAGGATTCGATGCTAGTTACTTCCGACCTCCAGTTCGCGTTCGGGCAGGCAAATTCGCTAGTCTGAGCTGCGTCGGTTTCCTGCACTGGGACGATAAGCTGGCCGTTCTTCGTCGGCGTGATTGATGCCTCGCTCGTCTCCTCCTCGGTCTGCGAGTGAGGTTCGACAATGTTATCGTTCCCCGGGTTGTGACAGACGCCGTTGATGGTGATCATAGCTGTAAGTTCCACAACGCGTTGGTGTGGCCCACCCCTCCGATCTGGGTGCCTGTACAGCTAACACCGCCGTCTGCCCCTACGGTACAGGTTGGTTCGGCGGAACCTTTAGCGTAATGCGCGCCGCTGGGGCCGTTCTCGAAGATGGTCTCCGCTTGGGCTGTTTTAGTGAACAGCAGGGCAAATCCCAAGATCATGCTTCATCTTCATGGTCGATCTCTTCTTGTGTGGCGTGATATGGGTGGCTCTTGGTGTGCACCCGAATACTTTGGGTAAGGTAGGAGGCTGTATGTGAATAATTATAAATGTTGTTAACTTGACAGGATAGCGAAACGAGCGAGAGCAGCCAGGCCATTTTATATTCACGTATGGCCGAACCGCGTCCGGCATAGAGTTCAGCTTCGTATATGAGAGGCGTCATCCCATCCAGCCGTAGTGCACATGCGAAATAGTCATGTTATCTTGCGGGGGGATAAAAAATCGACATGTTCCGGAACAGCCCCTAATCATCTCCGTTTTCAACATGTTAAAACTGCCATATTTTAGAATACGAGGCAAGAGTTCATCTCGGAATGAGAGAGGCGTCACACCCTCTAGCCAACGGCTTAACCATCACACGTCCTGGATGTAAATCGTCGTCTACCCCTGCCTAATAGGGTAGCTCACATGTGAAACTGCTATATTTCGGGGTCCTCTTACACCTGTCGTATGTAACGTGTTGGATTCTTGGCGTCGCAGCAAGCCTCAGCTTGCCACTGGCTTCTTCAAAACAGGCACAATTGGTATGTCCAAAACATAATCATCCCCGAAAAGTCAAGAGGGGTATCTGTCGGTGACAATTTGGGGATTTGCTATTGGTTTGTCATATTAGGAAAAGTAGCCATCTAAACATTAATCCGGAAAGCATAAACTGCTAGCTTGCTCTATGTGGCTGGCCTTATGACGATGCTAAGGTAGGAATGCTGCATCATCTAGGAACTGCATGGCCGGAAATGCAAGTGGCTGCGTTAAGGGGATGGTTTTTCGCACTGGGGCTGCTGAGCTTGCAGGAGTTTGTTTAGACTGTTGGCAGCGTGCAGGGTGTGTGCCAATGAGTGTCCTCAACCCTATCTAGAAAGTATGTTTTAACTACATCGACTTCCAGGGCCTATATGTTTCAAGGCGTAACAGTCAACGAGTTTAGACCTCGAGAATACCACTGCGGAGACACCTAAAGGGTAACAGTGTATACACTAAACTGACTTAAACTCCGAGGGGAATGCTCGAGGGGGCTCGCCCGACAGATGTGTTTAACCCCCTTGCAAAGCGGAGCTCTGCTTAATGAGCCAACAGGCTACAGGCTAGAAGGAGCTAAGGGCACATCCAAAGTCCAACCTCCGATGAGGGACATGCCAACGTAGTCTCCATTGCTTCACAACATTAGACGACCAGTGCACATGTACGAGGTAAGACTCGGCCGCTCTTGACTCTTGTACGTGAAATACCCCCTCATCGTTCGTCTTCGTTCGCATCTCATGTGAAGACGTTCTAGCGTCGCCACTTCAGATGGGTGAATTCATGTACATGGGATGTGGTGTCTGTACTACCGATAGCCTGGCTAGCCTCTGTCAAACCAGGCGGGTCAGATCGGCCAGAATACGAAGTGTACCTAATACGTTCATTGACATCAATTGTGCCACCCTAGTAGTATCTCCTAGTACCGCGGGCGTCGGTCACGGTTCGAAACGTGCGGGCATCGTACGGTGATTGGTAGGTCGATTTGTTGAAGACAGAACCCGATATGGCTGTGCGAAGCTTTAGTGATGTGACGCCGCGGTGCGGTGGTGAACATGCCAGGCCATGCTGGTAAGTCCATCTCTTGCTGGCTACACAGGTAAAGAGGCCACCGTTCAGGCCCACCAATGCACAGGCCCCGTTTGCCATGGGATCATGAACCGACAGCATCGCCGTTCTGTTTGCCAGTTCAATGACCCGATAGAAATAATGGTCCAATAGAAGCCTCCCGGGAGGTGCGATTGTAAACTGCAGATGTTGGTGGTGCACTGTCCCTCCGTGGCTTATGCGGGCCTCCGCTTTAGAACATGGAAGTGTTTGTCTTCTTTCCGCACATTTGCGTGTGGAACCTCCCATCTCGCGAGCCACCGTATCTACGCCGGAGTAGCATGAGGCGCACCACCCATGATGTATGCCAGCCCACATGAGCCTGCACTCCTCTCCCAACTCTATCTAATTCCGTCGTGGTCGCTCATTTTTACCCAGGTGCAAATGGACATTGGCAGTGCTTTGGCCAACTCTGGATCCGGGATGGCCTGCATAATGTGGACCCATGCCAACTTCATCCCTACCAGGTCCGAGAATGACGGAAATCCGGCAGAGCCGGACCCACCCCCTAGCCAAGAAGCTGGTGATGTAGATTATAGTTGCGAGTGCCGTCTGAAAAGAATGGCATCTGGGGTTTTATGTAGCAACTTGTGAGGGTTACAAGAGTAACTATTTGGTGGTTCACCAACCTCCATGAGTTTCCCGACGCATGTACCCGCTGCAGGTTTGGTGGAGACCCATGGTAGCCGGGCGTGATATAGCCAAACCAACTGAGGACGGCTTCACAAGTGCAGGACGTGTGATCCACGAACCAACTACGGACCAGAATCGAGGGCACCGGGGACGAGTAGTGCTTCTTGTCAGGAGCGCTCGAGAGTGCGAGAGAGTGCTTCTGCCAGCTTCTCTACGCTCAAGGAGACTATAAATTGGTCTGAACTTCTGGGAATCAGCTGGTTAAGCTCCCAATAATAATTTCTAAACCCCCTAAATCATCCCTTTGAATAATCTCTTTAAATTATATAAACACCACCCGAAATTCATTTCAATACCAGTCTTACCATGGCTCTCGACTCTATCTGGCGTGGCCCACGACAAGGGCCTGGTCCCGGATTCATGTCGCCAGATGTGAAGTCATGCCCAGGCTACTGGATCCTATGCCCTTCATGCAGGAAGGATGTCAAGAAGGGAAACACATGCTGCGGCGAGAAACGTAGCCCCCTCCTAAGCAGTAAGTCCTCCGCACAAGAGCGATTAGTATAGGGAACTAAGATACCGTAGTTGAACCCGATGGAGTTGATATCGATGGAGCTAGAAATACGGACACGGTCACAGACCACGAGGATGAATATGCAAGGTTCAGAAACGAGCATGATTAAGGAGAGGAGGATCAGATGTGGTGGCATCTGACGTCTCTTACCTGCGCTAGAGTAGCTATGTTGACGCTAGTTCTAAATGACAACCCTCAGCTTTGAAAAGAGAGCTGGATCACATCCATGTCATGATGATCTCTAAGCCACCTTAGGGCCGTCAGCCATCTGCCATTAACTTCCTCCTGTCCCATTTTGACGTAAGTTAATGATCGGAAGGCTGTAGCCTCTTTCGAGGAGAATCCAGTTTGAGTAAAGAGGAATCTCGGCCATTTCGTGTCTTCGCCAATGTTCTGCTCGCATCCAACGTCCTCGACAACTCTTGTAAACCGTCTCCCAAGCAATAGCCGCCTAATCACGGCAGGATGGTTGTCCACAACGCCTGGGATCGGGCATGCGACACCCATTAAAAATGGCATGCGATACAAGGCCGCATCGGGCACTGCAATGACAGAGTCCCAGTCAATAACCGCCAGGATATTGAATTCACGGTCGACGAGGATGTTGTTGGCGTTTAGATCGTAGTTCGCAAGCCCGAAAGTTTCGGTGTGATGACCTTCAGCCTCGTTGTTTCGAAAGGACGCAGAGAGGGTCCGAAAAGCTGCGAGTACCTCATCTTGGCCATCCGCTTGCTCGCCCTCAGCCCTGAGCTTGTTGCCCAATGCCAGTGGGTAGTGAGTGTAGAACTCAGCCGCCGATTCGTACGGCCCGGAGTTGGTTTCAACTAGCGGCCCTACCACATACTTTGTCGGGTCGGCTTCGTCTCGCGTGATGGATCCGATCTTGGGCATCCGGACTGATGCGAGCTGAATCATGACTTCGGCAAACTGCCGCCAGAATTTCTCTTCGAACTGTTCGGGAATGCCCTCATGGCCGCCAGGAAAGCTTCGCGCCACCTCTTCCGCAGTATTTCCATGGACGTATCCCAAGAACGAAAAGGGGCATCCGACGGTATTTTGATCGTTAAGATCATAACCGTAGACCTTCGGGATCGGGATGTTTGTATTTTGGCTGCGATGGTCAGCATTTGGATGGCATTACCGGATGTCCATGTAGATACTAACCGAACAAACTCCATCGTAGCGAGTTCCGATTGCATTTCCGAAACAATACTCTGCCCATATTCCATTTTCGGGGCGGTGTGAGGAGTTGTTTCTCCCACTCCTTCGATTAGTGGAGGCATCCGCAATCGAGCAACCCATTTCACGCCATCATCGAACTGAATCAGGCGCACAAGGTTGAAATTTCCCACGGAGAATTTCTGAGAAACTGTACAAGGGCGGCATTCTCGGAGCTTCGATGCATGGGCCTGAAGAGCTTCGAGATTGACGGCTTGGAGAAATCGAGTGATGCGTGCTGCGTGGTCGCCGCCATACTCTTCCCCTCCTGTCCAGGCGGCGCTTCCAACCTCGGTGGCAGTAGTCATTCTTGGAGACGGCGTGGAAAATGAACTTGCAAAAGAAAGTGACAAGTTTCAGAACTCGCCTGGGGGAGGGAGGAGGGGGATGAAATGGACTGGCTGACAACCACCGAATATTTATCGGCAGAGGATGTAGAAGCCAGGGAAGATTGGAGTGGAAACTCATTTACTGAATAAGCTGATCAGAATGAGAAGGGTTGGTGTGATCTGGGTGTAGCACAAGCTGTGTAACAGCCCTGCCCTGGGCAACGGAAATACTGGAATTGGCAGACAGGTTCTATTCATGCCGGAACAGTGAAATTTAAGTCTTACTACACGTATAATATTTAAGTCTTACTACACGTATAATAAATACACATTTCTATAACATAAAAAACGTGAATAAGAACTTCAATAAATCTTATTTGTATAGAAACGTGGCATTTATATCGTCAGCTTTTGGGCATCAAAAACTGATGTCCAATTCTGCCTGGCCGTGTCGGTCTCTCGTGACGACCTCCTAAGCCCCGAGATTCTGGATCTCCAGAAACTTCTTGATCTAGAACTCGACTCTAAAGGCTCCAAATGTCTATATTCCAGAATGCATCCTGATCCAAAGAGTCCCGGGAGCTGCCCTCGACTGGGCTAGGCTCCTGGACTCTAGATGGCATCTCTTCGACCGTGGTCCATGAAACTGTGGCAGAGGGGTCTACCATGAAATTGCCTACATCGTCTTGATGGGATAGAGAGTATTCTCTCCGCTCCGACGACTGGATAAAAATGGGAACGAGAGATGGAGTAGAACTGGGACCAAGAAGGCAGTCGTATGAGGGGGCATACCCGCATGTTGCCGGAGAAAAGGGTGCCAATTCCGGCTCCCGGATCATCATTCCGGCTTGCCTTACACTGGAGGCCTCGGCAATCAACCGGGCTAGAACCTCGATGTTGTCGGGTGAGCTTTTATCGTTCCGCATCTGACGGGCAAACGCAGCCTCGGCCACGTCCCAGGCACGGCTCACCAGCCCGCAACACTCCGAGTACACGCATAGTTTCTCCAAGAGGAAGGACAACGGCAAGAACTGCGTGTATCCTGCGAGAAGCCACGACCACTGCTTGGCAGCTGGCTCTTCTCCAATACGCGTGGGAGTATCGACGATGTGCATGGCAGCCAGGAAGAGGGTGTCTTGCTCGGGACGTTGCTTCTGGTCCTGTGCCACACTGCCTTGTTCCAGCATCTGTCGATACAGTTTGAATCGCTTCTCCATTAGAAGGACAAAAGAAACATGGCGTGCAAGCCAATGAATAGGTTGTGACCCGTCGCAAAATCGGAGGTAGCGATGTTGGATTCTTCTCTCGCAGCCGTCTATCAGGCGCTTTTGTTCATCTGGTGGGACAAGGGTCGCCCGTTCTTTTCGCGTGACGTCGGCTATTTCGAAACGAATCAGCGAGAAACTGGTCTCGGACCATCCGTTATAATGACAAGGCGCGCACTCCATGGAAGGGTTTATATGAATATCCCGGGCGTTTGTGGGCAGTAGTGTCTGGACGTCGACGATTCCGCTCGGCACAACGGGGTTCGAACAATCCTCGGCAGCTCTGTGGTCTAGGTACCAAAGCTCCCAGCGCAGGCGTTGTCGGATTTCCGTATCGAATGGAGAGCAGCCGCCCATGGGTTGTGGCGCGTCTTTGAGATGTACCGCTAATCCGGCCAGAACCCAAGCGCGACGGGAGGCATCAGTATACCGGACAAGAGACATAAAGAGGACGAAGGCTTGGAGGGTTGGGAGATCGTCCGTTGCCGTGAGATTGGCTCTCATGAGAGCCTGCTCGGCCGCCTCCTTGTACGAGGTCATGGCGGTGGACTTGCAAACTTTGAAGCATGCTTCGACATCCGCATCGGACATGACGGAGAGAGAAGAGAAGTAGATGGTGAAGAGGATGGCTGTTTCAGCATAGTCTAGAGATGTTGGGGCTTGGCCTGCTTTGTGGAGTATCTCTTCCGTGCTCGGTTTGTGCAAGACCTTGACTAAAGGATCAATGTTGTCTTGGAAGATTTGCCAAGGAAATCGCACCTGGCTTGGTGGCGGGTGGAATGCAGCCACGTCAAGGCTGAAAGTTTCGAACGGGAACCGTCGAGGTGAGGTGGTGGTTATGGTTGTGGCCTGGGGCCGACGATCGACGTGGTTGGCAGATGTAGGGCTCAGATTTTGTACGACGGTTCCCGGGCCCATGTCAATGTTTCCCCCGTGCCGAAGCCCGCGGACTTTATCCAGACCGGCTTTCGCGGTCTCCAGGCTACAGGCAGCCTCAGCAACCTGTTGGGCGAGTTGGTCCGATTGCGCAGGTGGAAAGTCGGGAGACCGGCATTTCTCAATGACATCGCCCAACACCTTGACAGTCCGCTCCAAGCACAAAGTGATGTCGGTCAGCGTGGTCGCGCCTGTCGCAGCGATGACGCAAGCTCCTGCATCCTCTTCCACGGCGTCTTTCCTAGGCCGGCGGCATTTCCTGACCGCCGAAGGGTAGGCGCATTCCAGCTGCCATCGCCTGCAATTGCCACAGGGCATACTCCGGTCGCATTTAACCTTTCGCGTTCTGCATGGTATGCAGGCTTTTGGTTTCAGCACGGGGCGAGCGGTCCGGATATTGGCGGGGACGCCTGACGGCCTCAGAGGCAACATGTTAGCCCTGTGAGTAGACATTGGCAAAGATTCAGGGCAACGTTCCGGGGAAAGGTTTGTTGCGCCCATGAGCCCGATTGATTGACGGGATTCTCGGTTGTCTATCTACTATCTAGTAATCGCTTATGTGGTGGAATGGATGACCCGAGTCGCCATCGGGCCAACGTTTCGCCCGGTGCCACCACCGCAAATCTGGCAGATCTCGCAAATCTCGGGGTTTTGCTCATCTCGGCCCTCTGATTGGAGGCAGCGATTGAGCACGTCAAGGATTCAAACTCCCCGAATTATTATTCCGAACAAAACTACCTTCGTCGCATTCCACGGAAGGGGCGGCGGGAGATTTCCCATCCGACCACTTTCAACCAAGGAAAATATGACCTCATTCATCGAAACACGGCTGTATTCATAGAGGGAGTAATGACGAATGATGAAAGGTGTAGTTTATACATATATATGTAAGATCTTTGCGGGCTCTTCCCCATCAGAAACCACATTTACAATTTTGCGTCGTGAGCACTGCCGCGCCTTTAAGACTCAATAAATTTCGAGTAATTATCCGTCACTAAGCACAGTTTGAAATTCGTACAAGACATGATCATGTCTATACAATCGCTCGGAAACCCAAATATCATTTATGAGGACCTTCCCAAGGTGCCTTCGTTGGCGAAAGCTCACGGCTCTCTCATGGGCCTCGCATTTGTCGTCATTTTCCCCATCGGCGCCGTCTTGATCCGCGTGGTCAGAACGAAGAATGCTATTTGGATCCATACCACCTGCCAGTTCGTTGGATGGGTTCTCATGATCGGCGGACTCGCCTGTGGGATCAAAATGGGAAAGATACTGGACCGAGTAAGTCTATTCTGGCACCTATGCGTATTTCAACGTTATCCCATCAACTCATGCCCGATCGTTGTACTGACAAACCGCCATGATGCCCTAGTTGCACAACAACACGCATACTATCCTTGGTACGGTGGTCGTCGCTCTCATGCTTCTCCAACCCTTTCTCGGATATATCCATCATCGCCGATACCTTTCAACTCAGAAAAGGACAGTCTGGACCCACTTCCACGTGTGGTACGGGCGTGTGCTCATCCTTCTGGGCATCGTCAATGGGGGACTTGGCCTGAAGCTATCTAGTGACTCGCCTGCGTACAGCAGGGCCGGCACCATTGGCTATTCTGTATTGGCTGGTATCATGGGTGCTGTCGTAATTGGTCTGGTTATATTGGGCGGAGTGAAGACAGTGCGACAGAAGAAGAGTGATGGTTAGTCACGGCGAAGAATGAACATGCGTGGAAAGCAGATTAACCATTCACGGTCATTGGATTGTAGTCGGCTGGATGTAGACTAGTTCTCTGTGGGCATTCTACAATTTGAAGTATGAGGCGGGATCACTGATGTCCGGGCGGCATACCTCAGCCTAGATATAAGTGCGTAGAGTTAGCGAGGAAGGTCCGGAGGTATCACAGGTGCTGTCGGAGGAGATACTATGTTTGGGACGGTATTTGATTTATGACGTCAGTGCAATCAACAGACTCAGATCAGCCCCAGTACCGTCGATCAGTGGCTCAGGTATCTATAGCTTAGTGGGTTTGGAAGAGATTCGCCAGTATAGGGTTAGGGGTTATAGAAAGCTAACAACAAGACCAGGAACCGACATCCTTGAGATGATGCTTCTGGCGGACGCTATTTGCATTGGTCCTGTGAGTCGGACTGTCCAGATGTACTCCCACGAACCTTGCTAACATAAGCCCGTCTGCCTGGTAGGACAACGTGACCAGTGGTCTCGTCGTCTATCCCAAGCGCATCGCAGCTCACGTTCAGACTGAACTACCCTTCATGCTGACGGTACAACAAGCCTCTCATCACCCCCCAACCCCGAAACTTCAGCTGATATATGGCGTTGTAGGAGTCTATCTTGATGAAGCTTTGAGCTTAAGGAGTATCAAGGCAAGAGGCACACGAGTAATTCCGCGTGCTTTCACACGAAGCAGGAAAAGTTGTGAAAGATGAGGTGAGCCAAAACCCTGGCCAGCTTCCCCCTCCATGTATAATGTTGCCTCTTACCCGGAGACCGGTTGACTGACGGACTGTCGCAGGGTAAACTAAATGACCTGGTATCTCGGATCAAGCGCAACCAATTTTTCGAGCCCATCTGGGATGACCTCGATGGCATGCTCAACGCAGAGCTCTACACGGACCGTAGCGCGGAGATTGTCGATAAGTAATGTGGACCCGGAGGTCCTGTTGAGACGGCATTGGCGCCCTATGCAGAGTATATTAAGGGCGCCACCACTGTGGAGCTCAATGTCTAGTTGAAGCCGATACAGGGAGGAGACTGAGATAACTTTATGAATTGGGGAGCCGGCAGATGGATGGTTGTGCATCTTGAAGAGGATCCCAGGTCAAGTGTTAGATAAACTGGAAAAGCAATAAAAGTGATTATCATCTAGGGTGCTAACTCGTTACAACAACCTGGTCCCAGAAACACTCTCCGGCGACAGCGGTTCTCTAATACCTAGAGAAGGTGTTACGAAAAGACGTGTTTTCAGCCTGCATATAGCTAGAAATGCTTACACACAGTGCCACACCGAACAGTATCAGTCCCGTCTCTTGTGCTCGAGGGTTTCCTCAACAAATCGCTGGAGAGGCGGCATATCATTATAGGTAGCCGTGGCCTTCTTCATGATGGAGTCAGGGAGGTGGACGTTGAGCTGCCCGAGTCCCTGCCTGATGGCATCGGAGGCTCTCTCCCGCTCTGCATTCGGGGGTTGACTGCTACCAGAGGGGGGATGCCCTGGGTTGAGTGGCTGTGTTGGCCCTTGGAGAGGGTATGAATTGCTAGCAGGAAGAGAACCGCCATTACGCGTCGGAATCCCGGTTATCGAGGCCGCCATGGTGGGTTGTTCGCGGTTCGAGGACTAAAGTGTGGTTGGTCGTCGCGGAGCGTTGGGTAGTCTGGTCTAAGGCTGGTGTTAGTAAATGGAAGTATGGGTTGGACGACAACATAAGAGCACTGTTGTTGTTTGTATCAAGCCTCACTCTGGAGCCGGGAAACTGTAAAGTGGGAATGAACCGAGGGATACATACAGCATATGATGCTCTATCTGCTGATAGAGCAAACTGGTATCTATATGTATGTGTTTGCTGCCGGGGGAGGGGAAGGGGCCAAAGGAGAGAAGTAACTTGGCCAGCTTTTGGGGCTAAAATTGAAAACACTAATAATGTCTAGATACTTCCCATCTGAAATTGCAAGAGACAGATGAGTAGGAAATATTGCAGAAAATTCCATGCTGGCTGGCAGTGTGGGCGAAATTCCTCTTATGTGTGCCCCTTCGTAAACCCGGGGATAATTCATGGGTTTGATATTTGAGAGATCGTTTCGTGTCAAGGTGAACTTTGCTGGATTTTCTATGAGACTTGTTTTACGAGAGTGCAAGTCTGCTTTGCCTGCAATTTTGCACTCTTGCACCTTTCCACCATGGTGAATCGAGCGCTGCGTCGTCTTCATTGGTGTGTTCGTAACTTTAGCGTTGGGTGGCAGATGCTGATTGGAGCAGCATGACAGAAAAGAAGGCGGCCGACCGGTTCCATGCTGTCGCCGTGGACGCCACAGTTCCGGCCTCCGCAAACCGATCGTTCTCCGTCTTCTCTCTTTCTCACCTACCAGCCCTCCCTTTCTTCCCTTTTATTTTTCTCTCTCTCTTCTCTTCCATTTTTTAGAAAAAAAAAATACGTTTTAGTATTGAGCTTAACATTACTGTTTTACTTCCTTTGCTACGTTGCGTTTGCGGTTGCCTTTGCGAGGGTGTTTAAGCCAAGGAAGAGTAGGCAAGCTAGGATCGGAATGGCGAAAGATTGGTCGAGTCTCCAAGAGGAGATACGGCAGCTCTACTGCGTCGAGAGGAAACCGCTCCGCGAGGTCATGCGTATCATCAAGGGGAGGCATGGGTTCCAGGCGAGGTAAGTCGGGCTTTCCTTGCGTCGATCCAGCACTGAAAACTTACAATTGCATGCGGCTCCGAAGCTTGCGATCGTACCGAACACAGATCCAGAAATGGGGGTACACAAAATACAGCTCTCAGAGCCACCGCGGTCTGCCCGGTCACACCCAGAACATCCTGCCCGAGAATCAGCCCCACCGTAGAGGCGACGGCGGACATTTGGCCGTCGAAGGCACACAAACCAAAGACGACTTGGTGTGAGTATTAGCCGAACGCTGGATTCAACGTCTGTTAGGTCTTTTCGTTAACACACAATTATAGAGCCCCAGTTCCGACCGTTGGCTCCCGCGATGTGGGTTATTATGTTCCCTTCGAACAAAGCCAAGACGGGAGTAATAATTATTACGACATTCACGCTTCCTGGTCCACCGAGCCGATCCCGACATATTATCCGACTTACTCGAGTGCCCCCGACCCTCGCCCAGAAGGCGAAATACATTCGGGGCTGTTCCAAGCTGTGCGACGAGGGGACCTCGATGCAACAAAGCGTCACCTGCAAAGCAGAGTCCCTGTAAACAACCTCGACCGGCTTGGATACAGCCTCCTATACTACGCTGTTCGTGAATCGATGGCCGAGATCACGATAGAACTGATCCGTTTCGGGGCTGATGTCCATTTCAAAGAATTCATAGGCCGCCCGCTGCTTCATGTCGCTGTTGCAGGGCTGCATCTCAATTCGGCCTCCGATGACGGGACCAAAAAGATTCTTGATGCCCTTCTTCTCGGAGGTGCTGACTCCTCTGTTCCGGACGTGGATGGAAACACCCCTCTCCACATTGTCATGTATGTTATATCTAGCCGCAATAATGACCGCTGGCCAGAGAAAGTCCCCGGCGCGATAGACGCACTCCTTGACCATTCAACGGATTTGAATCGGGCTAATATTGACGGGCTCACGCCGTTTGACATTCTTATGAACCAGCGGAGATACAATCACGACACGTTTCGTTACTTGGATAGGTTCTTCACTGCCGCCAGACATGCAGTGAAGCTGACAACCTGCCAAAAGCAAAGTTTTGCCAAATTCCTGAAGAAGGCGTCCGAGAACACCTGCTGGTACGGGAAAAGTGACTACTACTGTGAAAGTGTTGTCTGTCATTTCATCAGACAAGGGGCTGACCCACACACAACTTTGCCGTCGGGAGAGACGTTGAGCCGGCGCTTTCTCAGAGAGGCTGATCGGAATTGCGGTATAGTCGCAGCGGAGCTCTGCAAGGTCTTGGATCCTCGTGTGTCTTGGGAGGATGGAAATACAATCGTACACGAACTTTGCAGCCCAAATGATGGCAGGCCGGTTGGACGAAGTCGGATTGTATCGTCGATGAAGAAAGCATTGGAGGCCGGGGCCTCACCCAACGCTAGAAACAAGCGTGGCGAGACACCGCTCTTGTTAATTTTTTTGGCCAAGGACCGCGCCAAGGAATTTATCCATGCAGTAGACCTACTGCTGGAATCAGGAGCGGACCCGTTTCTCCAGGACACGTCGGGCAACTGCCCTCTTGTATTGGCCGGCAAGGTGAAGTCTGTCCCCGATTTTACCCGCTGGCTGAGACTTGACCTGCAGAGACGGGATGAAAGAGCAAGAGACGGGAAGCAACTCGAGAACAGCGAGGCTAGCGGACCCGGTGGTCGATTTTACTGGAAAGAGTGGGAGCTGGCCGTGAAGGCGGAGGACTGGTCTGTTGCTAGGAAAGTCGCATTTTATGACGCGGAAGGAGGCTCATATGATATATGCCACGAATTAAAAAGGGACGCTCTTATCGTGCTGGCCGAGAGATTTGTGGAGAGGCTCGGTGTGACGGACGAGGGTGTTTCACCTGGGGCGAAGGAGGTGCGAAGAAAGACGCTTGCTACCATCTTACGTGACTGTCGAGAAAAGAACTGTCAACTTCCTGACGCTTGGGTGGACAAGTTGCTTGAACTCTGTTAAACAGCCAACATCGTCGAAGATATTGGGGTTATCACAAATATCATATAATTACTAACACGCCCCTGCTTCAGCGTGGGTGTTGTTTGTAGCCATGACGCTATCTAATACCGAATCAACATTGGGATAATGAGCGTCTTGGAAAGTGCAAAGTGCCTCTTCGTCCACTCTAAAAATGCTTCCTCTAAAGAGAGATCAAATCCTACCTCTAGCATCTCCAATTCTTCATCGTCGTCTCCGACTTGGTTCGCCTTGGCTCCTGTCCAAATCCCATGAAGACATCTCAGAAGGGTGGAGGCATTTCGCGATTTTATTAGAACTAAGCCGAAAATGTCCAGAGGGGACCATTTCAACTTCGCATAATAGCTGACGCTGGGAGGGCCGATTTTCACTTTCCGCCTTTGGATGCCCCATTATCAAAAACCTGCCCCTAGTATCTAACGTTGACCCTCAAAATAGTCCTAGTACTAAAGGTTAAACTTATGTCGCTTTACCATACGTATAGTGCATAATGGGATGTGGATGACCGCCTCTCCACTTAAGTTGTTCGCGGCAGTTTCGTTCTCGCGAGAGCACCATGGAGTCAATAGTCATCTAGGTCTACAACTATGTAAGGGTGTCACACCCCCAGTTCGGTACAGTATTAGCGCTGACGATGGCCAAGCGCATCGGACATCATCGAGATATCGTCTTTAAACTCCGACTTGCCTCCGGAGGTGGTGAGAGTCTTTCCAGAAGACTCCAGAAGAGCTCACTCACACCAATCGTCATGTTGCCACGGTGCTGGCTGCTCAAAAAGGATACTTCTTAGGAATTGACGCAATTTTGGACTATTGTCCTTGGATCCTTTGGTTTTCTCAGGACCTGAGATGGTGAGAACCCCGAAACGTTTGGTGTCGTCCTCACGTCTCACTATAAGAACTAATATTTGGCCACCGTGTCTATAACCAAGGCTCGCGCATATCCAACCGTCTCATCAAGATACCGTATCTAATAACGGTCACTAGCAGAGGAACGGACCGGGCTACTTCATCAGGGGTCATCGACCTGAGTCGTGCATGGTGGCTGCGTGGGAGTGCAGATTGATGTAACCTTGCGTTGGTTCTAAGAATGCTGCACGTAATCTGGTTGGGTGATGTCGATCACACGAGGGGAAATCGCACCCTTTTCGGTCCTGGAGACGGATGGGTCGAGATTGGGCTTGCGATTTTCTTGTGGTTGTGGGAGCGGAAACCTGCGTACGCCAAAGAGGGACAACCGAGCATAGCCGGACGATGGACGCCGTCGAGCTACACACACAGGGTTCGAGGTCGCTCGAGCCCTAATACTCTACTTATCCTTTTAATCCCAAATGGTTGGCGGCAAGGATGGCAAGGATGGCAAGGATGGTAGTGGGAGTGCGAGCCAAAAGCGTCTGGTAGAAACTGAGGGCCACAGCAATGAACGGCTGCGAAAGCGACTACGTGGGGAGAGCGCCCAGGTCTTGAGTCTGGATTCCGACCTCTCCGAGAGGCCACAACATCGACAAGCTGCCAAAAGCCCTCAAAGTCCGGTGTCCCACCTTCACCACTCGCAATCAGCCTCAAGACCCTCGACATCGGCGACGCCAGGTCCGCCTATTATCATTGACCTGACTGGTGACGATGACGAGGATATTGCCATGGAATCTGCTCGTGAAGAGCCTATCCTGGACTCCAAAGCTGACGAGCATGATTCTCACCAACAAGGGCAATCGAGTAAGGCCAAAGCACCACTAGCCACTACGTCCAAGTTCACCATGGCACACGATCTCCCGCAGACAGTCGCACCGGATAATGATGCCTGGTACGATACCTGCTTCGGCTTGGTAGGTATTAGATCCGATCCCTCTATCATGATCCCGCGATATATTGATCTAGTGTAGTTGGAAATATCATGTATCGTAAAGTCTTCTGTCATGAAGGATGTGGATGTCATTCCCGTTGAACTCGAGCTATCCAAGGAAACGGCGAAAATAGTAACCATGAGCCCGCCTGGAAATATCGGGGCGGCTTCTTCTGCTTGTTCACCTACTCTTCGCCGCCTTCAAACGAGCGCAAAGGTGTTCTGGACGGCCCTCGTCGTCATCCCAGAGACTCGCCGACAATGCCAATACGTTCAAGCCACTTTACGCGTTGTTGTCTACGGCTTGATGTCCGAGAAGCTGACCGTTGCCAAAATCTTGGGAAACGGCGAGCTTTTCCTTCAACACCCGTCGCTGTCTGAATGCGACGGCCGAGTGCCATATTTCAACCCGCAATACCTACTTCGTCCTGGCGGCTCCATGCCTCCGCTGGAAAACTTGTCGATTTCTCCTAGGAGTGCGGGAGGCGAAGCGACGACGGAGGTCGAAATGACTCAGTTGCTGAAGATCTTCGAGTCTGCCCACGACCCTGATGCAACGTTCGGTATACGCCCCAGCAAGCGGCTACAATCTAAGCTCAAAGAGTAAGTTCTTGAGTATACGCTCCGTAATGACAAGAGTTTACATTTGTCGTAGCCACCAAATCAGTGCCTTGGCTATGATGATCGAAAAGGAATGCGGAACCTACGATAAACCGGCATTTCCAGCACTCTGGGTACCCAGGGTAGATTCCCGCGGATTGAGAAGGTGTGCATCGTATGCGGGCTTCTCTGCTGGCTAACGCAGGTACTAACGTCTTGGAGATATTACCACATAGTTACCGGTCAGCCACGCGACCACCATCCACCACTCGTGCGCGGAGGGATCTTGGCCGATGTATGCTACAAGTGTACTCCCTTCGCCGATTCTCAGTATAACTCGCCGTTAACGTCAGAGTTTAGGAAATGGGCCTAGGGAAGACGTTGTCTGCCATCTCGTTAATCTTATGGCACATCGATTCTCTAGAATCTACCAAGTCATGGACTAGATCCAGCAGCCGAGTCACACTAATCGTCACGCCCAAGTCCACCATCCCCGAATGGAACCAGCAATTTGAGAAGTATCACCATTCTGCTCCCAGGTTTAGCAACGAGATGTTATCTGACAGGTGGAAATCCAATAATCTAGACATGTTAAGCCTGGAGATATTAGCGTGCGGACCTACCACGGAAGTAATCGACAACGAATCGCGGTGAACTGGCATGATGCAGACGTAATACTAACAACCTATGACACCTTAAGGTCAGAGAAGGTGACAGGAGGCCCTCTATATCAGATGAAATGGGCAAGGGTGATACTTGATGAAGGTACTTAGCCCCCAGCTTTCTTTTACTGACTGTTCGAATGCTCACGGTGCGGGCTGCTGAGACTGACCGTGGCGAATGTGATAGCCCACCACGTTCGCAACCGAGGTTCGAAGGGCTTCTCGGCGGTGCAAGCTCTTCACTCCCCATGCCGTTGGTGTCTGACCGGCACGCCGATACAAAATTGCCTCGACGACTTCGGGGCCTTGCTCAGCTTTATCGGGGTCCATTCCCTAGAAAAGGCGACCGATTTCAATCATTGGATAGCGGACCCAATCAAGAAAAAGAAGGGTTACGCCTTCGAGCACCTCCGCAGTTTGGTAAAAGCCACTTGTCTACGGAGAACGAAAGATATCATCGAGAGCAGTCTCAAATTACCGAAGAAGCAGGAGGTCAACACGGTGTTGGAATTGGGCAAGGGAGAAAGGGAGCTGTATAACTTCTTCAAGAGCCGGGCTGCGACGATAGCTCTTACAATCGAAAAAGCCAAGGGCAATAAAGCCAAACCACCGAAGTTGAAGAGAGGGCGGAGCAGTGGGAGTGGAAGCAATATCCTGCCCCTGATAGGACATCTTCGGCGTATCTGTGACCATGGGGAGAATCTGCTTCCGGTGGCTGCCTTGCGAGCATGGCAAGACAGAGACATCGAGTCGCTTGACTGGCAAATGATGGCAATGGGGTCTCAAAAGTGCGATTCTTGCGGGGAGGAATTGGAAGACGACGACCTCGACGTGCTGGGCCCGGCGGAGTTTGGCTGCGGCCACGCCATCTGCGCAAAATGCCTAGAAGCCGACGACAGAGATGAGAGCCAGTCGCCACAAGGCTCATGCCCAAAGTGTTCGGCAAATTCGCCGGTCCCACCAGCCACAACCAATGGAAACACCGCCGGCGAGTATCAGCCTTCTATAAAGATTAATGCGTTGCTACAGAATCTGCGCAAGGAACTCGCAGGAGAGTCGACGGACGGGGAAGGAGGGGGAGAGGTTTCTAGAAGGTAATACTCGGAGACCTCCACTCCCTTTATGATTCTTCACACCTACAAGCTAACAAGTATCAATATCAAAAGTGTTGTATTTAGTTGCTGGACTAAGATGTTGGACTTCATACAAAAAGCCCTCGAACAGAGCGAAATTGGTTTCAAGCGAATCGATGGACAGACGTCGCTAATAGGCCGAGAGGACGCCATGAGAGCGTTTCGCAACGATCCGAAGTGTAGAGTGATGCTTGCCACCATCGGCAGCGTTGGTGAAGGGTAATGCGGTCTCAATTTTCCTTCTGTCCTTGACTGTTGCTGCAATTTAGCCGTGCTCACCGTGCGTGTCGCCTTTCTAGGGTCAACTTCACCGTCGCAAATCACGTCCATATCATGGAACCCCATTGGAATCCGATGGTGGAGGCTCAGGCAGTCGATCGGGTCCACAGGATCGGTCAGACGCGCGACGTCGTGATCACTCGTTACTTGATCAAAGACTCTATCGAGTTCGTAGGTCGCCCACTCTAAGTGCGAGCGCAGGGGCCTATTCCATTATACGGAAAGTGAAAGAGCTTGTTGTCGGCTAACGTGGCTGGCAGTATGTTCGTGATGTTCAGCAAGATAAGATACGTTTGATTCACCAGTCCCTTTCTTCTTCTGAACTCAAGCAAAGCGAGGTTGACGGGCAACGCTTCAAGGTAAGGAGAACTACGCAATCATACCCACGCACCACCGTAAGTAATGCTCTAGGCTCTGACTGCTCACCTTCTAGAAACTCTTGGAATCACTAAAATGAGAGACTGCATGGAGACTGACCCTGCGTTGGGAGAGGCCGATCCTGTTAGATGGTGAATGAATGTAATTTGGCATTTAATTACAACAGATTTCCGAGAAATAATGATAGCAAGAAAGGACGGCCTGACTGCATGGCATGCTTACTGGCAGCATCCAATTCCTTACCAGTCAACTTGTAACGCGGAAAACGCTGTTTATCGCGCAGAATTGGAAGACCTTTGGAACGCCGCTGTTGGAATGCCCATTCCATGAGGTCATCCCAGGTCACGTTCAACCAAGTCTCAATCTTCCGGGCACCTTCCTCCTCCGCGGCGAGCTTGCCGAAGGAGGTGAATGGGTTCGCTCCCTCCACGAGCAAGAACTTTATGAACCGAGCTGCCTCGCGGGACGTGTTCTTGCATGCCCAGTGCAGCGCCGTGTGTCCTGTGCCACCCAAGGTTCGGGGGTAATCAATGGGAGCACCGCAGGCAAGGATTGCCGTTGCCTGCTCGATGGATAAAGTAGTCCGCGCGACCGTTGTGAGTGCCCGTCCAAGATCGGCCAGGTTCTTTTCTAGTAGGCCCTTCTGGTACAGTGTCTTCCAGGTATCATAAAGGCGCGCGTCTTGATCAGGATATTTATTGATAGTGGTAAGAACCGTCTTTTCGAACAATTCCTTAATGAGGTTGTCGTTGGGGCTTGGAAGTGAGGTGATAACTTCTTGCCAAATATCAAACGCATCGGTCGACTCAGACTTTCCAATCGCTAAGACCACATCGCGGTATTTCCGGCCGCTAACCGATCCCCAGTAGGCGGCCTTGCACAGAATCCACCGCATGAGTTCCGGGTTGGCACTTTGGATGGCGTCTTGGATCACAACGATGAATTTGACAGCGTCGTTTCGAGGCTTGTGCTGATCCTCATCCCACTCCAGGAATAGTCGGACCATCGGGAGCGACCCTTGGCCAGCCGCCATGGTAAGTAGTTCGGCCTTCGTGAACTCATTCACTTTTTGGCGACAAGACGGCCAGGTTGCTTCAAGCTCATCAATATTCCCGGAAATCACCAGCTCATAAAGAAGGGGATATAGAGCCTCATCCTCCATGACCGAAGGGTTACTATAGACACCCTCTCGCATGGCCTTGTGATACCTTTCTTGGTGGCGTTCCTGACGCTCTTGGGTCGTAAAGCCCATTTCAGACCATTGACACGAGCTTACCGAGCACTTCCATGGACGGCTGTGTCCCTCTCGGTGGTGTTTGCACTCCGTATCCGTAGCGAATCCATTACGTCGCGCAGGGCATGAGAAGAAGTGGCACTTGTATAAGTATTTCCCGTAGTGCCTTTGTAAGTCCGCACATACGCAATCTTCTTTATGAGCAGGTTCCTTGGGTTCTCGGCCATGACAGAGTAGCTCTTGGTACAGATTCTCCACTCGGGCACATGACATTGAAATAGACAGGGGGTCGCGGCACGTCCAACTATCCCCTACACAAAAGAATGTTAGTCAAAGGAATGGCAACAGAGGCGGAATATGAGGCGAAGGGGAGGTGGCCACTGGAAGCATGGGATGTTGGGAGGCGGGGAGGGAGTCTATAGCATCATACTGTTGTGTACGGTCCACAAATCGTTTTGGTCCCTGTAGAACGAAACTGTAGCAGAGACAAACTCAGGAGCTCCTGACCACAACTGCCGGCGCTTTTGGCTCGGCTGACCATCTTTTTTTTGCCCTTGCTCTGTATTCCCCTTATTACCGACATCAACCTCAAAGTTGAGATTCTCTCGTTCGGAAAAGAGCTTTCGCAGCAGTCCGTTGACGTCGTCGAGCTGTGTCTTGTCGCGTGTCAAGCGTATATATTGCTTGGCAAGGACGAACCACCAGTACGAGGCAAAGGATAGAAAACGATATTTGCCTGCGAGTAAGTTTTCCTTTAACTGATCATCTTCGATATCGGGTCCGAGGGCGTCGTAGCAGAGGTAGGTAACGCACGTGTCAACGAGATCCAGAATGGATTGATGCATACTGACAAACCCATTTTCGCCACCGAAGAGATACTCTTTGACTGTGAAGTGCACTAGCCGAAGTGTTCCGTCTACGACTTCGACGATTGGCCCGCAGAGTTTGACGATGTTTAGCGAACTGTCGACGGTCGGCGTGTCGTCGTAAGTCTTGGCCGCGACAAGTAGGGCCTGCTCAAGCTCGTGTTGTTTGAGTGGGGTGGGCGAGCAGCCGATCCATCCGAGGATCCTCTTGGCGCTTTGCTGCTTTTGCTTGGGTAGATGGTTGATACGCGAGAAGACACGCTCGTACCTTTGCAATTGGTGACGCAATGTTAGATGGGTTTGGGATTGGGTTTGTTCAATATTAGTATGTCTGGGACTTACGCTGCACCAAGATTCGCTGGGAGAGTTCTCAGTTCTCTTCGGACATCGTCGATGTTGGTCAAATCGACTACATTGTCGATGATGATGCGAGCATACAAGAACATTCCTATAGGTAGTTGAAAAAAGGAAGACTGTTAGTAACGAGAGTCTTGTCGTTGGGGACTGGATAAAATTGGCCACCTTTTGCTGTGACGGAAATCGGGGAGAGCAGGGCTTGGATCTCCTGTCGTCCTCGGCTTGAGAAATCAGACTCCGCCATCCACTGTTTATACCTGCTGCCAACGTAGACTTGTATCCCCACGATGTTCTTCTTATCAACACGAATTGTCGTAGCCTTCGGCACCAGTATTTGGGTGATATCATGCTCCGCTCTGCTGCTGATGCAGACCTTCGTTGTCGTATCTCTGCAGGCGTCTAAAACGTCCATCAGAGAGATTAAGAAGAGCTTCCGCTCAACTTCCTCAACTTCATCCAACCCATCTACAATGACGAAGGCACCTCCGACAACCTTGAGAGCGTTAGTAAGTAATTCCTTCGCAGTGGCCATGTTGGTTTTCAGATCTCGTTTGTTGGATTCGGTCAAGATGGTTTGAAGGTCCTCGTCCTCCGACGCTAGTTGAAATAGTAGGGAATGCATGATGGATATCGAAGTGGTGTCAGTGTGGATGTAGCTGTTGAAAGCGTACACAACACGGCCCTTTTTCTTCGCTTCGAGGGCCACCCAACTGGCAAGAAAGGTCTTTCCTATTCATCGAGGCGAATTCCGTCAGTCGACTGTACCGAACTGGCTAAAAGAGATAAAATCTCCACATACCAGCCCCGGGAATTCCCTGCAGCCATAATAATCTGATTGTTTGATCAGATTTGTCCAGCCATTTGCAAAACTCTCGATCTTCCCCCAGCCAATCGGATGTTCCTGGACATATGCGCCTATCCAGCCAGCTTAATCTGTCGTCGTACATCCGAGGGTTGATGGCGATTTCCAACGCTTGGAAGTTTTCCTTCGAACGCTGCGCCTCCGCCTCTCGAAACTCTCTGAAGGACGCGGCCCTGGCTTCTTCGGCCCTCCTGATGTCTTCAAAAGTGACGTTGTCGCGAAGAAGTGTCGCGTGCAGTTCGATTCTGGCCTCGACGTCACGGATTGCCTCTTTACGCTTCGGCCAAACAGTCTCCCACATGGCTTTTGCTACTATTGGGATTGTTAGCCAAATCGTTAAGTCTTTGATGGGTAAACGCATGGGCTTACAAGGTAGGGTGAAAAACTGCAGAATCTCCCTGTAGAAGTCTAGAATGTCCTGAAAGAAGAGTACCACGACATCCTTGATGTGCTTGTTGTTGATAAAGCTCGGCAAGACATTGTTGAATTGAGGCAGAAGATCCCCGATCCTTTGTATGCTCTTGACAATGGCGTCGAAAGCCTGGGACCACTGACGGACACACATGAGGACAAGCTTGATGGGACCCCATACGAGAGCCATGATTTCGGGTTTTGCCTGAGTGAAAACCTCGATTACGCCTGATAGACTCTCGAGCCGCTCGATGAAGGGGCCGATTTTCCCCAACCAGCGCATCCTTCTTTTCTTGGCCTGCTCCGCCTGCAGTTTGTTCATGGCGTCCCATAGTTTGTCGGCGCTGGTTACGGCGAGGATGTCCCGGAATCGGACGTTTGACGGGAGGCTCTTTTCAAATTCAGTCTTGGCATCGTAGAAAGTTTGCAGCAGGGGATCTGGGGATGCCATTATGAGAGAGCTTGAGAGACAGCCTTTAATCGCGTGTCGACAAGAGAACAACACGAAAGCGTCCTTCTGTCCCGAGGAGGGGAGAAAACTGCGCCCCTAATCCGATGTCGTACCCAGAGGGAGTCATGCCATAACACCATGCACAATAGAAGGAGGCGCAGAAATACGCTCCAAGCTCAGCCAATAAAGTTGTGTTCCTGCACCAACAAACGTACTGATCGGACCCTTTTGCGGCCCGCCGTTATTACATTCACGTCGTAGTGCCTACCTTCCTTGGCCAGCGTTAAATACAGACGGCGAAATAGGACGGTTCTTGATGCAGCTTTCGAATTCAAACGCACGCACAAGGCGACGATATCGACTTTCGGCGTGCCTTCTTTATAATATTAATACCCTAGAGCACTCCAACCTCACATTTCCTGCTTACCGCCCATCATTGCATCCTCCTCCTCTTCATACTCCTCTTCATCTCCTCATCGTCTTCTTCTTCCTCCTCCTCCTCTTTGTCTGACTCTCCCTCGCGCTCCTCGTATTCTTCCTCATCTTCATTACCTCCTTACTTCCTATAATGTCAGAGAGTCCTACACCAGCCGAGAAAATCAAAACGAAGTCCATCCGGGACCTTGTACAGTCACAGAAGGGACTGGACGTTATGAAATACATGGGTTGCTAAATCTTCGGGGTTTTCATAATGGATGTAAATCCGGGTTGTAATCTCGTCCTAGCTGCTCGGCAGTTGATCGAGGACCAACGCTTACCGAATTCTACTTTGATAGGATAAGAAGAGGCGACATCGAAGGATCTAAAAGTGATGTCGCTGCGAACGCTTGGCTGCCACAAGCCAGTTCCTTTCTATCTGTCTTTCGTCCTGGATCGTGCTTCTCGAAGGGCGAGCGCCGCCGGTAGAGACGACACCCTCTCGTGCGGGAGTAGCCCGTACCCTTAGCGATAGTTCCTAGATTCCTAGACCCCCACCAACAAGTTAGCGAGCGTCTAGCTTCCCAGGCCTTGCTCGGGTTATCTCTAGCTGGTGGATTATTAGCTGCATTGAGACTAACTTAGCCTAGGAGCTTCAGCACTAGTACAGTCTACAGACTTGCTACTACCAACCTGACGAGACTTCCCCGCATCCGGGTGTTTGCCCAAGATGCTTCATTGCGCTGCCCAGGACTATTGATTTTCACGGGGGGAGCGTGGCGGTTAAGTTAATCCAGTGCCCGGGTAACATTTCTAGCTGGTCGGTAGACTATTTCTATCAACTCGTTATTGGAAGAGTTGATTTGGATGCTCATGATGAAAATTTTCTAATGATGGTCCGAAAGTAGGAGCAGGGCCGGTCATAAATGCACGAGTGCAAGAATTTAGCCATCTCAAACACCGACCAACCTAATATTAGTTGACGTTGTTGAGCAAACCTCGAGTTCTGAATCTCCGTGTGAACTCGAAGTTTTCAGAGCTTACAGGCTGAGCCAATCAGGTTCTAAGAAGTCTTCAGAATGTGAGGCCAATGATAAGTGCCATATTGCTCAAATATATTTACAGTTACGAACCTCGGAGAGTGCAGCCTGTCGAAGTTCATGAGACGTACGCTTCAATTGTGTCTGTCGATTCTTACAGGCATTTTTAGGTGGTAGATTTGTCTTCATGAGCCCGCCATCACCTCAGCCTCTTCTCATTCACCCTTTTTTGTCCAACGCAGTGTCGCAGTACTTTCAATCTTATCAGAGGTAAAGTTTTGGATATCCCGGCGCTTGTCCCCGCTGAGTCAGTGTTATCTGTTATTGCCTTGCTTCAACATGGACGAACTTCGAAGGGGGAATGAGAAATGAAAGCCCAGCCACATCTCAACATCTTCAATCCGCATCCACCGTCGCAGCAAGACATCTTTGCCTTCCCACAATTCAAGTTGCTTCCATCGGAGCTGCGGCATGAGATATGGCGTTGGGGAATGAGTCGTAACAGTCTCGTCTCTCTATATATCTATCTTCCTCTCGACAAGAGCGCGGAAAACTATCGTGTTGTAGGTTATATTCTGCTCGACTTAATCTTAGAGTTCAACTAACCGAGCGCAGATAATTCACGGAATTCGGGTGTTTAGCAAATTTTTGAGGGTGTGTCGTGAGGCACGACATGTAGCTCTCCGATTCTACCGAGTCCATCACCCGTGCTTCTTGATCGGGGCAGATACCCAACTGCTACGAAAGACAATCAAAGAGTCTTGGGGACGGTCCGAGAACTACATCGATGCCTGGCAGTGGTTCTCGGTCCGTGATCCACAGGCAATTGACCTGGCCACTGCCGGGACCCTCTACATCAACCCGGAGTTCGACATCATCAACGTTGAATGCATCAACCCGTTTATCCCGTCCACATCTCGGACACTACGGGATGATCGTGTCTTTTTCTTCTTTAACCAGCTAAAAAGACTCGATCCGCGCGGAATCGGCATTGCCAATCTCGCGGGAGATGATTGGTGCATGAAATTTATCGCCGGGCCCGGGCGCATGGGTTCCCACCCCAGTGAAGTTCGACAAAGCCGTAGAGAAATCTTCCAAAATCTCCGGAAGGTCTACTTTGTATCCCTGGATCAGGAAGGGCGGTCCTATAAAGGCTTAATCGGGCCGCTCCCGGAGCCTGAAAACGGATGGGACTGGCGTTAACGCTACCATTGGGACCGAAATCGATCGGTGCCTGTGTTCTCGAGCACCTGCACATTTGATTATTTACCGATCGATCCGCGCCCTATCAAAGATGATCTGAAGCGGGTGTGCTTTCACCCGCTTGAGAACTTTTACCTGGTCCGTAACTGGAGAAAGGTCTTGCATCAATTAAACATCCAACACCCAGAAGGCCAAGTTGAGCACCAATATCTACTGGCCTACAAGACCCGTGCTCTTGGACCTCCCGGAAGAATCTGTGTATGGGAAGAAGCGAAAGGGTGGGTCGAGGAAGAAGATCGTGATTGGAACTTTATGCAACCAAAGCAGCGGAAAAGGATCCGAGCCGCCTACGGGCGATTTCCCCTCGAGAATGCCAGTGCAAAGGGGCGCGGGGGCGTCTCTGTCTGTCAGCAGGGATCTAAACACGTCTCTGCACTACTTCGCCTGTCGCCACGTCCCAGATCTTGACTGTACAGTTCAACGACCCTGGTACCACAAGCTTCGAGTGTGGCCGTAGAGTATTTGCACCATCTTTTCTCAAAGCCGATAACATGGTATCATTCCGGTGTGAAAACGCGGGAAGAGAAACCCTGAGCAGCAAGGGGCTAGCCACCGCACCCTCACCCACCGAAAGGGCGTGGCACTGCGACAAAACGGCTGCAGATACTCTGCTCTGCGGGCGCTGGAGCGGCGCTAATGCAAATCAAGACACCTCAGCCGGAACCCGCGATCAAGGTTCCACGACTTGTCACCAAAAGCTTGGCATTCGGCCGAGCTTTACAATAATCACCAAATAACAAAGACCTCAATGCCAGGTATATTGTGATCTTGGGATCCGTGTGACGAGGGATTTTTGGTTCTTGCCTCTGACACGCAATAGCTCGGATCCCAACTCCTGCGGATGTGGGCATTGTTGATAGTTACCAGGATTTAAACTAGGTTCGGCTCTAGGTACGGCTCTCAAGTCTCTCAATTTAGCTCGGATTCGTGGCGGCCCAAGCTTCGGCAGGTGTACAAGTAGGGTTGTTATCTTTTTGCCTCGATTGCCAAAGTTCAATATTACGAGATTGGATATGGATAGTCAAGATCACTCTCCAATGGATACTGCATCCCATCCACCTATCTTGCACCGACGTGAATGAGACCTACGTCGGATACCGGAGGCCTCCACATTCCCACCATTTCCCCTTTCCCGTACTTATCGATACCATCCCCCATCGAATGCGGTTCGGCTCCATATTGCTAACTTGCGTTGCTCACCCCCAACCTTGGGCAATGTGGGCCAATCACCTGCTCTTTATTACGTGCCTTTTCTACGATATTTTAAATTCCTGACCAAGTTCTCCAATGACTGGAAGGCGGGATGATGATGGGGATGATGCTCGGCCGGACAAGGACGGCCAAGAAGCTTCATTTGCAGCCGCTGTGGACTGCCAAACGGACTGGGACCTCGACCAGGAGGAGAAGGCAAGACAGATTGCCGAAGAGGATCTCAATCGCGGGAAGAAACAGGTGAACCTCCCTCCCATGAGTCTTCGTCTCCGGGTTACTGACACATAACAGTCGTTCTCCGGCAAGGTTCTCCTTTGGCTTGCGTGGCAGAGCACTGGCGTCATCTATGGTGACATCGGTACGAGCCCTCTCTACGTCTACAGCTCCACGTTCTCATCCCAGCCCTCGCGGGATGATCTCGTCGGTGCTCTGTCGATTATCATCTGGTCCCTCACCCTCATCGTCACCGTCAAGTACTGCTTCATCGTCCTGAACGCCGACGACGATGGGCAAGGCGGCACCTTCGCGCTCTACTCCCTGCTGAGCAGATACGCTAATATCGTGTATCGCGACCCCAATACCCCGGGTCTGATTCACCTCGACCGCCACCTTACTAACGACATGAAGCCCGTTGGTAAGTCGGTGCGGGGCTTCATAGAGAACAGCTCCGCGGCGAAATTCGCACTCAAGGCCATTGGAGTTCTTGGTGTGTCAATGGTGCTCGCAGATGGTGTGCTTACCCCTGCCCAGTCAGTTCTCGGCGCGATCCAGGGCATCAAGGTAGCGAATGCCGACTTAGGCACTTCCGAAGTCGTTGGAATATCCTGTGCTATTCTGATTGTCCTTTTCGCCGTGCAACCTTTCGGCACATCAAGACTCGGCACCTCCTTTGCGCCAGTCGTTGTTGTCTGGCTGCTGTTCAACCTGTGCAGTGGTATCTACAACTTGGCGATGCACGACTATACCGTTCTCAGAGCTTTTAGTCCACACTACGCCTTCGCCTACTTGATACGTAATGGATCCGAGGGCTGGAAGTCTCTTGGTGGCCTCCTCCTGGCCTTCACTGGCGTCGAGGCTCTTTTCGCGGACCTCGGCGCCTTCGGCAAACGAGCCATCCAGCTATCATGGCTGTGCCTGGCGTACCCGTGCTTGGTCTTCGCTTATATTGGGCAGGCGGCTTTTATTTCGACTGACGAGTCTGAAACCGCGTACACCAACCCTTTCTTCTACACCGTGCCTCCAGGAAGCTTCTATTTCGGCATGGTGATTTCGGTCCTGGCTGCTATCGTGGCAAGCCAGGCCATGATTACCAGTACGTTCCAGCTGCTCTCCCAGGTTATGCGCTTGAGTTATTTCCCGCATATCAAGACCGTCCATACCAGCCGCAAGTTCCACGAGCAGGTATACATGCCCTTGGCTAACTGGCTACTAATGATCGGCACGGTCATCGTCACTGCCGTTTACAATAACGTAAGTCGATTTTTCCCTATCTTCGAAGTTTCCTGACGAGCGCCTCTGCTAACGATCGTGAAACATTCAGACCACTAGTCTCGGCAATGCGTACGGTGTCTGCGTCATCATCGTCACCATGATCACCACATGCATAGTGTCCCTCGTCGCAATAATCATCTGGAAAACACCATCCTTTATCGTGCTCCCTCTCTTCCTTGTCTTCGCCGCTCTCGACGGGGCCTACATGTCGTCAGCGCTCCGGAAAGTCCCACATGGCGCTTGGTTCACTCTCCTTCTCGCTTTCATCCTCTCCAGCATCTTCATCCTCTGGCGCTGGGGCAAGGAGCAGCAGTGGACTGCCGAAGCAAAGGACCGCATCGCCCCATCGGAGCTTCTGCAGCTGTCCCCTACTCGGTCAACCTCCATCGGTGATGGACAAAGGGAGGGCGGTCCGCAATTGACGCTTATGTTAAAGCCCGCTTTTGGTGGTGGAAAAATATCCGCCGCCTCCGGCCTCGGCATCTTCTTCGATAAAGTGGGCAGCGGCGACAATGCAATCCCCAGGGTGTTCACACAATTCATCCGCAAGTTCAAGGCGCGCCCCGGCGTCATTGTCTTCTTCCACATGCGCCCCCTGCCCCAACCCACAGTTCCGCCGGAGCAGCGCTTCGTAATCACTCGAGTGCAGCAGATCCCGTCAGCGTACCGTTTGGTCCTACGCCACGGCTATATGGATGATGTGCTCACGCCTGACCTAGGGCGCATCATCACGAATGAAGTTTCTATTTTCATCACCCGCGGCATTGCAGTCGACAACAGCTCTGTCTCTCCGGGTCTGCGGCCTGCAGCGCATGAGGAGCTGAAAGCCTTGAATGATGCGCAAGATGCTCAGATAGTGTACGTCATGGGCAAGCAGGTAATGCGGGTACGCCAGGACAACGGGAATATCATCCGCCGCCTAGCAAGAGTCATCGGGCTCGAGACATTCCTATGGATCCGTGAGAACTCGAGGACTAAACTTGCGGACTTGGATATTGACTACAATAACTTGGTGGAGGTGGGGTTTGTGAAGGAAATATGACAGTTATCTGTAGATTCCTGGACCTTGGTGTTTGGCAAGGGCGAGAGCATGGGCTGAGTTACTAAGCCTGGACGATGGGCGCTAAATATGTCAGGATCTCCCCTTTTTGTATTCAATCCAAATATATGTGTTGGACTCCATTTCGCTAATCTACATGTGTCTCGCTCAACTTCTCTCTAGCCCTCCGCGTGGCAGGACGGCGGCATGGTTTGTAGCAGCTCTGTCCCCTAGCCCAGGCTCTGGCGTGCCTCCAGGCATTCCACGCTAGTCTAGTGGGGTGTCTGTGTTCTTATCTAGAAGCTACACCACAGATGGGACAGGCTTGGAGATATAGGCTGCGACTATTAAAACCACCGGGTTATGGTTCTCTTTGAGGATACAGGATAGTCGCCAACAGCACGCGCCCTATTCCATCGTTTCACCGAAGAATATCATCTGTCCGAATGTGCAAAGCCTATCCGTTCCACTTTCCGCGCACTGACTTGATGGAGACCTTCACCGGGATTGGCGAGACTCACAAATAAATACGACGTCAAGGAGGATGACTTGCCGATACCACGCGAAGGGGTAGGACTTCTGCACTATGCAGGATAAACGACGCGAACATATCGAGTTCCCCTTCCATACGCGGCTGCTCCGACCTTCAGTGAGGGTGGCCAATTTACAATCGTGTGGTCTAGGGGCTGGATGAAGTCCATACGAATAATCTTCCCCCTTCATGGCCGGCCGGTTGACATTGTAGGATCAAGGTCCAGAAGCTAGCCTTCTATCCTCGTCACCACCATCTTTCATGCCGGAATTTCTCGGCATACTCAAGCAGATCTCGCTATCGAGATTTTTCAGACAAGGATTTTTCTAGGTCCTCGAACAGACCCCGCCATCGAAATTTCTCAGGCTAGCATCTTTTGGGAGTTTCGGCTGGTCACTATCATGGTCCCGTGCCGGTCTTATAACGGCCTTGATGCGGTTAACCTAGATTTCAGTCGCCTAGTGCTGGGCGTTCAGCTTTTTTCTAGCTAGTGTCTAATAATGGTGGCCATGCGGGTGTGCGGTAGAATTGTGATATGGGCTCCGATTCCCGGGCTTCAGCTCTTGGACATGTTGGTTATCGCGGCGTGCTAGGTATGGCGAAGACAGGGTCGCGGGACTTCAGAAATCCAGACTTTTGGGGCTGGAGAAGAGCAAAGATCAAAGGTGGGGTTGAAGACCGAGGACGAGGAAGGGGAGTGCGCGATGCGAGAGACAGGAAACAGAATGGTCAATTCTAGACATTGGAGGGCCATCGACGAGCTGTCATTGGTGTATCGTACGAACGTTGGAGAAAGAGCCGAAATGGCCCGGCCCCTTCTACAAACTTGCTCTAGAGTACTTGCTTATCACACTACGGACATGTGCACCACCAAAAAAAAAAAAAAAGGAAAAGCATTACCAGTCCAGAGGTGACGGGGGGCGCGCCCCGATCACATCGTGACTCGAACCATTTTAACCAGCCGCGGCTTTCCGGCCTTGAACTTCAGCGAACGATGAGGGTGCGTCCTCTGCCGGAGGTGGATGCATCCAGGATTCAGACCTCTTACCGAACCCAGTCGGACCCGTCTGCCCGTTTTGGTACCCGTTGCTGGGCGAGACGTTGTCAGATTCCCGATCGTCAATGGGCGCCAATATGGTCACTACATTATCCCCCGACACTTCAATGCTCTCGTCCGCAAGGGAAAGCGCGAAAGACCAGCTCAAGACGTGAGTGTGTTTGATGTTATACGTCGTGGAGCTGGGGTATATGTGCATCCCACCCATGGTGATTTTCTGACGGATGTGGCCGCTAGATCTGAGCCTCTGGTTCATCAGCTCGCCGACGTTGACAGGGCATCGTTCAGTCACGCAAGGGATGGAAATGGGCGTTTCCAGCCCGAGGAGAACCGTGGCTAAATGGAGGTTCAGCTTTTGCTTTGCGGTCCACTCATGGGGCCAGAAGGTCCCCGCACACTTCACCTCCGTAATGGCCTTCAGTTTCATAGAGATTGATGTCATATGAAAAGTTGGAGAGGTGCCCTGGAGAATCTCACTCGTTACGCTCTAATCGGATGAGCCTGGATATAGAAAGGAATGGGAGTCGGATTCTCAAGTTGTAGTATGGAAGGGATATCCACGGAGAGACGAAACGCCAAGCGGGGAACTTTTGAGGATTTGAAAATGGTACGCGTTTTTTGAGAAAAGGATAAATGGGTCGTTTCCATTCCAGGGGCAAGGCGATACGATGCGAGTGACCGAGTCATTATTTCCCGTTGTAATTCGAAGTGGGCGATAGGTGGTCCCTGGGCAAAGGTGTGGATAGTTACGGGGAGCGTTGCATCTAGACTCTTGGTAGAGCCTTGGCTAGTGGTGCGGAGTGAAGCTTGAAGATAAAATTCGACAAAGGCGTCCATATTGGTCGAGAGTCCTTGACCGGAGAATGAGGGCGGCAACGACAACGGCGGGTTTGGCTCGTTTCCAGCGGCAAGGGGAAGATAGCTCTCATCAGGGGAAGCCACGCGCATGTTTCTGCGATTTCCTGTGAGAGGGATGGCGATGGCAAACGGCCACTTGAGGCCGGGAGTGCCTGCTTCGACGTGCAACGGCCCCTCATACAGTAAATGTGTATCTTCTAAGAAGGCGAAGCGCCCGCGGTAGACGCATTGGGCCTTTCCGCCTGTGGTGATTTTCGACTTTGACCTCCAGTGTAACGCAAGACGCAGGCTTGCGTTGGGACTGACGATGTGGATCTTCCGATACACATATCCGCTGATGACGTCGCCGGGTGCGTAAGATTTGTGATTTCCTTCGAGGCAGATGCCAAGGGGCAGCATTCACGGCTCTGGGGGTTGGAGGCATGATGAGATTGTAGCTGAAAGAGATCGGGGATGACAGAGTTGGGTTCACCTTGGAGAACTGATAATAACGTCAGTCTAAGCTTAGTCGGGGACATTAAGAGGGATTGGAATTTACCGCGCTTAAATACAATCTAGTACACCGTCATTTTAGTTTACAAGCGAAATCAAGTTTCCACGTGAGTGCCTTGTGCGGCATAGTCGATCCGCCTTACTCGAGGAGGCGGATAATGAGGGCGCTTTGAATTTGATCCTTCGGGCTGATTTGAAACGACCCTGCCAACACTGTGCCACGATTAGACGTCCAGGAATCACACTATGCATTTATCAACGGTAAACTGCATCTAAATATAAAGAAGAAGCGACGAAGGGAGCGTTCAAATAGATTCGAAGGGGGGTGTATATGGAACTTGTGGCATCAGTTGATTGGTTATCCACCTTGGCCAGCATGTGCAAGCCAGGCTTCGTGGGATTGTACCCAACTACAAGCAGGCGTGTCTTCATTGTTCACTCTGCCTCATGGATCAGCTATTTAAGAAGCCCATGTCATTTCACCCACATGGCATTTCCATGAGGTCTATTTCATCCTTACTTTGTTCCTAAGAACCGTTTGGCGTAATCTTCCTTCACCGTGACATTCGTATCCTGATGTACTTAGAGGTGATCTCCCACTTAGATATTGGCCGTCCATTCATCCTATATACTTTGCATACTTCCCAAACTCCTCATCCGCCCTCAACCTCTCCATATCCTCCAATCTCAAAGAAATCCCAGCCACAACTTCACCACCCGCCTTCCTCGGCATCAAATACATTAATCCCTCAAACGGAGTAAACCTCGGCCTCCTCACAGCCTCCGGCATCCCCAAGCCCAAATTAAAATCCCACTCAAAGAACTTCTGGTTAGCCCAGGAACTAAGCGCCACGTCCGTCGAAGGATCAATCTTCGCCGTGAGCCCCACCACCGTCTTGTCGGCAGACTTTTCGAGGACGGTAGCTAAGGCGCGGGTGCGATGTGCAAGGCCCGACGTCCCGTTGTCGAGAAGCGCAAGGCGCAGGTCGGAGGCTATCTTGCCCAAGGGAGAATCTGCGAGGTCTTGGATCGTGAAGGTGTCGTAGGTCATGTTTTGCGCCACGCCGGGGTACGTGAGCGGGATGCCGAGGTGGCGTCGGACGTCTACGGCGCGGCCGAGAGTGGATGGCGTGGAAGAGTCGAGGCGCGGGAGACGGGCGCGGGAGGTGGCCTGCCAGATAAAGGCCGTGACGGCGTCGTCTGTTGATACAAAGCCTGGAGGGCTAGTGACAGATTCGGATGCGAGGGATTTGAGGGAGGTGAGAGATTCAGGACTGAAGGTGAAGTACGCCCACGTAGACTCGGAAAGTGATGGAGTCGGTTGCTGAGCATCAGCGGGTTTCGTGCGCTGCATCTCGACCTCAGCACTAAGCTGGTCGGATTCGCCGAGGAGAGGGATGACGTGCCGCCTGTCGCGGTTTCCAAGTTCAATTTCCTCGGCGGTGAAGTCCTCGCCGTGGCACCCTTTTGAAAGGAGAGCTATCATTGCGCCCTGGCCGCCCATGTCCATGACATTGTGCTGCGCGACAAAGGTCAGGAGAAGCCCGCCCCGCACCAGCGTCGCCTGGACGAGAAACACGGGCGCTGGTCCCTCAGAATCCGGTCCTCCCGGAAACGTCAAAGTATTCCTCGGCGCGATTATGGATTCGTCGAGCATGCTCATCGGAAAATTAGCCTCCCTGAGCTGCTCCATCGTCATTGCCCCACGATCATCGCGGAGGTCCTTGATCTGGAAGCGAGGCATTTCTTGGAGAGGGGCGAATCTGAAGACACCAGAGCCATTACCTTCAGAAGCTTCCTCGCGCACAACTTGGCCTGATATCCATGGGAAGGCGGCGCTAAGACGCATGAGGCCTGTCGTGAGGGTGCTTGTGATTTCTGGGACTGGGGCATCACCGGGGAGGGGAAAACAGGAAGTGATTTGAGTGTAGAGTTGGCTGAGGTAGGGCTGCTGGCCGAGGATATCCAGGTAGCCGCCCGCGTTGCCGGATTTTAACTTGTCCATGTTGGGTTGGAAGAGGTGCTCGTCTGTTGCTTTGATGTCGTGCCTTTCGGGGCGTGTTTTTTGGGGTGGGGGGGGGCGGGGGGGGTGGAAGGACGGACGCGGGGATTTATAGAAAAGTTCTCGGGAGTTTGTGTTGCTGGATTGGGTTTAGGTTCAGGCACATTTGCTTCTAGCACAGCTTAACCGAATTTGTACCCGTGCACGAAAATAAGGAGACACGGTACATCCAACCCACCATGATCGGAGTGAGTCGAAATGAATCATAATCACAAAGAATCATCAGCGAGTGGCTTACATAGCTCGCCGTCTACAGCAGATTTTACACTACGAAGCTGTTTTATCAGTTTCGTGATCGGCCGTTTGAGGCTTAAGACATAATTTCTGAAATGTGATTTACTAGGATACAGCTAACAAGCAAATTCTCAAAAAGCCAGCATCGCGGCGAAACCCATGGCAATGAAAGCCGCCACGGATCCGCCCAACTTTCCGGCAGCGCTGTTTCCCGCGGCCGGGGTGACAGCCCCAGTTGCCGCCCCAGTTCCAGCACTATATACCTGGAACTGCCCCTTACATCCACTTAAGTATTCCCTCAATCGCGGCGCAACCCAGCCACTTCTAGAATACCATTACAGATTTTAAGGGGGCCCGAAAGAGGAGGGGGGCCGGAAGAGGTTCCAACTTAGTTCCTTGATCTTCAGACCAGATGAATAGTCTCCACCTCCCTTCCCCAAAGCTTCTGCCCATCGTAAAACTCTCCCTCCATGCCTAACACCAATTCCCCATCCATGGCCCCGGGTATCCACGCCGCCGACACAACCTCATATTCACCTCTACCTTCCTCATCATCACCCTTCCTCCGCAGCACCATGGGCGTCGCGCACCCGAACAGCAGCCATACCTCATCACCTTCCTCGACGGCACACAAATTCAGCGTCCCGAAGCATCGCTGCGGGTCCTCTAGCCCCACAAGAACACACCCGGCCAGGGTATTGACAATGCACCGCAACATGACATTGAAAGCCTCGTGATCGGGCTTGCAAAAGCCCTCGTTACGCACAAGATCGGCGATGTCAACGTGTCTGATCGGCGTTTGGTCCTGAGCCTCCAGGGCCTGGGAGGCCGCTAAAAATTCGGTCATGCGGGCGGCCGACTCCACCTCGGACCCGAGCAGGTTCACAATGAGGTAGTCGCTCAAGACAGCGCCTGCGCGCAGGAGGAGGGTCATGTAGAGAAAGCGCTCGTTTGCAGAGGGCATGTGGTCCTGCCTGGTCGTCTCGATTATGGGGAGGCTCACGAGGGCATCGGTTAGGAGCGTGACGGTGCGGCGGATGGCGCGGCCTAGGGTCTCGCCCTCTAGGCCGACGAGGAAGGGGAGGATCATATCAACGAAGATCCGAAGGGGCTGGAAGTAAAAGCATGACTGCGCGGGGACGTGGCGGACGCGGTCAATGCGGAAGCCGCGTACGGGTAGCCTATTGCCTGTGCGGGTCCCTATGTCGGGCCGGGCGATTACATCGCCACTTGCTGAGAAGGGAATCCAGAAGACGCTCCTGTCGACCCGGTGCCACTGGGGAACCCATGAAGGGATATCGGGCACGTCGTTCTTGCCCTGTTCCAAAACCTTATCGTTTTCAAGGTCAAGGGGCATCCATGCATAAGGTAAGAAGTGCAAGTTTTGATACTTGCGCATGATGCACCTGGCGGTGTCTGTATATACTTCACCGACCGACTTCCCGTAGTCGACATCTATGTCACCGGGTGCGCAGTCCGACACGATGTTGAGCGTCGAATAGATGCGGTCTCGCGGGTCGGTGGCATGGAGTCGCGCCGCTATGCGAAGACCGCCGAGTAGGTAGTTGGGCGTGATGATTGCCGCCTCGGAAAATCGCTTTTTTAGCTTAACGTTGGCCGGGGCGAGTATCTCGGGGGGTGTTTGCAGCCTTGCGCTGTGAACCATGCGTCCCGTTGACTTCATCACACGCCACCATCGGATGTGCCGGGAGGGTACATGGCCCACCTTCACCACTTTATGAAGCTTGGACCAGGAAGTCTGGCCCTCGACAGTCTGGTTATGCTTCCCGATCTGTTGGGCAAGGCGTTCCTGGAATCGCATCATGGACTCGCCCTCGAGTCTTGTCGCACGGCAGTAGATGGCGAACTTGCCGGAGCACACGAGTTCTTGCTGGATCCAGAGTCTGTCCCAATACTGATTCTTGAAGAGCCGCTCCATGGGTTCCCATACTTCGGGCTCCTCGCCCAGGTCTCTAAAGGAGTCCTCCGTTGTTGGGGACAAACCGTGAAGCCGTTCGACAACAGGGTTATCAGCGGCAAGATCGAAGTCTAGCCATGCGCGTACTTCTTGCGCGCCTGAATATATGTCCTTCATGAGATTGACCTGGCTGCCTCGCTCGGGTATGTTACTCTGGTCGATGCAGATGGCGTCGGCCCATAGAGTCAGTGGAGCATCCGGCAGTCGGAAATCACGCAGTGCCCGAGAGAGGTTCTCCGTCACGCGGAAGAAGTCATTATGGTCAACGCAAATTGTTGCGGAAATGTCCGTCCCCCACATGTACGATAGCGCGTAGTACTCGGGCTTGTCGTCGAGAGAGTGCGTCACGAGAGTACAGCGGATGGGGTCATCCCTTGCGCCAGGAAAGAGTTTTAAGAGGCGGATCTCCCGGCGGTCGCCATCTAGGCTCGAATAATGATGGGTATTTTTTGTGAGATCCATTGTGGTGGATCGCGCGTCGGTGATGTGTTGGGGTGAGCACCATATTGTCAATATTTCGAACTCGGGTGGTGGGAATCCGTGATAACTTTATAGTGCTGGGCTCACGCCAAGATAATTTCTTCTGGAATAGGGCGGAATAGAATTCCCTTTCCAGTTAGGACGGACTCGATGTTGGTCACACCCCGGAAGGGAGGCTTGGATCACTTCAGCCCCAATCCCTGCACTCAGCTCGCCGGCTTTCGAAATCGTAAAAACCTACGCGTAAACCAAGATAACACGTCCCATTCAGCCCTCATGAGAAAATTTCTCAGTCTCCAGAGACGTGTGTATATACGTTTGACAGATACCTGGAGGCGGGCGCCAGTGCTTCTGCCAGTTTCGACAATAGTAGGACGCACACTATGTCTGAGTTCAGTCGAACATCACCCGACACACCACCTTTTGTGAGACCATGGCGCTCCCCCAGACCTGCTCCCGCCTTTGCGTTCAGAGTCACGGACGGAAAACGGATCAATCGGGGAAACAGTAAAAAAAAGGGATATGCGTTATCGCCAACGCGCGTACCGGGCCTTATCAGCTAAAAACAGCCATCTTGACGCTGACCTTGATCGAAGAGGCCTGCGCTTTGATATCTCGAGTACCAACCTTAGCTTTCTGCACAAGCTTTCAATTTTTTCAACCTAGGATCTATGTATACGGTCAGACCTATTAGTAGTAACGTGTCCCATTTCTATCTTTCCCCTCGCCACCCCCAAACCACCTGGAGCCCGGAAACCCGGGCGACTCGCAATCCGTTAATAGTAACGACATCCAATGCGCCCCCATGAAACGCGTAGTGATAAGTTGCGTAAGTCGCAAGTACTGGTAACGATGCACACTTGCACCCCGGGCACCTAGAGCCCGGACACAGGACGACAGGTGGCGGACGACGAGCTTCCACCTCCACGTGGTGTCCGCTGGGGATCTCAGAGAAATAATTCGGCGGTCTCTGAGTGCCAAGAGGAGCTCAACAACGCGATTATTCCCCTTCCAACGACGCGCCGAAAGCCGACCTCCGAACCTCACGAAACACCAAACATACTGCCACAGTATGGTAGAGGGAGTTGCGCCCCTTTCGAGTTCGCCCCACGATAGAAAATGGACCTAGATTCCCCATTGTTCCTGCCCGACAACGGTTACGACATCGGAGACCAAGAGACTGAGTACGAAGCCGGGTATCGCACAACAACATCGAAAGCACCAACAGCAGCACAGAACACATCAAAAACACAATTATCCTCCCCGAGCGACGTGCCGACACGCCGAAATTTTGATCTCTGGACCTCACGAAACACTAAACATCACAGCCACCGTACAGCAAAGGGGGTTGCTTCCCTTTCGAGTACGCCCCATGATGGAAAATGGACTTGGGTGCCCCATTTGCCCTGCCCGACAATAGTTCACGGTACAGAAACCCAAGGAATACGCGATGGAGATGCGAAGCAGAAGGGACGGACGACCAAACAAAACCATGACCGCCAACAGCATGGAACTTCATCTTCTGTCAACAACGCGCCGACGCGTCGAAATCAATCTCCGAACCTCACGAAACATCCACTTCACAACCACCGTACCGGAAAGGGAGGTAGGCCGCTACCAGGTACGCCCATGATGGAAAATGGGCTTGGGTAACCCATTTCCTGCCCGACAACGGTTTACGGTTCCGAGGTTGGCGGCGACGCCCCTAATATCAATAGATATCTTCCTAGTAGAAATTCAACATCCCCATTCCCGATTAATAAGAAGTATAGCTAACCTAACAATAGCACCGACTATAGATGCCATCATCCTGGGAGTTAGGATACCAGTAGTGTTATTATGATTTTTATTATAATTATTTTTATTAGCATTATTGCCATTGTTAGTATTAGAGGCCGAGGTAGGCTAGGGGCTGGTAATAGTGGTGAGTTGGTCAATGTTGGTCAGGTGGAACTCTGTGATGGTGACGCCCTCGATGATGGTAGTAGCACTTGGAGTGAAGGTCCTTAACTTATAGGCAACTAGAACTAGAAGACGGCTAGCTCCAGCACCAACGCAGGTGATTCGCATTCGGCGCGGTTCCGAATGATACTACGGGGGAATCCCGTATGCCTCACGAGGAATGACCTCGACAGGGGAAAGGGCCGCCGAGGCCAGGTCTTTGAGAGCTGCAGGTGCCATTCTTTCTTCCGGATCAGAGGTAGCCCCTAAATTGAAAAGCAGTATAAGAAAGGTGCTGTTGGGAAGCAAATTAGTTCGCGCACAGTCTGCCAGCCGCCTATTCTTATTCAATAGCTATCTGATGTCGGAAGGGAGGCCGAGGCGGCGGAAGAGCTCCCGCTATGCCACCAGCAAGAAACAAGACTAAATACCTAATCTATAGGCTGATGCGAAGCCCAAAGTGCAATATGTGAACTCCGTGCCAGAGAGCTCGGAGAAGAGGGTTGACATGAAACGCAAGCTAAACTGAGGAACCAAAATCTCCAACAAGAGCAACACAGATGCTGAACTTTGAGAGTGACAGGGAGAACGGGACAAGAGTATTGGAAGCGTCATATACTTCTAAACAGCGAAGACATGGGGCGCGGAAGTCCTGTATCTAAGATCCCCGGGCTGGCGTTTCCCAAATTGAGTTCTTATACTGAGGCTATTTCCATCGGCTGCCCATCCCCCCTCTGGTTCGTTGTCGGAGCTATCGTTTTCAATAAAATGCTGCGCGTGGGCAGTTGACCCTTTGCGAGACTTTACCAATTACACATGTGAACTCGGGGCCCTTAAGAGGTTGGAGATTGTCTTCAATTATTAGAAGAGCGCCTCACCGCTTTTCGCAAGAGCGACTACGTGACTTCATTCCTATTCTGCTGCGTCTTACTGCCCCTGACGACCAAGCCGCGGCCAGGTCGTGATATAACCTATAGCTAGGCCGTGATAATTATTAATTAGTATATAAAAAGTATATAATACTATTTTATATTATATTATCTTGCTAGATTACTTTTGATATCTAAGCTGTACATTAGCTGTAGAGTTATGATATTGCCCTCTTTCCCTTAGCTCTCTATACTGGCACTCATTGTTTCCGATACTTCCTCTGGAGGAAAGTCAGACAAATAACGACGCCGAGGCCAGCAAGTCCGATTCCTAGATAGAGCGCACTGCGGAACCCCGTGAGCATATCCTCTTCCGTCTTACCTCCGTTGTTGACATGGACTTCAACCGTGCCTGCAAATCCAACACCAAGTGAGATGCCGTAATTGACCACAGTGTTGACTAGACTCGCCATGATACCTTGATGCTCCTTCTTGACGGCATCAGAGAGAATCAGCGTGGCTGCTGGGAAGCTCATGTCCATGCCAAAGGGCATGATAATGACCGACACAAAGGTCTGTGCCCAGTAAATCTGGTCCACGGGCGTGGTAGCTGTGAGGGTGACACCGATAGCAAAGGCCAGCAGGGCTAGGGTCATGACAACCGGGGGCGGCGTCCTTAGAGGCCCGAGTAAAGTGCCTGTTGCCACTGCTGCTATCATACCGGCCACTGCTCCAGGGCAAAACCAGGCTGATGAGAGAAGTGGAGATAGATGGCGGATCCGCTGAAGGATCTGGACGAAGTAGAGCGTCCACACACCGAACGTCGCCCAACCACAGGCGATCGCGCCGAGGACAAAAGCGACATCGGCGTTGATGGCATCGAAGGGTAGGAGAGGTCGCTTAGCCCACCTCGACTCTATGACGAAGAAGGCGACTAGAAGTAAGAATCCAATAACGAGTGTTGCAATAACTTCCGGTGAATTCCACCCGACGAGAGGCGCCTGGTTCCATGCGAAATTGAAGGTTACGAGACCTGTGCAGCCAATGACGGCACCGAGGAGGTCAAGTTCCGTTACAAGCGCTCGGAGAGACCATGTAAAGGAAACCTTGTGTGGTGGGGAAGGGATCACAAATTAGCCCACGACACAGATGACAAACAGTGTTATGGACAAAACCCAGAGGACCCACGGCCACCAGGCCAACTCGAGGGCCGATCCCGCCGCCGCTCCGACGATAGCCCCGACCGGAGCACTAGCGCCAAAGAATGAGAAGACCATAGCCTTCCGGTGCCCTGGGGGATACGAAGCACCGAAAATGGCGAGGGCATTGGGCAGGGCGATAGCTGGCCCGATACCTTGCAAGACCCGCGAGAAGACGAAGAAGAGATAGCCGGAGTAGACACTGAAGCCGGCCAACATGGACCAGAGGGAGAACCAGCCCATGCCAATTAGAAGCATGAGTTTGTAGCCGAATGTATCCCCTAGGCGCCCGGAGAAGAGGATAAAAGTGCCAACAGTCAGACTGTACCCAGCAACGAGCCAACTAAGCTTGGCGGGGTTTGTGACGCCAAAACTACCACCAATCTGATGTATCAGGAATAGAGTCTGAAAAAATGCTGCTTCTGATTAGGGGGGAATCGTGATCAGCTATGTCAATCCGAATGCGAGACGCCCAAGAGGCGAAATGCAGGCGCAACAACTCACGGGTACAGAACTGGACTAAGCAGGTCACAGAAGCAAAGAGGATTTCGCGCGGGAGCGTGAGGGTTGTGGCAAGCCAGACAGGCTCGGCATTGGAGTGGCCATGGGCCAAATCATGTTGTTCTTGTTGCTCGTTTTGCTCTTCACCGTTGATACTGCTGCTCCTACCACCGCCGTACAAGGACGCTAGCGTGGTGGTACCCGTTTCGTCTCCGGTTGGCGTACTTTGATGGGTGGGTAGCTCGGCAGGCTTTTCGCCGTTGTTTGTAATAGCAGCCATGATATCGGGGTGAGTTCCTCGCTGCTCGAGGCTCTGGATATAGAAGAGATGTACCCAAGAGAACAATCGCGCGTCTTCGTCCACGGCGAGACTTGCTCAGCGCAGGTAATTAAATATAGTAGAGAGATGGTGGGGGGGGAGATCGTTTATGACATTGGGGACTTTACACAGACTTGCCGGCAAGATCGCGAAATTGGAAGTCGGCCAAGGCGGGAGAGAGGCCCGTGGGTCAAAACTGATATCCAATGTTCGCTTAGAAATGGCCCACCTAGGCAAATCCGGTCTTTCTTATCCGCAGATAGATTGGATCTGATATCCATCGCGGTCAGTTGCAAGTTAAGCCAGATGGCGTTCACTGTAGTCGGCCATTTGATGCGTCTCTAAGATTGACAGCAGCAGTGCATAATGGATCTACTAGCTTAGCATGAAGTAGCGTACCCTATGACAAAAGGCTTTGGACACAAAGACAGGTTCCACTCGCTAATTGAAGTTAGTATCGGGCAGCCCACGTCGCCGTTTGTGGGCAAAAAGGGATAGCCGACTCGGATGGTTGGATTAGAAAGATCCGAGTGGGATTATTTATCAATGGTCGTTCTTCATCCCACTCGGCAGACACTAGCTGTCGCTTTCGGCGCTCGTGTCTTTGCCATCATCGTGGCGCTGATTCCGATTACGACGTTTCTTCACTGGAACTCATTCGGTCATTGCTCTCTTCTGTCGCTTTCTTTGAAAATGCCAAGTAGTCTATTTCCGGACCGCCGACTCCGCAACCCACGAAATGCACACTCTAACAACTCCGGAACGTCAGACCTGCTTTTGCGGCAAGACTTTCATCCGGAAAGAACACCTCCGCCGTCATCAGGCTACTCACGGCGAACGAGCTTACGTCTGCAATGTGTGCCAGCGATCCTTCACCCGCAAGTAAGGCCCCGGCCCCTATTACTTGTCTTGTCCTCCCGAGTGGGTCCAGCCATTTGATTATACTTAAAACAGCGTGCTGACTTGTGGCTTGCTCTCAGCGATGTCCTCCGCCGGCATGTGGGTCTCCACCAGTCTACAGCCATCCCAGATCCTCGCAGGAGCCGCGCTTGTGACGCATGTCATGCTAGGAAGACTAAGTGCGACGGTGGGGACACATGCACCCACTGCTCTAAGAGAGACATACCCTGCACTTACATCAGGGGAGGAGGGATGACCGAGACAGGATCCGCTGAGGCCCAGGCCAGCCATGAACAGCGTAACGGAGTTTCTGACAGCTTCCCGGATGCTCATACGCATGATCAGCCGTCACCGTCATTCGACCATCCCAATAGACCGTACATGGGAACATTCTTAGCGCCATCAGTTCCTTTATTCCCTTCCGGTAGGCTTGAGACCACCCTAGAAATAAGGCCGATCCCGAGTCCTCGAAGTCCGGAAAAGCTTCGTCCTATCTGTCTTGGTATGCGTGCGCTCGCCGCGACAGTCTCAACGCTGGACACGTTGGGTTCCTTGACCACTGCGGACCAGGAATCGCTCGATAAAAAAAACTGGGTTATAACTTGCCTCCAGTCTTACTCTAGAGCCTTCCACGAGCGATGGCCAATCGTACATCTGCCAGTCTTCGACCCAAGCACAGAACCTTTAGTCGTGGTTGCATCGGTTTTGATGATAGGCGCCTGGTACGAGAATGATGAGGAGCTGAGGAATCTGGTTACTGAGCTACATTTGATGTTGGTGGATCATTTACTGCGAGAACTGGTACGTTTACAGTACCGACGGTTCACTCTGCCGGATAGACGTAACTGACTTCCTACAGGCTACTTCAACTTCCGTGGCATTGAACGGCCAGCCGTGGCCGCTGGAGACTTTTCGCTCAGCGCTCCTTAACATCGTCTTAGCGTTCGAGACGGGAGTAAGTTCGGCAATCACTAGTGCCAGGTAGTGAGGTCTTTATGCTGACCGACATGCCTAGAGACTAGAGCTTATCTCCAAGGCCCGCCTTCTCCACGGCATCCTTGTCACCCTTTTCCGAGACAATGGCCTCTTCAGTGCGGAAGCAATTGAATGCCAACAAGACACGCACTACCCGGGGACCTTTACACCATGGGTGCATTTCGGTTTCCAGCGCTGGGTAAGGTTCGTCTCAAACCTCGTACCTCGCGCCCGAGTAACAATAACTAACCTCTTCCATAGGATCGTGACCGCTGCCTTCAAAGTCGACGTCCACCTCGCCCTCCTCACCGGCCACCCACCGCTCATCCAGCGCGAGGAGCTCGACTTACCCCTCGTCTCAACCTACGCCTTGTGGAATGCCTACGGCCTCGATCTGTTTCCCACGCGCTTTCGCACCCAGCCGGACGAGCGCGCCGGCTACCATATGTGCGACCTGCTGACTTTTGGCCGCAACTCACAGGTGCAGCCCCGTGGCGACAGTATCGTCCTCCTTAAGGATGTCGAGGTTGGTCTCCTCGGCGTCGTGCATAACACTTGGCAGCACGCGCGGTGGAGCCGCAAGTGGGTCGATGCCTCCGCATCGGCCTGCGACGCCGAGCACCAGAAGCCGCTACACCAGCTGCTTGGATTTTGGAAGGAGCGTCTAAACAACGTGCGGGGTGCAGAGGGTGCCCTGCTGGAGGAGTACGTCCGAGCGTACGCGGGCGAGGAAGAGGAGGATAAGGCGGAGGACCGGCACGCTATACTGGATCGGTTGAGGGCGTACGTCCTCCATGCCGTGCTACTCTATCACTTTGTCACGGTACACTCTTACGCGGACGTCGAGACGCTGCGCCAGGTCCTGATGGCTGACGCGGCGGCAGAGGAGTGTCCCCGTGGCCGGGATAGGGAAGCGCAAATGCGGCAATGGGCCAACTCGCCGGACGGGCGAAGGGCGGTGTTGCACGCGCTATACATCCTCAAGGCGTACCGGGACGACGCACAGCTCGCAGCCCTGCGGAACTTGGAAGTCGACCCGATCGCGCACCTTGCTCTTACAGCAGCTGCCCTAGTGACGTGGATGTGGATGATGGCTGGCGCACAGGCCTGTACCTACGCTCAGAACATTGCGGGCCTGGACTTGGGGCAATACGCGCCGGAAAGTCCTCAGATCGCGGACTGGGTGCAGAGTAGTGGTGTGGTAAGCCTGGACGGGACGCCGCTTTGTAGGAGCAATGCGGCAGATTGGATGAGGGTCTTTGCAGGTGCGCTAACTGGTGCTGGGAGGCGATGGGATGCTATAGTTGGGGTTTGGGAGAGCTTAGAGACGAAGTCGCGGTTTAGCTAGGCTTAACTGTATTCAGTAACAGGGCAAATGGGATCTTGTATCATATTAGGCTTGGGCTACTACTATTAAGACGGACTGGTGTGGCCTAGCCGAACCATCGAATAAAAGGTCGGTCAATGGCCAGAAGTCGAACCAGTCGAGAACTACCACCTAAAGCTCCCAATGGCTCGACGGACTTCGGATTCAGTTGATCAATGGAAAAGAAACAAGGGCAGCATGAAGTGGCATTTCCAATAGAGTGGAAGTGATAAGATGGAGTGCTCACTTATAAAGACCTAATCAAGACCGCTGTAGGCAAATCGCTACAAGAAACAAGTTAATATACTGATAAGTTGAAAGAATGCCTGGAAACTGACTATGAAATGCCGTACTTGAAGGACTGATTAAGATACTGCCTTGCATTAATGATAATCATCGATGATGAAGAACTTGAAGTAAAAGAAGAAAATGGACTATTACACCCGATTCCCTCTTCATATATTACGCGACCATGACAATCATCATACAATTGACATCACTTCCTGAGCACCTGGGTTCTTATGAAGACTGTGTTCATAATGCGCGGGCTGCATTTGACTCAATTATCAGCATTTTGGAATAAACCTTGGACCCCGAGCCATCCAAGAAGAAATGTTTAGGAACTCTAATATGGTAAGTCACTGCCCGCATCAGATTCGCCGTGTCATCCATCGTGACTAACTTTCCATTCAAGGATTGTGCCGCTTTTCCTCCCGCGTCCCTTCTACTTCTTGGTGAGGCATGCTAGCATGACCTGGTATCCACGAGACGAGGAGCGGATTCAGGCCGTGGCCGGCCCGGTCAACACGAACTTTGAGAGCCACTGTATTAACGAGAGTATGGCTCGTACATGTCGCAAAATCATGTCCTTATCTGATGAATACGTGAAGAAACCAGCGCATGGCGCTCGAGAACCGGATGAACGGTACAGGGCACTATTCAATGAAGACACCTTCTCGGGGGTGCAAGACTCGGGAGTTTTGCATGGTGTGGAAAGGGACAAAGAAACTACGATTGTTCAATTGGCTATTTCAGTGAACAAGCAACCCCTTTGCGCAGTGAAATACAATCCTATAGTCTCCATGAGTCGCAGCTTCTGGTAACTGTGTTATCCTATCACTCGAAATGGATGGGACGGCATTCACACTTGTTGAGCGTGGACGCCCCAGTGCCGGGGCCTCGGATACGGTACATCCAGACACACAGATCATCTTATCCAACAAACTGACACAATGAAAAACGCTTGAAGCTATTCTTAGCCGCATCTGAAACGTCGAGTTTGCGGATCATTTCTAAATATACCAAAATCGTTCGAATCATTCCATTATTCATTCCTCTGTACTCGGCATGAAAATTCGTTCCACATCCACATTAATCTAAGTCCACTTTGCACCCCCAATATCAATTTCTTCGTAGGAGAAATTCGATGATGCGGAAATCCCAATTACTGGAGGATCATGACCAATCCGACGACAGCGCCGGCCATGGAGACTATCATCCCGGGAGCCAGAGAACCAGCAGCGTTGTCACGGTTTCCGTTATCATCGTTGTTGCCGCCGTTGGTATTGGAGGCCGAGGTGGGCTGGGAGCCGGTGGTAGTGGTGAGCTGGTTAATGCCCGTGGGCCGGGTCGCCGTGACGGTAACGCCCTCGATGATGGTGGTAGCGCTTGGGGCGAAGCTGGTGCTTTGGAAGCTACACGCCGTCATGATCTCATGGATATCTGTAAACCGTCCGTGAGAATTGATCTTTCGTACCTGGAGAGTTTTTTTTTTTTTTTTTTTTTTTTTTTTTTTTTATCATCATAGGCTCTTACCATCAAGATCTTCTCGATCCCTCACGTTCTGCTCCATGCAGCTCGCACAAAGCGCAGCGACACCAGCGACGTCGAAGCTCGTGTTCGTGCACACGCACTGCTTCTCCAGAAGGTCCTCGTTGCGGTCACCACCTACGGCATCATCGTCGACGTTGCATTGTTCGACGAGACTCCGAAGCGGCTCGCAGACGGATGTGCATTGGGTGGGAATGTCCTCGCGGTCGAGGTCAATGTCAGCGAGGGCGACGGAGGCGATGGTCGCGAAGATGGGGAGGGCCTTGAACAGGTGCATTTTTTTTTGGCGGAGTTGGGGGAATTTGGCTGCTGTAAGGGCTGCTGCAGATGCTGAAGTGTGATTAAAATCAGGAGATGCGCGCTTGTAGGATGCGAGAGGGAAGCGGGCAGTTGAATCAAGTGTTGATATTTTAGGGACGACACAAGTGGGAGATGGGAATATTTTATAGTAAAAAAGAAGGTTTCCCGCAATGAAAAGAGTTGCAGATTTCCCGGCGAAGAAAGTGCAGAGGAATAAAAATAGTCTCTCGCCTTACGTTTCAGCTGCGACATGATGCGGCATTGTTGATGCGATCAGTAGTAAACAATTCATCGAAACTTCTTGGCAATGGCTGATCACCCGTCTTTTCCGTCTTAACTCATATCAATCGGGCGAGCAAGCTTCTCGAACTTTTCTCCCAGTCACAATTCTGGCCTGCGTCCATTGGTGCCAAGCCATCCCTTTACGACGTTGTGAGTCTTGGCGAAGAAGCTGTTTCTCGTTGGGGGAGTCTGCCAGCTCACAACCCATGACGCAGCGTCGGTGATCTGCCGGCTTTGTTCAAGGGATCCCTTGTTTGAGCCTGTAGAGAGGACCGAGTAAGGGTCCTGGCTTGGGTCTTGGCGGAACTCGAAGCCACGATATGTGACGACGTCGTGGAACGGCAGTGGGTTTTATTACGGATCTACATCGGTCGATCATTGCACTAGAGGAGATCGGTATTTTGGTAGTTAAAGCCCAAAGTGCATACATGTGCGAACGGCTTGGCATTGTTGAGGGGCCACAGACAGCTTCGGAGTAGCCCCGTCAAATGTAAAGGCTATTGAGATCAACAATGCTAATAAGTACTGAGTAGTTGCCCTACCTGTGCATACCTACAAGCCGCTAGACAGCTTGCAAATAGTTTGGTCCGTTCAGCCTGGTACCCTGGCATTGGGCGGTGCAGGCCAGCGATCCCGCCAGAGTGGATACAAGGGTGCTGTGGATCGATCGACAATACGAAGCACGATGGGGTTCGAGGGGGCACGCGAGCTCATACCAAAAGTAGATTAGGAAGTCCTGGGGCTTTCGGCATGCTAGCATGCTATGCTGATACTATCCTAGGAAATGTGCATAAACTAAACTCAAGCGCGGCCTAGTAGGTACAATGTACCTCACCGTAGGCTTCTGCTGGCGTTGACACTGAAACTGATGGGCTGGTGTCGTCATCGATGTGTGGCTTGGACCCCGTGTCTACGATGCGGATCTTGGCTTGCAGCAAGTCTCGATTGATAAAGGATGTGTATTTGTTGGTTCACTATCCAGCTGAAGCTGGCCGGACGAATAATAAACTAGGAAACAAAAAGGACGACAGCACGAAACACTGTAAAAGTGAAATCTGAAATCTGAACCCATGAAACGCATTTGTCGATTTGATGCACCTTGCTTTCAACCTCGCCATTGGGCTGGCATCTGAGTGGCCAATATCTTCCACGTTGAACCTGGTCTGTGGACATTATAGGAGCTATTGCTTCCCGTATTCTCATCCCCTCCATATCTTCACAATGTGCACCCCACTCTCCCTTCATAATCCGTTCTAGGCCACAGGCTCGTATCCAGCGCTCGTCCTGTGTGCCTCCCGATGTGAGAAGAGATAATAGATGATCAAGCCGACGATGGGGAAGACGAATACGATAAGGGACCAGATGAGCTTTCCCGCAGTTGATCGGTTCGACTTGAGGACCTCGACTGTGAAATGTTAGCACTGGACTACCTCTAGCTTCCGAAATACAGTAGACTGCCATGAGGAGAGGGGACGCGACGGACTGATAACGATGATATCCAAGATCAAAATGACGAAACCAACGACGCCGCCACCCGTACCATATTGCCAGGCATTTCCGTGGTGGCCGCCGGTTGTATCGACATCGACGGGAGCGGCGAATGCCAAGCTTGCGAGGAGCAGCTGGAGGAAAAGGTTGAACTGGAACATAGCGGATCAAGCAAACGTGTTTTCTAAGATTGATTTCGATTCTTTTTTTCTTTTTCTTTTGCCTTTCTAGATCGCGGATCGGACACAGGGCAGACGTTACAGCGATTTCGATCTTATGAAGGACGTCGAGAAGAAGAAAATTAGGCAGATGCGAAAGAAATATTTATGCGATGAAACATCCGAAGACGGATTCCGTGCGGGGGAAATCTGACATGAATGATGATGTCATGGGGTCATATATGCAACCGTGACGCAAAACACATTACGAGATACGCGATGGGAGCAGGCACAGGCACGGGCAAAGGAAGTTAACGTGCTCCATTTCCTGCGTTTCGATAGGCTCACCTGGCCGGGTAAACGCCACACCCTAGCCCGAAACCATCTGGCGGCTGATCATCCCGAGACTGGAGATGCTGGATGCGGGAGGGATGATGTAAACTTCGGTAGTGATAGTGATTAGAGTACTTCGTAGACTTGACTGCGCTTCCTGTGGCTCTGTGGCTGATATCTTTCTGACACAATATTGACCTCTAATCGGATCACTCAGAATTCCTGTGGCGCCGGGACAGGAGCTGCGGACTTGAGACTCAGCATCGCATCACATGACCGGACCAGCTCTTGTCTTGTATTCCGGCCCCGAGACGGCCTCCTGCCTTCGATGCGGGGTTGCTCGAGGCATACTCCTCCCAGACTCAGGTCTCTGCAAGAGGGAGCACAAGGCCATTTGCAGGAGGGTTGTGAAGGATGTGCGCAGCGGTGGTACGGCGGTCTTCAGTGCCGTCTTTAGTAGCAACATCCCGCCGCCCGATTTCGACAAGTTCTTTGCGGAGCAGTGGTCTCTGCCCTGGAAATTTTGGGTCCTACCACCGGACGGATGTCTTTCTCAATGCCTCCGCCGACGGCGTACCAACGACAGGTTTGGCAGAGTCGTACAGCCAAAAGGCCGTCCATGTTAACGGTGCCGAAAGTGCTTCTGCGTGCTACTTGCGCGAAGAGGAGTCGAGGATTCAGTCTCTTGTTTTCGCCCCTAGCGAAATTGCCGACAAGTCTGAGGCGCCTGTGGTTTTCCAGAAGCTGGGCATCAGGTTATGTCGGGTATACGGGAGATGTGAATGCGGAAGCCGAAAGACTCCCGTTGTATTGGCCATGTTTCGTTTGAGGTTTCGCGAGAGAAGAGGATAGATTAAGATCGGATGTAAACTGCCTTGATAATTGTGATTGTGTGTCTTCCAACAGCATCGTCCTCATGCGAAGGGACTTGGCCGCCTCGCCTTTTCATTACCGACAAAAATTCAAGTATCATCGCCCCATCAGGTTGGCAAAGCTCCTCGTCATGCACCTGTAAAACTCTAGCACCGTGATTGTAGTATCTAAAAGCTCCGGATTAGAACCATTAGCGTCCCGCATGATGGATGATGCCCCCGAAAATTCTGCAAAAACCGATGCGCTGATAGAAACCCCATGCCAGTGTAGTTGCCGCGAGAAGGAGAATATCGATTCGGTGCACGTGGCCTTCTCTACATTCACTGTAGATTGGCATGACAAAACACTCTTTCAGAATAATTTCGTCCTTAGTGGTGGTTGTATCATAGTCCATAGCAGCGTAGATCTTGAGTGGCACATGTTCAAATTCAGAAAATAGTTCCCTCATCGCCGTTTTTATACATGATTCCAACAAGCCCTCGGCCTATTGCTGAGCACTCAGAGCTTGAAAGTGTGCAGCACCTTGGTCCTGGAATAGTAGGTACAAATGCCCTTTCAGCTTCAACCTCCTAGACATGACCTCACCATATTTGTCAGGCCCAACAGGTTGAGTTGATGCTTTTATAACCTTGGGTACAGAGCTAAGGCAAGACATGCATCTTTGGTCCAGTTCTGAAGCTGCTGGGCCATCAAACGACTCGACAGATGCCCAAGGCCACGTAGGGGCTCGATAAGTCTCCGTACGCCCAGAACCCCCTATGCGAACCCACCTCAAATCCTGCACGAGCATGTGTTCCCATAGTCCGGCCAGATACCTTGACTAGCGAACCTCGGCGAATGCCCGAGCAACACCAGAGATTGCGACAAGCTTATCGTCCGGAAATGTAAGTGAAGTTGCGTTATAGTTTCCGAGGGTTAGATTCCATTCTCTAAAGCAATTCTCAGACGTGAGTTTAATGGAGGAGGGTAACTCTGGTAGCATATAGCCTTCCCTATGCTCGTCGGGAAAATGTTCAAGGCCGTCGATCTCACTCGTTACCTCCTCCACGCACCGGTAGAATATTTGCTTTCGAGTATAAATAATGGACCGTTTTGCTAAAACCCTCTCCTGCAGGACCCAGCTCCTTTGGTAGAGTGGTTCCCTTCCGAGGAAAAGTCCTGAGGCCCAAGACCTATCGCGGATTTCAGCCCACACCCAGCGCGGGCTTTCTTCAGCCGCATCCTGGCTCGTCACATAGGGAAGCAACAAATCGGGATCTCTTGGAGAGAAGAGCGATTCGGAGCAATTCCTTGCGGATGCAGCCCCGATATTAAACAATGAATATCGGTATACCTGGCACATTAGTGCGCTCTCCTGGCGCCAGTCCTCGCGGCAGTCTTGGGTAATACACTGGGACCAGGGCGTCAGCGCTGGGTCATGCCACCGCGAAAAAACCCCAAACACAGACTTACCAATGAATCTATCCATATATACTCGACATTGAGATTAAGAACGACTGTTGCAGCATCCAGATATAGCGGAGGAATGGTTGGCAGGGGTATTGTCATCTTGTAATCCTCTCGATTTTGCGTAAGAAGCCGCAAAGGCAGTTTACCTCCCCAGCAATGGCTTAAAGTGAAATACGGATCGGAGAGAGATTTTTCTTTAGTCTCAACAAGTCTTAGATTCATGGTATCCCCGGCCGATGCGACTTTCAAGAGTCTGGTCGGATACCAGCTCCCCGCAGTCCTTTGGCAGAGCGAGTGTTCCGGCTGACAACGTTCAACCTGACGAGTGACGAAGGCGTATGATCCTTTCGAACTCGTGTTGTCGCCGAGGATTGGCTTGGGAATGGCGCAATGAGCCTCATTCATTTTGGAATAGTTGAACACAGAACCAACGTCGTCGTATGGCCAAGAGGAGCTGATTTGTTTATCGTATCCATTGGCGTGGCGAAACATTCAACCTGAAACATCCCAGAATCCGGTGCGGCCGTTGTTCGGAAGTCTGGATATGCTGTAAGGAGTTCCTCAGTCGTCATATTTTCGCTGTTCAAAGCTATCTTCACACTCTGGAAGATTTTGAGGCACCACCAACATCGCCCAAGCACGCCATCAACCAAGTCGGATGGATTGCGATGCAGATATCCAGGCTGGGGAGTTACTGCTGTCTTCTTTAAGCTATCACAGAAGACCGTTGGACATCTAAGACAGCCCTTTACAGCCATGGTAAGAGCCCGTGGATGAAAATGATATTGAGGAGCACGGCGGCAGTGTGATGTGTGAAGGGGGGAGCCAGAGACGTGGTTGGTGCCCAAGATCATTGAAGGGTGATTGAATCGATTTGATCCAACGTCAGGCTTAGCGGAGTTTAGCCGACAGCAGGCGCCTTTGAGAGTTGTGATATAAAGACCTCTACAGTCCCTCAGATTGCCAGCCTGGTGGTTCAGATCGTCAGTCGAAGAAAAGAGGTTCCGCGTACCGGGACGATGAGGGATTGGGCACCACTGCCAAAACGAAGCAGCTGTGCATGAGCCTTCCGGGAGCAGGCAAGGTTGGTGATGGTCCAAAGATAAGTAATGCGCAGATCTAGGCTGGATGCCACCATCGTTAGCCGGCAAATGGAGGGCGATGCTCTCGTCGAGCTCTTTCGAAACATGCATCGGAATGCAATCAACAAGTCACATAAATCGATTTGTTGCAATAGGGCAAGGGCATTTTCATTTCCAATATATTCTTGTAATACCGCTGTCATTTCTATACTCACAGACGTGGCTCATGAAATATCCGGCTCTCCTTTTCTTAGGTGAAGTCGGGAGCTGCCCAGTTCTAAAAAGGGTAAATAAAAATGGCATTATCCTGTTCTAGCTGCCAATGCCGTCCCAAATCTTTAAACTAGACAAATATCTACCGCCCCTCGACTCTCAAAACCCTCCCCGTCCATAAACCCATGCAAGTATGCTTCCCCCACGAGCTTAAACCTTCCCACCTCACCATCTTCTCCCCCGTGACGCCGCAATACATGAGGCGTCTTCGCCCCATGGAAAATTGCAACGATATCTCCCACGTGAGTCCCCGGGGGCACGAGGACCATATATTTCTCACTAGTGACGGCAAACTGCATCTTGAACGTCGTAGCAGCGAGAAGGAGCGAAAGCCTGCCTGAAAATGCCGTATCCGCCGCACGGATGTGGTCATCCATGGAAGACTGGTAGGCAGCGATTTGCTCATCGTCGAGCCGCCGGGGCATGAGCGAGAACTGGAGAGCCATCATTGTCCAGAATTTCCGTTTGAGCATTTCCGGCGGTTCCGACGGGTCTATGTCCGAACCTAGGAGCTGGGAGATTGCCTCTTCGAGTCGCGGCTGTGGGGGAAGTTGGAAGTCGGGAAATGCAGATGCTCCGCCACCCCGGATTATTTGATCGAGTTGACGGAAGATGTAGCGGAGGTCATCGGCCGTCTGTTTCGGCATGGAGACGAGACGGAGGTATTCTTCCAACAGCACAAAGCGATCCTTCAGCATGTCGACTGTTAGGTAGTCGTGTACCGAGCCAAAGTCCGGATCGAGAATAAGCCGGTCCAGGGACGACAAAACATCCTCCGGCGAACCTGTCAGGGCATCCTCGACGATGCTTGCCAGCTTCTTTGACCGCGAGGTCGGCGTTCCGTTCAAAGCGGCTGAATGGACATCCTCAAGCTCCCGCATATGCGTGCGGTAGGCCTCTCCGAAAGACTCCTCGGCAGGATAATGGTCTGGGGAAGACACGTTGCACAGCTGTGTTCTCCAAAACGCCTCCCAGCGAGACTGCCCGTTGAAATAAGTTGTCTCACAGCAGGATTCCGCGAGCGCGAGCGCTTCTTTGTGCCTCTCTACCATCTCAAGAGCACGTCGCGATCCATTGCGTTGTTCCTCTGACCCCGCGTCCCCAAGGTTCTGGAAAATTGTAGAGAAATCGAAGGGTGAGGGCTCTAGCTTTGTGATGTGAGCGATGGAATCGATGACGCTGGCTCGGATGATAAGGTGTCTGTTATCGCCAAGCCCTTGTGGGCTTTTGGCTTGTATGTTGGAATTTCCGCTAGCCTCATACGGCGCGTAATCCGAGAGTATTGCGGAGGGAGCAGTTAATAGATGTTTCGGTAACTGGCCCAAGTCTGGTATCCACGAAGGCCACTCGCCGACCTCGTCCTTCGTCCGGGATATTCCCGCTAACGCAAGGAGTAGGAAGCGATCCTTTGCCGGGCCGTTTACCAAAGAAAACCGAACCGCCTCCTCGAAAACGGCGAGGGCTGTTTTGCCCTGGCCATACTCTGTCGCAATATCCCTCTCATTCATCGCCGCGGACACGCCCTTAACAGCAAAGACACGGTCCCTATCGTCAGTAGCCTGAAAGGCTGCAAAGTTGGCGATGACCCTCGCCAAGCTCCACAGCCGTCCGTTGCCGTATCGTTCCCTCATACCAGCCAAGGCCCTGAGTTTCTTGATACCCCAGAAAGGAGGTGTAGACATGCCGTACTCGCGATCTAACTTCTGCAGCGTGCCGTCGCCAGTGGTATCCAACGACACCACAACAGCCGAAAACGTTTTCCAGTCGAACCAGAGCCCGCCATACCAGATGTCAAGCTGCTTCGACACAGCCACCTCCTGGATTATCCAGACACGCTCCCAGTACTCTATACCCAGCATGCGATCCAGCGAGCCCCACATCTTCTCGTTCTCGGCCGCGTACTTAGGAGGCTTGGTTGGTCTCGTTCCCTCCAGCCCGGGCGCGTTTTGGGCCTTGATGTTTACGTCGAGGGACTGGAAGATGAGGCGCGCGATGTCACGGGCGTCTGGGGCGTGGCCGAGCCAAGCTACCGTGCGGACTGCGGTACTATAGATATCTCTCATGAGGTTGACCTGCACGTTCTTCTCTGAGGTGTCGCCCTGGTTGATGCAGATGGCGTCTATCCAGATGCGCCGAGGCCACCAAAGCGAGATACGACTGGAAAGAACGTCGAACGCACTTTTTTGTATGGGGAGGAGACATCCGTTGATGCGGATGAGATGCGTTAGATCGCCCGACCCCCAGCGGTAGGAGATTGCCTCGAACGGGGGCGCCGAGTCAAGGTCGTGAATCTCGAGAGAGCACCACACGCCCAAACCGAAAAACGGCCGTAGATGCAGGAGCCGGATTTCTCTCCCCGCGAGCTTGTTGTAGGCATACCTGGGCAGAGTAGATTCTCGAGAACTACTCTCCATCAAGACGCGCTTTATAGCGGCAGGTCTCACCTCCTTCATCAGCGGCCGAAGAGTCTTGATGCCCTGCATGAAAGCCAGTAATCCCCAGCTGAGTATCCATGGCCACCAGAACCAAATCCCGAGGAGGATAAATTTGGCGACGAAGAAGCGCGTGACGGGATAAGGCCATAGATACTGGATCGATTTGATGTAGAAATATTGGAAGACCAGGAGACCCAACCTCCTGTAGTAACCACGCAGAAGCTGATGAGCTAACATGAAGATCAGAGGGACGAAGTAGCCGAGGACGGCGTCCATGTTCTCGAACAAGAAAGCCGCATCAGGATTATTGAGGGGACCGTCCATCAGCGCCTTCCGGCACGCGGCGAGGGCGACGCCGCCCAGGCAAGGGTGAAAGAGTAAGACTAAGCCAACACATGCTGCAAAGACGATGAGTTCAGTGAATCGAGAAAGCGGGCCGAGAATGGAAATCACCCCTTTCCAGGCTACGAACTGAAATGCGAGGAGGCCAAAGTATCGACGGAGACCCGGTTTGGCGATGGTTGCGAGGAATTCTTGACCTACGAACTGCAGCGATCGATTAGAAGACGACGACATATTTTTGTCCCTGAAATTGAAGGGTAATTCGAGGACTTTTGGAGCCTCAGGGACTCAGCGATGAGGTTCGAGAGCTGACAATCGCATTTTCTCTGTCTAGAGTCTCGAGTCCTCGACGATGCGGCTGAAGTCACGATGTGACTCGGGCGGGCAATAATTATACCAAAAACGGAAAGGGTTAATTTTGCTGCGCCCCCTGCCCCCTGCGTTACGGAACAATTGCTCGATTTGGAACGTTGACACATTAAGCCCTTGGTCCGTTTTATGCTAGAACTACCAACGAAGGGATTCGGGATATCAGAAATACATTAACCACCAACGTATGGTGCAGCCCCTTCACTCCTCTGATTTAAGGCACAAGAGCCTGGATTAGTGGTAGAAATGGCTCTTACGACAACTGTATACGGCGTTGTAGGTCTGGATGGCATTTCCATTGCTATCTAAACCAAAAGGAAGACGAGCAGAATGGCAAGAAGTCGATGTCAGGACGGACATCTAAACGAAGGTCTAGCTGTCCACCTCGAGGCGACATGCATGGAATACATCATGTGTGCTAGTCCTGCCCTGGGGGATGCGCTCAAGGTCGTACCGCTCGTTCTCCAATTCAGAGAGCTTCTCAACTGGCTTGCCACTGAGGAACCAAGTGTCCTTTCCAGACGTTGCAATGCAGATGGTACTGGAGATGGCCCCACGGACCATCAATGTCACCGACTGACGTACCCCCGTGTCGAGAGGTGTAAAGACGAGCCTCGCACGCACGACCTTGCCATGGGCATCGGTAGGCTCCAGGAGTTTCCGGGCAGAAACGGAAGAGTAATAGGATGGGCCGCCGTCTTCATCCATCCAGGCACCGCTCTGCACATCGGTCTCTCGGAGTTTTTCCTGGCAATATCCGAGAGTACACTGATTCCATGGCTCTTTGAGACCCTCTTCTAGTAGATCCTTGAGCTGTTCGAAGAACTTGCCTTTTTTCAAATCGTTCACTAAAACGTGTTAATACGTACACCAAGCATTCAACAAGATATCCTGCAGTGTCACTCACCAATAGACAAGGCCCACGAGTTGAGGACCCTCATACGTTGCACACATTGGAATGCCTCGGCTCGCTTGCTGAGCATCTTATGAATGACATCCCTAAGTCCCCGAGGTTAAGGAACGCAAGATTAGCCAGGTATCGTAACATCGCTAGATGGGACTGATACTTGCCTGTCGTTGAATAGCGCCATCAGCGATGCTGATGATGGCTACCACGAGAGCTGCCGCTGCAGCGAACCCAGCAACGAGCTCGAGAGCACCGAGAGCAGCTGCAAAGCTGATTATGCCTAACACGACGGCTGCCCCCGCGATGACTAGCGTGTCCATGCCTACCAGACCCAGAATGTCCACGATCAGGGTTGCGGCATGATCGCTCTTGTCCCATACTACCAGGAACTCCATCTTCAGTCTGTATGTTCGATGTTGAGATGTGTAATGTATCGGTGAGCGAGTGTCATCACGTACCTCTCCCGCAATTTATCATAGGCCCTAAGGTCCGCATCATTCTTCATGTTCTTACGGATGTACTCGTCCAGTTCATCTCGCGTATTCACGCCCAACTTGGACAGGACGGCATCCAACTCTGCCTTGAGTTGATTGAATACTTCTTCCCTGCGAACACAATGTTCTCATTAGAAACTGACGCAAAGATGGACCCAAGAAGTGAATATCATTGAAGAAATGGGTCCCTAACTTCTTGGCCTTCTCCCGCTCAAAGTCTTGCACGAATTGTAGAATGTCCTGCCGCAAGCCTTCTGCACGCTTGCGACGTCTGGGGTTATCGGGGAAAGCTATGTCACCGACAGTATTTCCCATGGTGGTGATAGTCGAAACGTAAGAAGAGTAGATGAGAGGAACTGGGTTTGGAGGGATTAGGTGCTTAGGTGCTGAAGTGTTTTGCCGCCTATGGTGTGACTTGTGCAAATAATCCTCAGGGACATTCACGAAGGTATGGTGGCACTTCTAAATGGAGATTAACATCGAATGGAAATGGGTTGAAGCGGAGAGAAACCAACCCGCATCCTACAACTTTCGCATCGTCGTGACTACCGCCTCTCCCAGACTACGGGTCTTTTATTTTCTTATGTTAATCCTTGGAAACCGTGCATATCGTTGTTCAAACCCATCACACTTTCCTGCTTCCTCTGAGGCCTTGAATTTTACCCCCGAATCGGGGTAGCTCGAGGAGAGGGGGCAGTTGTTCGGTCCCATCCGTGGCTGCCCGATAGGCTACCAGCACTGCATAGATCACCGCCATTGCAGACATTGCCCTTTTGTTTTCGTCCGAAGCGTAAAGGAGGTTTGGTGTGAGTATTAGTTTGTCGTACGAAGTATAGCTCGACATGATGGGTTCAGCTTCGATGGACGGAAAATGGCTTACTGAAGAGGTGATTGGCTTCCCTATGAGGTGCCGGCGTGGTCAACTGTTGCTGGTGTCGCCTTATTCTCATGTTTGCCACCCTCTTTGCATAGGAATATGTAGATGGTAAAAGCCGGAGCTTCGAGACAACGACCTCGCCCACGTGTAGACTGGGGCCTAGGGATAAAACTTATGCCAAGTGGATCAATACTGGGGACGACCCTTCGAGGCACTCTCCAAAGCGGTGATGATGTGGCCCGGGATGTGATATTGAGTGGTCATTGGAGGAGCAACTCCTTGCGTCATGGGAGAGTCTGCAAGCCAAGAGATGTTTATCGCATAACTAGGTGCTAAGAGGCGTCAGGCTAGGCCGCTTACGATCCGTCCCATCGATAATCAATCTGACCATTCCGGATTTATTTATAACTGTGATCCGAAGTAGCTAGCTCATTGGATTTGTAAGGGATATGGAGGGGCAAGCACGGAGGAGTTAATCTACAAATCCTATTGATGCGGTGACATACGTCGAGTTGCTCTCAAGGAAGCGGCCGTGTGCGGGTCCGTCCGCATGCGAATATATGCAGCCACCATGCAGGTTCGTGAAGATTTAGTAACAATCGGTTTGCGTTCAGGAGTTCTCAGCCAGCTTCTCCTGTCCAAATCAAACCCGAAATATCTATGACTCTCTATCCGGGTCTCCTGATTCAGCTGGGCAAGCATTGATGGGACGATACACCGCAACATGTCGACATCTTCATCCTTCTACTGGGAATTTCCGTTCCCCACGAGGCCCCATTCGGACATCTTCATTAAGGAACTTATGGTTGAGCGGATGTGCTACTCCACCCAACCTCCGCATTTGACAATGTCCCCAACACGGGTCGACCACGAAGGAGCTCGTTGTTAGAAGGTGGACGTGGGTCGATCTTTCTGCTCGCGAGCATGTAAGGGTTGAGCATTTCCCAACTGCAAGAGGAGAAAAATCCAACATCTCTAACTCAAGTTAGGCATCATACTCAGCTCGCTCACAGCTCTCAATCGTCCTTCTTCACCGAAGTTTTCCAAGATTGTTACCCAATATCCACCATGTCTGTCGATCTTCTCTACCCTGGTACGTATATCAACAAGGATCAACACAAAATCCGACGCCTCCTCCTAGGCTCCGTTTTCAGCCGAATCTCTAACCGTATGCCTCTACTCTCTAGACAACAAAAACCGGGGCAGCCGAGTCAAGCAGCTGGTCGCCCAAATCTCCACCATCCAGAACGACGCTAGACTCTCCAAGGCGACCGTTTCAGACCAGCTCAAGGTCGCCGAAAGCAAGCTTACAGATGTTCTCCAAGCGCATGGATTGCAATCCCTTGATCAGTTGAAGAAAGAATTGATCGACAGCTTGCCCGAAGAAGTCAAGAAGCACTACTTGGACCTGGTCAAGCACTATGAGAAAGATGTGGCGGATGATACGCAGGTCATAGACATCATCGGGCTGGTCCTCACCGTCTCGGGGGTGTGGCCAGTACGGGTGAGTGAAAGATACCTGATCTATCCCGCCTTGCGATATGGGCTTCGTGATAGCGGACTAACTGACCATAATGGGCGTGCTCACTAGCCAAGTTGGTCCGGTTTGTCACCAGTGGCAAGGTCGCCGCAGCATTGGGATGTATTGTCCGGGCACTGGCTGTCCTCGCTACAGGTAATATTTGCCACATGAAACAATATAAACACGACTTGAGATAGAGGAGATGAAAAAGGTCGGTGCTAACCATCTAGTAAACTTGGCACGCGGGATAGATATTGAATCGGCCCAGAAGCTTATCAAGTTGGGCTCCGCTGTTATCAAGTCTATCTCACCCGACATTGAGTTGGGCGAGGCAGCGTTGAAGTGCCTCAATGTTGTCAAGGTCGCAGGAACGGTCCTTACAGCCCTGGGCGTGTTCATCGACGGCATCATCCTGATTATCGTGGCATTTAAGGGAGCCGAGCAGCGCGAACAACTTGAAGCGTATGTTCCCGCCGTAGCCCATTACCGAGAACCCTCTGCCACTTGTTTCCCATCTCCCCTTACTTTTCCTTCAACATCACCTCTGACCGTCTTTACGCTAGGGCAATCAACGTCCTTTCATACCGCCGCTTCAGCGCCCAGGCCGTCTCTCTCATGGGCGAAGTTTACGCGCAGTACATTTCCTCCCTGTACGCCCTGGTGGTGAAGATGAAGAAGAAGGCCGATATTGAGGACGTCGTCGACGAAACCTGCGATGACCTGAAGAAGGTACGTGATGCTCCATCGACAAGGAGGTTCGCCATTCGGTAAGGTTGGTTTTTTTTCTGGATCTGACAGCGCATGCAGGGGCTCGAGGGAGTGAATTTGGAATCTGTCTATGATTCCCTGAAGAAACTGGATGACAGTGATGCGAATACGTGGAACGAGAAGGATCCTACCAAGCAGGCTCTGGAGAAGTGGTGGGATGATGGCCATGATCCCACTCAATACAAGGGGCCTCTTCCTGACAAGCACCCGGATGGAAGGAAATAATGGGTGCCGTCCAGGATTCCGCCTTCTAATGGGTAACTCGGGTGCAATATGGTAAGGAAATTTCTGGTTCCTAGTTGTCATGCTAGTGCGTGGACTTTCGATATTCCACTAGGTCCTGCCACGCTCTCAATTCAGAATTGTTAAACTGCATTTCTTCGCGTTACCTCCGTAATGAATCGATGAATGTCAAATAACCTCTAGTCTCAGGCTCTGATAAACCCCATTATATTCGTTATGCAGGGGTACATGCCGGTATATCCTACATACAATCAGATGGACTATCCCTATCTAGACGCGCTTGTCGCCCTTCATCTGCGTTTCTTCAATCTCGTTTACCTCTTTTTCTCCTCCCTCGTCTTTCTCGAGCCCGTGCCTCCCTCCGAATAGCGTTACCCTCAGCCGTTCTATTGCAGTCTGCACCGTACTTCCGCGCCAAGATACAACCAAGCAGAGCCGCACAGAAAATCAGAGGTACACACTGGCTACGGCAATTTCCAGTGCGGTCCCACAATAGGCCCAGGAACAAGGCAATAATGCCGTTGTTGCGACAATATGGACTTCGCGTAAGCGTCAGCCCGATCCCCGCTGCCAAAGGCCCAGCCGTCTTCCAGAAAGGTCCCTGAACGACATCCCAATCCTCGCTCGACGGACCATCGCTCATGCTCAAATACGAAGCCACGAAGCTCAACGGCAAGAAAATAACGGTGATGAGCGTAAAGAGCAGAATGGCCTTATTATCCTCGTCACGCATAATGTTGGTTAAATCGCGAACACTTTCCACCAGATCGGCAGACCTCTCGAGCGTAGCGTCAAACAACTCGATCTGGTATTCCAGGTTGGCTTCCGTCCTGTTTATCATGTTTCGCTGGACATTGTAAGGGTTGCCGGGGATGCCATTGCCGCGGCGGCGGCGGTAGTCGTTGGGCGGTGGTATGAAGCCCGGGAGGCTGGTTAGATCTTCGCAGAGCTGGGATTGCCACTCGGAGATGGTCTTGAGTTTTCGGACTTCGTCTGTGAATGCTCCGATGGCTGGCACTTGAAGTTTCCTCGCATGGTTGAGGACTTCGGAGCTCTACGATACGGTTAACAAAGAAAAATGGACACGGAGAAATCTCACTAATACTTAGGCCGATGAGATAAATACTTACCCAGTTCTCACAACACGCCTCGTATATATCGCAGACAGTCATACCATTGTAGACGACATCCTGCGAAAGGTTCGAAATCATCTGGGAGGCGAGAGTTCCCAATGAAACCGGCTCAAAGTACCGAATGCCGTAGTCTATGGGCTTCAAGTCCCGGGCGAGTCGAAGGGAGCGCTCGGCATCCTTGATGAAGTCTCGCGCCGCCAAGCCGACCCGCTCTATCACGACACGTTTGTACCTGATATTCCATGGCATCTCGAGGAACTCGGTCTCGGGTTTCGAGACCGCTACTACGTAATGCTTCTCAACTTCATCAAACAGTAAAGGAAGAGCAAGAACATATACGAATATCAGCTCGAGAGCTGCGAAAAGGTCGCTTGGCACACCTTGGATCGGATCGCGAAAGACGCCGTCTACTACCCTGGCTTTTTGCATCTCGCAGCAGAGCTCGGACAGACGGGCCATGGTGTCGCGGCAGAGATCGAGAGTCGCCACGTACTCGGCCTCAAGAGCCGAGGGTGCTGCCTCGGAAAGAGTGACGATGCAGGACCGGACCTTCTCTTCGGGTGTTGCTTTTAAGGCGTGTCTTTTCCGTAGGTGTTTAAGGGCGCCTTCCTCGGACTGGTCGATTCGCCTGCGGCCGCAACGAGTGCAGGAGTCGAGGTTCAACGGGCCCTTGGAATATTCCGGACCGAGAATACGGAATAAATCCTGGCGCAATAGACATTTTTGGGAGTTGCTAGGTGTGTCAGTTGAATTGACCGAGGTCTAAGATGCAGTTAGTTTTCGGAGTTTTTGAGCATCGTCTGGTGGCACGCTCTGGCCTTACACGAAGCAGTCTTGAGAGGGAGTTAAGATAGTGTTGAAGAATCGGGAAGGACTTGGGGTTATTGTCAACGAATTCTTCCAGCGTAGACCTCGCTGCTGCACAAAAGTCCGTTGCTAGGATTTGAGCCCTATCAGAGAATCGGCTCGCATGTGGGAGCCCATCTCGCGTCGAGGCTGGTTTGCCGAGATCTAGGTCTAGTTGTGGAAACTCTTCCTTCAGCTGACTGACGAGGAACCGCTGGCTTTTTCTCAAGGCGAGTTTAATGCGCGCGAGACAAGCGGCGTTCCACTCGTGGCGTACTTCGTGGCCGGGATTTCGTGACTGTATTGCGGGTGGTATGCCAGTCCGCGATTTCTCGTCGGGATCATCGCCCCCGACACAGAATGGGGGTACTCGAGGGTCTAAAGCGCGAAGCGCTAGGCGCGAGTCTAAAAGTGTTCATTCAGTTGTTCTGTTCCTACTTGTTTGAAGCAGTGATTTTTCGATAATAGAACTTACACTCCTTTTTGCTGTCTGTGGTAGTGAAAACATCCGGTGGTACGTCAACGTCATCCAATTCCAAATCGTCAAGCGTGCTCTCGGCGCTTTCAGTTGCGATCGTAGACACTCCAACTTGACCTTCGGCTGGTGTTTTTGCGAACGTCCCAACTCCAGGCGCGGGTACCTGTCGAGATGGTCTGCGAGAGAGGTTCCGCTTCTTGGCGCGTTTGATTCTCCGGACCCGAATTCTGAAAGAAGGATTCTCGGCGCGACAAAGCCGACCAGGTCGACGCACTTATTTCGTTTTCCGCAATCGTCCACTAGTCGTAGAGCATACAGGTCTTGGTTTCTGCGGGTTTTCGACTCCTCATCCTCAACTACTTGTCGAAAGACCTTCAACAAAGTCGTTGTCAGCCAGCCAACTCAGCTCCCTCATGAATCGGTAGCTCCATCACGGGAAGGAAAAAGGAAAAGAACGCACGAAGAAGTTGTCGCATGAGTCTAGCGGGATCTTCAGGAGCTTCTTTGAAAGATCTAGAACTTCAATGGTCGGGTTTCGGTAGCAGGTTTGAATATCATTAAGAAGAAGATTATGACGGAGTAGCGGCTCCGATTGTGGGCAACCGTAGGTTAGTATGCCCCCTGGTTCGAGTTCGGCTCTCATGTTAGTTCTTTCGTTTCCTGGGAAAAGATAGACGGGGAAGGGCCATCGACAACTTACGGCCTTCAACGACCAATATCCAAACGTATCCAACCCAAAGCACATCTTCAGCCCCTTGACTCGACATCATGTTGAATGCTTGTTTCTTGTCTCTTTCAATCGATTTGTCATGGACACTAAATGTCTCGTGGAGTCGGCGCGCCGCGAGTACCACCTTCTTGTGCCGAGACCCAGTTGGACTGCTCGAAGCATCATCGCGTGGTGTAGCACGGGGACCAAGGAACTGGCGAACTCTACGCGCTATTCCCGGAGGCGATGAGGCGCCTTTGCCTCGGGTGTTCGGAGACGCAGTCAGGGCGTCGACATATAAGAAAGGCATCGAGATGAAGATGGCGGATCCGGGAAGACCGGGGCTGATTTGACTTCGGTTCTTCATATTGCATCGCAGGGTTACGCCACCAGGTTTCGCAAACGTTCGCTCACGGAGAGTGTCCATGAGCGTTTCGATTGCGAGTCCGGCATCTTGATCCTCCGCGGGGTTTATAAGATGAGACAGAGCGATATCCTATTCGATTAGGTCAGTGAGTTAATTTTGGCATTGGGGTGGAGGGGTGGGGTTTTCCAAGTTACATACCTCAAGTTCTTCAAGGTCCAAGGTTCCACTGGAGACATGGCTAGAGGTCGGTGATGGTTGATAGTCAGTAAAAAGAGCCCAAGGCAATCGAGAGCATAAACATCAGTTATTACAACAACCTACATCCACTTCATTTGCTTGCTAGTAGTAGGTGGCGGCCTGTCATGGTTATCCATGCGTTGACACTCCACAAGCTCAATAGAACTTGCCGGATTCCTCCTCTCATCCTTGTAAACGCGTGCCTCCCGAAACTCCAGTATCTCCAGAGGAGGCTCATCTTCCGACAGCAGAGCGTTGAAACGACCCGGAATCCTCCGAGGCCGCGCTGAGGCTCGCTTGGAGATGCACGTCCTGGGATCCGCGATACCCTCATCGGAATCCGTAGAATCATCAGATAGTTGGAATTGACGCCGTCGAACCTCCATCGAGTCACTGGACTCAGAATGACTACTTTCAAGCGCGTACGCAATCTCTGCCCTCGGACTGCAGGGAATAATTTCAGGCTCAGCTCTTCGCATTGTGTCTGAATCGGCAAAGTGATCCAACCCTACTGATGTCTCTCTCCTTATCTTTGGGGGTCGAAAGAAGCGGTCCCCCTGCCTTGGTAGGCCTGGTACGCCGGGTGGAGGGAAACTTCGAGCTAGAGCGCGGTGGTGGGCATGCCTCAAGGGGGCCCTCAATTCGGAGTCGGAGTCGGATTCCTTCGCTCGCGAACCATAGGCATATGCAGGCCGGGGAGCTCTCGCTCTCTTTTTTCGTTGTGGCTTCAGCCCGCCTGTAACCCAGGACAGGACCTTCTTGCTTCGCCCGGTAGACTTATGCGCATGCGGTAACGAGGCCAAGGAATCTGATCCCGACAAGGAACTCGTTCGGGAGGGAGGGCGACGGGTTCCTAGGCGTACCCCTGCCGCTGGCTTTGGGGGCGGGGGAACAAAGCGCGGCTCAGGAGGAGCCCTGGTACCATGTAGAAAACCATCGTCAGAATCAAGCAACTCAAGCAACCTATCCCAGGAGTCCTCCTCCTTCCTTAGCGGTGGGGTTGGGCCTGCTGGTGGTACTGAGGCTGGTGGTGGTGCTGAAGGAACGGGCCACAGAGCGATGTTGACTTTTAATCCGGGTCGGGCCAGAGACTCCCACAGCCTAGGAATAATAACGGCATTTTCCGGACCCAGGATGTCGTACTGGGCCTTGATGAGCTGTTCGCGCAACTCGTCCATACCGGGCGCCAGTGGGCAGGATTGGGAAATGAGCATCGCGCGGGACTGAGTGGTTCGGTCAATATTCTGGCCGGTCTTGCGCCTGGAAAAGTAAATAAAACTTACCTCCCATGTCTTCACTTTCTCAAAGGGAAAGGCAAGCGTTTGTTTGAGAGGATCAACGACGTAGATCACGTCTGCGCCGTCGCCGTCGCCGGCGTTGGCGTGATGCGACTCCGCTCCAGGAGCGGTGTCCATCTTTGAGGGCTAGCGGGAAGTACCAGGGCGATATGTCGAAATCGAAATCACGTCGAGGGGCAAAACAAAAGGCATAAGATCAGATGGACATATCTGTGCTTATTGCGACATGCGATCAACCAATCAGCATGCAGCGCGCTCATTCAGCTCACAGGCCTCTGCGTGCCACTGAAAAGGGGCTATCGATAACCGAGTTTCCCGTCCACTCGGACGCGGTAAAATAGAAGAAGATAGGACTGAAGCAGAGTGTCTCATCAAGGAACCAGTCTTTTTTTCCTTGGAATAATTATACTTCCCGCCAATACTGCCTCCACAATCATGCTGCTGCAGTATTATACGCTCTCTCCCGAAATCACTCCGACTGAGGCGACCAAGTCCGCTGGAAATGGTGAAAAAGGCCATCGGCCCAAAATGTGGAGATACGAGTGTTCCCACGGGCCTTTGACAGACCGGGTGCGCGTAGAAGTCAGTTCTTGTCGGCTTGAGAGAAGGCCCCCATCGCGGTGTGCAGCCCTTCTACCACGGATCTGTCTTTAAGCTCGCCCTCAAGAGCTCCGGTTAGCTAGTGGCATTAAATAAGATAGCAGATAAAGAGAGACTCAGGCAAGAAGTGTTGTGTTCTACCTGAGGATAGAAATTGATTTGAGGTTCACAAAACCATAATGTGGCCGATTAACACGGGCAATGTTGATATCATAGGTGGGCGATGGCCTAGTAAACCTAACATTATTGCCTCCGCCTTACTAAATACTACTAACCTTCACACTGAATCAAAAGACACGTCGAGACTCTAGGATTTCATCCATAACTTGGTAACAACTTATATCGATAAATAGAGTTCAGAATGTCAGTCAAGACGCTGGCTACTGGGTGATCGTGACGGCCTTTGTCGGAATATACTAACATGGGCAATCACAACGGACCTGGTCCATTAGAAATATCAGATACTATTGACGATGGGCGCCGGCTTCTCTCCTATAATGACAACTTCCCTATGGGATTGCGGGATGTCCTTCTCCAAATAATCGATACTGTCTTCTATACTATCCTCACCCTTGGTAGGGGACGCAATATGATGAAAACCTTGATAAACCGGACAGAGCTGGAATCCATTCTGCGGGCCATGGCGTGTCGTCTGGTATACGCAAAAGAACGTCGGCTGGCAAAGGGTGTTGGTGCTTCGGTCACGGTCGCCGTGCTAGGAGATATGGTGGCGGACAGAACCAGGAAAGTTGGAAATCTCATCCAAGAGGCCGGCATTTGCGATTTGTTGGAGCAGAACCAGACAAAGGCTCCGACTCCGAGACGACATATGATTCCATGCTTGGGTCTGGTAGGAAGTAAGGTTAGATCGGAGATGGAAATGGGGACTGGGAAGAGACCGACATGAAAGACGACCATTTTCCCATTAGTGGGCTGTTAAGCGAAGCATTCGCCGCCCCTCCAACTACATTTTGGCGGCTTGCGAACAGTCCTTAAAGGCGACGGCTTGCTGTTAGAGTAATGCACAGAGGAGTCGGAGAATGAGCTGGGGAATGAGTCACGCACCAGATAGTGAACTCCGTCCAGCTTGACACAAAGGTATGATTTGCCGCCGTTGTTTTGTTCTTGCAGTCATGAGCGCTCCCGAGACTTCAACTATCCGACCCCTGACAGCCTTCAAATTTGTCCTTGTCTCATCCGACACGACCTTGGTTGCTACAATGCCTGGTGTTGCGCGACGGGCATTGCTCGGAGAACGAATCGTTTATAACGTCTCCTCTTAAAACACCTATTCCGGTTTGGTCTTGGGCTATTGCTTTGGTCTCCTGCGTGCGTTGTAAAGGCTGGATTCTTGAGGAATTGGGTCGTTGAGTGATCGATTGGTAACGGAAGTGATTTACGAATTGCGTTATGGTCAGCTTAAGTAGTAAAAACTATCAACCTACCCCCTCGCGTACCGACAGGGGCTCTCCAAGACCGGCATCGTTCGGTGTCCTAAACCCATGAGGACCAGGCTCTATTGCGTCATCTCACGAGGCGATGATTAGATGGGATTGAGTGCGATGAGAATGTGGGGGAATGAGACCAGGCTCCGGAAGCTAGGCAGAAATGGACTTCTTGCCCAGGCGTCCGATTCCGCTCAGCAACCTGGACTACAGCATGATGGTGTGCAGAAAGAAGGTGGCTGGCTTGGCAATCCCAGACTACCAAGCAAGAGCTGGGAATCGATTTTGTTTTCACAGCCGAGAGGGAAAGACGTAATGCACCACCGGCACAGCCTGGCCCGACTCTGCATAATATTGATATGGAAAGCACCAAGCAGCAACATGGGGAAGTTGTTTTCGGTGTTATCAAGCGAAAGAAGTGGGTAGAAGCCACAATAGTAAACGGGTACTCCTCCAATAGTTGAGTCGTTCGCCCAGCTTAGCTCTCCAAGTTCTGTGCTACAGGGGGCGTGAATATTATGAGGGCCATCTGCGCCGCCCTTACATGTGTGCACTCAAAAACTAGTAGGGTATACCCCATCAGACTTGTCGTGCTCTGGTACTTGGAATACGTTGGCCTGAGATTTCCCAAGTTGGAGGCACGGAGTAGCGAACACAGCTCGGCCGCCCACACAGCCAACCACAGCAGCGACAAGGCATAACAGATCAGTCTCGGGGGTAATAGGGTGTCACTGTTAGTTATGGCGGGCAACAAGGGGCAATGAAACGAAAAAGAATAAAAACATGGGAGGTTCAGGTTACGGGTCGCATATTTCCTCAAGTAGAAGTTCATCCATGACATTACTACCTGGATCGGTTCAATGGCTGGCCTCGAAATACGTCAGTATTGCACCCTCTCTTGAGTGAGTTGTGGTGGCCAGAACGCACCATGAGTCGGCGGGAGTCGAGACCATAAAGAAGAAGAAGATTGAGATGATGGCATGAAACATAAAATTGAAAACTATATTCGATTCCCGCATTTGCGTCCATGTAATGGGCTGTCAGCATCTTTGTGCTGCTATAGCGAAAGGACAGACCGCAGTCTTTCAAGTTCGAATGACTGCCTCCGCCCCATGTTCGAGAAGATACAGGACAACATCCTCGTGTCCGCCCTGGGAGGCAAGCCACAGCGGAGTGATTTGTTTCGTCACTTCGTCCCCCTTGCAAGGCGCATCGATCCCTCCGCCAAACTGCTTGAGCAGCTTCACCACCTCCAAGTGCCCATTCTGGGCTGCTTGGTGGATTGGACGGCGACCTGTGCTTCGGGTTGCGGTCTGTTTGGCTCCTTTGATCAAAAGCAGCCTCACAATTTCTACATGGCCTTGCTGAGAAGCTAGCCATAAAGCAGTCGCGCCGTCCTTTTCCTCGATGTGAATATCCGCCTGGCGTTCAATCAGAAGCTCCACAACGCCCAGGTGGCCCTGTTGGCAGGCGAGCATCAAGGGCGGCCAGCCACTGATCTCGACATTGTTTACCTTGCCTCCGTGCTCGATGAGCAATCTCATTACGTCCGCATGCCCATTCTGGGCAGCTTGGTGCAGGGGGGACCGACGGGATTCGGTGGCCATATTGTTCGGATTTGCGTTGTTCCTGAGCAAAATCTCTGCGATGTCCCTATGCCCCTGCTGGCATGCGAGCCAGAGAGCCGTCACGTTGTCGTCTTCTCCAGCATCAATCAGGGCATTGTTGTCAACTAGGAGCTGCACAATGTCAGTATGTCCATTCTGAGCGGCCTGGTGGATCGGGTGGCGGCCCCAGTTGGAAGTTCTCGCATTCACGTTGGCCCCAGCATCGATCAAAAGCTGGGCAACTTTCAAATGGCCCTCCTGGCATGCCAGCCAGAAAGGCGTGGCTTTATCTTCCTCCATGACATCTACTTTTGCTTTGTGCTTTAGTAGGAGGTCCACGACCTCCAGATGTCCCCCCTGAGCGGCTTGGTGAAGAGGCCCTCTATTGACATCCACAGCTTGAAAGTTGGGATCAGCTCCTTTAGACAGGAGGAGTTTGGCTATAGCTTCGTGACCACCTTGCGCGGCCAGCCAAAGAGGACTCACTTGCTGGCCATTGTGGCTATCGGGGTCTGCACCGCGTTCGAGAAGAAGCTGTACGACAGTCAAATGACCTCCCTGGGAGGCCTGGTGAATGGGCCCTCGGCCATTCTTGGGAACCTGAATGCTGGGATCCGCCTCCGCATCGAGCAGGACGCGAGCGACGTCTATATGGCCCTCCTGGCTAGCCAGAAACAGAGGGGTTTCCCCAAATTGCCCTTTCAAATCACAGCAGTTTGGTCTGGCTCGAAGCAAAGCTTTGACAATTGACAAGTGGCCATTCTGAGCGGCCTGATGGATTGGCTGGCGGCCTGGTGCGGTATGACGCGATCCACTTGATTGCCGGTGAGGCCTAACGCCCGTGCCAGGCGATGGGGCGTTGACAACAGAATTAATCGGGTCCGGCTGTAGAAGGAACAAATCCAACCACGAGTCGTCTGAGGGCTCCGTCATTAGCAGCTCCGGTTCGGTTCTCACAGGCATGACAGCTTCCAATGATGGGTGCATGACCGTATTTTCCGGGGTTAACTGGTCAAATCGTAGCATTGATCGCTGCTGAAAAACCTGGGGTGTTTGGGTGCCTACGACCGTCATCGTGGGATACGCCGAACCCTGGCTCGTGTGGCTCCCTCCAAACCCCAGGTTTTGGAAAGCTGCAGTAGACTCTAGCGTTCGAGCTGCGATTCCAGGCATAACGCCGTAATTATTGACATCCTGCAGAGCCCTGTTCATCCCCAATGAAGGGGCAAGAGTGCCCGTCGCCGTCATACCTGAATGGCTCTGGGTCAGCAGTGACGTCGTAGAAGTTTCCAATTAAAAGGGGGATCATACCAGTAGCAAGAGAGGCGGCGGTCTTGTGGCGCTTGACATGTCTCTGTATCTTTGAACTGGGAACGGCGATCCCCGAGGAAATGACTATCTCGTCCGCGGCGTGGCCTTCCTCTTCGAGGCGTCTCTTCTTCTCGTCAGCTTCGAGGGCTTGCGCCGCCGAGACATATTTCCTCAAGCCCCAGTCCCGAAACTTCTTCTTGTAAATGGCTTGGCTAGATAATGGTCATTAGCCTGGGAGTGGGATGGTATGCGGAGGATGATGAACTAGACTTGACATAATTCAAACGTGAGGTATGGGGAACAAGGGGGCTTCAGAGGCTTAGGCCCTTGACGACACTCACGTTGCGTATAAACCCTTACTCTCCATAAACTTCATTAAATCTTCCAATTTCATGAGGGGATAAAGTTTGCAGATATCATCTTTGTGGGTTTCCCATTCACCGGGGCTGGGTAATGGTTTCTTCTCACTTGAGGCCATGAGGGGAACTCTTTCGAGAAGTTGCTCGTGCTAAGTTGATAATTCTAGGGAGAGATGATGGACAAATTCTAGTCCTTATTCCCCTCGCTAGGTAGATTTTCTCCAAATGAAGAAGTTCCAAGGTCAAGGAAGGTTTTGCGAAGGTGAAGTGCCTAGAGCCGAGACAAAGATTTTTGTTGATTCCCGGTACGAGAAGGCTTCTGGCAGAAGTATCGGTCGATTGGCAGTAAGAAGAAAAGCGGGCATCTATGTAGCCCAGTTCGGACCAGTACTCATTGGCAGAAACGTTTGGCCTGTCAAAAGTTGCAACTTTTGACGGCTCGCCTCACATTTTCTTCCCCATCTTCATGCAAAAGTTGCGTCCACGATGACGTGGACGAGAGGGAGGCTGCGGCGCAGGTTTAAACTGTAACTATTCAGGAAACCTATGAAATTAGAGAACTTGGAAAATTTTCACTTGTATTCGCTTTCCAAGGATTTTGTGTGTGTGAGTGTGTGTGGCTTTGAAGCACTTTTCTTTCAATAATGGCGGTGGCTGTGGAGTGTTCCGGGATTTGCGCTCCCTGGAATCCCAAATGTGAAGGTTTTGTGCATCGCAATGTTGATGTGGAGGATTCCCTTCTTGGCCTAGAGTCCTAGAATATGAAGCAACGAAAGTAGCACGTAGTTTTGGCAGCGCTCGAATGTCTCAGTGGGTTTTGGTCGAGGAAAACTGCAGAATTGAAATCTCCGATGATGCATAGCAACCATCTAGTCCCTTACGGCAGGGATATGCGGACAAGACGCCGCTCGCTTGGCTTATGACGAAAAAGACGCAGATTCAGCTTCCATGGGCTCATCCGAAAAGTGACAGCCGGTAGGCGAAAACTTCAGCTGAGTGGAGGCAGGGAAGTTGCCAAAGTTGCATCATGCCAAGGCAGAATCAGGCGCACCTCAGGCTGCCCCTCGCTCCGCCACGCCGGAAAAGCGAAATACTTTTGTCAACTTTGTGTCGTCAGTTGTCCTGACAAAAGTTTTGGGAAAGAAGGCTCGCTATTCAAGTATTAAAAGGCCTTGTTGCTCTAGCTTTGTACTTTCTGAAGTGGTATGAGTCCCGTAACATCTTCGAATTCCCTGATGGCGAACAAGTCGAGGACTTGTCGAACTTCCACAAGTAAACAAAACATTGCCCATCAAAACATTGCCCACCAAATTCCCAGTCTTCCAATCCCCCAATATTGTTTCATCTTGACTACCAAGTCACCAGTGCCCCTTGTCCAGTTCCGCTCTATCTCCTCCATAGTATACTTCTTTATTATCTCTTGCCATCATTCCGCAAAATGTTGGCCTCGGCCGAAGTGGTTCCTGCCCGGGAATTCCAAAGCCCATCTAGCGACGGCACCTTTGTGAATGAGGTACGGCCTGCAAATAAGTTCAAGATAGAGGTCCAAACTCACTCTCCTTTGCAGGGAGGACCGCGTACTTCGCCTCATCCCGATCTTTCACCCACGTGTGACCGTACCGAGGGGAAAAAGCCGTCCACTCCTTTGCTGGAAGAACCCTCAGGACCTCCCAATAGACGAGACAGTCTTGACGCTTCAGAAACAAAAGATAATGGTGAGTCTTTCGGGGGCGGCTAAGCGTGTCTTAAACAGGCTAACAAATGACAGGATTGAGCCTACCCTCTCCGTTAAAGAGGGCTTACGATTCTGATTCAGGGCCAGGACCTCTTTCGTGCGCTACGGAGCAGCAGACTCAGTCGAACTCAGTTGATGAAATTAAATTGTCGCCAAATAAACGCGCCCGGCCGGATGAAGGGTCTTCGACGGCAGCAGGTGTCGCATCTTTGCCGAATGATGAAGAGCATGATAAGCCGGATCCAGGATGCGCTCATGATAGTGGCGGCTTCGGTTCGCTCATGTCATCATTGCTCCTACGCTTAGAGCAAGATATAGTCCCGTCTCACCTGCGGGATCAGTCACCAAAGCCAGAGCGAGGCGATATTGAAGCAACCTGCAATATGTGGGAAAGGCAGCTACTCGACGGTGTCGTAAAGACAGGTATGTGCAGCCCACTTGAATGTGTGGAATTCAAGCCTGTTTCAGGTAGGGACTGCTTCTGACTTGCCAGAAAGACCGCATCAACGAGACATGGGATGATGTCCATATCCACGCGTCGATAAAGCGAGCGCTTCAGAATCTCACGCTCAACTTTCTGGAGCCTGAGGAGTTTAAAACTGGCATCCTGTCGAGGGCTTCCGCGCCCAGCGTATTGCTCTACGGCCCTCCGGGAACAGGCAAAACCCTGGTTGCCCGGGCATTTGCCAAAGAGAGCGGGGCCTGCGTCCTTGAGGTGTCCGCCGCCGACGTCAACCAGGAGGCCTGTGGCCAGAGCGAGAAGATCATTCGCGCCATCTTCAGTTTAGCCAAGAAGCTCATGCCGTGCGTTGTCTTCATCGACGAGGCGGATGGAATCTTTGGGAAGCGCGTATCCGGCGAGAAAAGCTGGGAGAGGTCAATGAAAACCCAGTTCCTACGCGAGGAGACGGACAAAGAAGGCGTCGTCCTCATTGCCGCCACGAATCGGCCTTTTGACATGGATGACGCTTCCCTCCGCAGGTTTCCTCGCCGAGTCCTGCTCGATATACCAGAAGTCGAGGAGCGCGAGGCGATATTGAAGCTTCAGCTACGGGGTGAGGTTTTGGCAGAAGATGTGAACCTTCGCCAGATCGCACGGGAAACCCTGCACTATACCGGCTCTGATTTGAAGCACGTGGCATACCAGGCAGCAGTCATGGCTGTGGAGGAGCGTCGAGGCCTTGCCGAAGAATCTGTGCCACGCCCCGGTGGAGATTCTCCTCCTCCGGAATCAAGGCAGGGGCGGGCCGCGGGTGCGAGGGTCATTCATCAAAGGCACCTCGAGGGTGCAAAGGACGTTATCAGACCTGGAGTGTCAATGGAAACCTTGAAGCAAATCCGTGAGTTTCATGCCCGGTATGGCAACACTGCTAAATTGGAAGACTAAGAGAGGTATGTTGTACATGGCAACACGATCAGGATCAATGGTTTGACGCGGCATGGCAAGGGAATTAGACTTGGGACAGAGGCTAGATGGAAAGCACAGGCATGATTCAAAGGACACGACGGAACGATATCACCACTATTTAGTGCGGAGTAGGAGTTAGAATACCCATCAATTCACCATTTGTTCAATCACATCTGGGGATCTTTTTCCCTGCTCGTTTCCCCCCAATTTCCTTCTCCGGGCTGGCCATGTGTCGCTGGGCAGTGTGGGCTGCATCGTCACCTTCGTGATCTTTGTATGTATCGACGATGTTTACATGCAACGCATCCCCGTCCAAAGCGCTGTTGCGCCCATGGGCCCTGTAAAAAACACACTCCCCAAATAAGACCTGGCCATGGGTTGGATGTAGATGGGGCCAAAAAAAGATCCATTGAGGGACATTCTAGATCGCCCATCAATTAAGACTTTGGGGGACGGTCCCAGACACATCTCCAGCCCAGCTGCTCAGCCACGTTCCTGTGAAAGCTTTCTCAGTTTTTCCTTGAGGTGTCTGAGAAACGAAGTTTACCTCCGAAGTGACCTTGTTCCTTTTACAGAAGGGGATATTTTTTCTTAAAAATATCCCCTTTCCAGATTCATCTTTGAGAAAAGTATCCCCTTCTGTAAAAGGAAAGTAGAGTTCTAGTACTCCTTTGTACTCAGGGGTATGAAGCTAGGAATAAACGCACACCCTCTGAACCCCTACCTCCTGGAATAATTAGTTCCTGCTCTGGTTATGTGAAAGTAAGAACCAAGTACCAAATCCGGAGCACTGTGTTAGCCCCCTTTTTTTCGCTTTGTGACACCAAATTTTGGCAGTCGAAAATTTGGAGCCCAAAATTTGTGAGGTCCAAAATATTATGAGGCCCAAAATTTGTAACCAAAATTTCGACAGTCAAAAATTTGGGAGCTCAAAAATTTGGGAGTTCAAAATTTTGTCAAGTCCAAGACTCATCACCCGCTGCGAACTTTTGCTTGGGACGGAAGTTTCGCATGAAAAGTTTGGCAAAAGTATCAGCCATCGGCTAGGCCTTCCCCGATGGCATCTATCCGGGACATTTCTTGGCCACATCTTATCAAGTCTTCATAAGGAAAACTTTTGGTTTCAAAACCGCGCACTTAGTATTTCATTCCTATTCCTCGCTCCTGGCGGCAAGGATATAAACCAAGATGATTCCTCTCTTGTCGAGTTGGACTCTTCTGCTGGTTCTCTCTTGCTAAACTACATGCTCAAACTACATCTCGATCTGGCACTTCTCACATGCCCGCACCCTCAGTTCGCAACTCAGTACCTATACAGTCGTTTCTCCTATCGATCAACCCATCTCTATTAGACACGTCGAGACCGTCACAGTCTTACCAACGCCGTGCCCAAGATGTCTAGACCTTCTCATAGTGTGAGACTCGTTCCGCTTTCCCTCGGAGAACCTTTTTTTTTTTTTTTTTTTTGTTTTTGGCCTAAGATGATATAGATAGACGTTAACTTATTTCACTTCCTAGTCACACGATAGCACGACAATGGAGCGCTGGCTCCTCGAAACCCCCAAAGAGGAACCCTTTCATGGATTATCAAGTGGCTCCTCGACTGAGCTCACTCATCCTTCAGTCATACCCGCGGAGGCATCTGGTCATACCCTACATAATGTGGACGTTGGTGATATTATTCTTGTTCATTCGGCCACTTTGATGGAAAGCCAGAAGTCAGGTACAGGCTGAGGTACAGAATACACGAAGCCGATGTCTCAATTTCGCATCCAAGGAAAGATGACGGAAAGGGGGGAGTATTCTAGAACATGATGTTTATACAGTTTCCCGGCAGGCGTCAGGATAGATCTACTACATATGTCTCACCAAGCCCTTCCCAGGGAGTTTGGGCTCCTAATTTTACACATGTATAACTCTCAAGGACGCTGGGGATTAAGGTTGATGGACTGATTTGGAAAACGTTCAAGGTCATACGTGTTGCAAACCATCCGTTATGCAGTCTGTCCCTGGTTCTTTCTAGTTTCTGCCAACTCCGATATAGCCGAAAAATCTATCTTACTTTGTAGTATCTATTGCAGAATGTTTGTTCGAAGGAACTGCGTCATCGCTGAGCAGAAACTTGTTTGTCAGGAGGATCCTCCTGATTATGACATCTGTCTCTCAGGCACCACGACATCCCCTTCTGCTTTGTTGTGTAGGCAGAGCCGATGCTCCTAACTCCGACAAGGAGTAAAAATATCGTAAAATATCAGCCCCTTCCAACAGCGTCTATTAGGGCGGGATCACTGCTGCAGAGATGGCATCGGACGGCACGAACCGAGAGCTCGGGATCGTACGACTCTCCATCAGAATCCGGGGTAATCTCAGATTCCCCGCAGACAGCACAACATCTACGGAGCAAAATAGATTGGAGGAGGTGAGAGGACCGATCTGGCGAAAGCGTCCGAGGACGTTTTCATGTACTTCTTACATGCCTGGAGACCCCCGCTTGGAAGCTGTGGGAAGAGGCGAATCCCAGCCATCATTCTGTTCACACTTAGAGTCGAAATTCCTGACAGACTTTTGGTTGGGTTACTCTGACCAATTGAGTCGTCGACGGCGAGGCGGTCCGTCAAACTAATGCAGACCAGAAGCGGCCCACTATTTCAGGGGTCACGCCTGTTCATTTTGTGGGGGGTTTGACCGCTCGATGGGGTATAGGGGCATCCCTGAGCACTAGTCGAGCCTTTGATCCCACCTCGGTTGCCAACACCGAACTGAACCCGAGCCATTTTTCCAACCTGAAGAAAGTGCAGACAAGCGATCGGCGAGGAGCGAGACCAACGAGCGTAGGAGCGTGAGCTTCAAGAGTGCCCTGTAAGTTGCTTCGTATCAGATACTCAGCTTGTAAGCTTTGATGCTTTCACTCACCCTAACTTTTTGACCCAGTGACGGGATTGTTACGTGTGCATTTTGGGGAATTTTGTTTCCCCGCAATACATGAAAAAAATTCGGGCGTGAACCTTCAGCGAGTAATGCAGCCCGCGGTTGAGAGATGTCCGTCCGTCGTCGAGGAGTCACACCCCTCAGAGTCGAGTGGAGAAGACGATGGAACCCTCGACACTACTAGTCCTTCGCCGAGAAAACGGAAGAGAGATGAGAACACGACACCATCGTGAGTGTACCAGCGTCCACGTCGCCCGTGTTGATCGCATGCCCGTAGAGAATCTAACGCGGGATTTTGCCTGCCAAGATGTGAGCTGTGCAAGGCCCGCAAGGTGAAATGCGACCGCGCTAAGCCCGCGTGTTCGTGGTGCGCACGACGCAACCGCATCTGCGTCTACCTCGAGCGACAGAAGCCCGGGAGTCGCGCCACCTTCGGGCTGGAGCTGGAGGCACAGGCCAGCAGAACACAGTCTCGGCTTGAGGAGCTGGAGCGACGGTTTGATGAGCACCTGGCTGCCGGCCGGTGCGATGATACTACGGCTCGCCCGGCCTCACCGCCGCCAAGCCATCGGACACCATCTATCCGTGCCTATGGTGGTGAACATGCGAGCCACCGCGGTGTACTGGCCTACGACCAAAGCTCTTCCATAGCTCAGTCTCACAGCGCTACCCCCGTATCAAACCCGTACCCGAGCTTAGGGCCCGGGAGCGAGAGGGACGCCTATGGCATGCGCGCAAATACGCAGTCACATTCCGGATATCCATCCATCATACAAGACTGTTCGGCGTCGAATAGGTTGGGGACTCCACACGCCGAACAAACTTCGTCAGTCCTGGTAGTTGACGATCTTCCTCCACAAGACATGCTTTACACTCTCACAGATCTCTACTTTAAGCATTGTAATACGTGGTGCCCGATCCTGGAGCGCAAGACAGTCTTCAGCGTTTTTGATACCTACCCACGCATCTCGGAAGAAGACAGAGTCCTCCTCCATGCCATCGTGGCAACGACGCTGCGATTCTTCCGTGATGCCCGCATGGGCCCAGAGGCTAAGATCCGGCAATACGCCATCTCCAAAAGGGCAGTGCAGATGCATTCCCTCGAGCATCTCACCGTGCCTGCGCTGAGGGCTCTCGTCGTCCTCTGCCTCGACATCTTCGGCACCCAGAACGGTCCTTGTGGAGGGGTGCTCATGGCTTCGTTGTCCGAGTCGGTTAAGCAACTAGGCTTATGCGATGAAACGAGCGTATTTTTGGCTTGCGAGAGTTCTGAGGACGATACGACTCGCTCTGGACTGGTTTTCAAGTTGACCACCGCCCAGCCTGGATCGTTCATAGAGGATGAAGGGCGACGCAGGCTTTGCTGGATGGTCTACATCCTAGATAAATATGCAACCGTGGCAGCGGCCATCACTCCCGACTTTACTTTTGCCGATCACCACATGAGAAGAGTTCTTCCCTGCTCGTACGACTTATTCTCCCGAGACATACCGGTCGAGACGCACTGGTTCGGCTCACCAGGGGATCTAGACGGCGAAACGAGACTGTCGATGATTAACAAATCCGAGAATCTAGGCAGCTTCTCCTATCACTGCGAGGTCGTCAGGATCCTTAGCAGAGCACATGATTTTGCCACTACTCCATTGGATATCTACTCACCCTCCGAGACTGCCAACTGGCGCAACACATACCGCCAACTAGACACAACCCTGGACGGATGGCTGCAAAGTCTTCCCGGGGAATACAGCCGCCTATCTGCCCTCTGCCACACCGACCCCGCCAGTCGCGTTGCCAACTGGTTTATTCTGCACAGCGCCTACGTCGTCGCGGTTGTGCGACTCCACTCACCTGCCGCCTACCCCGTGGCGCAATCGCATCTTCTCGTTCCCTCAGACTACGCCATGCAGCGGTGCATTTCCGCCGTGAAGAGTCTAGGTGGCATCGTGGAGGACGTGCGTGCCGGCGATGGATTGGATCTTCTTGGGCCTCTTTTCGCCTCGTCCCTCTGGATAGCCGCTCGAGTGCTCCTTGTTCATGCCGCCACGCTCGGGGAACCAGTTGATCCTACGATTGATCTATTTGTCGCTACGCTTGAAGACATGGGGAGGCACTGGAGCGTGGCAAGTCGTTACGCCGAGGTTCTCTCGCGGGTGGTCCGCAGCGGGAGGCAAGGGAACGGGTCTTGGGCGGCTATGAGGAGGAGCGCGCATGATTTGGTTAATCTCACGGCGGCGAGGCGGGAGTCCGGCTTGGGACTGATGTCTACGCAAATAGCGACGCAATGGGAGCTGGATAATATCGAGGTGTTTGCCTTTTTCAATTATCCGAGGCACAGATAGCGACGATATGGACCAGCAATCAACCTTGGCCGTTCTGTAACTTAGATATACTCTTTGGATACTTCATTCACAGGGAGATTATCCAGTTTAAGATTCGTTCTTGTAACCGAGCCCTTTCGGTTATTTCCACTCTTGTCCCTACTCAGAACGGATGGATGGGGACCTTAAAAAAGCCACATAGACACTGAGTCCATAAGCGTCAATCCAGCCATCCTCTGCTCATCTTGACTGCCTTCTCCCATCGAGAAAAGCGTGTGCTTGCCTCCTCTGCTGTAATCTTCGGTTGGAAGACTGCGAGTCTCTTCTCAAGCTTTTGTAGATCTTCGAACCCGCTCCAAATGCCGACTGCCATGCCGGCGGCAATAGCTGCCCCGAGCGCCGTAGCCTCGAGCGTCATGGGTCGCTTCACCGGGATGCCAATCATGTCTGATTGTGTCTGTAAAAGTATTGTTAGCCTTTTCAACTCTCAAATGGTGGTATAATGAGTGCGCCTTACCTGCAGGACGAGGTCTGAGTGGCACATACCTCCGTCTACAGCCAGATCCTTCAGAGCACTCCCGCTGTCCTCAGTCATGGCATCGAGTATGGCCTTGGTCTGGTAACATGTAGCTTCAAGAGCGGCCCTGGCAATATGGCCCTTCTTCGTAAAAGCCGTCATGCCGAAAATGGTACCCCTGGCATCGTCAATCCAGTAGGGGGCAAACAACCCACTGAACGCAGTGACGAACACGACCCCGCCGTTATCTTCCACCGTTTCCGCCAACTTCGTCACCTCGCCAGGAGATCCAATCAATCCCAGATTGTTCTTGAGGAACTCGATAGTCGAGCCCGCAGCTGCGACACTCCCTTCCAAAGCGTACATGGCTTTACCCTCTCCAAAGTCGAATGCCACCGTTGAGAGAAGGCCGCGGGCGGAAGAGACGGGCTTGTGGCCGACATTGCAGAGGAGGAAACAGCCCGTTCCGTAGGTGTTCTTTGCGCGACCGGTAACGAAGCCGTTTTGGCCGAGCAGGGCGGCCGATTGGTCGCCGAGACAGCCGGTGATTTTGGCGCCGCGGAGGGAGGTTCCGAAGAGCGAGCCATATCCCTCCGCGTCAGATGACCGTAATATGAACGGCAGGTTCACTCTTGTGCGGTCAATCCCGAACCAGTTGAGCAGGAAATCATCGTATTGGCGGGTTTCAAGGTCCATGAACATGGTCCGGGATGCATTAGTAGGATCCGTGACGTGGACATTGCGGTAGACACCGCCGTTGAGCTTGTACGTCAACCACGAGTCGACAGTACCAAAGGCTAGAGTTCCGCGCTCATACGCGCTGCTGACCTCAGGCACATTCTCGAGTAGCCAGAGGAGCTTCGTCGCCGAGGGGTAGGTGGAAAGAGGGACACCGCATCTGGAGGCTAGTTCATCTGCGCCGGGACGGCACTTAAGTTCCGAAACAATATGTTGCGTCCGGACGTCGGTCCATACGATGGCATTGTGGAGGGCTTTGCCAGTTTGCAAATCCCAGACGACGGTGGTCTCCCGTTGGTTGGCGATACCAATGCTCTTGATCAAGTCGCAGGAGTACGGACCGAGCCGTTCGAGGGTTTCGACGGCGCCCTCGATGCACTGCTCGACGGAACTCACGAGTTCTTCTGGGCCGTGTTCATGCCAGCTGCCCTTCTGTCAGCGTTAAAAATCCAAGTTAATTGAGAGAGAGAGAGAGAGAGTTAGGCTCTCATACCCAGGGCGGGGGTACAATTGGGTGAAGGGGAGCTGATGAGAGGCTATAAGGTCGCCATTGGTGTTAAAGATGAGAAAGCGAGAGGATGTGGTGCCCTGGTCAATAGCCCCAATGAGCGGTTCATTCGATCTTTCGATGAAGCGAGAAGGCATATTACCCTCCAAGTGACTGCGATTCTTGGCTAGAAAGTGGGGAATGGTGATCTGGGATATATCATAGGGCACAGTAGATTCTGAAAATCAGGCAGATGGGGGCAAAAATGGTGAGATCGAACCAAGGATAGTGGGGAATGCCTGTCTCTCTCTCGAAACAAGCACTCGTATGGAGCACCTCGACGTGGATTTACGGAGAACCTCCCGTGGGGAAGACTTGAAGACTCTGGCGGACGCATGACCATTTCCCCCCACGGACCATATCCCTCGAGGGACTGAGGGAAGCGGGTCGATCATCAAGAGCATCGGAAAGAGTTATAGGCTATGAGGCCTTTACGAATTGTCGGGTCTAGCCGGTTGTCATCGAGATGCCAGAGCTTGTGCGTGTTGCTGGCGTACGATCCGGATGGGGAATAGAAAAGGCGCATGAGACGGAAACCTCGGCCGAAAGCACCGAACTTGAAGTGGGCCAATTCTCGATTGGGACCACGAATCTCGGTTCGCAATACCGACGTCCCCCGAAATCCCCACCAGCAATAAGGATTTGACGCCCCTTGCTTCGGCCATTTTGGATCCGTCACACATTGATAATTATGGAATCCCGAGATACCCACCCATTTATGGGGCCTTTGATTCGTCAAAATAGCTTGAGTCTCGCCTGGTTTGGAGAAAGATGCGGGCGTATTGCAGTCCTTGTGAGGTCAGCGTGGGCCGGCAGGTAACGGGAAAATTGTTTCTCTCATTCCACCCCCCCGCGTTTTCTCGGGCTCTAACGTCTTTCAGTCGTGCCTCGCGCATATATGTTTATGACTCGACCTGTCTAGACGCTCCCTGCACCATGTCTCGCGCGTTTCTTTAACTTTAACCCCTATGCGACCGTCTTGAGTTTTTTTCAGCTTCTCAGCTTTTCAACTTGTTCAATTCAGTCTTAACCCAAGCTGCGAGCTGCCCCCCCAAACACTCGCTGAATTGCTCCTTTCTTCTCAAGGAACACACCGAATCAGTGGAACATCACCCACGAGGCCCTCTAGCGGCCCATACACCACAAACATGAGCAAGTTCGGAAGTGTCATCAGGTCACGGATGGCTGCGGGGCTCGGTGCCGGTGCCGTAGCTACCACCATCTACGTCTACAACAAATCCACTACCATACCCAAATCTACTGCGCTTCCCACAGCAGAGCTCCAGCGCGACGTCTCCAACCGCATAATACCGCCCTCCTTTCCCAAAATCAAATCCCGCGCAGAACAGCTCGCCGATCTCCGTCAAGCAGGAGGAACGGCATCCCAACATGAGCAATACGATCTTCTCATCATCGGCGGTGGCGCGACCGGCACCGGCATCGCTCTTGATGCCGTAACTCGCGGCCTCAAAGTCGCCCTAGTAGAGCGCGAGGACTTCTCCTCCGGCACCTCCTCCAAGAGCACGAAGCTCGTGCACGGCGGTGTCCGTTACCTCGAGAAGGCGGTATGGAACCTTGACTACGCGCAGCTCGGGCTCGTCATGGAGGCTCTACGCGAGCGTAAGACGTTCTTGTCAATCGCTCCGCATCTTTCGTCCGCGCTACCCATTCTCTTGCCACTTTCACACTGGTGGCAGGCACCCTACATGTGGGTCGGCATAAAGATGTACGATCTTCTAGCGGGATCCCAGAGGCTTGAGGGTTCGTACTACATGAGCAAGGCGAAGAGTCTGGAGATGTGTCCTTTGCTGAGGAGGGAAGGGCTGATAGGGTCTTTGGTGTACTATGATGGACAGCATAATGATTCGCGAATAAACGTTTCGCTGGCGATGACGGCGGGCTTGTATGGCGCCACCGTGCTGAATCACGTTGAGGTGACTGATCTTGGGAAGGATGCTGATGGCAAGATTTGCGGTGCGAGGGTGCGCGATCTCTTATCTGAGGATAGCCAGAGCAGCGAGTTTTTTATCCGCGCTAGGGGTGTCATCAACGCCACTGGTCCATTTGCGGATGCGATCGAGCGAATGGATAATCCGTCAAAAAAGCCCATGATTGCACCCGCATCCGGTGTTCATCTAATTCTTCCCGGCAACATCTGCCCAAACGGTATAGGCATGCTCGATGCCGCCACCAGTGATGGGCGAGTCATCTTCGTCCTTCCCTGGGAAGGATACACCCTGGCTGGAACCACGGATAATGCCTGCCTCGTCGAGCAAAATCCCGTTCCTAGGCAAAACGATGTCGACTTTATCCTGAAAGAGACGAATAAGTTGCTGCGACCTGATTCTGCGCTCACCCACAAGGACGTCCTCGCCGCTTGGTCCGGAATCCGACCCTTGGTCAGGGACCCCAACGCGAAGAATACAGAATCCCTTGTCCGCAGCCATCTCATCGCCGTCTCTCCCTCCGGTCTCCTCTCGTGCGTCGGCGGGAAGTGGACGACGTACCGCCAAATGGCTGAAGAAGCCGTCGATGAGGCCATCAAGACCTTTAACCTTAAGCCCAAGACGCGTACCCTCCCCGATATCAGTGGCGCGAATCTTCCCAGCTTTACCACAAACGGGACTTGCATTAGTCGGCACGTCCGGCTTCTCGGTAGCCACGGGTTCACTCTCGCTCTCGAGTCTCAGCTGATGGAAGCTCACAATGTCGACGCCAGCGTCGCGCACCATCTCGCAACAAATTACGGCGACCGTGCCTGGGCCCTGCTCGGCGTGGAGTCTACCCTCGCGAAGAATCGCCTTCTTCCTCAGTTGCCCTTCATCGAGGCTGAGATTATCCACGCTGTACGATCCGAGTCGGCATGCACTGTCGTCGACGCCATCGCACGACGAACGCGACTCTCGTTCCTCGACGTGGAGGGTGCATTGGAGGCCCTTCCTCGCATCATCGATATCATGGCCGATGAATTACTGTGGAATGGGGCGCGCAAGGAGAAGGAGTGGAACGACGCGGTGAGGTTCTTGGAGTCTATGGGGTTGGAACAGTCTGGGCTGGGTCTACGCAGAAGCAAGGCTGTAAAAGCTGGTGAACCGGCCAAGCCGGGACGGACTGTGTCGTGGTTGCCGCAGGATACGTTGTAACTTATAATCGACTGATCTGTGGGCTACTATTTTCCCTTGGTTTACTTAAGGACGTAGACTGATAGAGAGCCTCAGAATCTTCACTCATTTTCTTTACTATTCTCATATTAAACCATAGCTCCAGGGGAAGTTAGAATATAATAAGGCGGGCAATCGAGGAACGTGGAATGTTGAATTGAATCGTTATAGAAGAGGAAGGACAACAAACGAACTCTTAGAATCATTCAAGACACGCTTCTCACAAAACACCAGTCCTCCGGGTGATCTTGGGATATGAACGTTCAATTTTTTCTCAGCTTTGAGCATTGCACAGCCATCACATCTCCATTTCGCGGACACAACAAAGTCCCATCAAGCATGACTCTACACAGGTGAGTCTCGCGTGGTATGAACCAATCCCCTAGCAAGATATAGTGTTGATCAATCCTTCCATGACTTTGCCCCAGAACACTTACAGGTTCCGCCCTACTGCGGACTGATGGGGCAGAACCTAATATGGGCAGAGGTGCGACCCAGGTACACACCCACACATTTGTATCCAGAAACACTAGTCTCCTGCGAGGGAGAAAGGCCAGGGGTTCTCTAATTCCTGATGCGATTTCCGATGGAAATGTATCGCAAGGAATATCCTTCCCGTCAGAAAGTGTGGACTCTTCTGTCTCGGGCCTTGGGTGGATATCTGAAACCTGGAAAAGGACGTACTGATTCTCTATCTGCTCTAACCTAGATTGGGCGGCGACTTTGAGTAGAACATAGGGTGATTTGGAAGATGAAATCGGCCTGCCTATAGCGTACCGAGTCGCATTCGGGAGCTTGACTCCTGAGTCCGGAGCTTGCGGCGGCAGGCAATAGGTGTAAGCAGCCACCCTATCCAAGTCCTACCACGTAAAAGCTTGGATGTTCGTAGTGCTAAATCCAAGGACGTAGTTTGGTAATGCCGGGTGGCGCATCCACTCGGTCGTCACGGCCGCCTCGAAGGGGACGGACAGCACCAGTCGGCCATCCGATATATTCGCTATGTTTAAGAAGTGGCTCGTGATGACCAGAATCAGGCGACTCTCCAGGTGGAAAAGGAGGTTCTTAATGGGTCCTCTGTGCGAGGGGACAGGACTATGGAACTCCTGGTCCAGCTCCCACTCGTGACGGTTCTGGGGCGATTTCCACATCCTCTTGACGAAGAGCTCCCCGGATACGTCCAAAAATGCGACATAGCTTCCATCCTCACTCAACACCATCTTCTCCATTATCATGGAACCCCTAGGCCTCTCCAAGTTAGCAGTTTACTCTTCGGCAACCTCGTAGAGAGCGGCGACTCCATCTTCTGTCCCATGACTGCACGGGGAATTGCCGGGCTGGCAAGAAAGTGATACGACGCCATTGACTCTCAAGACGTTGTCGTTGGCACGTCGTGAGATTTTCGTTAGACTTCCTGGCTCGCTCGAGGTATCGCTGTTGTGCTTCGGGCACTCGGATTCCTTTGCGAGCCATATCAATGGGTCTGGGCTCCAAACGTTGCCGTACGGCCCCCGAATATCGTAGAGACACCTGGAGTCGGCGCTGAACGATAGATAGGTCACAGGGTCCGGTTTCGAGAGCTGGTATACGAGCGTAAGATCGGACGACAGGAAGACCTTCAGAGTCCCGACGCCGTCTCCCGTCGCGACGAGAGACCCATCCTTGCTGATAGTCAAGCTACTTGCACCAGCGTTGAATTTCACACTCGTATCCACGTCGTACGGATCCCATTTGAACAGTAACCCAGCCTGGGTCAATCCGAATACTTCGACATCGACGGGATGCCAGGCAAGTTTGTACACTTTCCCGCAGGTGGGCTCTTGGGCGGTCATGTCTGTCTCGCTCAGAATGTTGCATTGTCCCAGAGGCATTGGGGGTTCGAGCTCCCAGGCTGTTGCCAGATGGTCGCTATATCCGTACGCAATCATGTTGCCGTCGGGGCTCAGGGCCGAGCAAATTGGGAACTGCACCGTGATTCCATCCAGGCTCTCCTCTTCAACAGACGAATACAGCCCCCATTCGGTACAATCCTTATCGTCCAAAGAGAACGACCAAACGCAGTGATCCTCACTCCCGAGAAATACCCTTCTAGAATCCTCGGAAAAGACGAGAGTTTGTGGTGTAGGCAGTCTCGGTGGATTCGTCACCACTTTGACACACTCACCAGAGGTCGCATCCCACACCCGTGTCGTTTTGTCTCCGTAGCTGATCAGGAGATCTCCAGCCGTGTTAATTTCGATGCCGAGGATCCGCTCCGGATGGCTCAACCGCCTCAGCTCCTCAAAAGTAACAGCGTCGTAGAAAATAATGCAACCGCCATTTTCGATATTTGCTAGAATCGCGATATGACTGGGCGCGGAAAGCACTACGGAGCCAACCATGTCTTTATCCAGCGACAACCGAGCAAGGCAATCGTCCCATATGCTGTTAGCGAATCCGGATATGCTGAGTGACCTTGCCTCTTTTCGGCCGAATTGTTGGTAGATGATCGAGCTTGTCGGGCAGAAGGGCGGGATGAGCCTGAAAATCGAGTCGGGTCTTTGGACAAGATGTCGACCGAACTTGCCTACAATCTTGGTCAAGTCTGTTGCCCACCTCTCCAGCGAGTCGATTTTCTCAGCTAGGAAAACGGTTTTGCCGTCCAATCCTCTGAGCTTAAGTGCGACGTCGTTCAGGTATTGGGAGGCAAGGACGAGAACTCTGAGTTCCTTATCTGTGGCCGCGGCATAAATCCAGGCCAGGACATGGGGACTCAGAAGGAAATTAATTGCAGCTTCAAGTATACCGGCCTGAGAAACAGATCCGAGCGAGAAATGGACGAACCACGTCTTCATGGCGTAGTTGAGTAGGCCCGGTGGTTGATTTCGACTAATCCGTGATCGGAGACCTTTATCAGTGAGGCAGCGAATACACCTCAGAAAAAGGCTGTTGTTCGTGGTCACTGGCTCAATAAGGACATGTTGTACGGCTTGTCCTTCTCTAGTTAAATACTCTCGCGCTGTTTCGTGGATCAAAGACACCTTGTCTTCGACATCGATGACAACCAAGCCGCCGCAAAGTTGCCCGATTGTACGACGAATGTCAAGGAGGCCGTCCTGTTCTAGTGCGTCATCGAGTTCACCTAAAGTCAAGATCCGTCGAGAACATGTAACCCAGCCCAGTATACTCAGACCAAGCTGGCGGTCGCTCGCATTGGACTGAGAGTTGACTGTAGAACCCATTCTGTCGTAGAGCGCACTCATGCCAGAAGGCAGATCTCGGAGGGCATCCTCAATAGCGAGCTTGGTATAGCAAGTGTTGATCTTCTGCACGACTAGAGAAACCCAGAGAGAATTCCCTTGCGCACGTTGAAGCAGCTGCCCAGTAACCTCATCGCGGTAGGAACCTTCTATAGCGATATCCATCTCGCTCTCGACATACAACTTAATATCCTCCAGGTTCGCTTTCGCTTGGATGGTTTCCAGGTGAAGTTGCTTTGCAAGCCTCCGGAGCCCGGACGAAATCTCATGCGTTTCCCGGCTGACGAGGAGGATGCGGAGCGGAAGTTGAGCGAGGTGTAAGTCGGCGAGGAGTCGAACCAGCGATCCCGGATTTTCAGCTTCATCAACACCGTCAATAACGAGAAATATTCGGCGCGAAATGCGTAGTTGGAACAAGACTTTCTTGTATAGCGACTGCCAGATAGTCCAAGCATCTGCTGTTTTGAGATTGGTTGACGCAGTTTCCAGATTGCGGAGCTTATCCGCATATGCAGGGACGGAACGAGCGATTTGGCATGCCAGTGAACCCAGGACCATGCTCAGAGATCGCTTCTTTGGATTTGTGAAGCGAATGAAGAAGTAACTGCAGGGCAACGCGAGTTGGGCGAGGTGACTGATGATGAACGAAGTCAGGGCTGACTTTCCGCAGGCGGCGTTGCCATGGATCCAGAGAACTCGGGGACTGCTATGGGAGTCCTCGACCCAATTCGCGAATGCGGCGTGGTCAAGTATCCACGAACAAGTGCCAGAGGTCCATCGATCGCGGAAATAATTGTAGTCCATTTCGGGGGATTCCAGGGCAGACAGATTCTGCTCAAAACTCGCTAGCACTACTGCAGGGCTTGACATTACTGGCTCGATGGTCTCGGTATTATCGGTGCCTACAGACCGTTCAGCATGTCGAATCACTGATAGATATCAATGAAGCGTTTGGAATGCACGACCTTTCGCTTTGATATTACTTATCAACGCCACCAAGGCATTTCGGACCCTTATGTAACTTGGATCCTCTCGGCTCTCGTATTTACACACTTCGTGGTGATCTGCATCGAGAGGGCATGATATCTCACCGGGGTAACCCAACCTGGATGAGTCTTTTTCTAAAACCATCTACCCGTGGTCGCGTATTGTCAGTTAATGTGTGCTAATGGTTGAAAACAGGAAAGCTAATGTCAGTACTAACAACTCTTACTTTCTTTACTGCAGTTATCATAGACGTTGGCCGGGTTTCGTAAAAGGAAAAGATGTCTAGATTGGGGGCCACATGTCTGAAGTGCTCGTTAAGCCTTTCGAGTGCGTGAGAGTTGCTAGCGAGGTCTGAGATGAATTGCGTGGGACTCGCGACGAAGGATACTTGAAGAATACGATTAAGTGTTTCGGCGAGGTCGGTTCCGCGATGGGGAGTCGACAGAAAAATGATGGCCGATACGGCCCTGATTATGTGCTCATACGCAGGGTTGTGCTGCCCTAGGATGTATGCCTTTGAGATAGAGACTCCTCGTCAGTCCTAGTTCCCCGGTCGTCTACAAGAGAGTGAGATACCTCTTTTACAACTAGACCACCCATGGAATGGACCACAAAGATGATGGGTTTCTACGTCTAGTGTTATCGTTGAGCTCCTATGCAAACGCGACGGGTGACCTACTGCGCCGAATCCCAGTGCTTCATCTTCTTCCGCCGTGTCGTCTTGACCGTGCTTCATGCCATCAAGCAATTCCTCCGAAAAGTCTGAAATGGATTTCTTGTTGTTTCCTGAGCCAGGTTGGAAGTGCGCGTTGTAGCCAAAAGTCAAGATCCTGACGTCGCCAAGCCCGGGCTCTAATGGGAGGAATTTAAGAGGCCAAAAGAGTTTGGGGTCTTTGTTCTTGCACCACGTCGCCCGGCTATTTCCACCAAGCCCGTGAACAAACACGATGTCGGCCTTCCTCTCCCCTGGTGGCCGATAAACAACCTTTATGCCGAGGGGATCCGGGACTGTTTCTTGAACTGGAGATCCCAGCGTCCGTTAGTTGGAAATAATTCATGTGAGGTGCGGAGAAGTGCAGAAAGACGCACCATCCTTGCGAGATCGCCATCTCCTCCATCTTTCCCTCCCTCTTTTCCACATTCCAAGTTCTTCAAAAGCCAGCGCTAAGAAAAGGTCATGAATGTCTCGCGGTAACAAAGCGGCGAGATTGACAGAAGAGTCGAGGAGCACCGCAAGTCGGGGTACGAATTAATTTGTATCATTCCATGAATCTGGATCCCGTCCCCTCAGTGCTTGGAGCTGCATGATAATTATGCACGACCCATGCGCAGCGGCAACACTCGTGGCCCCATTCGCTCATGCGACAGCAAGGGGAGGTATTACTATTGACAAATCGCGATGGGCTTTTAAGGTCTAAGAATGGGGCAGGCATTCCTGGCATTTCTAGCATTCCTTACAGACCCTCGTATACGCGATATAAATGCTTCAAATGTCTAAGACTATCGTAGTTCTTATCCATGATTGTATCAGCCCGTTTGATATCATCTCACAGGTATCCGCAAAATCTATAGTCAAGAAAATGGCCACTCCTCCAATCGCGCCGAACCCGGGAGCTTCGCCAGAAGATCAGCATGCGTCGAAATATATCACGGAAACAGGTAGGGCAAGCACTAGCCGGTCCATCCACCGAAAAGGGTTAGAAATCGAGGCACAACCTATCAGTATCAAAGAACTACTGGCCCAGCTAGACGGCGTGTTTCCTATAGATCGAGCCGTCGTTGAGGAAGGTATAATCTCCGTACAGTAGCTCATTGAGACCCGAGGGGGCTGACTTGGTTCTGTTGCTATCGTTTCCCTCTGCAGCCTTGCCCAAGAACGCCACGTTTCTGTCAGCAGAGCATTTTGGGCTGAGCGCATACACCATTACTGGGAGGCTCATTGCTGTCGAGCCAGATGGCACTGAGAAAACGTACTTCCTGAAGGTAGGTTGATGTGTTGTCTCTGTTCCTCTCAGGCCCCCAAAAAGAGCAAGCCTAGTCTCACGCAGCTTATCAGGTGGCGTTCGAAGAACATGGGCGCATCATGCTTAACGGCGAATTTGTGTCGTCCAACATGATCTACAAGCTAATGCCAGACTTCATTCCTCAACCCTTCGGGTTTGGAACCTATAAATGGAAGGAACAAGACGCGTATTTCAACTTGTCAGAATTCGTTGACATGGACGTGACCAAGGAGCCGGATCCTGCAGAATTCACCGCTAGGCTAGCCAAGATGCACAAATCAAGTCAATCGCCCACCGGCAAGTTTGGATTCCCCGTCAAGACGTGCGATGGTAAAACGGCCCATACAGTGGACTGGGAAGAGAGCTGGTCAGTTTTCTTCCGCAAACTGTTTCTCGGCGTTTGCAAGCTTGACCTCGAAGCGAATGGACCCTGGCCTGAACTTGAACGTGCCACGGAACAGGTGGCGAGTAAAGTCATTCCTCGTCTGCTAGACAACTTGCGGACTCGTGAGGGAGACACAATCAAGCCGTGTATTATCCACGGCGATCTTTGGGAAGGAAATATGGGCGTAAACAACAAAACCGGCGTTACCTTGCTGTTCGATGCTGGCTCTTACTTTGCGCATAACGAGATGGAACTGGGACATTGGCGGTGCGAATTTAGCTCCGTGTTCCGAAAGAAAGAGTATACAGAGCACTACCTCAGAAACTATCCTGCTGCCCACCCCATCGACGAGTTTGATGACCGCAACAGGCTTTATAGTCTAAAGGGGGCCATCAACTACTCTGCTGGTCATCTAGGGAGTAGCTTGAGGAAAACGTATGGGCCCGATGAAGTCTAGACCCCCGAAACCCGATGCCAATGCTGACATCTGTTGTGATATCTAGGGCATATAACGATATGTGCTATCTGTGCGAAAAGTATGCTCCTATCGACGGGATTGATAAGTACGACCCCAGTATCGACCCCGCGATCACTGGAGCTTGTATTATCCCTCACCTGGACGAAGGACTCATTTAAAGATCGCAGATGACTGGGGGCCATTATTCGCAGAACTATGTGGCAACAGACGCGGCTTCAGTCTCGGCTAGAGTAACGAAAGGAATAATTTGAATTAAATGGATTTACATCTGGGGATATGTAGTTTCCAATCATCAATACATAAGCCATCAGCAATGTCACATTTAATAGTTCAACTTCCATCAGAAGCCCCGATCAATGGGTTTCCAGCTGTCATAACCTGCAGGAACTCCTTAGGTCCGTCGTCTGCAAAGAACATCTTACCACTCTGCAAACTCCTTGTAATCACATCAATAGCGTAAGAAAACATCTCCTTCTCATACGCGGCGATGGCCCCCTGCGTCACTCCCAATTCCTTGATCTTCTCCGCTAGGATGCACGAGTCGCGCATGGCGCAGTTGACTCCGTCGCCTACGAATGGAGTGGTGACGTGCGCCGCGTCGCCAATCAGCGTCGCATCCTGAGCTGGCTTCCAGTTCAAACGATCGGTGGGCATGTAATACATGAGCCAGGGGCGGAAGGGACCCTCGCTTTGCTGGATGATTTCTTGGAATTGCGGCGCGTATGAGCCGAAGTGCTGTTCTTGGAGCTGGAACTTCTTCGCGGCGTCGAAGTCGGACTGATTGACCGCATTGTTTGCAAAGTCTTCGGGGCCCTTTAGGCCAATGTCGATGCGGTAGTGGCCGCCTCCCTGACGACCGTTAAACATGTGCTTCCCGTCTCCCATGATGATCCTGGCTCCTTGGCCACCCATTGCTTCCATCTTGGGGTAGAATGTAGAATGGATTGGTTGGGTGGATCTTTGAGGTGATGAAGAACTGGCCCGAATACGTGGGCTGTGCGTCCGTAACCTGCATCATGTGTGTACGGAAGGGATCAGCTGCGCGAACATTACGTTAACTGGGAGTGTACCGTACCAGATGCCGAATCTTGCTCCAGGTCCCATAGGCTCCTACAACAAGCTTAAACCCCGACGCCGTGCTACCATCCGAAAACGTCAAGACGACTTCGCCACTCTTCTCGTCCCTGTGGGACTTAACCAGAGGCTTTGAGAACACAACCTTCTCCTTCGGGATAGCAGTCAGCAGTACCTTGCGGATCTGCCAACGGTCCATTTCCGGCGAATCCCGTCCTTCTCCGACAGAAAAGACCTTCTCACCGAGGTGGTTATAAAGCAGGTGGATCGTAGCGTCGCCGCCGCGCGAGTTCTTCTTGAACTCCTCGAAGACGCCGGCTTCGTGCATGGCGCGCTGTCCGCTGCCGACGTGAAGATCGAGACATCCTCCGCGCGGGTTGGTCTCCTTCGTAGACGATGTAGTCCTTGCCCTGCCTCTCGAGGAGGGCAGCCAGTGCTAGACCGGATGGGCCACCGCCGACGATTGCGATTTCTGGAGCCATTTAGTTCTTGAGAGTAATGTTGGCGATGAGAGAAGGTGGAAGATAGTGGAAAGAAAGTGTTTAAATGAAGAAGTGCAAGGTACTTCTGATTGGTCATGTGATTTGATGATTGGATACCAGAGTGCGTAAAAAGAGCAGTGATTCTCATATTAAATAGAAGGATGCATTAGGGGAGGGTATGTTTAGAAAGGATCATTACCCCATGGTGGCGGGCCGGTGACAGACAGCACGATGCGTTCAGCGGCAGTGGAATGCGGAGGCGGAAACGGAGTCGTGGATGAGAAAGCGCTAGGCGTGGCTCGGCATGGCTCGATATGGTCTAGATGGGTGGTGAAGGGTGGCGGCGAGGCGTGTCCCGCTGGATACTTCCGTAGTCTTGGAGACCGCACTAGTGTGGTGCGGGTCAAGCGTAACCTAAAGCCGCAGCCAAGTCCGGGATGCGGGGAAGATGCAGGACACGCACACCGCACGGAGCGGAGAAAAGGCGGAAGGGCAATGTTAGGTGGTATTGGATTCGAGTTACATGCGGCTCGCCCGGACAATCGGAGACGCACGCTGCAGACCTAGATGTTGGCTTTTGTCCTCGCTCTTCATCCCCTGTACTCAATGGTTGGCCCGGAGGAAAATGCGGGGGAACAGTCGCCTGGATGGATATCGACTCCCCCCTAGCTGTAGTTGGAGATTACTGGGACAGAAGCAAACAAGCCTCCGGGATTGGAACGGCTGCCACGGCAACTACCACAGTATGCCTCAATATAAACTTCTAACTTTCTGTGAGTGATTATACTGGTTGTATGACGTTAGTAACACGTTAGATCGTTGTTGGTTGTTACAAACCGTTTCATAATTGCAGAAGCTGGACTACATGCAACTGATCAAACGATGGATAGGCTTCAGTAGGCAGGTAACTCTTGCTTGTTACTCGACTTAAGTTGTAGTTGTTCAATTGAATCATCCTAAGGCAAATGATAAAGCTCCCTCAACCTGTACGGACTGGGAAATAGCGAGGTATGATGCTAGATTGCTAGTGCGCCGGGGCCTTGAAGCAGATGGAGTTCTCCCACCGCGAGAGCCGTGGCCCAATCTCGGGCCTCTTCTTAATGCTTTCCTCGTCCTCACCGCTCTTCACCCTGCGGATCAAGTCCTCGACCACAATATCGACACCGATCGGGTTCCTAGCGTACTCCTCCGTTTCCATGAACCGCCGCGCCTCGCCAGCCGTCTTGAAGTTATCCACCTGGAGTTCAAACTCGTTGCCATCAGGGTCGAAGTAATACATGTTCGTGCTCATCCCGTGGTTCACCGGCCAATGAGGCGTGATGCCAAGGGCCTTCTTCGGCTCGTAGCTTGTCACAAGCTCCGCCAGGCTCTTGAGAGTGAAGGCGATGTGGTAGACGCCGGTGCCGACTTTCTTGTCGTTGACTGTGTGTTTAGGGTCCGAGACGATGACCAAGCGGTGATGCTCTTCATCGAAGGCGATGAAGGCTGCGTTCTTGTTGCGGAGGATGACCTGGCCTCCGAAGAAGTTGACATGCCATTGGACCATCTCCTCGAACTTGTCGGGCGTGGTGCGGATGCCGAAGTGGCCGATAGAAGAGGGACTGACGAGCTTCCTTGTGACGGGGGCAAGTTTATCGGAAGAAGAGGCAGTCATGGTAGGGGAGATAATATTATCAACTAAACAGATTTTTGTTAATGGTTTGTCGTTGATTTTTTCTAAGACGGATGGAGAGGCAATGACATTAATGCTTAAGGGACACAGAGTTCTAATATTACTCTTCTTTGAGATCAAGCGATGGATCGGGATGAATGTAACGGTTGATAACCCTAGGAAACAACTGGGGTAACAGAAAGAGACAGGCTTAGTTGTGATCCGAAACCCGCAATCAGTGTTTCCCGTCACAGGTCTATATACCAAAGCTACCAAAGGAGATAAGGTGGAGGTTGAACTCGAACTAGATGCGGGATTCCCGACAGCTTCATTCCCAATGGTCCTGGAGGTGAATCTCGCGCTAGTGTTCGACCGACGGCCCACAGTCACCCAAACGATAGCCTAGTTCATCTTCCCGCATGCCGTCTTTGATTCCCATTCTTGCCAGGTCTCTTTTGCTGCGGGCCACTTCGCCAGTGCACTGGTGTTCGCGTTTCAATTCTTCTCACTCGTTCCAAGTAAGAAGCCGTGATTCGCTCTGTTTTGTCCAGCCTTCACACTTCTGGCATATTGGGATATAACTCACAGCACACGAAACGAAGCAAAGCAAACGCCATGTCGCCTGGATATGAAACACTTAACCATCCCAGCATCGGCCTTATTCGAGGCATCAAAAACTTTCCCAATGTGAGTCAATACCTGGGTGTGCAATATGCAACACTAGAAGATCGCTTCGCTCGCGGCCAGATTCGACGAAAGTGTGGTGAAATTCTGGATGCTACAAAGTTTGGGTAAGAGAGTTCATTTTTGGCCCTTTTTGATCAGTCCTGAATGGCCTATTAACCAAGTCAACATCAACAGACCTATCCCCTTCAGCCCACCATCTGCCTGCGAGTGGGAGCATAAACTCTTGCAAAAACCCCTCCCATTCTCTCCATTCAGTGAATCTGGCACAGAATGCCTTACACTCAACATTTCCGCTCCGAGCCCCAGTGGCGCTACGGAGTTTTCAGTGATGGTGTTTGTCCACGGCGGCGCTTTCTCGACTGGAAGCAGCTCATATCCGCAGTATGATTTGGCCCGCATTACGAAGCTGAGCGTTTCTGTGGGTACGCGTTGTCGTCGGCATCAAGTGAATTGACGAAATTCATCACCTTCAACTGTAATTGATGCCTTCGAAAGCTTGTTTTACTGATACGGTCTCCCGTTGATCTTCTCAAGCTACCGTTTTGGGGCTCCTGGGTTCCTCCATTCCCAAGGCATGAAAGATGCTGGGTACCAACCGAACAATGGCCTTGACGATCAGCGCCTTGCATTGCTGTGGATCAAGGACAATGTTGCAGGCTTCGGCGGCGATCCTGAGCGAGTCACGTTGGTGGTCGAGAGCTCTGGTGCAGGTAAGAAGACAAGATGGGAAAAGGAGGAGGGAAACGCGGAGAACTTGGAGCGAGCAGAAGACTAACGGTTGAAATTTTCAAGCATCCGGGTGTTTCCACCTCCACTCCCCCGAACAATTGTTCCACCAGTTCATCTCCATGAGCGGGTCATCGGTGCAACGCCTGACGCTTGTTAGCCAGGCCGACGCATCGTACAACTCCGTGACGGAAGTGCTTGGAGCGAAGGAGCTATCACCCAAGGAACAAATCCGAACCCTTCTAGATGCTACAAGAGAAGACTATTCCGTTAAGATAGGACGTCGACTCCCCATCGGCCCCTTGGTCGATGGCATCAAGATCCCAACGTTGACATCTTACAAAGCGCTCGCCGATCCAGATGAGACGATCAGTCTGTTCCCGGGACTGCGTCAGTGTAAGAGAATTTTGATGGGCGACTGTCAAATGGATGTGAGTCTCTTTAACCGCCTCGAGCATCAGTATCGCACACATCCTCAGCAAGAATATATTGCAAATTTGCAATGCTAAAACCAACCCAGGGTATGGCCTTCAGTGCCCGCTTTGTAGGGAGAACAGACATCCTGCCAAAAACACTACAGCATTGCCTGACTGCAGTATTTGATCCCGTCAATCCGACCATTGCCACAGCTCTCATCAAGGCGTACCGGATCGATGCCGAGGCGACCTCGAACACCCGTAAGACCGTCGAGCTGGTGCTTAACTTTGCAAATGACGTGTTGTTCGCCCAGCCTGCTCGTGTGTTTAGCAGGGCTTGGTCCGTGGCCGCTGTCCCGGGGACTGAGGCATTCCTTTGCCATTTCAACTGCCCGAATCCTTGGGATGGACCGTGGAAGGGTTACGCCACGCACATCTTGGATATCGCCTTCGTCCTGCAAAACTACAACGAACACCTTTCTCCGGGGCAGGCCAAGTGTGCTGAACGGTATGCCAAGGACGTGATTGCCTTTGTCAACGGCGCGAGTCCTTGGGCACGGTACGATGAGAATGAAAGTGGTAGTGGCGCGATGGTCTACGACGCGGACGAGGAGGGGACAGAGGACAAGTCAAGGTTCGTCCCCGCCACTTCTGACGAGGCGGGAAAGGAAAGCAAGCGAAGGAATTTCCTTGAGCATATTCTCAAGGAAGAGTTATTTGACAAGCTGTTGGATGTTTGGCAAATGTTTGTCGCCAGCGGGAAGGACTAACTACCAAAATTTCTACCGCAAGCTTCGAAAATATACGAGGAGATGCGAAATGTAAGACGATAAATAGAATTGGCAATAATATGCCCTTCAGCTCCACTAAATCTAGTACCGTTAAATTTATATTGAAAGAGTAAATTCTGTCTTAAAATTAAAATCAAAAAGATCTGCTAAATGTATACACAATGGAATGGGGCAAAGAAAGTTGGGGGGGGAAGAAAGCAAGCAGGGCTACTAGAGGGGCAGAAGAGAGCAGAAGAGAGCAGAAGAGAGCAGAAGAGAGCAGAAGAGAGCAGAAGAGCAAGCAAGGTAGAAAGAAGAAAATGGAGAGAGAAAAAAGGGAAATAGGAATAGAGAGAAAATCATATATTGTAAAACAAGTCCTTGTACTTAAAAATGCTGGGTATGTGAATATTCTCCTATTCCTATTAGATGTGCCTTCTTTTGCAAACGATAGTTGATCCTATTGATGCGATTCTTCCTCCGCGTTATCACCGCTTGCCGCTTGCCGTTTGCCGCCTGCCATCACAGGCCACCAGAGCCAATACAAGTTGCGCTAATGCCTCGATACCAAACTGACTTCCTATGACGCCATGACGGGAGGTATTGTAAAGTAGTTTCCCAGGACCGGCTCTCAGACAACTACATCCAGCCAACATATAGAAACGGAATGACACGCTCAGCTCGACCAGGAAAACTGGAATCTGCTATTTACCCCTCATACCTGAAAATTTGCGGCTACTTTACTCTCACCATACATCAAGAATGCCGATCCCGTCGACCCAAAAGGCCGTAGTGGTCGAACAAGTCGGGGGCCCAGAGGTCCTCCAATACCGCACCGACTACCCCGTTCCCACCCCAGGAGAGGGCCAGGTTCTGGTGAAGAACACCCTATCTGGTATCAATTTCATCGACACTTATTTCCGTACTGGTTTGTACCCTTCGCCTAAGCCGGAAGTCCTCGGCCGCGCGGGCACGGGTGTCATTGTAGCACTCGGCCCCAACTCAGAGAAGCACGATTTCAAGGTCGGTGATAGGGTTGTGTGGCTGGGAAATGCAGCAGCACCCGTGGCTCAGATGATGAAACTGCCTGATGGCCTCTCCGACGTGGACGCCGTGGGCAGTTACCTGAGCGGTTTGACGGCGCTCGCACTTACTGAAGAGGCCTACCGGGTTGGACCTGGAGATTGCGTCCTCCTTCATGCGGCTGCCGGCAGCACAGGGATCCTGATGACGCAAATTCTCAAGACTCTAGGGGCCAAAGTCATCGGAACAGCCGGAGGCCCAGAGAAAGTGGCCTTCGTCAAGAGCCTCGGGGCAGGCCATGTCATCGATTATCGTAGCGAGGCCGGCAAAAACTGGGTGGACGAGGTGAAGCGCCTTACCAATCAGGAGGGAGTTGGTGTGTTTTACGACTCCGTCGGGAAGGAGACTTGGGAGGGGGATCGGGAAGTTGCAAAGAGGAAGGGCACGATTGTGTGGTTCGGCAATGCTAGCGGTCCAGTGCCGCCTCTCCCGTTGAAGTAAGGGCTTTTGCCATCCCCATCTCTGACGAGCTTTATTGACCTGATAAATTCCTAGTCTACTCTCCGCAAAATGCCTCAAGGTTGCCCGGCCGACTCTTTTCGGATACATTGCCACACGTGAGGAGTTTCAGCATTATGCTGACGAACTCTTCCGTCTGTTGCTATCCGGAAAGCTAAAAGTCAAGGTCCACGGGGTCTACAAGCTTGAAGAAGTACAGCGAGCCCACAAGGTAAGGAATCAACCGATGCCAATATCTCCCCAAACCAACCCCACGCTTACACGTTAAATTATCTTCAAAAAATAAAGGATCTGGAAAGCCGCAAGACTATGGGAAAGACACTACTCAGACACTAGAGGTGAGGGCTGAAATGGAAACCTTCTAGAATGGCGTAGCAGCAACAACATCGACACGAATGTTGTAGATGAGGGTTGGGGTTTTTCCTCGAAGATCTCGGGGCACGGAGATCAATGACACCGAGAGGCGAGAGAGATCATACTCCCTTGAGATATTCTGGCCTCTGGTAGGTGTTGGATACTTGGGTGTGGAAAACAAACACGACTCTGGGTCCCTGGATATGGGCCATCAAGAGGTAGGCTAGTATCGGGGTCCCATAATTAGAAACAAGGCAACCTGGAGACACCAACTCTTTCTCCGTTGGGAACAATCCTGATCGATCGTGAACGAAGAGGGGAGAAATCCGTGAAATAATTCACCAAACTCGAGCAGAACAGGGAATTTATTTCACGACTCACTACTCTAATTATTCATGGAAAACACGTTTCCCAGTTACCGAACTAGCTGTCTCAAATTACAATGATTCCTCTGGGCAATTTTCCAGCCGAAATATTCGGCCAGATCATAGATAACCTAGTCATCACGATAGGCATATCCAAAGTCGTACAGATGAGATTGGTAAACAGTAAGGCAGAGATTCTAAAAGCCCAGCCATTCCCAGTCCAACCTTCGAAGCCTAACCCAACTCACCTATGCACAGCTATTCAATGACACCATCGTCTCCGCCATCAGCAATGAACATGTCGTTGACATCTTCGACCCCGCAACCCCGACGCTAGTTGGTCGAATGTCGTCTTCCTTACTCGGCCAAATCCTGCTAAAAAGATCTTACGTATCTAAGGCGGCACGCGACCTAGATGGTTCACTTTATGCTATCGCCCTGGCGAACCGTACCCTAGACTCTCTAATAACCAGAGAAACGGAAGAAGAGCAGGCAAGCCGACATCGCCATGTGGCGGAGTAGGTCGCGAACACGTACCTATCTCGAGATGTGAAAATGTCGGATTGGGTTCTGGACGATCAACTAGTACTTTCGGGGGCGGTAATCCACGGAGGCTTGTCCCTTGTACGCAATTTTGTGGAAACGAAGCTACTATCTGACGCTCTCAACGACTGGACTGAGTATTTCGGGAGGCCACTGCATCTTGCAGCCGTATGGGGCCATACCGACGTAGTCCGCTATCTTTTGGCGCACGGGGCGAATCCGCGACTGCTCAATGAAACTAGAAAGAAGGTCGAGAACGTCGATAAGTATTATCCACGGGCAGGCGAGAAATACTATCCGCCGATATTACACTTGAGTACTGGGAAGTGAGATTTGACAAGATTCACCCCCGGTGCGGGATTGCGGGCGGCCGTGTCTAGTGGAAACGAGAAGCTTGTGAGCCTCCTCCTTCAGCGCGAAAACCGGGGGCCCGCGGCCCACGGCGAGTTCTGTCGTGCAGGACGACCAGATTGGAAATAACGTAAAGGACAAACCAGAGAACACAGGCACGGATCTTAGGATTGGGTAAAGGGATCTTTATCAAAGCTGTCAGTTATACTATAATCATCACATACATTAGCATAATTTCAGAGAAAATATGCATCGTAGTAATCGTCGTATGCGTAAAGCTACGATGTGGAGGCAGAGAGATTGACACATTGACACTGATTGACGAGCTTGGCCATACTCACCCCAGATTTTTCGTCCTCTGCAGATAAGTACTCGTTCCATAAGATAGAAGCCTTATCCGATAACTACCGATATCAGAAAACCTCCTATTCTCAGAAGCTTGCTAGCAGCATTGACTGAACTAGGGTCTCTTTTGGGTTAGCTTAAGATTGCATTCACCAACCACAAGTCTGGACTGGATCTCCTCCCGAACTCAGTCCCGCCGCGGGGCTAAGACGGATTTCCCGCCCAATCGCCGGGGACAAAGAGAGCCTATCGGATCCCACTGCGTGTTCCGTCCCCGCCCGACAGATAAGGGACCGAAAATAGGCAAAGGTAGCGTCGGAAGTATAGATAGAGTACAAGGTGTGGTGAGCAAGCTTCGGCTAGCAAGAAGATGATATCGGAGAGTCATACACGGTACGCACCGATCATATGAGTCTACATCCTGCGTCCTTGTTTCTTTTCTCAATATTTCTTACTGCATTTAAAGACCTCCTGTTCGAGACGAACTAAAAGCAGCGTAGCAGCAATTCGGCAATAACTATTTTTAGTCCTGATATTGTCTCAAGCCTCACAAGCCTCGTTTCGGCACTTTCAAGGTACAACTAGAATAGCTCTCATCTTGCGCTTCTATATTCATCCTTCAACCATGGAATCAATATCGTATGTTCCCCCGTCGCGTCTCTGTGATGAGGCCTATTTAGTATGGACATATATTCTAACATGCTCCCTACGAAAATCGGACTGTAGTCATCTCCCAAATCATGGTAGAGATGAGCTACGAACAAAGTTCACTGTGGCACTGTCGGAAATGTACAAATCGGAGGTGCCTCTCTATGGAGATCTCATCAAGATCGTCCGCAGGGTAGACGATTTAGTTCTGAGACAGCAAGGTCTCAAGCGGCAGGACCTACCCTTGCGACACGACCTTGAGCGTCACGGCGCAATAAGAGTCGGTTCAGATGAAGAAATGCGCATCATAAGGCGGTTGTTTGCCGTCCTCGGAATGCATCCGGTCGGGTACTACGACCTGACAATCGTTGATTTTCCCCTGCACGCGACGGCATTTCGTCCCATTTCCGAAGACTCCTTGGCGAGTAACCCGTTCAGAGTCTTTACATCTGTTCTTCGCAAAGACCTACTTTCCGAAGACACCCGGGATACGGTAGAGCGGATTCTCAAGAAGCGCTCCCTGTTCACGCCACGCCTCCTTGAGATCCTGGACGCTGCGGAAGCAAGTGGCAGCGTTAAGTCGGAAGATGCCGATGACTTTGTGGCAGAAAGTTTAAAGATCTTCAAATGGCATGGGCGGTCTACCGTATCGCTAAAGGACTACCTAAAGCTCAAGAAAGAGCATCCCATGATTGCCGATATTGTCTGCTTCCCAAGTGCGCACATCAACCACCTCACCCCGCGGACCCTCGACATCGACCTGGTACAAGAAGAAATGATCAAGCGGCACCTCCCGGCAAAGGACAGGATCGAAGGGCCACCCCGTCGAAAATGCCCCATTCTTCTTCGACAGACAAGCTTCAAAGCTTTGGAAGAACCGGTAAGTTTCCCTGGCATCGACGGGAGTCTGACTCCAGGTTCCCATACCGCACGGTTTGGTGAGATCGAGCAGCGTGGCGCGGCAGTGACCCGGAAAGGGCGCGAGCTCTATGACGAGCTCCTTAGATGCGCTACGCAACAAGCAGCGAGTGACGGATCTAATTTCGATGAGGCATGGGCCAAAGTATTCGAAGCTTACCCCGACGATTGGGACGAACTTCGAGCTCGCGGCCTGGTATATTTCCGTTACCGCCTGTCCGGTGATAGGCGGAATGGGACCAATGGGGTCCAGAATTCAAAGGATTTGCGTCCAGATATCGTCTCTGCAGAGGACCTTCTGTCAAGCGGAGTCCTCGAGTGCGAACCCATCACGTACGAGGACTTCTTACCCTTGTCGGCGGCTGGCATTTTCAAGTCTAACCTCGGCGAGGATGATTCGCAATCGCCGTCAATACGGGACACTCTTGGTAGCATATCGGACCTGGAAGAAATTCTTGGGTGTGAGATCGAGAGTCAGTTTGATGTGTATGACCGGCTGCAGCGGGAAAGCCTGGGCAGATGCGCCAAGAAACTGGGGCTGGAGGAGATTTTGATAGACTGAGTGATGTTTAATGGCACGAATAATCTAGGGACTTAATAGTTTGTTTGTCCAGAGGAGCACAACAGATTGTAATAACTGAGCAGAAGGTTTTTGATTAGATACCTACGTTGCTTTGATTTCACTCGGAGGGCGCATGATTTCAAGCTTCATTCTCACCTTCATCGCATTTCATGACGTGGCACCAAGTTGGCAGGCTGTCAGCCTGAGCTCCCGGAGTCAGACGGGCTGCTCTTCCGGCGTGCTTCCCCGTGGCTAGATTTACCTCCTTTAGAACTCCAACGCCAACCTCATGCTTTACCCCTTGTGTGTAGCAAATTTCTAGGTTTGGAATTATGCGGGCGATTATAACCGACCACACGAAGAACCCCCAACAACGTTCAATTAGCTCAGCATGGGTAAAGATTTCTTTCGGGATGTCCTAGAGGACGGAAGCCGGGAGCCGGGCTTTAATGATGACACGGATCAACTCGTCACGACCGCCAACTGCTGGTTGGACTCTTTTGGAGCATAATAGAAACCGGAGGACGCATTTTCTGCGCGTTTTACAATCTCTAGAGTAGTTTTCAAGGTTATAATAAACCGTCAAAATCATCAGCTCCGTCTCACTTTTGTAGTTCGGAACGACAAAGTAACCATAACTAAGCCGCGGCTGAAGCCTATCGGATTACTTCAAATGTACCTCTTACCGTCCAGCAGTCACAGTATCATTTCAGGGCCCCTTCACACCATTTTCTGCTAGTTCGAAGCTTCCAGGCCGACTAACTGGTCAACCAGACCAATCCGTCCAACACATTCCGGTGGTCATAGGGCACCATGCTCCGAGAGGATTAGCGCTGCAGGGCCAAGATTGCGGGGTACGTCAAGTTCCCCAGAAACAACCACCCCAGAGCCCAACCGAGCTCTTGCTAATGAGGGTTTCTCCATCTCCAGAATGAATTGTCCCTTCCTTATGTCGACTGGAATCGTCTTTGCCTCATCATCTCCAAGCTGACCTGGTTGGATCTCATCGAAGCCATCATGACCACTCCCTTAGTACCTCCCGCCAAGCGAGCGAGAGCGGATGACGACGAGTCTTCGTCCACATGGGGTAAGAAGCTCTCTCGGAAACGAGCCGCTCTCGCGTGCGAGGAATGCCGCAGTCGGAAGCGGCGATGCGACGGAGGATTCCCGGCATGCGGAGGTTGTGCCAAGCGCATGTCGACCTGCATTTACTCTTCGGATGTAGAGACGAGAGCGTGGAACGCTAGGTAAGCTCTGGAGGAGCTGTTTGCGAATAATTAAACATTGATTGCCGAAACACTCGAGATATGCTGATAATGGTTTCGAACTCGGCACGACTTGCAGCATGATACAGCTGCTTCGGAATCAATTGCAAGAGCTCGAAGCCGCCGAGCAGTCCAATCGAGCGCCCGCCGAAGGACCGGGTGCCCCTATCACTGAGAACCGCGAGACTTCGACACCTTCTCCCGCTCCGGAAGGGCGACGGAGTCAAAGCCCGAACTCCCTCCCTGCGACAAATAAAGAAGCACTTGATGACGGTGCCACAGACCTCCACGCAGCCACCGCACCTATTGAGATCATAGGACAGCCTACAGATCGCGACTCCTGTTGCCGACCCCCAAAAATCATCTTCTACCTATCTATCTCCTCGCGACTCACAGACAGGGACAGAAACCGCCGGCAGCGCCTCAGCGTCGCGGGATTACTTCGAACCACGAGGCTTCGAAAGGCTGATGAAGCCGCTGCACCCGGAAATCGACGTCGACTGCCTACGATCACCATCGTCAAATCGAAGCACCCAAGACAAAGCGAACGAGCGTTGTATGTGCGACAGCTTGCTGGACGCAGAGAAGTGGTGTTTGCCCCCACGCAGGGCCGCTGACAATCTCATCTCTCTCTACTTTACCCGAGTTCACCGCATGTATCCGATCCTGCACCGACCTACATTCCAGAAGCAGTATAGGCAACTGTGGTGTGAGTCTACATCCAATGACGACGGACCAGCCAATTGCTCCGGCCTGTGCAGGCAGAAGAGCTGCGGGAGGTTGCTTCCACTCGCCCTTCATGCCATCTTCGTGCTGGCAACTCTTTTCGGATCAGGAGACCTCGAACACAACGCCGCCAAGGCAGACGATTGCTTCCGCGATGTCCAGGGCTTGGACCTGCTAACGATGCTAAACGACAATGTTGGAATCTAGTTGATCCAGTTGGGCCTCCTGATGGGCTTTTACTTGCAGGCTACCGAGAGATTTTCCCAATGCTGGAATAATTCTAGCCTCACCATTCGCTTAGCTCGGAATATCGGGTTAAACCTTAGTCTTTGTGAGGCACGGCGAAGAGGGCTCGTTTCATTCCCGACTCAGCTTCAGTGTGAGATGCGGGCCCGCGTCTGGTATGGTTGTGTTCTACTAGAAAGGTACGTTTACTGTAAAGGGATTTGGACTTTTTAAGTGGAAAGAAGTGGAAGATCCTTTCATTGCCGGTTTCTGATTCGGCACCTTCCCTTTTTTGAAGCTAAAATTCTTTTACATTTCTGGTCGAAGTCAACTGTTGCTCACTCTTAGGCTAGGGAGGTTTCCATGTGCTTCGGACGCCGCTTAATTAAAATCGCAACCGATAAACATTCGGTAGATTTGCCTGCGCAATCGACGATGAACTCCTGGGTGACATCAAGGGAAAATGGAATTCCCAACCAAAGGATGTTCCAAGCTTGCTAGAAGCCTACATCCAAACCATCAAACTCTACAATATCCTAGGCCATGTTCTCGATGACGACGAGCCGTATGAATCCGCCTTTCATAGGAACGTGGGCAGGTCGTCGAATGAAGCAATCTTGGATTTCAACGCTCTACTCGACCTGGATACCGCGGCAATGAAGTGGAGGGATTCTCTACCGTCATATCTCCGCTTCGACCCGACCTCGACGGCCGACTTCGATGAGCCGCGGGACGAGTCTCTCGTGTCGGGACGGGCAAGCTATTTACGGATCTGATTTTTACAGACAGGCAAAACGATTGTACCTCAGGTACTTGCACGCACGCTTGCTCATCCAGCGACCTGCTCTTGATCTCCTTTTCCAAAGGCAAAATCGCAATAAAGTCGCCGCTCGGACAGAGCCGCCAGAGTTCCCGCCGCTACATGATTTGATGCTTCGGAATATAGCTCCTCAGTGCCTCCTTATTGCCCACAAAATGGTCGAGTCCCTTGATGCGGATATTCGTTCACGCGACTTGCTCGCTTGGTGGTACAACGTCAGATGTAAGTTTACGTGACCTATCCCGATGATACCTTGATAACCGAACTAAACATAACTCGCATTTTACCAGATTTACACAGCGCCGCCAGCACTCTATTCGTTGGTCAGCTCTCCGGTTGTTTCGACGGCAGCACGTCACCGGCTGCGTCATCGGCAGGCTTTGATCTGTATGTGCAGCTCCTTCGAGAGAGCGCAAAACGACTGTTGCCGGACCAGAGTTACCAGAAGCTGTCGCAAGTAAATGGGGCTAGCGGATCGAGATCCAAGGTCACCGCGCACGATACTGTCCGTCAACACCAACGCCCGAACACCTCGGGTCAACCGGACAGAGGCTTCTTCCCCCATTACGATGTGTCAACGTCGTCAGAACAACAACAGACAGAAGGAACAAACCACGGACCAAACGACAAACAAAAATCTTATCAGTTACAACGGCCAAGGTCACAGCAATGGGTGGCTGAGGACCTCGCCGGCATTGAGCTGGATGTTGAACTCGCAGGGGATGGAAGTTTTACTGGCGACTTGTGGAATATGGATTTGCCTCAATCTCCCACCTGGCTTCCCGGGCCTTTTATTCCTAATTGGGACACCTTTACTATGCCAATGGACTGAATGATGCCAACGAATTCAATGTGGAGCAGGGCCTGAGTTTCCCGTACCTGCATGTAATATCTCGATTCGAATAGTGAGACAAAGTGTAATATCACGAGATCTACAATATTTAATGAATTTGAACCATCCTCTGACTCGCACACACACGCACGCAAAGGCACACGCTAGAACTCTTGGGCTCTGATTGTTGCTTCCTTACCCTCTGGGGCATTTTGTGCTTCTTTTTCCTTTCTTATTGAAATAAGAAGACTAATTATAAGCCTTGTTTAGCCTTGTGAATGGCTTCCCCGGCCATTGTCCTCTGGCTGGCACAAACCTAGTAATACTCCCATCGTCAATGTAACCACTGGCGGAACCATAACACCGCGGCATTTTTCGCCCTCTCCATATCCTTTTTCTCGCCAGGCTTATTCGGATCGCCCCGAATAGAAAACCCACGCTCAAGCCCGGGGAAGTACTGATAATCATAGGCCACTCCTAACGTCGGTATGACGCGGTTGCTAAACGCCTTCAGCTCTTCGGTAAACTGCGGGTCAATTTCAGGAGCCAGAAGCTGGACCGGGACAGCGACATTTTCGATCTCATGGTGCTCCAACAGAGTAGGGTGGGCCGCCGAGATGCAGTCGACCAGTTCGTTGCCTTTGGCCGCAAGTTGGAATACGCCCCAGCCCCCGTAGCAAAAGCCCATGGCACCGGTGCGACGGTGCAGGGACTTTAGCTGCTTGGCGCATTCGAAGATCTCGGGCCGTCTTATGTCTTTGGCGTTCCGCCTGAGGAACGAAGGGAGATCCAGTTCTCCCCATCGGCTTTGATCACGGATGATATCCGCGGGGATCCTTTCCCCTCCGAAGCTACAAGGTGCGCGGGTCAGTTCAGTATCGATCCGTCGGCGCTCTGGAGAACCAGTCAAGGTCTCCCATCACTCACAAGTCGGGCACGTAAACTGTGGCATTGACCTCGGCAGCGTAATGATCCGCCAAGATTCGAACATTCTAAAATGTCCAACCGAAAAGGTCGTGGATGATCATGATTGCCACAGCATCGCTTGAACCAGAGACGTAGCAATCACGACCGGCAAGCTTCTCCTCTCGGCCTTTGGGCTCGGCATCCCACTGAAAACCTCCGATGCAGCAGTCACCCATGGTGGTAGAGACTTTTTCTTGGCGAGATGGATTAAGACGTGTAACTGGGGAAAACTGGGAGCGTGAGAGCAGTTAGAGCCTTACCGTTCAATACAGTGGTCTGGCAGAATCTCGAAAAATCGAGGTGGATATTTGAATTAATGCCACATGGTGTTATTGGAGCTCTCGGAAGGGCGGGGAATAGGGAGGAAACCGAAAACCTTCCCGGGCTGCCGGGACCGTTTGAGGTGACCTCGGAACTTTCCACCAGAGTCCGCCCAAAGTCCGCATCCCCCAGGCGCCCGGCACAGCAGCACAGGCAGCCTGAGAAGGAATATTCCGCGGCAGATCCGTGCTACAGTTCCGATATTTCTGTGTCGGGCGACTCTGCTGTCTAGTCGAAGTCGTGAAATACCTTGACAGTCATATGCGCTGATGCGTGAGCCGTTCCAGCGCATACCTTCACAGAGGTGCACATATTCCGTTGCGGTAATGGATAGCGCCAAGAATATCCCGAGGTTTGCGTCACGGCCCGTTGTGTATCCATGGTCTTATAATTAAGGCACCTTGACATTTCCTGGGGATAGTATCCTCTTCTCTGACCTAGAATTAATCCAGAAGCTCAGGAAGGATCCAGGGGCTTATCTAAAATACTTCAACCGGCCAACAGGATCGGAGATGTTGAGGCGTTTCAACGACGAGACAGTATCCGTCTGCTTCTTGCTTCTTGAAGCCTCTCGCCGGTATCTGCGAGTGGTTTGGAATGATGACATCTCCACCGCTATTGCTGTATTTAACATTATCTATCCTATTAATAAAGTACGAACCACATATCCCCTGGTTGACTCGGGAAGCAATCATCTGGTAAGTAGATAAAGGATTCCCCCACTAGGCGATATGACCCATCTGCTCTTTTCTCCTGCGGATCGAGACCATCTCCTTGTGGTTTCTGAGAAGCGGCTTCCACACCATCTCCCTTCTCTTCTTCCTCGTCCTCCTCCCATTCTTCTGCGACTGACGATTTCCGAAGGGTCAAGCACAAATTCCACTCCTTAACCCACACAATCACATCTCCCTCCCTCGATGCATCCGGCACGAGAGCAAAGTGCCCACACTCTGTGACGGCAAATTTCCGCCCGAGAGTATAGTCGACAAACGGTCTGTAAATTGCCGTTATGTTTGAGTCGGTATCCCCGAAAATGGAAATTCCCGTCTGTTTGGACTTTGGCACAGGCTTGGTCGCCTGCTGGTCGCCGTTGCCAGGTTTGTCTTCAGTTTTCGTCTCTTTGGATTTACTTCCACTGTACCTGCTCTTCTCTTCCTCCGTCGCTCGATATGTGGCATAGGACGGCATGATGTCGACGCGGACCATGTGTGCAAATATGGAGTTTGCGGAGCACTGCATCTTCCGAACAGATAGGTACAAAGAGATCATGTCCTCTACGTTCCCGACTTCATGGCTCTCCTTGCCGTCTTCTTCTTCACTCCGGGGACCACTTGGGGGTGGTGTTTGTGGAGAAAAGTCTGAGAGCGCGGAGGTTGACAGCCCCTCTGGAAGTTCGATCCACCGCCTCTGCCTGGCAATGTCATCATCTGTTGCCGGAGTTATTCCATCGTGGGTACGGTTTGCAAGTGTTGTTCGGAAAAAGGCATCGTCCAGTGCGACGCCACCAGAAGTATAGCAGGAATGCCCGTACTTCTGGCACAGAGCCATCGCGGCTTTGTAATTCCGTTTCCTTATGGCCATATCTTTCTTTGCCTGCCTCGTAGCATCAAGTTTACTACTCTCGACTGGGACCGACAGTTGGCTCAGGTGCGCAACCGTGCCTAATACAGCGGCTTTGATGTGTAATGAGTCTAAATCCCCCAGCCGCACCGTGAGATCATCCTTTCCGCCTCGGTCAGGATCATTGGTCGGTGTTTCTTTCCCGTCGGCTTTCTTCTCCGCTTCGTTTGCTTCCTCAGTGTGGAGATCCTCCTCAGCCTGAACGGGATCCGCTGCTTTCGGTCGATCATAAGGCAAGAGGTACGTTTCCGGATTCGCTGACCAGTCTACTACCCACGACGGTAGGCTCCTTAATAAATCGGAATGTCGTCTCTGTGCAACTCCTGCGAGGCGGATAAAGGAAGGAAGCTCCCCCTGCCGAACAAGATCTTTCGCAACATATGTATATACCATCTCAGGCGTAGTATTCGAGGAATAATCCGGGCGCATCAACTCATATTCCCACCCCTTCCCTTTCACTATACGATCCATCTTTCTCTGAATCAGCGTGAAATCTCTCATGAGGTTTTTAAGAAGACGCAGTCCACCTTGGCCGCGGCGTGAATCGAGCAGGAGCTGCCCACGCCGAGATGGCTCGAGGCCCTTGGCCGCCGAGAGTATATCGGCTATCGATCCCAGCGATTCGGTAAAGTCCTCAACAACCTGCGAGAATATTTCCCCTTTGTCACTAATTTCTCCAGTGGGTTTCGAGTCTTCCTTAGCCGTAAACTTGGGCCGGAAGAGAGGCGAATATCGCTCGTCGATTATGCCAAGGAACGCGAATACTTTGTCAACTGGGAGCGTAGCTTTGAACCTCAATGCAACCTTGAGCATGTCGCGGAGCTTCAGTGGGTCGCTGTCGTATTCCTGCAGGCGGATAGTTTGAAGGATGATAGCATTAAGAAGCATCTTGTTCTGAAGAAGCTCTTCATGGACACCTGAATGCAGCAGCATTGTTTGGACCTTCCCCATTGCATGTGTGAGCAGCCTCCAGGGAATCTCTAAACCGCCGCGGCATCGAATAACAGGATCATTGGACACTGCAACCTCTTGGACGATCCATGTGCGTTCAAACCACGGACTACAAAGAAGATTTCGGAACTCATCCCACCCCGAGTCTTTATCCCCCTTCAGCACGGCAAATTGCTCAATCTCAGTCACGCCGTTGAGTCGAGTGATGAAACTTAGTATCTTTCTCGAGTCAGGCTCGTTGCCCAGCCAGCATATCGTGGAATATGCCTCCTGAAAAACCTGCCTCATCATCCCGACCTGCAGAGCCTTTTCCTGATCGTCCGCCTGGTTAATGCAGATCGAATCGATCCAGAGATAAACGTGTTGACTCGGATCCCGTTTGGCCATGAGGAGACTGAAAATATTCTGGGACACTATGAAGGGAGCCCCGTTGATTAGGATCATTTCCTTCGCTCCCTGAGGCTGGCTCCAGCAGTGGGATACCGCAATATATCTGGGTGGGGTCTTGAGGTTGGCGTAAATCATATCGCAGCGGACGGTCGAGTTCTGGCGAATGGAAATTTGGGGACGGAGGCGTAGCAGCCGAATGGGCTTCTCTCCAGTGAGCGGTTTATATTCAAACCTCGCCTTGGAAGATGGCGAGACGTATGAAAGAAATAGGGCAGCGACGAGGAGAATCTGGAGTACTGGGAGCCAGTAAGTGGAAGAAATGGAAAAGCTAAAGATACTGGTCGCAATGGAGTCCTGCATCTCTCCAGCAATGGCCTCAATGAAGAAGATTGTTGCCACGAATGAGATGGTTCCTTTACGTTGTTGGAGCAAAATGTCGGATGGTGCGCCGCCTCGATGACGCAAAGCGAACTCGGCATGGGGAAACTGGTGGACGAGGATATAGATGGCGTATGAAACATAGGGCTCGATATCAGATATCGTCCATGCTATATAGCAGAAGATCCATTCAACGATCCAAATAATCTCGCCGTTCATATCGGGCATCGTCATAAATAGCCACACCACACATCGAATCCAGAAGGGAACGACCAGGCTTCCCAGCTTGGCGACTATTCCCATCCAGACGCCGTCCCAGCCTTCAGGGACAAACCCATTCACTGACCCGTCATCGTGGATGATCAGAAGGCACGGCACTGCTGGCCACAACGCCCTTAACCACTTTTCTGAGGGTCCGAATTGCATCTCTAGGGATTCCGTGAGAGTGGAGATGTCGAAAAAGTTGCGGAGAAGGACCATGGTGACGAGATACGTGGTGGTTGAGAAAACCCTTTCCTGGTAAATACTAGGGGTCACATCCCGCAGGAACAAGTCGATAGACCTTAAGATTCCGTAGACTTGGGTCGGGTGGATGAAGGGCCAGTACCACAGAGCCAGGACTCCAACCCAGATGATGGCATATATTTTATGCGCAAATGATCGGCCGCTGGAGATCATGAGCGCAAAGAATACCCATCGCAGGTTTTTGGGCAGGCCTTCGCCTATTATAAATACCATCAAGGCGGCCTTGAAGGCTGTTGACTTCCCCGTAGTCCAAAATTTGGTCTTCTTGCTGTCGTCATCGTCCTTTTTTCGGGCCTTGGACGAGGCTTTCGTGTCCTGGGACTGTTCTTGCGCGCTGCCAGACTCACTTCGCGCCATAGTGGTAATAATTTGGACTTCTCAAGACACAGAGATGATTTATCGTGATAAGCAGAGATAATAAACTATTACACCTAGTAGAGCGTAGGATGGGCTATGTTGGGATAAACAAAAGACATTTCAGCAGATCGTTGTTTGTGTCTCGAAAGTCGCGGGATATCGCGAGGTGCCGAAGAGCTGAAGAGCTGAAATGTCGGGTTTCTCCAGTAGGCAACACTCAAGCTCAGCCACTGAACAGAACCAATCAGCGAACGAGACCCCCGAGCGCGACGATTTGACCCAGGTTGTTTACTCCAATCTGAGACGGAAACACAGCCCTGGAAGAGAATATCTTTTTCGACTTTCATAGGTAAAGGCTAGCTCAGATGCCACGCGAACGAGCCTAGAATGAGCTCACTACTAGCATTGATGTGCCCACCGGATTCCCAAATTCCGGCCTACCTTACAGGCTACCATACAAATATTCCCGTGTAGGACAAGCGGAAGAAATCGCTGGCAACCATGGGCGGCCCTGGTTCTTACCCCCGTAACCACTTTCTACTAATGAACTCGATGCGATGTGGGAGGCCTCGATATAGAATTTCAGCGGCAGGCTCCCGACTCCTAGAGGAGAAAATACCCGCTCCCCACCCACAGCAGGAGACCAATCGAGGTGGTGAGATACGCGCCAATCCCATCATGCATTGCATAGTGGCTTGCACGTGTGCTGTGTGTGACCGAAGATCCAGGCTCCAACCTTTAGGCAATCAGATCAGCGAAAGAAGCAAAAACAGGGCAAGCAAGGGAAAAGTTTGCATCCCAAAGCTTGCATCTTCAGAAATCTCCTCTGCGTCGGCATCGAGATGGCTCCGGCTCAAGTTACCGTCGATTACTACGCCATTCTCGAGGTGGACCAGTCGGCGGACGAAGCGGCCATTCGGTCAAATTATAGGCGACTAGCAAAGCTACAACATCCAGACAAAAATCCCAACGACACCGAAGCTACGGCTCGGTTCCAAGCGGTAAGTGCATTCGCTGAGAGATCGAACGAGGATGGCTAGATGGCTAAATACTTACTTATATTTTCTCTTAGCTCTTAGCGGCGTACTCGACCCTCTCCGACGCGAGCGCCCGACATATTTACGACATCCAGTATGCAGGCATCAAAGCGAGCCGCGCCAGCACCACAAGCGGGAATACTAAAAACGGCCCGACCTCCCAATCAAACGATAAGAACGCCCATTCGGACGGTGCGTTTAACCAGTCGATAAGGGACCTTCAACAATCAATAAACAATTTGCGGAAGAACCATGCATCACTTCAGGTTCAAACGGACGCAGTCAAAAACGACCTCAGTCAAGCCGAAGCGGCACTCCGTAAACTGCGAGATGAGGAGCAGAAAGCAAAGGACGAAGATGTCAGACGAAATACCTGGCTTGGCTATTTCTTCATGGCGCGATTGTCAACCGAGGAGAAGGAAGCAAGGGAGCGGCGAGATGTCGAGCGTAGGGCGGCCCAGAGGGTACGGACTGCCGAAGTGGAGCGACTTCGGGCGCGGGTTACTGGCTTCGAGACCCGTTTGAGCAATATTACCAAGAGCATTGCGGAAAAGCAAACCGAAATATCTCGGGCTTGGGCGCGGGAAATGGCACGTCAGGCAGCCATGAAGCGAGAAGAAGAAGAGCGGAACCGAGCGAAGATGTGGGAGGAGCGACGGGCGAGGGAGGCCGAGAGAGAACGAAAAGAAGCCGAAGAGGCCGCGAGAAAATTGAGGGAATGGGCAGAACGACGGGCCCGGGAAGCAGAGAGAGAAGCAGCCGAGGCGGAGAGGATGTTCAAGGAATGGGAGCAGCGACAGGCTAGAGACGCCGAGAGAGAACGGAAACAAGCGGAAGAGACCGACAGAAAATTCAGGGAATGGGTGGAATCTCAAGTGAACGAGGGTGCCCAGCCTTCGCGGAAAAGAAATAAGAAGAAGAAACAGGAGAGCCAAGCTTGTTTACACAAGGGTTGGTGGACTCGCGAGTCGGGCCGTGCAGTCTGTCAGGAATGCAACAGCGTCATGCCGCGCTTCGCCTTCCGATGTCCCGGATGCCAGATGGTCGCGTGTGCTTCATGCCGTGAGGCCTTGAAGAGAAGGGCAAGCTGAAGTTTTCGTCCAAATAGCAGATGATGAATCCATGTATAGACGGAGAGGCTTTAGACTGTTTATATTCTCTGGGCATAATGATAATGACAGTTCCATAGTATCTTATGAGCTTGCGAAATGAAGTCTACCGCGTTTCCGTGTCTGAACACAAATCCTGTGACCATTCTCCTCCTTCAATCTCTCTCACCACCGTCGTCTTAGGCCGTAAGACCAAAATACTGCAAAGCCACACCAATGGCCAACACTCCAACCTTGACTCCCAGCCCAGCAAATGTCACCTCCGCAAAATGACTCGGACAATACGCGTCTCCCGCAGCCCCCAGAAGGTTCACCATAACCATCCACTTGCCCACAAAGCTCACAAAACTCAACAAGATGAAAAACCAAAACACGAATATTGCAAGCCCTTTTTTCCACGAGCTCGTAGTCTGGAACTTGACCTTGAAGTACCAAGCCAGAGGAAACACGTTCTTTAGTTCTCGCTCTTTGTCCTCCTTGTTCGCTTGCCATTCTAACTTCTTCTGTCGCCTTGTGTGGACGAGCTTCCAGACGAGTTCCCAGAGAACCCAGATTGGCGTCAAGGCCACGAAAGCGATCAAGCCGATGAGGATGACGAGGTTGATGCTGGCGAATTCTGCCAGTTTGCCGGACTTGAAGATGATGGCGAGGACGAAACAGAACTGGAAGGCTAAGCTGGAGGTGCCCCCGGTGCCATACGCGGGCGCCCAAGGCCCGGTGGCGAGTGTGAATCCTAGGGGAACCAGTCGCAGGTTATATCCGGAGTTGGAAGCCGGCATTGAGTTTGTAAGTGCAATATGAGGCGCGGCTAGGAAAAGACCCAACAAAGAAATGACGGCGTCTGTTGTGAGAACCTGAAAGCCCTCTCCCTTGCTGATGTACCAGCCAGCGACACCGGCAATCAACGGTGCCGCAGTCGGTTGCAACAGCTCCATGGCTCCGATCAAGAAGGCAGAGGTACCATCAAAGCTGCTTCTCTGAAGAACCACGGATGAGACGATGGGCTCACCCGAGCCGGAAGCCAAGCGGACGAGAAGCATGAGCCAGCTGAACCCGGACGTCGCGTACGTCTTGCTCAGCCACATCTTGACGGCCGTGCGGACGAGCTCGATGAGGATGGAAAGCCCGACTCCGACGAAGGACCAGGTTTTGCTGTTACATTCGTAGGATCCGCTGTAGATGAACATGGCCGGCGGCAGATATTGGAGTTTCTCGGTGGTCTCGACAGTGCAGGTTGCGACATCACTGAAAGGGCTTCTTGTAAGAGCATCGAGCATATTGGTGAGTTCTATTCAGGGTAAAATGGGGTTTTGTCAGTATAGATATGTTCTCGGGTGCTAGAAAGCACTGGATGGATGGACGAATGACAACGTACGCAATGTTGATAGACTCATACAGAGTGCCTATGCTGGAATTGTACTGAGGATCGTACGCCTGGCAGAAATTGACGAAGAAAGGAGCGGTGGCTTCTTCAAAAATCTACGCGCGAGTTGACAAAAGGTGATCAATCACCCCATTGGCACGACGCTTACAGGCAAGATGTCCACTGATGGCTCATCTCCAATCTCGAAAGTGACTCGTATCGGATCCCCAGGACCGTACCTCTTCGCGCTCTCTGCGAGTGGTCTCGGACGCATGAGAGGTTTCCCATTTTCCCACACTACGGCCGAGAATCCATTGGGAGCATCGGGGTATTGGGTGAATAGCTGATGGTATGTGCAGTTCGAGAATTGGTTGGCCACTTGCCATCGTTCCCATGGGAGGACTGCCCATCTTGATGTCTCGAGAGGGTCTATGTACTGGCTGCAGTTTGTTTTGACAGACTATGTTTGACAAGGTCAGATATTAGTGCAAGTCGAGGCCCTCCAATATAAATCAAGATTCTCAATCGATGGGAACATACGCTTTCAATAAAATCTTGATTCACATCACAAGTTGTAGGAGCCTTGGTAGCGTTGGCTGTTGGGACGGTCAAGGATCGTGATGTTCGTTGTCGTCCATGACGCTCCCGCCGTACAGAGCGGAGGCCACTTGAACCATAAGAGAGTGCAAGGGAGATATCAAAAATTGCGAGAAGGCATAAAAGAGCAACGACGGGTCGGAATACAGAGGCCATGGCTGATGTTGAGACAATAACAGGATTGGCGGCAAAGCAGAAAACAAGGAAAGGTCTCAGGACTTACACATCTCCATCGCAGGCTCATCACGATCTTATAACCCACAATTTTAGACTGCCCCTTTACCCCTTCAAGCCACCCCGTGCTCGATACTTCATTTTTCCCCTCTCAGGTAAAAGTCCTCGCTGCCTGTAGGGCTGAAGCCATATCTAATCATGCCATCTCGCCCCAGACGCATGCGCATACACATACCCCGGCAAGGCTCCGGATATCGAAACCAGCTGGACAATAGTAAACGCCATGAGACCAAGGATTCCATGGGAGCTATGCGCCCGCTGTTGGCACAACCCCCGGTAAAATGCCCGAGATGCGCAGGGATGCCTCGAGGAAAATAACCTTATTCGGCCGGCATGTCACCGCTGACATTTTCTCTCTAGGCAATTCGCCAGGTACCTGGGGGGGCTAGTGAAAATAATGCGGATGTGACTTGGTCTTATTCAGGAAATCTGCAGGTCCACCGCCTAATTTCCAATGCACGACTTGCATCTTCGAGGCCAATCCTATAATAACCGCTCCGCCATGGCATTACGCATCAAGGAATATCACGGGTGCATACGGCAGTTGTATGAAGTCTGTATGGGTTTGGTTGGGGTCTCCCGCATCGCCTTGCATATCAACCCTTTGACAGCTTGAGGCAGGCGACATCCAAGGTCGCACTGCTGATAAGAAAAGGACAAATGAATAAGTAGTACTATACCACAAAGAGAGAGAGAGAGAGAGAAAGGGTGAACGGGGGTTCATCTATACCTGAAGGAAGGCTTCGGAAATCTGGTGTTAGAGGATCCTAACGAGTACCACATCATTGTCACTAAACACAACAGTCGAGGTTGTCGATACCTTGCATGCCTGCCCTGGGTATCTCACTCTCTCATGGCTCTCTGTAAGTAGGTTAGGACGTTGGTAGTTTATGTTGCATATCAAGTTGTAGAGATGTAATACCCGCTATGGTCAGTCATCATGTTTTGATGCGCTACCGTAAAAATGCCCGCCAATGTAGAGAGCAAGCAGCGTCACTTTGCCTCAACAAGCCATGGAGGACCAACGATGCTCAACTGGTGAAAGCATTGTCCGCCCTCCTCCCCGCTCTCTTCCTGAGCTCCGTCACGCTCCGTTACCTGGACCATAAGAAACGAGGGTTGTCCTATTTTTCCCCCATCCGGCAAAGTACCCATCCTTGTTCGCAAGGCATTTCTCTGAAGTGATGCGTGCGCTAGTTTGAGGCGAGGTCCGACTTCCAGCCCATGACCATGACCCGAGAGGCAACGAAACGAGTGAAAGAGGCACTGCAAGTACCCTGGCCCTCCGAACCTACTCCCGTCGAATACGAGTCTCTACGGTGGTGAAAACGAGAGTGTAAGCTGACTGTTAACCCCATTTTTGGCCGACTAGTTGCGAAGGTGATTGCTGCGATCCACGACGGCAGAGTCAAACACAGTCGACGTGGATGACCGAACGAGTGAATATTCCTTCAAATTTGAGGTGAAGGCAGTTTGGGCCGTGATGGAATCCTGGAATCCTGTTTAGCGACAATCACATCCCCACTGCCCAGACCTACAGCTTCATGAGAACGAACGGCCGACTGGCGAAGAAAACAGGTACGAGAGTTCTCTATCGCTGCAACGTAACCACCTCGAGGTTTCATGACAGCGAGTACAAGTCCTTTACAAAACGCGTTGGAATATGGATGACCTGACCAACTTGGTTGTCAATAGACATATCGAATAACACCTAGCCAACGTCTCGAACCCCAACATACCACACCGACGACACGACCATAGTCGCAGCCATAAAGCAGACAAATGCATCTCTGGTATGAGGCAACCCTCCTATCCGCTCCAGTGTACTGAACCACACAGCCCCCGTAGCAGTAACCGCCTCGGCTACCATCTTAACCCAGAATGGCAGAGGATAATAGGCATACACTGCCGAAACAACACAACAAGCCATGGTCAAGATAATACACACGAACGTCTGCACCCACGGGTATACACTGCTCTCCGTTACCGGTACCTGTGCCTCCCCATCTCCAGCGGCCACAACACTGTCGCCCTCGTATTGATACTTGATTATCTCGCTCACGACAAATTCGTCGATGCATTTCCCGGCTTCCGGCAGACGCAGCACACACTCCACTATCCCGATATCCGCCGACGTTCCCTCCCGAAGCATCTTGGCAGCGAGGCTGATGATGCTGTGGCCGTATCTGGGCGAGTCGATAATTTTGCTCGGTGGGATCTCCGTGTGCGTCTGGCCAACGACGACGCGATCGAAAAACATCTCCTTAAAACGGCCAATAAGACGTGCTGACCACCGCTTCCTGATGGATACAATCGCTCGAAGAGACAGAGAAATGGTGACGGTGATGGATAACCACAGCATCCCGTGGCCGACTACACCCGACGGTGCATACCTCTCGGCTCTCAAGGAGCCATATACCCATCCAGCAATGATAAGGAGTGCCGCAGCTAGAGTTGGTACGAGAGCAGCTAGGAGTTGCCAAATCGTCATTCCAGGTGATATCATATCCCCCGCGTAGAGTGTACTCCCGTCTGAGGATTCGTAGTGCCAGCTGCTTTTGTCAAGGGCGATCAGCGAGGGCAAAGGGTCGTCCCCTTGGATATTTCCAGCCCCGAACGTTCCCAAGGTCGGATAAACTGCCAACAGCCATACGGCCAAGCCTCTACCGGCCGCGGCTCCCATCAGACCAACTGCGCAGCCCACAGTCAGTAGGGCTAGGATGTACATTCGGATGGCACAATCCATTTCGGAACCTCGACTGAGAGCAAACGGGCCGGTCCAAGGGCGCAGGCGAAGGAACGGAGACTCGGAGTGTCCTACAAGTGTGAAGATTCGAGACCAGGATGGGATGGCCTCACTCCGACCGGCAAGGAACGACGGGATCTCCGCAGCAAGGGTTGTACGCGTGGCCCGATCGTCCCGTCTATTCCATAGCTCACGCACGACTTCATTCATATGAACTTTCCCACCCGAAGCCAGCATTTCGATTGCAAACGAGATATCCTCCGTCCGAAGTGGATATGCGGGCGTTTCGTCGTCTTTGAATCGAGTCATGGCGACTTCGTCCGATTTCGGGCTCTTGATCCAGTGAATGTAGCCCTCTTCCCTGGCGTCCTCTGGGATTTGATGGCCTAGTATCAAGACCTCCCACTGGTCGCCGAATACCTCGATGAGAGCGGCAGTGCGGCGAGCGAGTTTCCTCAACTCCACGGGCGTGCGCCAGCAAATAATGGCAATTTCAGTTCGTAGGACACCATTTTCCCACCCGGAGTGTAAGAGCCAGTTCTGCCTGAGAATGACGTCGTATATCCGATTTGCCGTTGAAACTGTTCTGGCCAGGAATACGAGTGACGAGAGGGGATTATTTGTCTTGCCGCGGGTGCTGGCGCGCATCGCAATGACGACGGCGCCCCAGAAGGCTACGATTTGGGAGGACCATGCTGCCGTTGAGGAGACGGCGATGGACTGTGCGTTGGCGACTGCGTTAAGAGACAAGAAGGATAGCACCTTCAAATAAGTTGAGAACCTGGACATTGACAACGGGGCAGGTGTTCTTCGGAGATGCTTGGGGAACGAGGAGTAAAGTTGGGTGTCCCCCGAAGATATTTTATCATGCATCCGTGTCACCTGCACACTTCAGCTCCCCCTTTGTCTGCCTTGGGAGCAACGCAATGCAGGAGTGGGTGGCGGTGCATCGTGCATTAGCACCACCGACGAATCAGCAACCACAAGAATGGCATTCAAGGAGCAGATTTCCGGTGTGGTAAAAACGAGGCGGGCGCTCCAACTTCAAAACTGATTGCCTCTTTCGGGAACATAGAGAATGCGCGATATTGGTACATGTACTCTTCTCAAGTGCCCCTGCCGCATTGCAGCTCGGCTCCTGCCGCACCAGCGCGAGTCGGAATGTGACCCTTTACCATGGCTGAATCGGGTTCTACTCCCACTACTCCAAGCACCCGCTCCACGCTGTAATACATTTGCCTCGTCAGAGTACCCATGCTAAAAATAATCGTTTGTTGAATATGCCACTTTTGAATAACCTGAGGAAAACCAAGGGACCCAACCGTTTCCTGTCTTCTGTTCGTCTCGCCGTGTTGATGTGGCCCAGTTGGTAATTATGCCTGATTGTTTGACCACGCGACGGCTCCTTCAAGTACCTCCTTCTGCCGAGCTAGTCCTAGTCCGCAGATATGGTGGACTACGTGCACGGAAGAGCTTGACACCCAGGGGGCTGATACCCCTTCCGCGTCCAGGCCCAACTTAGAGCCTTCTCTAACCTGACCTCGAAGCATTTCGTAGTAACTAGTAAGCACCTCTTCGAGGACGTCTTTTCTCGAGCAGCGTTTTTGCTATTTTAGACCCCATCACCGCCATTACCTTCTTTGATATTAGCGCTGCTCGTGGCATTGATACCGAATTGGGCCTGGCCAAGGCTAAGGCTTGCTCTAACCTCAACCCCAGGCGATCGGTGACAGGTTCTGCCGACATGACGCGACGGGCCATCGCCGCGGGGATCCACAATCGACACCGGATGGGGACGAAGTCGGTATTCTAGAAACACGATTGCGGACTAAAAAGGACTACTTCCAGAAGTAGGGTGTGGGACACGATTATTTTCTCAATCGCCGGGAGATAAATACATGATAGCCTGTCTAAGCAGAGATGTTGCAAGATGGTTAAAGGGGGCGTTTGTTTTGAGAGAGATAATACAGAAGAATGTTCCCGATGCAATGGCGATTGGCGATATTCTAGTGGGCATTTGTAGATGCAGTGATGACATTCCGCTTTAGGTCTAGGTGTCCCCCGGACGCTGCCACTTTTTCAAGTACTGGACCCTTGTTTGAGAACAGATCATCCTTACATTCACTGCTCCTGTCGCCCCCAAGAATATAAAAGTATCTGGCTAACCTGGCCTCGCCCGTCGAGCCACGAGGCAGTGATTGGAAACCACATCTTGTCTAAGCTCACTCGCGAGAGTATTATTTTTCCCACTAAAATCGCGCAGCAGTACAGTCGAGGGCATGCTAGCAGCTACGGCAGTGGTCTGGCGAGCAATTGCATGGGGCCTGATATTTCTTTCGCTGGCTCATTTCTGCCAAAAACCAATTTCGTTTGACGGGGCCAATCCACGGACGGCCTTAACCGGTGGGAGTTTTGGGGCAATGGAGACGATCAGACGAGTGTACCGCTTTCTGGTCAATCTAGAGTGGACGGAGCAAGTCCAGCACAATTGCAAATTCTGCGATCGCGCAACCTTTACCAACATCCTCTACGAGGTAAGCTGACATTTGAAATCTGCTTCCCGACCACTGAGGTCCGCTCTGAACACATAAGCTGATGTCTAGTGCGTGCTGCACTTGAAGGACAACGATATTATTGCCTTTGAGAGCTACCGACCTGCAGGTCGACACCACTGGCTTATTCTACCAAAGGACCATGTTGTGCGAGACGTCGAGCACCTCAATGGTGATCACCTCGTTCTTTGTAAGAGCCTCACTAGATTAATTCCACTAATGTCTCGGGATTTATCAGTATATTAACTGGAAGTTTGTGTCAAAATCAGTGCAGGCCATGGATCGCGTGAAACATCATCTGATTAACGAAAAGTTTTCCGCAGCGCCTCGTGCGACCATCTTCTCGGGGTACCATCGCGGACGTCGACCGCTCATAGGAACGATCTACTATCCCGATATCATCTCTATCCATCATCTTCATCTACATGTCATTGTTCAACCTCACCCGATAGTGTGGCTTTCATCGTGGCTGCCTCTAATATGGAAGTCAGATGCCAAAGTGATGGAGGAAGTTCGTCGGTTGGTGTAAGGATCAGGGTCCCTGTCGACAAGGATTATCAAGAACATCTTCTCCCAGGTATTCAGAATCCCAGGCCTTCGTCCTTTCCATCGCTTCTTTTCCCTTTCCCTTCCTCATAGACTAGGTTTTATAGACCAACCAACGTGTTGCTGATACGTATCTCGCCTTCCTTGAGACGAAAGCCTGCACTAAGGCGAAGCTTGAATTGCTGGGAAAATTTGATGAAAGTTTGTAGAAGACAGGCGATTCGCGCATTGTTACAACTATGTTTACACTTTATCCGACGATTAATTCCCTCGACTAAAATCGAGATGCAAATCGACACGCAGCCCCCAATCCTCTCGTACACTCGTATCCGCCCACCGCTTGGTCCCCAGGAATCCCTTCGTTTCCGCCTCCAGTATCCCTCTATGCCAAATGCTTGCCATCTTGAAATACCCAACATCATCAGGATGCGTCCCATCAACCAAATCCCTCAGCTGCGGTCCGTCCGGCCCATGCATATCCACGAGAACAACCCTCTTCCCCTCGGCTACGCACCGCCTTGCGACTTCGCGATACTGCTCATTCACGCGAATCACCCTCGGCTCAACCGTCCCGCCTGCCGTCGAATTGACGAGCACGGTAGAAACGATCATGGTCGCGTCAGGACACAGCTTCCACAGCTCATCGAGCATGTGTCTCATCCGCTCGCCCGCCCCCTCGATGCCGTGGTTCTGGAGACAGTCGTTGGTACCAGCGTTGATGGTAAATATGTTTGGTTGGAATTCCGCGGCGGAGAGTTTCCCTCTCTCTTCGATCTGGTCGATCCTGTACCCTCTCCATCCTTCGTTGTCGTTGTTCTCCATCGTGCCGGCTTTGAGGGAGCCAACCATGCGGACGGTGTAGCCGTCGTTGACCAAGAGCTCGCGGAGGAACTTTCTGAAGCCGTTGCCGTCGGATGAGCCGCTACCATAGGTGATGGAGGCCCCGAGGGGCATCAGGCGTAGCGCCATGATTCTAATCAATGCGGGATGAGGAGAGACGAGGGGCTGTGTGATGATATGTCAACATCGGAAGGCTTCACAACCCCGCTGTGAATAGGTAACCGAGCACTCACCTTGTCAGTAGGGATACCGTAGCCTTCCTAAAATACAATTAAATACGGCTCGAGGATAATGAATATATAACATGGAGAAAGACTGATGGCTTGCACACCCCGCCTCGTCGCACAGGCCTTGTCTCAGCAATTGGATTAGTCATCAGTTTTCGAGCCAGTCCCAACTTGGAAAACTCGCACAAGATCAAATGATGAAAACTTGAGACCGTGTTTTGCTCTCCCAAGAGAGTTGGTATCGCGGAATCAATTAATATAGCTCTATAATCTATAATGCTTATCTGAACACGTCACTGAGTGTCTTTCATTACTGTCCTTCTCTATCGCTCTGCGCCTCGCTTCCTCCGTCAGACGAAGTATTCGACGTTGTTCTATTCACGCTGTCTACTTCAGAATACTCTGGCAGCGAATTTCCACCGTAACGATTCCGGAAACAGGGTTGGGTCCGCATGGCAGTTCGGTAGGTGGGGACTCGCTCCAGTCCAAATGTGCCATCTGGGTTAGCGATAATGCGCTCGGATCTATTCGGCGGCGATGGCGTACGGCTGCCTGGTTGCGGCTGGGAAGAGGTAGGTAACGGTTGAGCGGGAGACCCTTCTCGGTTGGGGGCAGTGTTCAGGGCAAATTGAACTCCCGCGTCGCTGTAGAGTGGGTCGAGTGCGTGTTCGCCATATCCAGGGGGCACGACATTGTCGCTCCAGACGTCATACATGCTGGCATCCTGTCCTACAGGATCTCCTTCTTGGTCCAGCTGGCTGGATGGAGATATAAATAGGTAGAGTTGGAGCTTTGTGGCAATCTGGGCACCGTCAGTTTCTTCCATCCTCACCCCAAAATAGTGTAATACTAGGGATCACTCACCTCGGACACGTGGCCGTCGGGGTTGTGTAGTAGGGTCTTCACCTCGACCCAATGCCGAGCCCTGATGCCGTGAACCTCCAAGTCCTGGACACAATCGCCCACACGAGTTGGCATCTGAAGGCTTTTACTCAGCACCCACCCCTCCTGGCTTAAACCATCAGGCGAGTCCTGCCAATCCTCCTCCTTTAGCTGAAAGGTCCATGTGGACACCTTACGCGCGACCTGGCGCTCTTTGGCTGGTAAGAAGGCTAATGTCGGCCCGTGATATTCTCGGGCCTCCATCAACGCCACCGTGACCTCTTCGATCTTGAGACCTTTTAGAAGAGGTGTGAATCTCATTTCGAGGGGTATTGAGCTACCCAGGGCGGCGGCTCTTGCGCCAAGAGAAATAGAGTAGTCGATCTTCCCAGCCCACGTGCTCTCCATTGTCGCGTCTTGCATGAGTTCCAGCACCGTGGGTGGAAATGTACGAAGTATCCGGAAGTGCTTCTGGGTGTGCAGAACACGTGCTAGCCCGCCCCTCGTGATTGTGGCCCTCAGCTTATAGGTGATGGATGCTTCGGGAATCCCTTCAACGGTCTCGGCGGTATCACCCGGGAGCACACATTCGAACGGCCACTCGTGATTTCCGGCAGGTAGAGTCGTGCTCTTTTCCCTCGATCCGGCAAACGACGGCCATTGGTGATCGAGCAGATCAATCTTTTGCCCTAACCGGCCTGGGCCCGTTCTCGTCCTCCTGAGGTACAAACGTAGTTAGATAGAGTAACCTTCACCTGGTAATCATTGTTTCTGGCCTTCTCTTTTTTTTTCCTTCGTTTCTTCATTTCTGTTGGCTCCGGGGGAGAAGTGAGGGGATTCTGTTTAGCATACCCACGGCGCAAGGTTCCCTTTAACTGGAGATGTATGCCCTCGACTCTTAAAGGCGCTTGCAAGCAAAGAACAAGAACACCCCGGAGCACCTGGCCTGGCGACTCATCTTCTCCGCCCAGAAACACAATTGTATCGCTTTCCAGCCTATTTCCCACATCACGTCAGAGACAGGGTCTAATAACATCGTTCGTGGTGTGGGAGGGGGTGTACCGAATTTCGAAAAGACTGTACGGGTGAAAGTGTGGTGCGTTGACAAGTTGCGGTGGCGGGACCGGGATCGGGATTGTTGGTAGGCGTGGTGCGAGGCGAGGGCCCTCGAGAGGGAGATTCAATCGTGGGAGGTGCTGCGGAGGGGGAAAAGGTAAACATCGGGGGATACGATTGTCGGAGGAAGGCATTCTATGCGTAGTCGTTTTGGCCGTGCGTGGAAGAGGGTATCATGAGAGGTGTAAATCCAGGAAAATCAGATAAATTCTCGTGGAGCAATTGACGGCGTCATCAGCACGTGAATATTTACTTATAAACAAAATATCCTTCATTCTTTTAAGGCTGAGCGGAGTCCGCTCCACCTTATTAGCGCCTGGACGGAGAACGGAGGCTCGCGCCATTTCCTAATAAGTCTGGTGATATGACGACGTGGCCCGTTCGGAATCGCCCCGGCGGCATCCCAGAAGGGCAAGTCCATGACAGCGCTGAGAGCGATATTAGGCTCGGAATTCGGAGGCCATACGAAGTACGGTCTTCAGCTGCTCCGTTCCAGCCAGTGACCAGTAAAAGAGCCTCAAAACGCGAGGAAACGGCGCCGGGGGAAACGGAGTCGGAAAGTCCCAAGATTTCTCCGAGTCCGCGGCGGGGCGGAGGCGGGGCGAAGGCAGATGCTGGACCTCGGCTCAACTCAAGTGACGTCGAGAAGCGTGAGGCGACTGAACTCGTACTTCGTATTCTATTGTTGATGGGGAATTCCTCTCGTTTAAGAGTTCGAACAGTATGCGCATTTCCATGATCTATTTCAAAGAGCAATGTGACATCAGGAACCTGGAAACTCGGGTATTTATGCCGCTTCGGAAAGTCCGACGTCGAATTTATGTGCGTCACTGGTCACATTTCGGGGTTGGAATCCTGTTCCCCTGGCGCTCCTTTTCGGCACACCTTCTGATCACTGACCAAATCCGGTTAAGACTTTCCCTCAGACTACGGCATTTGCCCGTCAGTGCACTCATGTCTCGAGAAGAAGTCTACACCATAATTCGAAATCCCAAGAATCCCCCGAAATGTGAGCGACCGCAGCATCTAGCGCCTTGGCAAGTTGCCGATTTAGTCTTGGTTACACGACCATAGCGTATCCTCTCCCGACATGACTGAAGAGAGCTTAATCGTATATTCACATGTCTCAAGACTCTTGCCAACATGTGATCACAAGATTTGGAAATTCGGCAAAAGACTCCGATGCGACGTTCAAACACTTTTAGAAGACAAGCGGCTCGTGACTTCGCAAGCTGGAAACCGGCACCGCAAGGATCAAAGGCCGTCTTTTGCTTCCTCTATGGAGGTAAGCTTGGCTGTATCCATTTCTCCAGACGGCATCTGGACTACTGCTGGAGTCTGAACCTTAAAGCTAGCCTTAGGTTAGCATCAAGTGGCACCTGCAGTGATCGAATACGCATCTTGGCCAAGTTCCTAGTTTAGCTCTCCGTGGCCCGAACGATAGTATGCTTGCAGAGGAATCCGAGTTACTTTGCCATTGAGCCCGGCCATACTCCACAGTAAGCAAGATTAAACTTCTCGGATGCCAGTTAACTCTAGCATCATACTCCACGAGTCAGTTGTGCTTTAGCCTTCACCCCCTTTCTAACCGTCTAGATACTAACTCCTAGTAACGCTATCACTACTCATGACATAAATGGACCTCTTCTTCCTATGGTATCAAACAAAGAAAGGTAAACCGCTTTACACGGGTAATCCAACACTGCAACATGCCAACACGCCTACTTCTCTTATCGGTATCCTCCGTACCCTCCCCACTGCTGCTGAACAGGAGGTTGTATCGCATGGGGCTGTATCGGCTGGATCGCCTCGGCCTGCAGCTTCTTCTTCTTCATGCGGTAAGACTTCCACCGGAAAACCACTCCGATTACCGTGGCTATGGCGCTGATACAGCCCACAGCTATTCCTGCAATTTCCCCCTTACTTAGTCCTCCGCCCGAAGAACTCTTCTCCTCGTTTGTCGCCTCTCCTGTCGGTGACGAAGAAGTTAGGGTGGGCGGTGGAGTAATGGAAGAACCGTCTGTGTTCTTTTTCGTTGTCGGGGACGAAGACGGAGAACCTCCTGGAACAAAAAAGTCACTCACGTGTTAACAACTACTGAGCAAATGCAAACCGGCCAAACACAGACACCAGAACGGCAACGACCAAAGGCGCGAAGGACACTCCGCTGTTTGGCCGCAGAAACGGAGAGCCCGAGCCCGCCGTTACCGTCACGGTCTCCGTGACAGTCGCCGTCGGCGGCGACGTGATAGTGATTGTCAACGCACCTGTCGGCGAGGGCGCCGTCACCTCCGCCTGCCGAGTGTACCCATTGCCCGTGCAGTAATCGTCGTAGATCTTCGTCGCGAGACTGATATCGTGCGCGTTCTGGCTGCAGCCGCGATTGACGCAGCTCGAGATGTAGAGATTGGCCTCTTGTTGTAGGTCAGGTCGGCAGAAGCAGTCGTTTTGGACTCGGAAGGTCGGGCACGAGATTTCCATGGCGATGGGGTAGCCGACGTCGTTGAACTGCACGAAGCAGCCGGCGGCGCAGTTGCGCTGTTGTTTGTAGGCATCGCTGCCGTCGATCGTGACGGGGCCGTCGGCGCCGAAGACCCCGACGGCGAGGAGCGGTAGCAGAGATAGGAGGAACATGTGATGCGATACGGTCAATCGGCCGCAGAGGTGAAATGGGGTCTTGAAGAAGCGAAAACAGGAGGGAGACGCGTGCCCATTTTTTTGCCCATCCCGCTTCCCCATGTCTTTCCTCTCCACCAGATTGCATCAGGACGAGTGGGGGGAGAGGATGGCCCAAGCGGAGATTGCAGTGTTACAGTTCCTGTCGAATGGGAGTAAGACGGGCGAACTTTAAGGATTAAAGGACACTCAAAATATCTCAATGTAACATTATCGAAGATCGTCTTCATTCACGATGGACCAATGGTAATTTTATAAATTATGAAGAGGATATTCTCGGCTCCTGCAGTCGGCGAGTTCTGGACCCCGGCGACTGGTCGCAGTTCCATCCTTGAGTTTAGGTATCCACAAGTTAAAGATATTAATATGACTGTCCAGCTTAACTATTTAACCAGGGATCGCTCATCAGTTCGTGGGCTGTTGGCCGATCCTCCGGCCTCCACTGAAGCGTCTTTCTGATCAAGGATAGAAATTGTTCTTTCTCGTCTCCTTCAAGAACATCTTCCTCCTCCTCGAGTGAACTACCCGCCACATCCTCGGGTTGCATCTTCAAGTTTCCTAAAAGACATTAGGCCGGGTTGCAAAAACCCCCAATAATTCTAGGAAAGATAAACTCACCGTCGTCATCAAAAAACTCCACGGAGTACTCGCTTCTCTCTAAGAAGTCTTTGGGCGGGTTCCCTAGGAGGGATACCATCCTCGCCAAATGGGCCGGTCTGGTAGCCTCTCGGCTGGGAAGTCGATTGTTGAAGAGATGCTTGCCCTCGAAAAGATCCCAGATCTGTTATTTCACGTATTCAGTACGTACGCCAATCTCATCTAGGGGGGCTGGGCTAGTCCTTACCATAAGACCAAGACTCCAGATATCTATCTTCTCTGTCCAGGGAATGTAGAGGATGATTTCTGGTGCTCGGTATAAATCTGGCATCACTTCGCCGATGAAGGGTCCGTCTCCCACTTTAGCCTCACCGAAGTCGCAGATGACAGGCTCCCCATCCTCGGGGATATCGAGGTCCCTTGACTGGTATATAATCCTATCACTCATGATTTTTCTTGGTGTAGGAGTGTCCCACTCCTCTTCGACAAGTTCATCCCAAACGTGCGGATTGTCTGTGGAGAGCATAATATTTCCTGGCTGAAGGTCTATGTAACCGTCAGAACACAAGGCGGGAATGAAAGAACATCACACAACATACCGGTGTGAACAACGTGGGCCACCTTGTGGAGGTAGTTGAGCCCAGGTAAGAGAGTTCGGATGAGGGGCTTCACTACGTCTCGAGGAATCTTGCCCCCGGCATAGAGACGAAGATCCTCCAGAGACATGCAAAGCGGCTTGTACACCAAGCAGACGTGGGGTCCGATGGTCCCCTGTAGCTCAAAGCTATCCCGGAAGGTTCGTATGAGATTCCGCCCAACTTCATTGCCCGTTAATGACCCGAGGTGCTGCAAGACCTTGCTTTCGTTATCTCCCTGTCGGTGTCCAGTTTCATAGACTTTGAGAGCTACGTAGATGTGCCTCCTTCTGGAATCAGCGTCGACAGTTCGCAAGTTCCATCTCATGGGCACATATATACATACCGAAGGTCTCGACATAACCAGACCGTCGAAACGGAGCCGAAGCCGAGCTTTACGAGAACCTGATATCTGGATTGGATAACCTCCCCAATTCGAACAGGATACCATTTCTCTGGATCAAACCAGGATAATGATTCCTCCTCCAACAGAACATCGTCACCATACACCTCGGCCTCTGTCTGGGGAAGTTGTCTTGGAGGAGAATCCCCGCCATCGCCTTCCGCCGCGAGATTAGATGTATTATTCGATTCCATGGGCAAAAGAGGTGATATTAAGAAAATATAGAAGAAGCGGGATTGAGCTGATTCTCGAGGTTTCACGGTCCTGTAAAATAAAGATAAAAAGAAGAAAAAAAAAAAGGAACGTGCTTCTTTTTGACGATGTCTGTCCTGCCAACTTCACTTTGATGAATACCGCACAGACCACTTGACATCCCAACTAAAGGAGGTCAGGCTATGGATCAAAGGCTCCGTGTGTATGAGATAGAATAGACTCGGAGCGTCTGAGAGGACTTGGTTCATCGAACTGAGGGGACCTCTGATTTCGTCCACAGTGGGATGCTTTTGAAAAGCGCGATTTATCCAAAGTTTACCCGTGTTCGTCTACTTCTGTCTCCCCGAGACATCACGCCTGGCAATGCTTGAAGCCCGATAAAGATGTCGCCCATGGCCACCCCTTTGAAGGGTTTCTGGCCAACGAAGACCGTAGAAGTGCGGCACGTCTGCTTACATGTCTACTACGCATACGTTGCATGCAAATTATATGAGCTCCAGATTCGTTGGAGGTCGATCCTCCATCGAGTTGGCCAATTACAGGAATCTCACATATGCAGTCTCATGTTGTGGGTGTTGTCCTCCCTGTTTCTGTGTGATTTGATCAAATGATGTAGGCGCCCATACGCCCCTCCACCCTAATGCTGTGAAACATCTATGAAGCAACGCCTTGGCCCAAGCCCCCTCACTTAGTCGACTGCAGATGATTTGACCAACGACTGCTCGCCACGCCTATCCACGCTGAATTGGTTTCTCTTTTGTACGCGTCGATCCCATGCTGTAAGCCGTAGGTCGTCCAATCGTGCAGGGCATCTTCTGGGCAGCGCAAGTCGGCACCTTGAATGAGAGAGAAGGGAGCAGGGTCGACGGCATTGCAGGCAAGGCTGCGTCCGGCAGATATAAGGACATAGATGAGTGCCCATCGAGTCTCCCCTTCCGTATCTCCATGTCTCCATCTTGCATAACCAGACAAAAGTTCTACCGACCACTAGTGTTATCCCATGCTAGTTCACTATTAGTCCCCTCTCTCCTCTGTCCTCCTGAGTTTGGTTGTCCCTCCTTATCCAAGTCATTTCTCGCACCAACTCTTTCAGTAGCATTGAAGAGTCCGCCGATACTAAAGTCCACTTCAGCGACCTCACCGAAGGGACCAAGTCAGCATTGAAGACAGCGCTCAAGTCGTTGAAGAGAGAGGTAATATTAGCCCGGAATTTCAGTCAGGATACATCTTTTCTGACCCTTGGTCTCACAGAGTCCGAAGGCGAAAAAAGTCGTCATCAAGTTTGGTCTTCCTTGCCCACCTCACAGATCTAACAGAGACTTATGAAGAATATCCAGAGGCCAGCCACACCAGTCTAGCACCGTACCCACCCACTCGAATGTCCTCTCCGTTCAAATAAAGGATGACCATGAGGGGTATTTGGGTTCCACCCATGTCGATGTTACCGATGGCACTGCGTACCCAAACTCCAAGTGGAAGAAAAATCTTGGAAAATGAGGGGGTCAGTGGTGGCAATGGAGGAGAAGCGGGGAGTCTGTTTGCGTCCCCCCGGCAGAAAACAAAAACAAAAAAAAAAAAAAAAAATTAAAAAAAAAAGTAATTAACATATTCTTTTAAAGGGAATCGGCCTGTTGCATGGCCGCATTTGTCAGGGTGTTTTTGAAGGAGTTGACTGAGGCTTCCTGATCGAAGTTTGTGAATACTCCTTAACTAGAATGACGATAGTACAAGACATGTAATTGGTAGCTCAGTGGCCTTTGCGCTATTGAATACTTGCACCGACAATCGCAACCCCAGAAGCTAGTCAGCTTCGTCACTACTACCCTCGACAGCCTGCCTTGGCCTGCCAGGCACTAGTATACTGGACGCCGAGGCAGCTTGTCAATAGCGAAAAGGGCTTTATACCCGAGGTTGAGAGTAGAGGCTGTCGTTGATCCTGTTAGAAGGGTAGTTGTAGTTTAACTGAACACGAAGAGCTCCATGATAGCTCAAGTGTATCGCTCATGGGATAGCACCATTGATGGAACGGGATAGGTATGCCATGTACCGAACGAGTAACTCTTTTTCTTGCAAGCAACGGGAGTGCACAATTCAGCTCACCGCATGGATGTCCTCGAATTATCGATCGTCTGAGGGTACTTAAGTGTTGAGCTTCCCCATATTCTCCACTAGTCTGTCCGTGGGGTAAAACGCGCCAAAGTCCTAGTGGACAATGTCCCAGTGCCGTGGATTCCGCGCCGGCGCTCACCTAGATCGATTCCTTAAGCTTGCCAACTTGGAGACTGAACCCCGGGGATATCCGAGGTGGCTGACATATTGAGGCTGAATCTAACAAGGCTAGGCGCAAATTGAATCAGCGGTTGCGTTTTATAGATATTGGAAAACAAAGATCGGCAGTCGCGTTAAAGTTGTCACATGGCCCAGGAGTCAGGAGTTTACTCGGTCTTGATGCGACCAGCTGCCGCAGTGAAGTCAACATCGGACGCCGAATCCTTGGGGCACTCCAGTTCTGTGAAGGAAGATGGCGACACAGGAATCGATATGCAAGACGTAGTAATTGAACGTTCCCAAGAGAGCTAGCATGTCATGGCCTGGAGAGATAGATGTCTTCACTCTGCAGGTCTGTTTTATCCCTCCCGGCGAGCAGGACGATTTGGTCTTGGTTGCGCGATTACCCACTAACGAAGTTCGTCAGTTTCTATCCGCCAGTTATACTAGTGCCCTCGGGTACGTATTGTTCCTCTCGATTCTCTTGACCAACTACGGAATGACCTTCGGTAAGTACCTGTTTGAGAAGAAGCGAAAAGAAAGTCGTTCCCTTCCTAACATAGCAATCCAGGAACGTCAAGCTCGGCGTCGTGGTCCCCATCCCTCGCCTTACCACCACGGCTACCCTATTCACATGCTGGGGCCACAGGTCTGATATTGTTGGCCGACGCGTCCTCTTCCTCCCCGGTACGACAACTCCCATCCCCTCAATCCTCCACCCACCGTCTAATTTCGGGAGTCCTTGAGATCTATCTTTATCTGCAGCTAATGGTTCGGGCTTTTCCGGGTGGTGAGGTTGTTGGTGGGTCATGACCGCCCCCGCCGTCTTTGCCTTCATCGGTATGCTGCTCTTCTACTTTCCCCTCCAAGCCCATAGTCGTCGGTTCAGAGGAATAACAGACTTTAGTAGGGAGAGGACGACTATGCCTGAACGTCGAGTGTAGTCCTAGATACTTTAATCAGCTGAATTATCGCGTTCTTCATATTTGGCGGCTATGAAGGCGTTTTGGAACCAACATTTCCTCTGGTTAATAGTTGAGCTGGTTTGGGAAGTTAGATCGCATGATCCCCAACGCTTTCTTCTTGAGGTTTCCCTCATTGGTGTCTTGTATTAACATGATCTAGCTTCGTATCACCCGCTGTTGCCGTCGCCTCGTTTTTATGGGCTTTTACGCCCTCAACATCCTCTTGTCTCCTATGTTATCAACGCTCTACACCACGGCCTCAAAGATCTCCAGTGTGACTACCAGATGGTCACACCTGTGAGAACTCTCCTCGGTGAATTTTTGTTTGTCCCGGTAACCAAGATGATCCAATTCTCCAAGTGGCAAGTTGCAGGCGCTGGCATCATACGGGACGCGTTACGGCGGCCATGGCGGCTTCGACGGCGGACTCAATGGTCATATCAACTGGATTTGTCGTCGTGGTGGGATTCGTCTTTGCGAGGCTACGCCTTATCGCGCAGCTGGCCATTACGTCGCAGCTGCCGCCGCCACATCTGTTGTAAGTATTATTAAACCATATCCAATCCCCGCGATCCTCGGAGCTCTTACCCAATGATCAGGTGGCACTTTATGAACATCACCGGCATGACGGTGTAGATTGTCCGCTGTCTCGCCCGAACAATCGGGTATACGTACTCCAGCTCCTTCAAGGTTGTATTCCCCGTGTCCATCGCGTTTAGCCCTTGGGCCGTCATCTATGCGATTTTCATTGGGAACTTTGGGACGGAGAAGGGTAATCACGTTGCAGTGGAGCGGAATGTTGGACATCGCGGAGAGGAATCGGAGAATGTCGTGGTGGTGTAAATGCAACGGGCGAGGGTGGAACTCTAAGGTTCTCGAGTGAGGATGGTCATGTTGGTGGAAAGTGAGGTGTGTCCATCGAGGCCGAGTCTTGCTTAATATTACCTTCAGTAGGTGTCTCTTGTCATCGCCAAGTAGGATTACTAGGAGGGGATGTGACAATTCCCGGACCTTTAACCATGGACTCTAGAGGTTTCCATGAAAATCTGTACAATTCCTTTAGACCATGAAAGACATTTACACCATCGAATCCGCTTACACCATAACAACCATATAAACCATGCAAACCATGAAAGCCTCGGAAACCATGGATATTGGATAATGATAGAATGCCTAGACAGATCGGCGACCTTAGCACCGAAAGTTCCTGCAAATTCATTCTGCCCTCCCAGAGATGATCAGCACCGGTGATGATCCTTGATCCGTTTTTCCCTCGTAACGTACAGCGTTTAGATGATTTGGGCATGCTTGTACCCGGTCAACGAGGGGCCGGAGAGACCAGGGAGTCTGGAAAGTAGATATCAGCCCCTTGAGTGTCGAAGCGAGAAAAGAAGCAATGAGTTTCCCCCCCAATCTCCAATCGGATTGGACGCCTGGCTTCATCCTCAACCAGCCACATTTCCGTATTGGGAATTTGTTGCATGAGCTGCTTTCCTCGGAAGCTCCATTCCCTTGGTCTGGGTCTCCGTCCTGTATTGTATATCTAGAGAAATCGCACCAAGGAAACTTCGCCGTCGGAGTCGAAGCAAATTTTTAAGGACCGAAGTCGTGTTACTATCTGCCAGGCGAGGTCGTAGGCAGCCGGAGCAATGTCTCGTCACTAACAAAGATACATGTCGAAAAGACTAAAAGTACACCACCTGAGAATATCTGCATGTTAAGGATGTTCACTTCTAGAATTCTTATCCCGTCCTATCGGATAAGAGCCGTCGCCGTCGCCGTCACCGTTGCCGTAGCGGCAGCCACGTTTGACCATGTTTGATTGCAGGCATTCTCTTCACTTGGGGCTGAAGATCGCGACCCCGGATAAATTAATCTCGCGGACCGAGACGACAAAAACGAGGCGACGATTGGATCCCGATTGGATCCAAGGCGCCACCTCCTTTTCGCATATCACCTGACTGGTGACCTGAAGCCGGTGTAACAATGCCGAAAAAAGACACAATTCCCCGCCTTGGAGGCGCAATAAATAGATTATGTGTCCTCGCGTCGCGTCGTTCGAGCTTGTCAAACAGAGATTGTTGCCTCGCGTTCCCACAGCGTCGGACGAATCTTGTCCATGAAGGCCAACTCTATCTCATAATACTCTTTCCCCCTGACTAGAGTGATAGAGTGAACTCGCCCGAGATGGCCGACGTCGAGTACGACACCATTCTTGGCAGAGCAAAGCAAGCCAAGGCTTATTACTCTGCCTGGGCTGAACGCATCGGAGATCTTAAATCAACCGACGAAACCTATGAAGAGGCCGTGCAGAAACTGCGAGATAAGATCGAACATGAAAGGGAAGGGATTACCGTTGGCCGCGACATCGATGAGATCAGGAGCGCCGTCGACCGCATGCTGAAGTACAACACACAGCTTAAAGAGCTCGAGATGACGCGCGAGTCGACTGCGGATGGCAGGAGAAAGACTCATAAGAGCCTCCTGGTGAAGGAACTTCGTGCTCTTCTCAAGGACTTGGCGGACATTGTCCGCGGATTGGCCTCGACTACGGACGTTCCCGAGATTCCCGACCAGGGACCCTCGGGTACTGCGGAATCTGGAGGTGCAAACGGAACTTCTGAGCCAAGGCGTGAGAGCAGGGCGGCTCCTGATACAGAAACCCCCGACGGCCCCTCTCAACCTTCTCAACAAACCGCGGATGCTCCGCCTGAGGAATCAGCCTCACTCCCCCCTCCTGATGGAGTCCCTTCCTCAGAGTCACAAACGAATGCAAATGACCCACCATCGACAGAGGCAACGCACTCCTCGAACCGGAGAAGCGCCACCAGGCGTGCAGCGTCCGATGCACGTGTATGCCTTTCCTAGTTACACTCCATGTTACTGAATTTTTATTTCTTCTGTTCACCTTTCTTTTTCTTCTTCTTTTTTTTTCTTCTCATCTTTTCGGCCATGCTTTACTGACTGCATAGCAGGACAAGGCGCGGAAGGGCACATTTTTACATACCACACCCACGCGCCCTGTAAAGCGCCGCCGGGTGGAGACGAACTACCAAGAGAACGGGGACGAGGAGCAGGATCCGCCCGAAGAAGGCTCGGGCCAACAACCCCCGAAGAAGAGACCGCCGATCGAATTCAAGGACGTCTACCAGGACGGCAAGGCCGAGTTCAGACACTTCATCATCGAGTATCCGCCTAATAGTAGCAAATTCTACATTTTCTACTGCGAGGAGCACGGGGTCCATTTCACGACAAATGCTCTTGTTGGCGCTGCTAAGCATCTCAACGGCGAGCAGCACAATAACCAGCGGAGATCTCACGAGAATGCTATCAAGACGTTAGGCTACGAGGTGTTGAACTGCACTACTGCCTTGGCGGAGATGAACAATGCGGCTCTCACCGAATCCATCCAGAATGGGACCTATACGGTCTTCAATCGAAACAAGCTACGACGCGCTGAAAAGGAAGCGTACGCTGCCTCGGGTGCTAATGTCATGCCGACGCCGCAAGGTTCGCTACGTGCTCGGAACAATGCGACCGAGACCGGCAGCGTGCCATCCCCAACTCCAGGAGCTTCGGAGCCTCCTCCCAAAACGCGGAAGCGGAAAAGCTTTGATGGAGTCTCGGAACCTCTCGTCGGCGAGGTATATTTCGGATGCTGGTCGAAGAACAGGTGGTTTGTAGTCCTTCTGCTGCCGCGAGGCGAGGCTTTCGGAGACCCTACTTTCGAAGATCTCAACCTGCCTGGTGGACTTATCAACACCGGCCTTCTGGGTGGCAAGATCCCTCGCTGCTATAAGTATTCGCCCGGTGCTACGGAGCTTCTTGGCTGGTCTGAGGGCTTCGGCGATGGCGGCCGCTCGGTGCTGGAAAGGCAGTTTCCCATCATATTCTTCGACAACAAAGAGTTCCCGAACAAATGCTCCGTTGGTTGGATGTCTACCAAGCAGCTCAGGCCGTTTGACTTGGATGATGATCTGGCTAGCAATACTCCCCAGTTGGATACTGTCCAGGAATACCTCTCTACCCGAAAGCCGTTGAATATTCTGAAGAGGCAGGGTGGACGAGGGGAGCCTGGTGAAGATGGCGGTGGAAATCCGAGCGAAGACGAAGAGGATGAAGTCGGTGAGGAAGAGCGAATGGACACAGATACGGGCGTTCGAGAGGGGGATGAAAAAGGAGGTCAGGACCGACTGCACGTAGAGGGAGATGGAAGCGCGGGCACAGGAAGTGGAGGACAAGGCGAAGCAAAAGAACAAGAGAGACATGTAGGGCAAGAAGATGGGCCTTCGGAACACCTTGAGGATTTCTTTGGTGGAAGTAGTAAGTTTCACCCCAATGGTTGTTTTGCTTGGCTGGAAAGCGACAGATCTGACGACATTGACTACTTCTAGGAGACAAGGGATCGCCCTTGAACATCCCACTGCCATCAGCATCGTCACGTGCTATCTTCCAATATTCTATTGATGATGATGAGGAGGAAGAGGAGGAGGGGGAGGACTTTGGCGATGACGACTTTACATTTACGACACAAAACCTCTCGTCTCCCTTGCAAAGTCCCAAAGGGCTGGCGAAGAACCAGCTGCAAGATCCCGAGACCATTGCTGGGCCCAGCGGCAACGCCCAGGATACATCCAACACTAGCGATTATGAGGAAAAGCCCATTTCGAGTACGGTGCCTGGAGGAAATACTTTCTCCGGCAATTCGTCCTACACTGTTCCCCCATCCGCGGTCGAAACGTTGAGACGCGAACAGGCCAAGATTATGCGCGAAGGGGGAGGCGTGCAATCTCCGGCGCCTGAGATCGCCTCGGGGCTTTCCGAGACAGCGTTCAGGGCGTTGCATATGGATAACACGCCGGGAGCCTCTGGGTCGGCGCAAGCACAAACACGGGTTCCGGACGCAAGAACAACGCAACAGCCTGTGCAACAACGCGTCTCCCCTCCAACTGCGAACGTGGACCAGAACCAGAACAGAGCTCGAGCGCCCGGCAGCGGCAAGAGTCCTAGAGTTGAAACGCCTCCTCTTACTCACATGCACGTTCCACCAACGCAACCTCCCCCGCGCACTCAGGAAACGTATTCGGCCTCAAACCCGGCCGCCTCTGTATGTTCATGCTGTGGCCCAACCCAGCAGTACCAGAGTCCACAAGCCCAATTCAAATCCCCGCCTTTGCTGTCTCCAAATCTGAACACGACTAACTTTCAGTCACCGGTGAAAATGCAGGCAACAACGGGATCTCGCGCCGGCCGGCCATCGCCTCAAGCTCCCCCCCAGCGGCCGGCTGAACACGTCTCTGAACAACAGCAGAGATTTGCCAATCCAGCCACAGGGGAACGGCCTTCAGACAGGACAGCTTCTTCTCCAAACGTTGGGCCACATCCTTCTTTTCAGTTCCAACCGGTGCAGCAACCGCTTGGATCAAACGGGCCCTGGTCGGGACCTCGGGCAGGTCCTTTAGCGGGAGCGGGGCCGACCGGTAATGCAACTCTGCCGAACCTCAACCCTACTAGTCATTCAGGTGGTGAATGGCCTCATTACATGCCGCATTCGAATGCGTATAATTATGGTGGACCACATGGATCGTGGAAGTAGAGTGATTCTGTCGCTGGCAAGATTGACCTGTATCGCGATTGGGAGTCGGAGCTTGCTTGAATTATTTCCTTGTTTTATTTCATGTTTTCATTCCTTTCATCGTAGTTTTTCCAACCCTTTTTCTTCTTCCACTTCGGTTTCTTTTCATTCCCTCTTGTGTTTGATACTGGGATTTTCATAATTTACAGATTCGCGCAGCTGGAAATGCTGTCCACATGCGGCCAAGATTTAGTTAACACTGCGAACCATTGACTCGCCATTGACAATGGCTGGCTCGGCCGTTGAATGTCCTGCTCCCAGCCAGGCTACCCCGAACGACCAATACCCATCTATATTTCTGAGGAAATATAAGGCCGTCCTCGGGGCGATGTGTATTTCTCTCGGGCCGTCGAAGTTGAACAAACTCGAGGATGTTTATAGCACCGAAGCTATATTCTCCCTACATGTTACGAAGGTAGTGATTTCAGTTCCGTTCGGTGTTCTGTTAGCCGTGCCACCACATGTACAACATAGAATTCCCTTCTCGCGGGGCACAAAGCCAGACCAGGCTGGTCCGTAGGGGTGAGAAGGCCATCCTACACCTTCCTGCAACATACCCTCGAGACCTTTAGTTTCACCACTCATCGCGCCACGGGGCCAGGGGACTTAGCTTTGAAGTTTAGTATAACGTCTCTGTTGCCAAGTCAACTTTCCCGAGTCAGGCTTAGATGCCTCTCTTAGGCCTCCCACCACTGATGAGTTCCGACCTAACTCGGACATAGCTAGTATCTGTGCAAGTGTTCCTCTATATCGAAATAGCCTCAACCGTTCCCCATCGTAACAGAGTGCCGTGCTACACTTCAGCCAGTGCTCCACTTTCTTTCACCTCACTGTTTCTAAATACTCATCTTAACCCGGAACAGTACAGGAACATAGCCAGAGCTATTACTTCCCTGATTGGGATTCGTTGCGGTCATGTTGTTACTTACAGAGTCTTGCTCTTGACACCCCTTTTCACTTCCCCGGACGCTTGGAACGCAACGTATTACTTCATGATTTAGTGGTAGATTAGCGAAGTAGAAAAACGAAGGTAACATGGGACCCTGGTGCAGCCAGTGGCTCACAACGAAGGAGGTCATTGGTCCCCCCAACACAGACATTCATGGGCTGAGCACAATGAGCGGACTGGAGCTACAACCAATAACATCCCACCGCCCACCACACCTTGCAGGACCAGGCACTCTCTGAGGCGGATTCAAGGTCACGACCCAATATTGCCATGTAATGGAAGTGAAACCCCTCCTTTCCGACTGGAAAGGATGTTTACCTTAGGCATTGGAATGCATTCAGCAGGCAGAATGGTTCCGGACCTGGTCGACTTCAAATTATCTGCCACATATCACCTTTCCTCACCATCGACTTCTAGCCAAAGTTGTGTGAAGCATATTATACCCGATCCAGTCGCGTTACTTAGGATTAAGAAACATTCGGCTTTAAGATCATATCGCGGCTAGGTCGAACCGGCTCTTCCAATGTCCGGCGCGACGTTTTCACATGAACCGTTGGAAGCGGGCCAATTCCGGCTCCTGATTCTGCAACCAAGTCGCAGCCAAGATGACTTGATCGAATGTGAGCTTTTCAACTGCTCTCTGGACAACCCCCCATCGTATGAAGCGTTGTCTTACGTTTGGGGCGACCCGCTCTCGACACGAGTAATTTCAATGCAAGGCTCGACTTTTCCGGTGACGGACAATCTCTACAGCGCGTTGCAAGCCCTGCGGCAAGTTGAAGGAAGCCGGACTCTGTGGGTCGATGCTATCTGCGTCAATCTAGCTGATATTGAGGAAAAAAACGACCAGGTCCTAAGAATGCCACAAATATTCTTCAGAGCCGACGGGGGCGTAGTGTACTTGGGTATTGCAACGGCTGCAACAGATCAATCAATGGACTACTTGATACAACTCGAGAAGCAGGAAGGCAAGACGGGAATCGTCCCGAAAATAGAATTTTCCGATCTCTCCGATAGAGATGGGGATGCAAGACTCGAAGGGTTGCGAGATATGTTGTCGCGCCCGTGGTTTCGGAAAGTGTGGGTGGCCCAGGAGATCGGTAATGCCCGTCCGCAGTTGTGTATTGTGGTTCCAAGGCTGTGTCGGGGGACACCATCGCTCGCGTGGTCGAAATATTGAGGATCAAGATAAACCCTATGGGGCAAGGGTTCTTAGACTTGATGCCGGGACCGGGAAGAGATCTCCGAGCGGATTCTAAATTCCAACTCTATGACCTTCTGCAGATGCTTCGCTACGGGGAAGCAACGGATCCACGAGATAAGGTCTTTGCAGCTTTGAATCTAGCAGCCGATAATTCCAAGAGGACCATCGTACCGGACTATTCCATGTCCCAAACAGCCCTAATTAAGAAAGTTCTTGCCAGCTTGTACTTCTGCGAGCTGGCGTGTGTTCCTATATCGCCATATCATACGATTGACGAATTCTTGGCCAACCTCGATCAGATTGACAACCACGTCGTGGAGAAGATTTTAGAGTCATCCAAGGAAATAGACCTAGAGTCTCTACTTCGATATGGATCTCACTATATCAATATCGACCACAATCTTATTGAAGCCGCAGGGCGAAACGAGACCCGGGGCAAAGAAATGGTGAGACTTCTTGTTGCGAAAATTGACCAAGATGGGAGAGCGTCCCCAACTCCATCAGTAGCGTCATCGGTTTGGTCAGACGTCTCTGCACCATCAACGAACACATCGTATCCACCCGAGGATGTTGAGATCTCTTTCTGGCATCTAGTGAAAATTCTGGGGACTCAGGACGCATTTTCTGATCTATGCCATCGAGGCTTTTCTCGGGACGACTTGAAGCCGGAAAGATTCGCCAATAATTTACGCCGCATGTTCAAGACCTTCGGCAGAAGTCTCTCAAATGAAGCACCATCTTATACTTGTCAGCTTGCGGCGAAGTTGATTCTCCGTGATTCTCGCCGCATGGCGGCGCAAATTCGGGCGAGATACGACCCTGAGTACCAACTCAGGCCGAGACAAACCCATCCCGGGGAAGCTTGCAGTCGATCTCGAGTTGAAGATTTCATTCGGCAGCTGAATTCGCAGCACACTGAGATGGCCGAACAATCTCCAGGCAACGACAGTGATTCGGAGGACGATTCCACTCCTAATTTGCCCGCGGAACCCGCCTTAGTCTCTTCACTTACTGAGGTTGAGGCTTTCATCCTATCTAGTCGGTCTTTCGAGACCCTGTTAAACTCCCTTACTGCGTTTTTGGAACCTCGGGGGGATCGTGGTGAGTCATCTCTTGCGGCAGTACCGAACGATGCAGGGGTCCAACCGGCTCCTCAGCGCCTCCAACGAATCGAATCAAATCAACCGTTATCAATGCCAGAAGAACAGCTTCTAGAACAACCCCCTGCACTTCTACCCGAGTTGGAATTATCGCGTGATTCGGTCGGGCTCCGGGTCTACGAGAGACTATCCAACTGGCTGACGAGGATAGAGAGACCCAAGGAGGGAGTTCATAGGATTCAATACACCTGCGTGAGTGTTCCTCAGGACCAATGTGGTTAATGCACGATATGTGGCTGATTATGATCGTAGGGCTGCGGCGAGCCTATGTTCGTTGATGTTAAGGAGCTGCGGCCTGGCGGGATCGAAAGGTTTCGCAATGAGCTTATGGCGCCGGTCGTTGGGCCGCAGGAGCGGGTACTGGTTGAATCCGGAGGCGGGGATCCTGGGCTGCCCAGAATTCCTCAACGAGCCTACGTTGCGGCTAGTTCCAGCAGCAGTGATGGGACTTCAAGCCTAAGCCTCGTCCCTGACGGAATAGGTCTTAGCGGGCAGTCTGGAGATTTCGAAATAGAAATTGATGGGCTGCAAAGAGCTCAACCGGGCGACAGTGGTTCGGAGCCTCTGTTCCTATTGCTCTGCATTAACACTCGAAACCTTACCAAACTGCTCCACGTGGATCTCAGGTACATTCAAAACGACCAGTATTTATTCGATGCCATTCGACGCAAGTACTGGGAGTCGAGGTAAATTCATTCCTGGCACTATGGGTTGCTCACGCCTCGGTGGTTAGCAGATCGAATCCCTACTGCGTGGCGGGAATGGCTTGGGACTCTCCACTTGCGCGTGCCACGAAGCGCTGAGTTTATCGAGGTTTGTTTGTTCCTTGGAACTCCCAAGAGGCAACCGTGTTTTGTTATTAACGTTGCATCAGTTCCGACTTGTGCCCTTTCACACCAGTATCTGCCCTGACAAAGTGAGGCCTGGGCTACCGCCTGTGGGGCAGGTTAAGGTGCAAAGGAACTACCTCTATGAACCCTTCCCAACCGATGTCGAAGTCCTCAGCATACCTAAATTCTCCCACCTCCTCAAGCCCGGCGCTCACCACTACGACTTCTGGCTGAAGACGATCCCAAAGAAGCTGCGTACGGAGCTAGTGTACCGGCCGGCAGTCGTCGGATGGGGCTTGATGGTTCACGAGGACTGGGACTGGGTTATCGTGCTCTCCAATTTCCTCGCGCTGATGATCATCTTCGGCATCGGTGTTGTGGTCTACGCTGCCTTGTCGCACGACCCATCGTCCGCATTTGGCTTCGGGGCCTATGGCATGGCTGTAGTCACACTCTTGATTACTATCAAGTACTGGGCATGGCAGGAGCGCGAAGTGTCGTGACATCAAACCGGGAAGAACGAGCATCAAAAGCTTTCCTTAATTACTGTAGAGTGGAAGTCGAGTTCTCAAGGGACTTCGCGGCAGTGCGGGCGGCGGATATAAAGTACATGTTGAGGCTAGCACTTCTTAAAATGGTGGATATTCCGAGCTATCAGAGTCTGGACGTTGATATTATAGCGTTCTCAGAGACTCGGGGGCCGGAGGTCTCGGCCCAATTCCATCCTCCGTGGCGTTCTTCTAATTTCCTTCCCCGTTCCGGGGTAATTTATTGGCAGTCTCTCGTCTCAACCACCAGTTACTCCTGCCCCGGGTCAAGTTGACATATGCATACGACGAAAATGAGATTGATGATGAAATTCCATCTTCGCTTAAGACACCAACTATTCCGACCACATGAGTTGCCGTGACCGACCACGCAACACTCTTCCAGCATATTCTGTTTCTCTCCGGCGGGGTTAATTCGTTGAGTACATCTCTATGAAGGAAGCGGAAGCGTCGAGGCCCCTAGGCTATGAATGATAAGGAGGCTAGGTTTGAGCGACTAACGTTTCGACGAAGAACCATTTGAAGATTTTATTTTTTCATTGTCCACCGTCTTGGACTCTTGGCTCGTCGATGACCGAATCTTGACAAAACCATCGTCGGCTTGATTGACGGACGTCAAAGCGCAACTCAATGCACACACGCTAACCCGTTATGCAAGTTCATGCAGCTTCTCCGGATTGTACGAGTCGTACACATGCCTCGACCTCGGCTCACAAAAGGGACCGATCTGCCGTCGCAGGTCTTTCGAATCTCGTCGTTTAGATTCTCCTCTCACTGCGTTCCCGATCGTGAAATCAAACGCATTTTAAAGGAATCATCTCAATCATGGCGCAAAAGCCATCTCTCGCTACCAGCGATTGGCTTAACCTGGCCAAAACCTTGGCGATCACAAGTATGGCCGCCATTTAGCAGGACAAGTTTGTTGTGTATGCTCTGCTAACAACTACAATAGCTGCGACTTTGGTCCTATCCTCAGTCACTGCTCCATTTCGAGGCACAAGCGGCGCCTCGACTTACAAGAGACATGTCATCTACACTGTTATGAAGGCCTTTACTCGAAACGCGAGCGTTCGAGGAACCCAGTAGGTTACAGGCTTCGCTTTAACTTGGTTGACCCCCTAACCACTGACGTCAATAGAGCGTTATCTCCCACCACCGTAGAGGCGTATCAAAAATTTGTCAAGAGCAAGTCCCTGACTCCAGATGTTGTGGATCTGTCAGAAGGCGCCAAGGGATGCTGGCTTGGTGACAAGGGTAAAGGCACGGTTCTTCTTTGGTTCCACGGCGGTGGCTACGCTTTAATGGCGAATGCAGGTCATTTCCAGCTGGGCTGGGACTTGATCCAGAGCGCACGGGAAAAGGGCCGGGACCTGAGCTGCTTTTATCTTCAATATGGTAGGGTTTTAGTTTTATAGTTTTTTTCCTTTCCTGGAGTTCCCGAGGTTTCACTTGCTGATGTGGCCTACTAGACGTGGCTCCGGGTGCGACGTATCCGACGCAACTCAAGCAGGCAGTTGCCGCCATAAACCATCTCATAGAAGTTGAAAGTGTTCCGTTATCTCGGGTAATACTACATTCCCACCGACTAGTATTCGAGGGGCGAGCAGTTTCTAACGGTGACCCGCAGATTATACTTGGGGGCGACTCTGCTGGCGGTAATCTTTCCCTGGCTGTCTTGTCGCACATCTCACATCCACACCCCGAGGCCTCTCCCGTGCACAACAAAGACCGCTTTAAGGGCGTTGTCCTAGTCTCACCATGGGTGACATTCGACCAAACTGCCTCGTCCATGAAGTCAAACGCAGGAAAAGACCTTCTCGACCTTGTTACTCTCCGGAAATGGTCCGATAATTTCATGGCCGGCACTGATCTGGATTTCTACAACACCCCTTTGACCGCTGGGGAAGACTGGTGGGAAGGTATTGCCGCGTCTGAAATTGCTGTGATAGCCGGCGGTGACGAAATATTCGTTGATGATATCCGCTGCTTCGTCGAAAAGCTCAAGGTACAAAGAATATCTTTATTCTCTTATAATGTGTTTCCATTTTGTGCTAATGAACTATTAGAAACATCAAGAGGGTAAATTTACGTACGTTGAGATCAAAGGAGAAGCGCATGATGCTCCGATTCTTGACTACATGTTTAAACTCTCTCATGGCGAGCAGAAGCGGGCTATTGATACATGGATACTCGAACGTGTCTAGTTACCGTTCGTCGGGCCACAGGTGCAGCATGCATCACGACCTTCCGTGTGAAACCTTCCAATCAACTGTCATACTAAAAGCCATGGTCCATCGAAGAACAGATAAATGATATCGCAGCCTAGAGCTCTGAGTAAATAGAAAACTGTATGAACCTAAAACTATGCCGTCAATCCATGTGAGTTTTGCTGACCGGTATAGAAATCCCTCCATCTTCCAAATCCATGGTCTTTGATTTTCTCGTATTCTTTTTTGAGGATAGCAGGGATCGAAAGGGAGGGGTGACTTCGTTTTTGTGTGTGTGGTGAGTTGGACTTGTATTCTTGGTCCCCCTTTCAATTTTCTTTGGGTTGCCATTCGCTTCCTTTGCGGATTTCCTCGTCCGATTTGAGGGGGTTGTTGCCTTGGACCCAGGGGACGGAGGCGGTCCAGTGTAGGGAGAAGTGTTCTCCTTGTTGTACGTAGTTCCGCTGATCGGTGTGGGAGAAGGACCCAAGATACTTTCGATCTCGGCATTAATTCCAGGCTTAGGGCTCCTCGAAGAAGATGTGAAGTCTCCCTCTCCCTGCCATGGCTTGCCTTCCTCTTCATTATGGCTAACGTGGTCTCGCAACTCGAGCTCATGGTTGTTGGCTACCTCTGCGGTACTTTCCGAAGATAGCACAATCGCCGCATCTTGATGATCTTGGCGGAGACTCTCATGTATAGCCTCTTCCCTCGGCACAACATCACGCGACTGGCGTTTCTTCTTCCGCCGCTGGTTGCGTGATGTGGAGCGAGTTTCCGGGTGTCGCGAGTCTCGATAACGACCATCTTCGGCTTATCGATATTCATGCCAGGGAACCACTGACCACGCAATATTTCCGTCTTCGATAATTGGTTGCATTAATCTTCTCCCAAGAGATTTGCATTTTCATTCTCAGCTGGATCTCATCCTGATTTTATTCGCCAATGTAAGTGCCATCTCCCTCGAGTCAGGTTTTCTTACCATGTACTGCCATAGTTGGACGCCTCATTACCGGATTCGTATTCTAGCGTGCTGTCTCGCGTCTCGGGTTTCGAGATTAGTAGATGGGTATGGGTTATCATCGGACGAACCATATACAGCTTTCGGCCCGAAATCTTCGCTTTAACGCAGCCTATAAGTAAACAGGCGGAATGCTCGCCCAACATCTTCTCCTGACTGTTCGTCGTCCACCCTAGATGCTGAGGGAACCGTCGGCGGCTTTGCAGCAAAACACTGATGGGGACGAGGCGCTGCGAGTCCTCCTCTTGCGGGGTTTCTTTCACCTCCTTGATCTGCGACGCAGCGTCTGTATTTTCTTCTGTGCTACAGGTCGCCTCCTCTGGACCTTCCTCGTAGTATTTTCGCGGAGAATCTGCCGTCTGGTCTACTGGATCACCTCCAGCCATTCGAGCTCGGCTTCCGCCCGCTGTACTCAGACCTTGTTAAACTTCTCCGTTTTACCTCCACTGCCTACTCAACTTTCTTTCCAGAATCCACAGCCTCGTTTTTGGGTGTCTCTACGTTCGGTGGTCTTTTGTGCGTTGGCTACATGTACCACCTTTGAATTTCAGTCCATGTTTAATATTTATTACGCCAATAGATGCAGGTTCCGTTTTTGATAAATGTAATATTGTAATGCACACGCCTCGGCATAAAAATTCATAATAGTTCTGAATCTTCAAATGTCATCCCTGACGCAGGGGCTGAGAGTCCAGATTGAGCCTAGGAAAGTGGCACAAGGGTCGCACCCAGTCCAGCCCGGAGACTGGTTTATACACTTCGCCTGCAAGGGCCTGTGCTCATCGCCTGCAGTAGCGTGGAGGAGCTCCCCAATAAGAAGTACATGCAATATGCAATCGGAAGACCGGTCTTCCTCGTAACGCTATTACCCCCAGCAGTTTGATATTTCCCGTGGGAAGGAATGGTCAAGGTGGAAGAGGATAACCGATCGTTTAACCTCGGAACTTAAAGCTACGAAGCACAGCCCCCCCTATTTTTGACATAATGCAATTATGGCATTTGAGGCTTAAAAAAAGAGGTGGAACACGGGCCTTCCATCGCAACCTCTAACCCTCCATCTGCCATCTGCCACATCACCCCAAAAAGCGGCGACGGTACGACAGCCGTCACTATTCAACAATACCCTTGAAGTTCTTTGAAGCCTAGTGTTAGAGTACGGGGCGAGGAGCACAGCCGCCAGGAGGGGAGGGCCTGGCTTAGTACATAACCTCTTCATCTCAAATGGGCGATGTCAATATCGACGCCTATAATAACTGGGGCTCTGCTGTCTCGCACGGCTGCTAGTGAGACAAAGAAGGTACTCTATATAGTGCGTCTTCCTTTCATTTATATATAAATTCTAATCTTCACAAAATGTCAGAAAAATACGGTTGGCACCAACATGCTTAGCGGCTTCGATGTACTTCAATTATCTGACACGATGATCGCGCTATCACCTAATTCCGTTGGCAAACCTCAACCCTTCTCCTTTTCTTCTGTTATTTTTAGATTTTTTCCACATCCGAATAACAGCATAATACATATCCACGTTTAGGAAGCATACCCCATTTGTACATGGCTGTGTTAGCCTGGGTCCTGAATCCTGACTGTGGATTCAAGCCGCCATCACGTTGCTAGAATTTATAGATTCCTACCGCAATAGAAAATTGCTTTTTCCTTGCGTAGCACCCAGTGGCACTGCCTGTGATAGCGACTTTAGTCTCTGGGATTCCTGCCATTGACTCCCGTCTCCTCTGTTGGTAGGAGCCGCAGTGACCCTGGGCGAGGCCGGTGACAATACGACAGGGACTAAAGAGAACGGGTCATGGGATGTTGGAATAAAAGTAGCAATAGTTTTGACTCCATCCTCGTTTCCGTTCCCATATCAGCGCAGTTTCCTAGAATTCACCTCCTGCTATCTAAGTTACTTCGAAGGCCTGATATTTCGATGCCAACATTCCATCCACCGCATTGTTTAACTTAGTATCACTTGAAAACGGCCAATTCTGATCACGGGTCCACGATACTTCTAAAGTTGTTAGCAACGTACCCTTTAAGTCCAGGACAATGAGCAGAACTGCCATGAATGTGGGGTCTGGGATCCAGGCCATCCACGACGGAAGCGGTGATATCAATGTCCACCAGAACAACCCCACACCACTAGAGGAAAGGGAGAGGAGTACAATCCCTGGGATTGTGGGGCCTGGGATGCACCTCATCCACAGCGGGGAGGGTGGTATCACAGCCATCCAGAATCCAGGTGCGGTCCATATCAACAACTACATTGTCATCCAGAATCACGGTGAGCTCTTTTCCCGTTTTCGACGGGCGGTGGGACAAACAAGTGCTAAGTGACTGTTGTATAGGTTTTGCATCGTCTCTGTTGAAGAGACTTGTTAATTCCGGTCCGTCTCAATGGTTGCAAGAGCTATGCAGTGCGTTTTCTTCTTTCCATCGCCCTTCGTTGTAATTAGGTTTCACTATTAACTAATTTTGGAAAATCCAACGCAGGCATCGATGTACTCCAATGGCCCCGGGTCCTTAGGCGTGTTCTGCCTCCGTGGAATGCTGAAGATTGGAAGCCGTGGCTCGGCCGGATCTGTTCAGCCCCGTGTACCACACGGGCCGATCCCTGAGGCAATGAAACATGCAGAAACTGGTGAAATCTTCGGTCTGTGGAGAGTGGAGACAGCTGTACCTCAGTATGACAGACGAAGAAGAACGATTGAGCCAGTACCAGTGATCGGAACCATCTGTTGAGCTGTGCTAGCAGCTGTAGTTGAAGCTGGAACATCATGCAGCATTTTGGGAAATTGCGCTTCAACGGAATAGAACTGGATAGAGGGCTTGGATCCAGAGGAGTGTCTTGGCTTTTTCACTGGGGCGGCCAATAGAGTGTACAGTCGTGTTGTGTTTGATGGATAGGTAATATCAAAGATCCACCTATGACCAACTTAACCCTTTCGCAGGGGCCATTTGAGCCAATATTTGAACACCACCGCACAGCGACCGCAACAGCCAGGGTGGGTGGTGATCTGAAGAGCTTGGAGGAGGAATACTGCCCATATAAACTATTACGGGTTTTTACATTCTGCAATAACCTAGTTTATCTTTCAAGACTCCTTAGTAGCCAATCCAGGTACAAACTACACCTTTACCCATAATCTACACTCGCCATACCAATACCATGGAGACTGTTTGGCAGCGTCGCTTACTCCATATTCTCCCCGAGATCTCCTCACGGCCCCATTCATTCCCTTCCTCCCTGCCAAATCCTATATTACTTTTCCTTCAGCTCTCGTCGCTCTCATAAATCTCGTATCTAATGCTTTGATTGGTCTCCCCAAAATCTGCAGGCACTAGGTCCTCTTACTTGCTTATTCTTTTTGTATCTTCAGGCCAGTGCCGTGAACTGCCACTAGCAGCGTTATTAGACAGCATATTCGCACGACAGTCTCCAGCCAACACTCGATAAGAATATTCTGGTTAGGATGTCCATATAATAGGTAGATTGGTTATCTCTTTCTAATTCCAATGGTACTGATTTTCTGCAGTCTAACCATCTAAATGCTATCACCTAAGAAGTTCTCTAGTACAACAACTTTTATTTATACGTCGGGCGAGATGTACCTAGCCTCTGTACATGTATGCCATCGCTCTATACAGAGGCTTCGACGATCACCGCAAGTGATCGGATCAGAAGTGATTGGAGTAGAGACTTCGATCTATTTCGCTCCTCCCTTCCAAATTTCGAACAAAATCCGGGGTGCCGACTTCCCCGACATAAGCCACATTGTCGCAGCACTGATAATCCTCGCCTCGATGTCCGCTTTCGTCCACCAGCACTTCCCCAGTTGCCTTCCCGGACCGTTATTAAGGGTGTCCCCTGTCTGACTCTGTTGGAGAATGAATGTGATGGATGGTACCCCCGGGTACGCTGATGCCGCTGCCGGTCGTCATATTTATATTCCCTTGTCCGTTATGAATAGGCTGGACTCCACTACCACTGTTGATAAAGGTTCCCCCAGATGATTCCTCGATAAACAAAGACCGCTGAACAACCCCAACTTCTCCGAGCGCATCCCTGATTTTTTCGATGCGCTCATTGTCAAGCGGCAACCCCCTGGCTATGCTTAATACGTTGCTGAGCAAATCGTCCATGATGTCCTCGACTGGCTTTCGGCTGGAAGTAAGGGAAACTGCTCTGCGGTAACGCTCGCTGAGAGCGTTGCCGTCCTCGCGCAAAGTCTCGTTGTATATTTGGCGGAGATCTGTGGCCTGGGACGTCGCGCCATCAGCCCAGCCCCTAGCACTGATGCAGAAGCCTTCGTCGCAGTGGGTTTTGAATCTGCCTGCCATTGACTGAAGGCAGTCATAGACTGGGTGAAGCCATTTTTTCACAACGAGAAATGCTTCGGGTAGGTCGCTGCTGTCGTGGATGCGACGAGCGGCGATGATGACCTTGTCGACACTGGAGGTGGCCTTGTTAACAGCGGCCTCGGTGGCACTCATCGTGTCAGTAAACCCCGGCCTTGGCATTGTAACACTAGGGAATGTGGTATGCGTAACAAATCCGTAACGCAGTTTTGTGACCGGAGTGGGACTCAACGGGACCAGGGGCAATGAGGAAACAGCGATCATACAGACATCCGAGGAGCGTTGAGGAGAGGAGGCAAAGAGAGATAAACCAGGTCAACCACGGCTCTATGGACGTATATGTATGTATGCCGAGCCCCTCTCATCTCTGGCAATCATGGCCCAACCTGCCGTCATTTTGATGCGTGGGTACAAAAGAAAATTGCACTTTTTGCTTTGCGCTTCCAGCCTTGCACTTCTAGCTCTGCACTTTTGGCTCACAGCCTGGCCGGCATTGCATTGATTCGTTCTCCTTTTTGCCCAACCATTTTCCTTGACATAGCAATACAAGAATGCCTGGCAGCGATAAAAGACGTCCTAGTTTGCTGGCGTTGGGGACTGTGGCGACATTCTCTTCGTAAATAACTGAGAGACATTGTCTAGAATCAGCTGTGGAACCGGACACTACGTAAGCACATCTCAAAGCCCTACTCCCTAAAGGATATTTCTCGACATATAATCCCTCGACGGGGAGAGCACGTTTCCCTGGACACTATTTTCCCTGCACTTTTCGAGAACGCGGCCAATCGTGAGAGCCAGCAGCACACCGCTCCCAGCAGCCCGCCGGCCCAAACGTGGCATCCTCAGACGCGATGTCTGGCGTCGAGACGTTGGGCATCATTTCGGCCATAATCACAATTATCGAAGCCTGCTGCACAATTTACGAAAGCGCAAAAAATTCCTCTGGGCTCCCCCCCTCGTTTCGGGACTCTGCGAAGCGATTGCCACTCGTCAAACAGACTTTATCGACGGTTAGGGGAGGGCTCTCCGGGGAAATGTCCCTAGAATCGGAAAAAGCAATTATACTGATCCTCGAGAGTTGCGAAACTAAAGCGGCGGAGCTCAAGACTATCTTTCGGGCCGCAACTCCAGACGGTTCGTCGTCACCCACTCGCCTTCGAAGGTATTATAGAGCTTTGAAGGCTACTCCAAAGTCCGACAAGGTAAAGGCGCTGATGGACGGGATTTTCATGGATTTACAGCTCTTGGCGGCGAACCGCTGTGTTGATGGTGTGACGAGAGCGCAAGTAAACGGGTTGCTCGAGAACTCAACATTTACCGGCGGATCGGGCGGATCGGCCAGGGCTGCCGAAGGCGGACCGAGACCTCAAACATTTTACAATACAGGATCGGGAACCCAGATTGTGCGTTCAGGAACTGGTGATCTTCACGTCACCACTGGAACGGGCCAGCATTTCATCGGTGACATTGGGACACTTAACTTGAACGTCCCGTTTCGCTGAGCGTTTTTTGGAAAGCCGCGCGTGCTATTTCATGTATTTCTCTTCTATTTCATTCCAACACGAGCAGCGCCTATCCTAAAATTCACAGCCAGCCCAACTCGTCTGGAGATAATATTAGGCTGTCCGCTAATGGAACATTTATCTCTCAAATCCCATCATATTAGGTCCCCCTCACTGGATCTCCCCTGCGGCGTCCCTTACCTTGGAATTGCGCCGCAGGTATGTGTGGCGTTCGCCCGTCTCTGCTCTGAATATCGGTGCCGACCCCCACTTTCCGATGCGTGCGCCACGGAAGCAGTGGGGTAAGGTGAAGTACCGCCTGCCCCTTGACGCACCTTTTATCCGGGTGGGGGGGCTGTCCTCTTTCCAATTATTGTTGGCGCCTAGACGTAGCAGAGCCTGCAATCACCGCTTCGTCCAGGTTTCTGGAGGCGAGCATAAGCGTAGTCGAACCGTCGTGGGCCTTGGCATCGAGAACAGACATGGAAATCCATCTCTCTCGTATCCTCCACATGATGCCGGAGCGCCGGCCCCTGCGCCAAAGAGATGGAGGCACGCATATCGCTGCGGCTTTGCCACATTTTGCTTCCTGTGCAGCCGCTGGATCACGAACGAGCGGGAGTGTCAGAGTCACTGCCAGAGCCACATCGATATCCGGCAAGAGCCGTTTCGCTGTAATCCGATCGTCTTTCGCAATGCCACCGCCTGTGCAGGATACTGCCCCGTCCACCTGGGCCGGACGGACCTTCCCCCAGACGAACGGATGCAGCAGTACTAGGACCCGAGTGCCTGGCGACGACATATCTCCGAATGCGTCGCGGCCCGTATCCAGGCACAACCCGACTTGGCCAACCTTCCATGCCCGCATTCCCAACTACCTATGAGAGATCCACAGTGTTGAATCAACACTGGCCCCAAAGAAGAAACGCAAATCAAGCTTTGAAGGGAGCCAGGATGACAGAGTTAGATCCCATCACCCTGCTAAGAGGACGCGAACCAAACGTCTAGTAAGACGAACATCAAGCTCTGTCCACACCTCGGGGGACGCAGAAAGCCTTGAGTTCACCGACTTCTCGGCACTCGATCTTGACCCAAGCCCGGCAGAAACTACGTCGATATATAGCAGTTCAACGCCATCCAGCATCAGTAAAGAAGATATCCTTTGGGATCAGCAGGATGACTCCTCGAGCATCTCTCCTGGTCGCGGGGTCTTATTCAACTACTAACAATCATTGACGAACTAAAACTAGACTTTCAACTCCGCCATCTTCTGGATCGAAGAGGCGCTAACGAGGTTATTCATGCCTAGCTCGGAACGATCCAGCTGGGAGAGCTTATGTGGAACTTTAGTCCAGACTAAAAACGCGAAAGACTCTCTCCTATCATCAAGGAACTTCTCAGCCCTCCCACTCACCCCCAACCCGATGCTAAGCTTACTGACATTACATTTAACCTTCCAGAACGAAGGACATACAATTCAGAATACCCGAGAACTATTCTCACTCTACCAAGTGTTACCAAGGATGAGCCTACTCTAAGGATAACTGGGGGTAATTTTATAAGGGTTCTACAAAGCAGTGCTGCTCAATAGGGGCCTATGTATAGGAAGGTTTCAATAGAAGGAGGGAAGGGGAAAGGAATTCAATCAGAAAGGTCTCAGAGTAGATATTTAGATTAGTACCATTACTCTCTAGCTAGCCTATTGTGAGGGACCTGCGAAACAGTGCTACTTGACAGAGGCCTATGTACGGGAAAGTTTCGACAGAAAGGAGGAAGGGTCGGAGCAGGTATTTACGTTGGTGCCGGTGCCGATGCCGGTGTGGCAGTTGGCTTGGGCTCTTGCCGAAGCCATCTACGCGGCGCAGCCCGTTACAATTTTTTAATTTGATAAACCTATCTAATCCAATGATACTATTATTAGGATTTGACCTACCCTCATTGCGACCCAACAGCCTTATTTCTGCCTAATAGATTCTGATTATTTTTTTTTTTTTTATTTTTTTTTATTTTTATTTTTTTTTTAAATACGTCCATACACAAATCATACAATTTTACTGGACCTGCGCGACAAACATTCCTCGCATTATGCCCATCTTACCTTTCCCTAGGGCACCCGCAATTCGTCACGATGGATCCCGTCTCGGCTGTGGGCCTTGTCGCCGCTATCATTCAGCTGATTGAGACGACGGCCAAGGTCATCAGCTATGTGAATGACATCAAGGATGCCCCCACCGAGCGGGCCCAGTTTGCTCGGCACGCTTCGAGCCTTCTGGCAATGTTGACTGATCTGAGATATCGGGTAGAGGAAGCCAAGTCTGCGCCGGATCCATGGTTCGTGGCTCTCCGCGGCCTGGGAGCAGAGGGTGGGGCGCTGGATCAGTTACAACACCAAATGGAACGTTTGGCAGTGAAACTTGAGCCGTCTACAGGGCGACTTAAGAAGGTGGGAAAGGCCTTGATTTGGGCGCTTGATAAGAAAGAGATCGAGGAGGTACTTGCACAGATTGAGCGGGTCAAGACGCTCATCACGCTTGCTCTGCAGAATGATCAGTTGTAAGGCCCTAATTTCCATAGACATTCTTCGGAGAGCTGATGTTGTCTTTAGCAAGCTTGCTCTGGAGATGAAACGAGATCTGATTGATGTCAAAGAGGACATACGGGGAGCTATTGGTGAAGCTACCGCGGAACGACAAGGTCCCTACTACCATCTTTGAAGTGGATACTCATAGAACTCAAGCTGACCACGAATGCTGCCGTTTAGATGAAGAATTTCAAGAGGTCACTCGCTGGCTCTCCAGCCTTGACTTTGCAGCTAAACAGATTGACTTTCTCAATCGGCGGCAAGCTGGCACGGGAGAGTGGCTTCTCTCTGATCCTCGATTTCAGCATTGGATAGAGGGGAAGGAGAGGACTCTGTGGTGCCCGGGGCTGCGTAAGATCGGTCACATCCAATCCTTTATCCCAAGTCGCTAACAAGATGTAGCGGGCGCTGGCAAGACGACCCTGGCGTATGGGAAACCCCGCTCCATTACAGAAGGCTCGGCGGTTCGGGAGTTTGCTAATCGCAGTCTACAGATCCATGGTTATTGACTGGCTTGAGACTCGGCATCAGGGTACTACTCCTGCAGCTGTGATCTATCTGTACTGCAGTTACAAAGAAAAGGAGGTGCAAACGCCGCAGAACATGATAGGAAGCTTATTAAAGCAGATGGTCCAACAAGAGGCTGCTCTTCCTGACGATGTACGCAGCCTTTACAGCAAGCATCGTCAGAAAAAGACGAATCCCAAGCTAGATGAGCTCACCCGCCTACTCATACAAGAAGCCAAGACTCGATCACTCGTCTTCGTCGTCGTAGATGCCCTCGACGAGTGCCCCGAACGCGGTAATACAAGGGGTAGACTCCTCGCTGAGATCCAAAAGTTACCCCAGAACGCACGTATCCTTATTACCTCTAGGTATTCTCCAAAAATCGAGAAGAGCTTTGAGAAAGTACCCCATATTGACATCCGTGCGACGGATGAGGACGTCAAGATATATATCAAAGCTCGCATCGAAAACGGGAGGTCGCTGGCGAAGCATGTCCGTTCAAATCCGACTCTATTGGAGGAAATTACCGCGACCGTCGTCGAGAGTAGTCAAGGAATGTGCGCTTTGATCCACGTGTCCGCTTCTCGATATTCTGCGTGTTTTCATATTGGCTCACGCTGACTTTTGGCTCTTGGATAAGGTTTCTGCTTGCCCAGTTGCACATGGACAGCCTAGCGAAAAAGCTCACTCGCCGCGAGGTCCGCACGGCATTGGGCAGTCTGCCCAAAGAACTTGACGAAACCTATGATCAGGCCATGCAGCGGATCCAGAGCCAAGACGAAGGCCAAGCTGCCTTAGCGCACAAAGTGTTGTATTGGATTTCGTGTTCGCTCCGGCCGCTCACGGTGGCAGAACTGCGGCACGCCCTAGCCGTAGAGCCTGGCGACGACGATCTCGACGAAGATGGCCTCTACGAAACGGAACTCATGGTCTCGGTATGTGCCGGCCTAGTGACCATCAACGAGGAGAGCAACCATATCCGCCTAGTGCACTACACAACTCAAAGTTACTTTGAGCGCACTCGAATAGCCTGGTTTCCCGAAGCGCTTTCAGTCATCGCTAAGACCTGCCTGAGGTATTTGTCATTCAGCCCATTTGCTGAGAAATACTGCTCAAATACAGAGGAACTCACGGTCCGCCTTGACAAATATCCGTTTTTGGGGTATGCTGCCAGTTACTGGGGAGATCACGTACGCGACGGAATGGACGACGATGTCTCTGAGCTTGCCTTGGACTATCTGAGCAATAACATCAGCATCCTAAGTACCAACCAGGCAGTCGGTGAGGCGAAATCTAGACTCAAATGGTATAGCACTCGGGGTGGCGTTCCAAATTTAAGTCGACTTCATGCCGTCGCATCGTTCGGTCTTGTCGATATCGCACGGAATATACTGGCAAACGGGGCCAGCGTAAATGCGAGGGCGGAATGGGGTACAACCCCCCTTCACTTGGCGGCAGCGGCAGGCCACATTCAAATGGTCCGCTTGCTGTTGCAGGCAGGAGCCAGGATTGCACCCGAGGCGATTGACCGACACACGCCGTTGCACATGGCCGCCCAAGAAGGGCATGAATCTGTCGTGCAAGCACTCATCGATGCAGGAGGAGACTGTAATGACCGTAGAAATACACTGGGGAAGTCGCCGCTCCATCTCGCAGCAGAGCATGGTCACATCGACGTAGCGCGAATTTTGATTGAGAGGGGAGCAGACGTTGGCCAGAAAGACGCCGTGGCACGGAGAATAAAGCAACATAGCGACAGAGAGTCTTCCCGCGAACCAGATGACGATGAGGTTAGCGACGACGAAGTGGAGTACGGTGGGACCCCGTTGAACCGAGCTGCCGAGCAGGGCCACCGCTCTTTAGTCCTCCTGCTCCTGGATAGTGGCGCCGACATATCGGCAACCAACGAAGACGGCGCGACAGCGCTTCATGAGGCAACCCGGGCTGGCCATGTTGAGCTCGTGGAGCTCTTGATCGCGAGAGGCATCGACATCTCCACCAAGAATGAAGATGGCCAAACTGCGTTGCACTGCGCAGCAGGTGGAGGGCAAGCAGAAATAGCCCAAATACTGTTGGAAAACAATGCGGATGTATTAGCTGAGGACTGGAGAGGGAAAACAGCTGTCCATGAAGCTGCTGCGTCGGGGCATGAAGGCGTGCTCAAGATGTTGCTCGAGAGTGTAGGTAGGGGAAACGAGACGGAGCGATGGCTCGCAACTGCGCATCTCCGCGGCGCGATCGACCGAGCAGACGAAGAGGAAGTCAAATGTCTGCTGGAAAGGGGGGCAAATCCCAATATCGACTCCAATCGGGGAGTCCCTCTTTTATACCTCGCCGTCGTACGCGAGAATGCCGACGTGCTGCAGCTGCTCTTGGCCAATGGAGCTAGCGTCAATGTGAAAGAGAGTTTCGGTAGAACTCCTCTGCATTGGGCAGCTTATAGAGGCTACGATGCTGGCCTTCGGCTCCTGCTTGAGCATGATTGCGATATACAAGCGACCGATCATGACGGCGCAACGCCATTGCATATGGCAGCGGGATATGGAAATGCTTCAGTAGTGAAGGAATTGCTAGACAATGGAGCACGACCGGATGCGAAAGACAGCTACAGCAGAACAGCATTGTCGTGGGTATTCAATCCATCCAGTTCTGGGCAATATGGGCTCATGGTCGGGGATGACGACGACGATGACGATGGCGATGACGACGATGACGATGATGACGATGACGACCCGATGGGACAACAGAGAAAAGACGAGGAACGAGAAAAGAAACGGCGAGAGGAAGAGAAACAGCGAGCGGAAGAACGCCTTGCTGTGCTTGATCTTCTCATCGAAAATGGGGCAGATCTAAAAGCACCGCTGCCGCACTGGCGTACCTATCTGCTCTTGGCTTCCCAATGCGGCCAAGGGATAGCCGGATTGGCTTTGATACGACGACTTCTCGAGAACGGGGCAGATGCGTCAGCACAGACCGACGACGGTAAGAGTGCACTATGTTATGCCGCATATTATCGTCAGCCGGAAGTGGTCCGACTTCTCCTGGATCATGGTGCAAATGTCAATCAGGTAAATAAGAAGACCAGTTACATGGAAGGTATTACGGCACTCCACGTAGCAGCGCGGTGCGGATCGGAGGAAATAGCCCGCCTGCTCATCGACGCCGGGGCGGACATGAAAGCCGCCGACGAAGATGGGTTCACAGCATTACATGAGGCAGTCACAAGTGGCAGTGATGCTATGGTTGACCTACTTCTTGCCCACGGTGTTGACATAAACGCCCACTATGGCGAGAAGAAGAAAACCGTGCTTCACCAAGCAGTCATTGAAGAGAATATCGCGATGGTACAGCATCTACTTCAAAAGGGTGCTCCTATCGCCGCGACGGATGCCGATGGTATGACAGCGCTCGACTGGGCTGAACGCACGCGTCATGAAGCAATGATATTCTTCCTACGTCGCCATATCTCATCTGCTGTCTAAAGCCGGAACTTTGCGGTTTGGCTGGGGCTACCAGTCCGGTTGCTCGCAGTTTCTTCATAAGAGGTATGAAGTTGGATCATACACTATACGGGGATCGACGCCTTGAAGCAAGAGAAATCGAATGAGCTTGATATGTGTGCGAGCCAATGCAAGCTTGTGTGGAGCAGTTAGTACCACAATATTGGCACATGGTCTCGAGAAAGCCCATTCTGGCAACACACATTCAGAAGCGACTCTCGATCGACAGGGGTGGCATCGTTCGGCGACCCAAGCCCATTGGAGAACGGTGTCTGCAAGCCTTTGAGGCCGCCATTCCATGCCATGTTGGAAATATCCATCCCCAGTATACTGGGTCCTAACCGCCGTCAGTGAAGCAGCCGGAGCATTCCGCGTCGCGGGGGGGGGATGCATGAGCCCCGTGAGCAAACGATGAAGCATTCTGACCCGAGAGCAGTAGTGCGGCGAGGCAAAGACGAACGGGAATAGTACTTCGCCTGTAAATATTCACCATACCACCTGTGAGGTTCATCGTGCTTGATGGGCAAATAGGTTTTCAGCGAACGGTCTCTGTACTGAAAGAAATCGTGGTCCTATGGTGTGTGCCCAAATCTGGGCCCGCGGGAAATATCCCAGGAAGGATTCTGTCCATTTTGGTAAATGGCAATTTTAGCCGGGGTGGCGAGAAAGGAGGCTCGGAGGCTATGTACACGCACATACTAGGCTCACCGCAGCTCAGGGTAAAGCCGCAGCTTAGGACTGCGGCCAACAACGGAAATCGTGAACGTCCGGATTCGTCTCAGATAATTACCTGATATGCCCTCCCGGGCCGGAATGGAGACGGCGGATATTACATATAGGGTTACGGTCGGGCAGTTGACATCTCTGCTCATCGACAAAGGGTATCTTGGCTAGCAGGAATGGGAGAATGCTCGGTCTCGGTACTTTGACGAAGTGAAGACCACCACAGGTGCGTGTGGGACTCAATTCTATATAAGCAATCATGAGTATCAACAGGTAAGCTGCGTCCCAAATCCGTGTTGGGAAAATCCACCGCTGATATCTGTACTTCCAGATGCGGGACGTCTATAACTCGGGCGGGAAGTGCGACGTGTATGCCATTTTCTGTGTTTTTGGAATTGGCGGAGAGACGGTCGGCGTGTGGTCGGCGTGTGTGACTATCTCGATCTAGAATAGGCGAAGATTGATGGAGAGCTTTTGTTTACAGAAGGGCAGGGGTCTGTTACTCTTGGCCTCGGGGCATCGGTTTCTTCTGGCTGGGGATGGCAAGGTTCTCTTTACCAGGGTAGAACAGCTTGATATTACCTCTATTTCTATGAGGAGGCACGAGTCTCCACGAGCGTAGCTACGCGATTTTGATAAAAAATTGGTATTAGAGATATTGTGTGAGCGTTTAATGGATTTCTATATCTTGGGAGGGCAACGAAGTCAGAGCAATCGCCAAATCAGTAATAACGCTTAAACCGGCCACACAACATTCCCTCCTCAACATGAACCAAGAGCCACTAGACTCAAGGCATAGTGGTCCCGAAAAGCCGTGCAAAATACAGATTTTGTGCCCCATTTGTGTATCAGGGGGGCCGAGACCGATTCTTCTCTGCTCTGTTTCGAAGAGAATACGACGGCGCATCCTCCTCGTTGCTGCCTCACAGAAGTCGACGATATCCTTCTGGACGTCACTTTCTTTCCACCGAATGCCCGTCCGAATCATGGCCTCGAATTCCTGAAACAGGACTACCGCGGCACCGTGGAAGAAGTTTCGGGCAAGCAGCACACCTGTGGGATTATGAGAGCTTTCTTCTCCATCTCGTAGCCAGAACTTCCATAGATACCACCCAGCCTTGTTTAAGAATGACATGCGAGACTCGGCATTGCCCGGCTTAGGCCACTCCATGTTCAGAGAGAGTGCTCGGAACAATCCCTGAAATTTTGGGATGCGGTTCGACGACTCTTCTCCGAGCAGGTATCCCAGAATGGAGGCCTTGTGAGCTTTCATATCCGTTAGCCATTCTGGCGGATATGTCTTTGCAATCGTGTCATATATTACTCCCTTTGCCACCAGCGTGTGGTGATCATCTGAGAAACGCACAAACTGTCCGATATCGGCCCCGTCATTGAGATTGTCACCGGATTTCACGAAGTCAAAGTTCAATCTTTCCAGACTATCCCCGCACGTCCAATCCGGTACCCACGAGGGTAGAGAGAGTTTCGTGATGTTTGTTGGGCAAGAACTGACACCAGAAGCAATCGCTACCAGCCTGAGAGACTGGTCGTCGAGTAGAAGCCTCTCAGCCACTTCGCAGTACACTTCGCAGTACACTTCTTCTGTGCTCTTTTTGTAGTCTAGGGAGGCGATGGCTGTAACTCGGCTCGTATGTGGTCCCCCGAGGGCGAGAAAGCCATATATCTTATCTCGTGGGTTTGGGCACTTTAGATGACGACATGACTCGAGGACAGCCAAGAATGGCGCACGAGGTCGATCCCAGTCCAAGTAAGATAGTATTCGAAAATTGCGATGTCGAATCATCTGTTGTAAATGCCGATGTCGAAGGGAGTCGAGTTTCAGAAACTGTGACGAGAATTCCGTTCTCGAATAGAGTGAATCGCACACCATGTCCCAAGCGAAACATGCGTTTTCGAAATCGTCAAACGCAAGCCTTTCACTTCCACACATGATGAGAACTTCCCTCGCGCAAGCCACTTCTTGCACAACCCATACTCTTTCCCAATATGATCGACTTAAAAGATTGCTAACAGCTTCAATGGCAGAAGCCTTGAATGCCAGTGGCAAGTCTTCCGCGATTGAAAAGGCTGCATCTTTGTCCGCTTTGCCCTTCAGCTCGTACCACTCACTCCACTTCTTAATCGTACTTATTGCGATCTTGCTATCGTTGGAAGAGTCGCCGAGCCATACCACAACTTCTTCCGCATCCCCATACATCGAATCCATGAGCTGAACCTGAGAAGCACGCTCGTCCAGATCATCCTGGTTGATACACAAGGCATCGACCCAGAGCTCAATATCGGTTGACTTGTCGCGGAGGTGGCGCAGAGCGCTGTCTAGATTGGGGCCTACTACCAATACCCCGTTCAAAGTGATTTGACAAGCCGGCGTTGGGCTCCCCCAGCAGTATGAAAGAGCTCTGTAAACCGGATAGGTATCGTCCAGGACGCTGGCCTTGTACACGAGACAGTTAATGTAATCATCCAGTCGAGTTGCAGGCGAAAGTCTGAGGAAGCGAACGTCGAGATTTTCCTCGTCAAGCGGTTCGTAAATTCCGGCGACCATCTTGTTAAACCGGGAGTTTCCTGATAGCTTTCCGGCTTTATTTCGGTTGCTCATAAGGCGTCGAGTATGTATCAGTGTCTTAGTAGAGATGGCTCGCATGCCTCAACATCGACGGTTCAGAAATAAGGCTATGAGGTAAATGATGCCCAACTTGATGCCACACTGAATGCTGAATGCTATCACGTGGGATCGAGGGTCAAGGCGACCATGAGATTAACCTGAACCCCAACTCAATGCCATTCCCAGCCGTCCTTTTCCAGAGTTTCGACAGATTGAGAGTCTCTTTGTAGAGTATACACGCTAGCATTGCATAACCTCCCGCATACATTCCCAATGTTAACCCTATGAGTTGAAATAGCCGAATAAAATTAGAGTATATTCTTATAACCAAATCGCAGTCATCCCCTTCCTCCCACCCGCTCGCAATCGTCAGTTGATTTCCTTTGGTGTCAGTAGCTCCCAACCGTGCTGTTCAAACAGTTCGAAAGTCTTGGCGAGGCCCGGTATTGGTTTCCGCGATCTTCCTCGGAGGTGATGATCATCGTTCTATTTTCTCCTAAGCATCTCTATAAACAAGACCGCCCGAAACACCTATTTCATAAAGCTCATTCCTCATCGCTCCCTCGGATCTAACGGCTAACGTCGACGACGTAGCGACCGACAATGGTCATGTCCTCCATCATGTTATAAACCTTTTGGAGTTCGCTGAGACCAATGACTTTGTAAGGCGCTTTAATCAAGCCGCGGGCGAAAAAGTCAATGGCCTCATCGGTGTCTTGGCGGTTCCCAACGTAACTACCCTTGATCCTGATCATGTGGACGACTGTGCTGAATACAGGGGCCTTGATGAAAGCATTGGCAGGCATACCAATACAGACAATCGTACCATGAGGGCGAACGTAGCTGGCAGCCTGCTGGAAAGGACCCTCAGAGACAGCGAAAAGTATGACAGCGTGGGGACCCAAACCATCAAAGCTAGCAGCCTTGATGTCCTTGACGAGGTCTTTGGAGGTCTGGAAGTCAACGAAAGTTTCAGCGCCAAGGGCCTTGCACGCTTCTCCCTTCTCCTTGCCACCATCGACGGCAATAATGCGAAGGCCCATAGCTTTCGCATACTGGAGAGCCATATTGCCAAGGCCCCCTCCAGCACCTACAATAGCGACTGTCTGACCTGGGCGAGCCTCGGACTCTTTGAGGCCCTTATATGCAGTAAGCCCTGCGCAGAGTATAGGGGCGATTGACTCGAGGGAGAGGTGTTTGGGGATGCGAGCGATGTGAGCGGCTTTGGCGATGGCGTACTGCTGAAACGTGCCATCTACCGTATAGCCAGATAGGAGACCCTTGGCACAGAGTGGCTCTTCACCTTGCCTGCAGTAGGAACAGCTGAGACATGAGCCGTTAAGCCACTTAATGCCGGCATGATCCCCGATTTGGATATCATTGCCGACGAGTTGGCCTTTGGCAACCACTATACCGGCGCCTTCGTGGCCGCCGACGAGGGGGAGTTTCGTTTCGAGAGGCCAGTCGCCCATCATTGCGTGAAGATCTGTGTGGCAAACGCCAGAGTACTTGACGTTGATGAGCACCTCATCAGGGCCGGGGGCTTGGACGGGGATCCGCTTGTATACGATAGCTGCATGCGATTTCGGAATTAGCGACCTGGCGTTGAAACCGACGAAGACCGCAAACACTAAATAACCAGAAAGTTAAAGCTTACGACCGCCGGTCTTATCAATAACTTGTGCGAGTTGATCGGAGGGGATCTTCGGAGCAGACATTGTGGAATCTCTTGTGCGGGTAGGATGCAAAGTGACTGGTGCGTGATTGTGAGAAGTTGAAAGGCCCTGGTAAGAGTCTTCGCAGAGAAATCTACCCTCTTTATAGTAAGAGCCTTTTTTTGAGATCGGTTCCTCTATCTAGATCTCTCGGGGCTAACTGATGTTTGATTCGGGCCCTGAAAAAGTTAAAACCTTCTTCACACATATGCCATGTTAAACCCATCGCCCCGCCCCACTGACTCTAGCGATTCCCCACGATTACCTCAAGTCACAACATGACATTGATAAGGAGACACGCACGATCTGATACTCGGAGATCCGCTGCGGGCGCTTCTGGGGCGATGCGGTAGGTGTTTTCTTTTTTCTTTTCGGACCGTCGTAAAGCCAGGAAAGCGCTTTTCTTGTCCCTGGGAGGTTCAGCCACCTCGTGCTCTTTCAGCGGTGAAATCATAGGCAAACCTTAATTGAGATTAACTCGGCTTTTAAATATCCCCTGTCGGAACCGAAATCCCCGCAAAAAGCTATTCCGGACGTGTCATCGTGGGCTGAGACAGGCGTACGCCGTCGATTACAATCATGGATCTTCAGCGTCATGGTTGACCCTGCCAAATCAAGGTCTTCAGTCTCCGGCGAGAGAGCGCAATCCTCCAAAGCATTTGTAATGAATTCTCCGCCCTTTCTCCCGGTCCCTCCATCAGATTCTCAGGTGAGGTCCGATACGATGGTGGGTCTCGCATCAAACTTCTAGAAAGTTTGGAGGCATAAGGAAGCGGAAATGACGTATGTAGCGCGGAGCTCTCGGGCCTTATCTGCCAATGTCATTAGAGTCCTTACCCTAAACTAGCGTGTGCACAGCCACTACCTCGATCGTCGGACTAAAGATCTTGTTCTCTGAGATATGTTTCGGATATTTCGGGGCTTAACAACTCAATCTTCACCCGCATCAATTGCTTGCCACAATCGGCTTTCATCGAATCACAGGTCTACCTCCTCTTGCCCGGGGGCGGTCGGGCGGGAACACGGGCATCCGGGATCCTGTTCCGGACGACATGAGCGTTTACGAGTCGGAGAGCCTGCCTTGGTCCCTGGACTTTAATATCACATGCGCTGCATGGGCGTCAAAGTACAACCACAGCTATATACTCGCATCATGGAAGTCTTGGAGACCAGCTGGATACGTTTCTAGAGAAGCCACAGACATTTAATTGTGAAATTGGCGATTATCATACTATTCTAGAGTAATCACAGTCCCAGCCCCTGCGTAAGGTGAGGCTCGACCTGTTTAAGCACCAATTTAAGACTCTCGGCAGACATTCGCAACTCGGACTCCTCTTCCGGGCTCAGCTTAAGCGTAAACGTGTGGAACACACCAAGTCGAGTGACCTTACAGGGCACACTCAAAGCCACTCCCTCGACCCCGGCAAATTTCCCCACCATGGAAACCGGAAGCAGGGTATCTTCATCCCGAAGGATGGTTTCAACAATGCGCGTAAGCGCCGTCGCGACGCCGTAGTTCGTCCACCCCTTCCGCTTGATGATTTCGTAGGCGGCGTTCTTCGTGTTCGTAAAGCACGTCGTCAGGGCCTTTTGGTCGTACTGAATCCCAGCATGTCGACAATAATCTGGCAGGTGCATGCCGGAGATACTGGAGAGTGACCAGACCGGCAACTCCGTGTCTCCGTGTTCGCCGATGATATCAGCGTGGACGCTTTCAGGGTTCACGCCGTAATACCGCCCGATCTCGAATCGAAAGCGAGCAGTGTCAAGGGCCGTCCCGGACCCGATCACACGGTGAGTTGGAAAGCCTGATAACTTCCACGTGACGTAGGTGAGGATATCGACAGGATTTGTAGCGACGAGTAGGATTGTGTCCGGAGCGTAACGCACAATCTCCGGGATAATGGTCTTGAAAATGGCAACATTCGCATGAACTAGATCCATTCGTGACTGGCCTGGCTTCTGGTTGATTCCGGCCGCTATGACTACGACGGATGCACCGGCACAGTCCTGATAGCCTCCTGCCCGAACACGAGTCGCGTGTGAGAAGGGCGAAGCGTGGCTCAAGTCCATCGCCTCTCCTTCAGCCCTGGGCTTGTTGATGTCCACTAGGACAATCTCAGCGGCCAGGCCCCCGAGGAGAAGCCCATATGCCGTTGACGAGCCCACGTTACCCGTCCCTACCACGGCAATCTTCACTGCCTAGTAGTGAGTGGTTAGCACCGAGCATCTTAGCCGGTAAAGGGGATTTAATACCTTGAGAGCCTCATGAATGGCCCCTTTTGGGGCTTTCATAGCAGAAGTTGCCATTGTATCGGTGAAGAAGAGACAGTCGTCAGAAGGTTTGAGTACGTTGTGTTGGAGAATATTTCTTGTCGTCGGAATGACTAGTCTCCGCAAGCTTTAGTTCTTGCCCAGCGATCAGAACTTGGACATCATTGTAGAATATATTTATCTAGGTAACCATCTCATTCCAATATATGATGTCAGTTTTGACTCCTCCTTACCATCTACTAGACAATCGTATGATCATTGAAAAAAACGTTATCATGACGAAAAAGAAAAGCAAAAGCATGCACCCTTTTGTACTCCATCATATCCAGCGGCTTTTCTCGCGTTACCCGCTTTTTGGTATTTTCTCCACATGGGAAGCCCGATCCTCGTGAGCTGATGTTTTATTAAGCTTCGAGGGATAGAGATATAATATTATGAGGGAGGAGAGTTGCTTCTGTTGTTTCGGAGCTTCTCTCACGCACACCGAAGTACTACACACATCCGCTCATCATGAAGATCGCCATTTTTAGCACTCACCACTACGACGAGACCTCGCTCACCAGAGCTAAAGACAAAGCCAGCCTCGATTTTCACCTCGTTTTCCACGATGCCCCTCTCAACGAGCAAACAGCTGTTTTGGCCAAGGATTTCGATGCAGTATGCGTGTTCGTCAACGATGTAGTTGACGCCTCCGTTTTAAGCCAGCTCGAAATGGGTGGGACCAAACTTGTTCTACTACGCTGTGCCGGTTTCAACAATGTCGATAGGCAGGCTGCAGAGCAACTCGGCGTCACCGTCTTGCGCGTCCCGGCGTACTCACCATTTTCTGTCGCCGAGTTCACGGTTGGGTTATTCTTGGCCCTTAACCGTAAGATCTGCCAGGCCTGGCTACGCATTCGGCTGGACAATTTCTCTCTGGATGGCTTGGTTGGCCACGACGTTCATGGCAGAACCGTCGGTGTCCTGGGCACCGGAAGGATTGGCAGCTTAGTAGCGAGGGCCTTCAAGTTAGGCTTTGGCTGCGAGGTCATTGCCAATGATGTTGTGCAAAACAAGGAGCTCGAGGGTTTCGGCGTCAAATACGTGTCGCGTGACGAGCTTTTCGCCAAGTCTGATGTCCTCTGTCTGCATGCCCCCCTAACCCCAGAGACACACCATATCATCAACGAACGTACTCTGGCACTGGTTAAGCCCGGAATGATCCTTGTCAATACAAGCCGCGGTGGCCTTCTGGACACATCGGCTGTCATATCTGCTCTGGAGAATGGCACTCTTGGTGGTTTGGCTATGGACGTTTACGAGGACGAAGCCAGTTTGTTTTTCCGGGACCGGTCGAGCATGGTCATCAAAGATGACAAGTTCCAACGCCTCATTACGTTTCCGAATGTCCTGGTCACTGGTCACCAGGCTTTTTTCACGGAGGAGGCTCTTGGCGCCATAGCCCAGGTCACTCTGCAAAACGCGGTCGACTTCCGGGCTGGAAAACCGAACCAGCAGATGCGTGTTTAAAGTCCGCTATCGTGATATAGTTTAGATACGACTCTATAGAGAGAATACGTGGATGATGAATGGCATTGTTCTTTTCATATTAAAGCCTCTAGTGGTCGTGATTTTCTTTTTCCATCTGATCCATAACCTATACCATCCGGTCAAGCACGCCCGTCCTTGCAGAACTCTAAATACACTTACAATGGCAAATAAAGTTGTGTGGGTCCGCCATTGAGGGTTTTTATGCCGCCCAATGATCCCCAACCACCGTGCGCCCCGGAGGACCGGAAGACCAGGAGTTGACATCATGTCGCGTACTACCTGCCGAGGCCATGGCAAGGGAGATAAACTGGAAATCAAATGATATTTTGGTGATCAGTGATCAGGGATCATAGCACATCATTTCCTTCATCATAGTTATGGCAGTGGATAAGCCCCGTCAGACTCATTTGGATCAAGGTGCAATTTAGATAGAGCCACCGGAGGTTGGATCAGGTCACGTCCGTAACTTGATGGCTCCGTGATGTCACATCCGTACAGGCCTACTTCCATCTAAAGGCGTGATTGCTCTAAGACACATGGTCGGTATGGGCATCCATAAAATATAAAGACGACTGGCTTTTGCTTCAGTGCCGACCGGTTCAATCCAATTCATAGTTACGGTTATTCAGATATCTCTCCTAGTTATCCGCTTCGATTCGAACAACTTTCACTTCAATTCAAGTCACGAGCTAACCTTTCTTCTGAGCCATGGCTACTTGGACCGTTGGCAGTTATCTCGCGGAGAGACTGGCTCAGATTGGCATCGAACGCCACTTCGTAGTCCCCGGCGATTATAATCTCGTTCTCCTCGACAAACTGCAAAAACATCCCAAGCTTGAGGAGATTGGCTGCGCCAATGAACTAAACTGTTCTTTTGCTGCCGAGGGATATGCTCGAGCCAAGGGCGTTGCTGCGGCCGTGGTAACCTTCAGTGTTGGTGCCTTCTCCGCGTTTAACGGTATCGGGGGAGCATACGCGGAAAACCTCCCCGTCATCCTAATCAGCGGATCCCCGAACACGAACGATGCCGGCGCTTTCCACCTCTTGCACCACACCTTGGGCACGCATAATTTCGAATACCAGCGCGAGATGGCCGAGAAGATCACCTGCGCTGCAGTCGCCATCCGCCGACCGGAGGACGCGCCACGGCTCATCGATCATGCCATTCGAAGCGCCCTCCTAGCGCGGAAACCAGCTTACATCGAAATCCCCACGAACCTCTCCAATTCGCCATGCGCGCCCCCAGGCCCCATCAGCGCAGTTGTGGCACCGGAGCGGAGCGATGCCGAGACGCTGGTGGCAGCTGTGAAAGCCGTTACGGACTGGCTCAATCATCGGCAAAAGCCATTGATACTCGCTGGGCCCAAACTTCGTGCAGGTCGCGCCGAAGCGCAACTGTTGGAACTCGCCAATGCACTGGGCTGTGCAGTGGCGGTCATGCCCGGCGCGAAGAGTTTCTTCCCGGAGGATCACCCGCAGTTCGTCGGCGTATACTGGGGGGAGGCTAGTACGGAGGGGGCCGATTCCATCGTCAACTGGTCGGACGGAGTCATCGGCGTCGGTGTGGTATTCACCGACTATAGCACCTCGGGCTGGACGGCATTACCGACGAGTCAGAACCTCCTAACGGTCGATTTAGACCGGGTTGCTTTCCCCGGCGCGGATTTCGGGCATGTGCAGATGGCCGAGCTGCTATCTCTCCTCGCGACGAAGGTCAGGCCCAATCGTTCAACGATTGTGGAGTATGCTAGAATCCGCCCAGATAAACTCCCCGTACCTGCCGAAAAGAGAGGCCTCGCTCTCACGCGCCACGAGATCGCCCGGCAGATTCAGCAGTTGCTCAAACCCGAGTCGACGCTTTTCGTCGAGACGGGCGATGCGTGGTTCAACGGTATGCAAATGAAACTACCCAAGGACTCCCGTTTCGAGATTGAGATGCAATGGGGTCATATCGGTTGGTCGATTCCTTCGTCATTTGGGTATGCCATCGGTGCACCCGATCGCCATGTCCTTGTGATGGTTGGCGATGGATCTTTCCAAATGACGGTTCAAGAAGTATCGCAGATGGTTCGTCTCAGGCTGCCCATTATTATTTTCCTCATGAACAACCGGGGCTACACGATCGAGGTGGAGATCCACGATGGTCTGTACAACCGAATCAAGAATTGGGACTATGCCGGCATGGTACAGATGTTTAATGCCGAGGACGGTCACGCAAAGGGTTTCAGGGTGAAGACGGAGGAGGAGCTGGCCAAGGCAATTGAAGCTGGAAAGGAGAATACGGCGGGACCGACCTTGATTGAGTGTACTATCGATCAGGACGATTGCACCAGGGAACTGATTACCTGGGGCCACTATGTGGCTCTAGCTAATGCCCGTCCGTACAAAAAGGAATAATTAGAGAGCTTGAGGCTCTCCTGAATTTGTATAGTAATGGATATGTTTCTGGATTGGTTTTGTGAATGCGGTTACTAGTTACATAGTAGGCTGGATGCTCAGCGTCCTATTAATCCTGGATGAAGAAAGCAGTGAATCCAATGGCAAGAGAGCCTACCTCTTCTAGGCAAAAGTGTTGACGAACCGTCTGGGCTTGTCTCTAATTCAATCACCCATCATTTAGTACAATTGTATCATCGACAAAGACCTTTCATCTTAGTAATACAGAGTAGCTTGCGTCCAAGTACGAAGTACTTCGTAGGGGTGTGTCGAATGCCATCTGTGCCTGAAATACTAGGCTCACGCGGATGTAGTAGAAATTACTTCTTAATAGCCACCAGTGATCACCCAAAATACCGTTTCTAGCCCTACAAATTTGACATTTCTGTGCTATACTGCACCCAACAGGGTTCCGTTCAACATATCGCCAGGCTTTATTATTTCCCCACACCCGTATCGCCAATCTTTACATCTCCCACATCCCGCCACCCGCATCCGTCCCGCCATGTTGCCGGCAAGGGGAGCAGGCAAATGGGCCCTCGCTTGCGTACAATGTAGAACACGGAAGGCGAGTGCCGCGTCTCCACCCACTTCCCGAGACCCGACATTCGGAAGCTCCCCCCCCCCCCTTTCCCTCTTTTCAGCGAGGTCTCCAAGCATTTCCCATTTTCTAATTCTAATGGTCCCATAGGTCCGCTGTGACCGGCAGCCGAGTGGATGTAACAACTGCCGGCGCTTGGGATTTGATTGCTCGCTCCTGGGGCATGGACCTGGTACCCAGGGTAATGTTAGACGATGTCGCGCTTCGCAGGCGTGCCGGAGCTGCCGAGCCCGGAAGGTGAAATGTTCAGGCGAGAGTCCAGCATGTGCGAGGTGCATACAGCGGGCGGAGAGGTGCGTGTATGGGGCAGTGGCAGTAGCGCCAGATACTCACATTGAGCCGCCGATACCTGCGGCTTCAGAACCAGCACCCGTGTGCGACCAACCGGGACCCCATTTAACCCCTCAACGAGCCTCGCCGGGACCCAACGCTGGCAACCGGGACCATGGATGCGAAGACACCGATGCTCTGCCAGCCATATCTAGTAACCCGTCTGTTACGTCTCCCTCAGTTTTACTGCTAATTCCGCCGGCACCCCTGTAAGTTCTAGGAAAGCCTCCGATCTCCGTGTGTGGTTTACTCAGGGTCTCACCGTCCATCAACCAACCAGCTCCAGCTTCCCAGAGCGACACATTATACGCTCTGCAATAGAGGACGTCTACAAACACTTATACCCCCTGCCAAGATACTCTTTCATCCACCTCCCGTCAGTCAACCGAGCTGTCTCCACTGGAGATGTTGACCTTGCCCTTGTGCTCGCAATCTGCGGGATTGCTGCTCTCTACGTTCCGAAAAGGCAGATTGACCCTGATCGTGGCCGAGAATGGCTTGCGGCAGCCGAACACCGTGTCATAAAACATCTCGATCAACCATCTATTTTCAGGATACAGGCTCTGCTATTGGTAATCTACCATAGCTTGGAGTCCCGTTCATTCTCCAAAGCTTTTATGCTCATCGCCCTCGCAGCAAGGTCTGCCTTCGCGCTACGGCTTAACTACGAACACCCCCAGCTGCCCTTCGAGCAACAGGAGATCCGTAGAAGGATCATGTGGTCCATCTGGGCAATGGAGAAGACCTGGTCTGGCGGCGTATTGGAGTTCAAGCTTTGCCACGATAGCACTATGCACATTCGATTACCCTGTCCTGAAGATTGCCTTGAGAATGGGACGGCAGTGGAAATGGAATTTTTCGACCCAGACGCAACGGTCACCGGTCTGGGCACGCCGCTTAACGCCCTTGCCCAGTGCATACGCCTGTTCACTCTCAGGAATGCCTGTCTACGGTGGGCAATACCCAACCTCCTGTCATACCCCCTATTTAATATTTCCACTCGCTCACGCCTAATACTAGTGCCAACAAAAGCTTCATCGCGCATACGAGCTCCATTCAAGCCGTAGTAGACACCATATCTGATATACAGGCGAAACTAGACCAAGAAGGACTGTCGCTTAAAGCTTGCCCGAAATACTCCGTTGATGACCTCAGGACTCATGCACAGGGCCGCTGGCTTGCTCGATATGTCTTAGCGCACACGTCGTGGCACCAGTGCCACTGTGATATCTACCGCCTGCTTCTGGACGGATACCACAAGGCGCTCCCGCAGAGAATACTGAAAGACATTGAACCCTCCCTTATTGAGCACGCGAGACGCAGATGCAATAAACATGCTCAGGCCATCATCGACATTCTCTGCGCGCTGCTCGATTTGCGCATCGACCTGCCGTTGTTCGACTCGGACCTGGCCATCTGCGCTTTTCATAGCGCTTTTATTCTACATTTCGTACACTCTACAACTCCGGATCGATCTGAGATGGAAGACTGGAGGGCATACAGTCGTCTGCAATCCTGCCTCGAGGCAGTGAAGAAGGCCTTTGGCACCTCCCCTGTAACATCGATCCACGTAAGTGCAATCTGCTTTCCAGTATGAAAGCTCACAGTCCTATCCCCTAACAATTTTGCTTCTCTTCGTAGCTTCGGGATCTTGAGGCTTTGGCCTCCACCCCATTCTCTAGGCATCATGAATTCGCGAAAATGATAACGGCCCCTAGAAGCCAAACAGATATCCTGTGGACAGCCGAGTCGAGGCAACAGCTCGAGCGGTCAAATTTAACAAGGAGGGCAAATTTCATAAACGACAGCCCAGACGTAGAACCGGACTCTCCACGTACAGAACACGGGGAGGCAAGGGGGAAACAGTCAGAAGAGCGGATTCATTTGACTCATGCGTCGTTTCAGCAACGGCCTTCGCATTCGAGTCCATCGCCTGCGCTGGTTTCGACCCTGGAGGACGATGCAACGAAAGTCACTCCACAACCGTGGCAGTGGGACGAGATGTATAACCTGGATGAAGACTTTGAGACACTGCTAAACCCTGAAACGCTGGATGCGCATAGTTGGTGGGGCGATGTTGACCGGTGGTGAGAATATTCGACAGCAAACGTATGACACGGCCAGTTGCATACACAACCGCACAATACGGCCATCGTGTTGGAAGTTGGGGAGACTTATATCCAAATGACAAGTGTGCCATGGGGAGATGTTTCGGAGGGTATTATAATCGATAATTAGAGATTTGGCTCAAGGTGATTACCAGCTGGGCAGAAGTAGAGGAGGAAGGCAAGAGGCTCAAAAGGAATTAGGTCAGATTATATTAAAGTTAAACGCTCTGATTACTTGCCGGGAGGATAAGATAGTCGAATCCTCACGAAGCCCTCCTCCCTTGCTTTAATCCTAACTCGTTCTCCAACTGTCACCATTCAGCATGCCGACTTCCCCTCATTCATCTCATCAACAATGCCAAACAGTCCAGAACCCGCTTAGATCGAGGCGCGTGACCGTCGCGCAACCTTGAGAGCGTCTGGTTTAGCTAGTCCTAGAGATTGATTGGCCGCCTATATGTCGTGGTTAAAGAGCGTTAGAAAATGTTTCCTTTAATATCTAATGGCATTATATCTATATCTACACCCAGTTATACACTACCAGTATTATTCCTAGAAACCTCCGTCAATGCCTTATGTACAGGAATATCGCCTATCTCGGCCATCTTATCCTCTAGTAGCTTGGTCATTCTCTTCACGACATCCTTGTACCTCAGCTCATAGTAGCAGTTGAAAAGTTCCAGCGGATCCTCATCGCAGTCAAATAACTCCCATTCCTTCTCCTGGCCACCCGGCCTCGTTCCCTCAACGCCCAAATCTTCGTTATACCAATATATAAGCTTGTAGCGCTGATCCCGAACGCCGTAATGCGCGCACGCCTCATGGATGACATCGCGGTGCATCCAATACCGGTGGTACGCAACCTGTTGCCAATGCGTAGGCGTATGGCCCTCAAGCAAGGGTCGAAAGGAGATGCCCTGCATATAGGAGGGGATTCGGATGCCCGCGAAGTCTAGAAAGGTGGGAGCGAAGTCAACATTGCAGATAATATCATTGCAGACAGACTTGGGTTGGATGGCGCGGGGGTAGCGGATGATGAAGGGCATCTGGAAGCTCTCTTCATACATGAATCTCTTGTCGAACCAGCCATGTTCCCCCAGGAAGAACCCCTGGTCAGAGGTGTAGACGACAATAGTATCGTCTGCTAGTCCGCTCTCATCGAGCCAGTCAAGCATGCGACCTACGTTGTCATCCATGCTTTGGATTGTCCGGAGATAACGCTGCATATATCGCTGAAACTTGAATTCGGCCAACTCGGCGTGAGTTTTGAAGGTGTGCACAGCGCCGTCCTCCTTGGATATAAGCTTGAAATTGGTTAGGTCTTCGGGGACGGGAACCTTTCGGTCGACCAAGAGCGAATTTTCTATCAGCTTGGGACCAATAATACTGGCTGGGCCCTCAGGCTGGAGTAGGCCGAGGTCGAAGTACGTGAGGTCGTCGGCAACTCGCATCTTGGCTATTGCGGCCGACTTGGCGCGGTTCTTGTAATCATCCGTGAAGGTGTCTGGCACCTTTACGGGACCTTGGTACATATTTTGGTACTTAGAGTCGTATTCCCAGCTTCTATGGGGCGCTTTATGGTGGCACATGAGGAAAAAGGGCTTAGATTCGTCGCGGCTCTTCATCCAGTCCATGCATTTATCTGTTATTATATCCGTTGCGTACCCTGGTATACGCTCCGTCGTAGTCCCGCCGCCCTTAGGAGCGGGCTCAATGAATTCTGGATCCCAATATTCACCCTGGCCCGGCACGACGCTCCAGTAATCGAAGCCGGTGGGTGTAGAACCATGACCTTCACCTAGATGCCACTTGCCAACCATGGCGGTCTGGTACCCACCAGCCTGGAGGTGCTTCGCAACGTTGGGCAGGCGGTTGTTGAGCTTGGAGTTGAGCGAGAGGACGCCGTTGACGTGGTTGTGCGTGCCGCAGAGGATCGCCGCCCGTGACGGAGTGCAGATGCTGTTGGTCACGTAACAGTGGTGGAAGAGCATGCCCTGGTCGGCGATGCGGTCGAGGTTGGGCGTGTTGTTGATACCGGCGCCGTAGCACGAGATAGCCTTGGCGGCATGATCATCGGCCATGATGAAGAGGATGTTCGGGCGCCGCGGCTCCATAATCGTACGTTGGGGATCCATTGTTCTGCGTGTGGGAGCTACTTTCAACGAGGCGGCTAAGGAAGAAAAAAAAGGAAATCGATATCGAAGACTAAAGGTTTGGGTAAAGGATGGAACCAACCTCAAGGCATGCCAGTTCAGCAACTATTCCATTTATTACTTACTCGCGCCATCCGTGGTGGAACGGTCGTCAACCATCACAAGGGTGGCCGCCCCGTCGGTTGAAAACCGAATCAATCAGCATCGGATATCGGTATCAGACATTGGCGTCGGATATCGGTGAGACGGAGAATTCATTGGTCCATTACGATGACTTCGCTACTCGGGCAGGATCAGGATGGGCAGTGCAAGGCAAAAGTTTCAACTTTTAAATGCCGAACTCCGGCAAGTAAATGTAGGGTTCATTATATTAGCGTAGTGGTGTATGCATCTGTCATGCTTCATGTATTCGGCCGCTAGCCGTCATTTGGTGTGAATCGATCCAGTGCCATCGGGGTGTAGACATGCAACCCAACTTGCTGAGGTACTATCCTATCATTAGTGGCCCAGGAAAGTTCTTAGAATGTCGAAAATCGAGCGCGAGGCTCCGGCCCCGAAGCTGGAGAGCATCATTCAGTATCAACAGAGCCGACACCGTGGATAAATTAAATACCTTAATGATAAGTTCTGCAGTCATCAATGATGCGAATATTCAATAACAATCGCGCCACAAGGCCTTCTCGTCCTCTAGCACCAGTTACTCAATCAAAGGCTGGCAGAGAGGTGTTGTGTCGAGTACAGAAGCGTCATGTGCAAAGACAACATACGAATGGAGGTCATCAATCGTCAGACAGTTCCTAATCCTGCCGTCAATCTTGTCCTGGGCAACCGGCTGATATCATTTCCTGACTCCTTGCTTCCAGGTGCGCCTAGTGCCACCCATATTCTTCTTTGACAAGTGCCGCATGTTGGACCTTTTCGACAGACGAGTTTTTTTAGAGAGTGTAGTCTCTAAACTCTACGGCTACTACGACTGGGAAGAAATGCGCCATACGGTATACCGATCAGATGTGTGGTTAAGTGAATTAGATTCCTATCGAACGAGGGGGTCTGAGGTAGAAATTGTGGCTAGAGATGTGTGTGAATGACCACATCGGAATTCAAAGGTCGGGATTACCCGGTTACGTGCTTGAATCGTCGTTCTTCACCCTTCGGCTATGAGTAAAGGACATCTAACATTTGGTCGACCGACGCTTTGACTCCTCAACCAACTCAATCTCTACAGCCGAGCCGCCCTCTTTTCCAGAACTCTCGACAACCAGCTTCGTATCCTGGAACTTCCTCACCGGAACGTTGTTGTTGAAAAGAACGTCGATTTCTTCCAAGCTCTTGCCCTTGCATTCTGGAATGAAGAAGAAGGCAAAAAGGACTGAGATGGCCGTCAAGCCACCAAATATAAAGCCGACCTTTGGTCCCAAACCAGCGTAAGGTTCGTCCAGTAAATAAGGTAGCGAGAACGTCACGGCTGCTTGCGTTGCCACGGCGAGGAAGGAACCCGTAGCATACGTCGTATCACGAACTTCAGCGGCAGGGACCTCCGCTGTGATGGTATGGGAGAGCTGACCCCACGCAGCGGTGTACCCGACAGTGAAGATCATCTTCGTAGCAATGATGGCCCCGCTGACGGCGGTGGTACGCTTGGCCATGCCCAGGCCACCCATAGTTAAAAGCGCAGCGGCTTGTACAAATGATCCGCTTAGTAGTAGAGGACGACGGCCTAGGCTGTCGACGAGGAATAGGGTTACGATGGATGTGATGACAGTGAGAACGGTATTGATTGTGGTGAGGGTGAAGGGGTTGACGGTTCCGATAGACTTGAAGAAAATGGTTCCGTACTTCGTCGAGAATGCATTACCAGTTCCGTGGAGGAAGAAGTTGGTCCCCAGAACGATGACAGTCCGCTTCATATGCCTGCTATTAAAGATTCGAATCCAGCGGTTCCAGAAATTCTCCGCGGGAGCATCGTTGCTGCTGTCTATTTCCCGGATGGCTCGGATGGCTGCAAACTCCTCCTGGATCTCCTCCTCGGTGAACTTGCCCGCCCGGATGCTCTTCAAAACCTCGAAGGCTTCTTCGTGCCTATCATGGAGAACCAGCCACCGTGGGGACTCAGGGATGAAGAACGAAAAGGACAGAACAATAACCGGGACGAGGTAGAAGAGACCGAGAGGAATCAAGTAGCTCGCTTTACCACGGATAGAGCTAGTGCCACGGCAGATGCTTGACATCACTAGCATACCCAGCGCAAGGGAGGTATTGTATGTCGCGACCATGGCGCCGCGAGCGCGGAGTGGTGTGATCTCGGCTTGGTATAGCGGGATAACTGCCAGTTCCATCCCCATGTAGAGGTAGTTGAGAGCTCGGCCAGCCATCATCTGGTGTCGATTTCGCGAGGTCATGAGTATGGTAGTGCAGATAATGGTCCAAACACACATGAATTGGACCGTGGCGCGGCGTCCAAGTCGACTGACGAGCTGCTTTCCAACAATAACACCTGTATGTCCGTTGTCAGTTGAACATAGCATTCCTGGGGGAAGAGCACAGGCACGTACCAACAGCGAAACCGACAACTCCAAAGCCATTAAAAAGAGACAGCCACGTGGATTTGATAATCTTCTTCCCATTTGGACCCGTCTCGCCGAAGTGTTGGATGAAATAGTCCATGGCCTGGATGGCGTCAAATGCTCGATTCTCCATCCCAAAGTTAAACTGAGAGACAGCGAGGACAGTCACAGTTAGGAGAAGCTTCTGATTGAAGCAGCTCCCAACTCCGGCGATGTCTTTTAGGAGAGTCATGATGAGAGTATATCCCTTCAAAGTCGTGCTGAGGTGGAAAGGACGAAAGAGACTGGAAATCACTCTCCGACAGGCCAGTATGGATTCACCGATGCTATTAATACCCGTTGGCGACGTAATGGAGCTCCCCAGGAATGTCTCCATTCCTTTTCTCAATCCCCACACATTTAAATGAGTGGGCCCGTGGCTAGACCCCAGCTAAGCTTGCCAATTTCCCCAGTTTCCCCAGTTTCCCCGGACTTCAAGACACACCGAGAAGCGGATATCGGCAGATTTGCTGAATTGCGACTAGCGGCTTCTTCCAAACTTTGCGAAAAAGGAACCGTGCTCCACTTTTGTGTCCGAGTTCCGGGCCCTCGACTCCTATTCTCGTGTGAGGACATCGGCAGTCTAGTTATCAACGAGGACAATGGATGCCCTTTAAAGGCAAATCTAACAACACCCGCCTCCACAATCCAAGCTCGTATCCAGAGCCCCGCGCTTACCCCATGTTTGCCCCGCTTTGGTCAGGTTTATCACCCCTGTCCTGGATGCTCCAAATGCGGCAGCCCTTCGCGGCTCGGGAGCCGGTCGGAAGCTGATACTATTGGTTGCTGCAGCGTCACCTACTTCGGCTGCGACACGCTCCTTGCCCTTTAAGACCGGCAAGCTTCGAATAATACTTTTTCATCACCGGACGAAGAGATTGCACGCACCTCATATTACCTGGTCCATGCCAACTCGAGACCGAGCATCCCGCTTCCACCTTCGAGACGTCCCCGCCATTCTGTAGTACTGTTCTTGACGGTCGGATACCTCGGTATCATCATGTCCCAGCAACGCCCTAACTTCCTCATCATTGTTGCCGATGACCTGGGTTTTAGTGACACGAGCCCCTACGGCTCAGAGATTCATACGCCAGCCTTAGAGGCCCTTGCGCGAGACGGCATTCGCATGACGAACTTCCACACAGCGCCTGCCTGTTCTCCCACGCGGTCCATGCTCTTTTCGGGTACAGACAATCATATAGCGGGCCTAGGGTGCATGTGGGAACATATGCAGAAACACAAGGATTACTTTAAAGACAAGCCTGGCTACGAGGGTTATCTGAATCACCGGATCGCTGCACTCCCTGAGATCCTCTCCGATCATGATTACCTGACAATCCTCTCTGGGAAGTGGCATCTCGGTCTGACCAAGGAATATGCTCCCTGTTCCCGCGGGTTCAAGAAGAACTTTACGTTCTTGCCAGGGTCTGGAAATCACTTTGCCTACGAGCCACAGCTTGACAGCGGTGAGGTGTTCTTCCCGGCCTTGTGTACAGATGGTCATTGGATGGAGGGAGACCGGTTCCTCGACCACCGGAAGGATCTGCCTGACGATTTCTTCTCGACCAGGTCCTTTACAGATAAGCTACTTGGATTCTTAGAGGAGAGATCCGAGTTCGAGAAGAAGCAGCCATTCTTTGCTTGTCTGACATTTACCGCCCCGCACTGGCCCCTACAAGCGTCGAAGGCAAGAAGAGAAAAGTATGGTGCGTACCATGATGACTGCCCCCAATCCTTTGCCGATATCACTGCTAAACAGCGTCTCCACAGCTGGAAAGTACGATGAGGGTCCCGATGTCCTTACGAAGCAAAGAATCCAACGCCTGGTCGAACTTGGCCTTGTTTCAGAAGATTCCGTCATCCCTCCGCCGAGCGGAAAGTGGCTGCCGCCTACTTGGGATGAGCTCTCTGCAGAAGAGCAAAAGCGGTCTGCCCGCACGATGGAAATATTTGCCGCCATGGTGGACGAAATTGATGAGAATGTTGGCCGAGTCACCGATTATCTGTCATCAACCGGCGAATTGGATAACACCCTGATTCTATTCATGTCCGATAATGGAGCCGAGGGCGCTGCCCTGGAGGCGCTGCCGGTGAGTCGATGCGGTCGGAGGCATGCTACGGTCGGCTACTAACGAGCTTGGTGCCAGCTAATGGGGAGGCCTGGGACGATGGCCAATGTCATTGAGAAATATTATGATAACTCAACGGAAAACCTAGGCAACAAGGATTCTTTTATCTGGTACGGCCCACGGTGGGCAAGCGCCGGTACCGCGCCGAGTAGAGGCCTTAAATCGTCAACACTCGAGGGCGGTATCAGATGCCCCTGCATAATCCGGTACCCTCCTCTCAAAGCTCAGCCAGGCAGCATTAGCAAGTCTTTCACCACGGTAATGGACATTCTTCCCACCTTCCTGGAGCTTGCCCAAGTACAGCATCCGGGCACATCCTACCGTGGGCGCGAAGTCGCCCCACTCCGCGGCCGGTCCTGGGTGAGCCACCTCTCTTCCACGAAGCCGGATGACGTGTCTGTGCATGGAGAGGATACCCACATCCACGGATGGGAATTATTCGGACAGCGGGCGATTCGTCAAGGGAAATGGAAAGCCGTGTGGCTCACGTACTTCACGGAAAAGGAGGGTTGGCAGCTGTACAATGTTGATGACGATCCGGGAGAGTTGAATGACCTGGCGGCGCGGTATCCTGATATTCTAGGCCGTCTTGTGGACTTCTGGGACCAGTACGTCGCGGAGACGGGAATGATACCTTCACCCTTGTTTAAGTAGCTAGACTACATCTCCGTAATCTCAACCTTTGTCTGTTCACCGAGCAGCCGTTTCATCTCCTCCTCGCTGGAGTTCCTCGCGGCCGCTTTGGCGACCCCTTCCGACCCAACGTTTGCTTATGTTAAAGAGAAAATAAATACAGTTATTTAGAATTAGTAGCAAGTTCATTAATAAATACGCTACAAACCTGAAATATTTTAGAACGGATTGCACTATTAGAGTAGGTAGCTTTTTTGGGGGGGGCACACTATTCGGGTCTAGCTAATGCCCGTCCGTGCAGAAAGGAATAGAGATCTTGAGTCTCTTAAATTTGTACAGTAACAGACACCTTTCTGGATTAGTTTTGTGAATGTCGTTACTAATTAGCTGGCTGAGCGTCCTATTAATCCCGGACAAAGAAAGCATTAAATCCAATGGAAAGAGGAGCCTACCTATTCTAGGCAAAAGTGTCCATGAACTGTCCCAGCTTGTTTCCAAATCAATCTACATCATGCAGTATTAACAAAGGCCTGTCGTCATGGTAATAGCTTCCACCCACTAACGACCTGAAAATGACCTCCTACTTTAAAGAGGCCAGTGGATAACTAGTTTAATTCATTGGGACGGGAACAAGAAACCTTAAATAGAACCCTGGGTGGCATGCTGATAGCAGATTGATGCAAGGAGTGAAAGTTCTAGGGATCAAAATGTCATGGTAGGTGCGGCTGGGCGGGATGAAATGTGGTGCTCTTAAGATTAGAACCTCATTTCTATCTATAACCAAACCCTGCCTTGCTTGAAAAGTGCATGTGGAAATTGGAGGGGAAAACGCCTAGCGATTCATTTCCCCCGTGGCCTGACGCAAGCTCGGCGTCGAGCCAGTCAGTGATCTGAGCATTTGACGGTATCTATGTTATCTCGGCTCATGCACCCACCTCGCTCGATTCAGCTGTGCCGTGGTAGTACGACCTGAATATAAACAAACCAATTCAAGCATCATGCCCCTGAATCGTGCGCGAGTCAGCGCATCTCTCTTTGTTACCCCGCCATTTTGGAGTCGGTCTCTGACCATCGCCGAGACTAGTACAAACGAGGTCAAGCATCGGATGCAACGCCAATGCCGAGAGGGGTAAAAGAGATTCGGGATGCAGTGACATCTCGGCACATTGAAGGAGGTGGAGGAGGAAAGGTCGATAGTCGATATAAATCCAGGGGAAGTTTGTACATGCCACTCGGAGTGGAAAGATCTTAATATTGAGAATATTGTTGACCATATTAATTAGCATCCATCGACAATGGCGCCCCAAACAATGAAAGCTGCGATTTGCAAGGAGGTATGGAGCGTGTACTCCATCTGCAAGGCATAATATTGACTAACATTTCACCCCAGGCTGGCAAGCCCCTTGTCGTCGAAGAGATTCCTGTCCCAGAACCCACAGGCCGCTTCATCCGCGTCAAAGTGAAAGCTGCATCGCTATGCCACTCCGATCTCGGTATAATTAATGGCGACTTCGGTTCGTTGATGATGCCTCTCGTTGTCGGCCACGAGGCCATTTCCGTTGTCGACAAGCTCGGACCCGATGCCGAAGCGTACGGCATCCAAGTTGGCGACATCGTCGGCGCATCCCTCTGGCACGACAGCTGCTTGAACTGCGTCGATTGCAAGACATCCGGGCCGGAGTTTTGTGGGACCATGCAGATTAAGGGGCTAACCACTCCCGGGTGCTTCTCCGAGTACACGCTTATCGATCCCGTGGCGACCGTTGTCATTAGAAGAGCTGAGGAGCAAAGCAATGACCCCGTGTCGGATTTGTCGCCTCTTTTCTGCGCGGGCATTACCGTGTGGGATGCCGTCGAGAGGGCAAACGTCCGGCCTGGAGATTCGGTGGCTATTTTGGGAGTTGGGGGGTTGGGCCAACTGGCTGCTCGGTATGCTACCGAGCTAGGTGCAAAGGTCATTGTTCTCGACGTTCGCGATGAACAGTTGGTGGCTGCGAAGCAGGACGGTATCGCCGAAGAATCTATTAACATCAAGAATTTATCGAGGGAGGAGATCGCGAAGAAGGTCGCCGAGCTCAACGGCGGGCATCTCGTCGACACTGCCATTGTAACGACTGGCGTCATCCCCGCATACACCTCATCTTTTGGCATCGTGAGGGTCGAGGGACAGGTCGTTGTCGTTGGACTTCCTCGCGACCCCATTCCCTTCACCAGTGGCGAGGTTGCCGGCCGATGCATCAAGTAAGTTTCACCCTTAAAGCATTCGTCATGGCATGGCTAACTCAGCGGGGTGTGGAAGAATTGTGGGCGCCAAGGTGCCTGGGAAGAAGGGGAGTCAGAGGTGTATCGACTTTAGCTTAAAGAAGGGAATCAGGCCCAAGATCAACGAGAGGAAGTTTGTCCTCGAGGATATTAACGAGATGATTGCGCTCATGGCGGCGGGCGAGGTGGATAAGGGACGTATGCTGGTCGAGTTCTTTTGATACATGACAACTTGGAGTGTCTTTCGGGGATAAGCGGTTGGAGGCGAGGCGATGTTGGGGCCACGGCGAGTCTTGTGCTTGTGGCCTTGATACAAAGTCTGGAAGACACAAAGATGACGGCCGCTGAACATGTCTGTTGGTGAGAATTTTGAAGAGCAAGATGCTAAATAGCCTATTGAGAAGTCCATCGTTGATGGCTCTTGGCTCCATCTCGAGGCGCCTGTACACCAAACTGGTGATGATGGAAACGCGAAAAACAGCAATTCTATTGTTGACATCCGCGTCCGGATTCCACAGAGATCCTCAATATTATTAGTCAGCGTTCGAGGTTGGCTCATCCGAGATTTATTGTAACCCTCCCGTCTTTGCCACCTCCTCGATACCCACCCTGCGACCTGCTAAGACGGTCTTTTGATGTGGAGAAGAATCAAAATCGTAGACAGGGCCCTTCACCCAATCTTGCGTCGACAGACGGAACACTACGCCGATGGTTAGTGGGAGGAAACTGCTGTCTTAGGTGTGCTTCGCTAACCTCATCTGCCCCTGCTCTTGATACTTCGAGTTCACCGAGATTGACAAGGAACAACGGTTATAGAATCGTTCAATATCATCATCTACAGCTTCCTCTGTCCGGTCACTAGTTATATTTATTATGTGAGGGCGAGCGCGCGCAACCTTGAACTTTTGTGGCTATTCCTGCAGCTGACAACGTCGAGTTCCTGAACTAGGCTTTGTCTCCTAAGTAGATGTACCTCGGACATTGGATTCCAGAATGTTTCCGATTCTGTAAAAGTTCAGTGTCCTTCTATCAAAGTTCCATGGAAAGGCCCAAGGAGTTCAAAATGTGAATGAGTAGATTGTGCTCTTTTTCTCTCTCTCCTGATTTGGCGAAGTGGGACCCACTTCGGGTTCTATTTTGAGCAGATTTTGCGGCTTGGTACGACTTATGACGCATCTGCCCCTGGAGTCCTGGACCACTCCGAATATATAATCTGGACACAACCGGGCCCTTGGGTAGATGGGTTAAAAGTCAGTTGTCCTCCTTTGGTCCCGTGTTGCCGAAAAGATGGTCCCCTTCGCCGCTCGCATGTCTCCCAGTCGGCTTCTCAGCCTCCGGTACGCGTCGACGCGTCACGCCACCCTTCGACATCCACCGTCGACTTTCATCCCGCCATACAAGTTCCTATGGACGTCGGCACGCCGAGAGTCAAAGTGCTGCTCGGAGAAAAATAATGATGAACCCAGAGTCATCTCCGCTCCCATGACGTCCCGAGAGTTTTGGGCGTCAACATCAGCCTGGAAACGTGCTTCCGTCAACACACTACGGTGCCTCATTGGCTGTACGATGGGGGACTTTGCCTCCTTGTGGTTTCTACAGGCTTTCCACCCTAGCCTTGGCATGGGGACTATCATGGCCATCTCGAGTACGTATCCCCTATGAACTGGACACATTACTTTGTTGGCTAACCAACAGGACCCCCTGGTAGTGGCGAGTGGTCTGTCAACGTCGATGATGCTCGAAACTACCCTCCTCCGTTACTCTCGTGATCGCCTCTCATGGCCTGTTGCTGCAAAGACCGCCGCTGGAATGAGCTTCATCTCAATGCTTACGATGGAGATGGTTCAGAACATCACGGACTATCACCTCACCGGTGGCATTGTTGACGTGACATCGTTGGACTTTTGGATTGCCGCGGCCATCTCGATGGGGGCTGGGTATCTCGCTCCCCTTCCATATAACTACGTCCGATTGAGGAAGTATGGCAAGGCTTGTCATTGAGGATCGCCAAGGAACTTCGGCGTGTAAACTTGTGTACTATAGCATGAATCTTCTTACATCTACACTCACTTCAAAAATCGAATAGACATTACCTTGTTGATAGTGGTAAAATAGTCCAACGACGAGAGGCCTCTTGTTTGACCAGCATCATTGATTCAGGCTCTATACAAAAGTGTCATCAAGCACATTGTAAATTCGTTCCACCTTCCTCCATTGAATCTTCTCTTGCTTCAGCGGCAGTTTTCTCGGTTGTCGAGTTGATCCACCATCCGGTGGAGCCTCCCGAGGCACCCTCTTAAAGGTTTTGCACGTGAGTTTCTCAGTACTTTTTCCGACCTCTCGATGCTCGACGACACTCAGTTCGGTTCCGCGCCTAGCATCGAGGCAACCAAAGAATGTCCAAGCGGCGTCTCGACTTTGATCATCGGGAGGCCCTCAGCAGAAGCGTCTTATGATGGATGGGCACATCAATCGAGAAGCCGCCCGAGCCGTCCTCTGATCTGCGGAAGAATATGGTGTTAAAAGGCCCCCTGGTCCTGAGTATGGAATCCGTTTCATCGTGCAGTAGTTTGGCCATGATCAGTTGGTCATTTATACCCGTGACTACGCGAAGCTCTGAGACAGACTGGCACTTGTTCCGTCCAAGCAAAGAGTCTCTCCACGACCAGGTTTCCACCAGAACACCTTTGCAGACGAGTACCATGAAAGCAACTAGAGCCCATGCGTATACGGTGATGTTGAATGGGTCGACTCCAACAAGCCGGTCCTGTAATGTGAGCCCGATGGCCAGGCCCTCTGCGACTAGGATGCTGGTTCCCAACATAACAAGCCAGACATAAAGCCTGCATGGGACTACGACGGCATCTTGAATCCCTCATTTCCCGCATCAAAAAGGAGTGCAAAGGAGACGAACACACCCTCCTCGAAAATATTTCAGACTTGAGTATGAATATTACTTTTTCAATTGCTCTACGAACTCATGAAGTCGAAGTGGACTTTGCTAAATGACCACAGGTGGGGTTCCAGACGATCACTCGCACATTTACTTTGACTCGACGATAATCTCCGCCTTGCTAGGAGGCTTCCACCCTGCGTAATGTTTGTCGACGAAGCCGACGGACTTTTAGGAAAACGCCAAGATGACGACAGGAAGCATGTTCGCTCATTATTGGGCGGGTTCCTAAGGGAATTGGACGGGTCTTTGGAAGGGGGGAAAAGCAACCCGTTCGTCCTCCTCTCGACAAATATGCCATGGGATCTTGATCCAGCGGTCCTACGTCGGGCGCCGGTACGTGTCTTTATGGGTATCCCCAATTTTAAAGCCAAAATGGAAATCCTGAACCTCCTTTTGGGCGACGAGAAGCTCGAAGAAGGTCTAAGCGTGGATATCATCGCGAGATCAACGCCGTCGTTCACAGGCCCGGATCTGAAGAGTTTGTGCGTCTCGGCAGCTCTGAAATGTACCCAGGAACTGGAGCCGGATAAAAATGGCGAGTATCCGCGGAGAATTCTGCGCAGATCTCATTTCAACTTTGCACGCCTCTACGTGAAACGATCGGGGTCGAACCCTCTTATGTTGAAAAGACTTTCGGAGTTCCAGGCGAACACTAGAGAGTATTCTTTGGCGAGATGAAAGAGCCGGACGAGGGGTTCGAAATAGGGCCCATGTGGCAACTAGTTTGAATAGTCGTTGGTTTAACTATAGCAACCACGTTCCACCTAGAGGTCATAGACATGACACTACGAAAAATGTTCGGGGTTTTGAGGGCGTTTGTACGCACGTATATGTGTCAACGGATATAGCAGCGTGACAGTATGGGTGGAGCAATTTCCCGAGGACATCCAACATATATATATCTTAGATGTGCCGCTGACCCCCTCTCTTACTCCCCCGCAACACAATCCTCCATTTTTTGTTCTCGTACTCTGGGGAAAAAAAAAGTAAAGCAGTCGCTCGCTGTTTGGGAACAGAGACGCCTTCGCTACGCAGTACTTCAGTACTCACCACAAAGCAAGAGAAAAGCCGCCACGCTCAATACGACCATGTCCACATACCAGGATTTCACCACTCCGATCCCCCTGTCCTCCGCAGAGCGAGTAGCGGCCTACTCGCTCCAAGAGCCAGGCAGCCCGACGATCGAGCTCGGCCAAGCCCGACACCGCATCCGCATCATCAACACATGGGGAATCCCCCGCGGCAGTCGGATTCTCGAAATCGGCTGTGGCCAAGGAAACTGTACGGCGGTCCTCGCGGAGGCAGTGGGTCCTTCAGGTCACATCGATGCTGTCGACCCCGCACCTGGAGATTACGGCTCGCCTTTTACCCTGGATCAATCACAAGCATTTCTCAGCGAAGGCCCCATGGGGCAACGGATTTCGTGGCACAGGGCTGATCCTATGGAATTCCTGGCCAAAGGGAATGAAACTTGGGATGTTGTGGTCTTCTTGCATTGCATCTGGTATTTCGCGTCTCCCGAGACTCTGAGGGATATTTTAGCCTTCCTGAAGGGAAGAGTCAAGGCGGTTTATGTCGCGGAATATGCCCTCCACGCCAGTAAGGCTACTGCGGTACCTCATGTCTTGGCCGCGATCGCTAGGGGGACCGTGGAAGTCCACAAGGCGGAGAGCAACGAGAATATACGGACATTGGTCGGTCCCCGTGAGATTCGTGGGATTGCAGAGGCAGTCGGATGGTCATTGGAGGAGGAGAGCCGCATCATTCCCGAGGATGGGCTCTTTGATGGCATGTGGGAGGCGAGCGCTGTGGCCGGAAAGGGCTTCCTACACGAGGTTGAGTCTGAGATTGAAGATTCGCGGGTAGCAACGCTTGTTCGATCGGGAAGAGATGCTGTTATATCTTCCGCTGAGAACGTCGGAGGACTGAAGCGGGTTACCACCATGGATGTCTGGATCGGAGCATTCGCAGTTAAGAGGGAGAATAATTAGATGCATCGTGCGTGGTGATGAGTGGTAACCCTTCGCCCTCCTCGCCTACCGAATTCTGGGGAAAGGGGGCCAAAGAGATGGGAACGGATCAAGCCGGAATGGATTTCTGGGAATGGATTATTATTGACTTGACCTTTGTCTTGCCCAAATGCAACAGATTATCTAAACCGGTTCTTTGTGGATGTAATTCTCCGCCGCGGCGTGTACGCTCAGCTGCAAGTCCGTGATAATAATTGGAAGGGCAATGAAGTCCGCCCCTCCACTTCCCTATGACTCTCACGATTCAAATAGTGCTTGCTGGGAGAAGCATATCACATACGACCATAGCCTAGAGAAAACACGCGATCCCGTCCGCTCTCGCCTAGTTAAGCTCCAGAGCGCCGGATCAGTAGTTGGGTCGGTGACGACCAGCGAATCCCTGATGTTGTATGTTCTTTTTGTCAGCCTCGGCTTCTTTTTTTGATGTCTCGTTACGATCGGGGTTGTGGTAGGAAGTTTTGAGGCTCAGCTTGGAAGACCCGGGATGCCTCATAATGGTTGTTTCGGGGTGTGAAGTAGAGCACTGTTTCGGCCATTCGAAATTCAACTTCTAAACACTGCAAAGCTTCAAGCTTTCCTAGAGTTCTGCCCGCACAAAGCAGAATTAGCGTGAGCAACGGGGATTTTATGACATAACCCTGCTATTATAGGTCTACGAGGCTTTCTCATCTCTGTCAACAAAATGGGAGCTGAGCAGACCGAGAATTGTACCATGAAGAGTTCCTTTATTTCTCCTGAAGTTGGTCCCGATATTGCTGAAACGTCACTCAAGATCGCGTTCAAAATCTCTCCCCCGGCCGGACATATCCGAATTCCTGGGCTGCTTGGTCTCAGCTTGGAATTTCAGGAATCATCTGTCCTGACACATTCGACACGGGCGAGTTTCCTTCCAACCCCTCCGTTTCCGATACCTCTCTCTCATCGCTCGACCTCTCTGCCGCAGTTTCTCTTCCTCCTGATGTCTCTCCTCAACGTTCTTCTGTTTCCTATGTCTCTCTCGTGCCCGTTCTGCGTTCCTATTACGTCTCCAGCCCAGTTCCCAACTCTACGCCGAGGTCTCATAGTTCCTCCTAAGCGAGTCTGACCCAAGCAGCCACGAAACCTGGGATTGAGGGAAGTAGCGCATGATAGCAGACCTAACCGTGACCTTTTCATCCGTCGCAAGGTTTGGATAAGGCTGGTCAAGATTGGGCAGCTTAGAAAGAAGGAGTTTCGTCACCTCCAAGACCCCCTTTTGCGTTGTTGATATTTGACCTTTTCCTATTTTGTCCAGAAACGTCGTGAATGTGGTTTCCACTTTCCACTACGTCTACATTCCAGGCGACAGTGGTCCCGTAGCGCTCGTGCTCCTCGTACGTAACTGGAGGCCCGGGTGACTCCCATTGCTTGTGTGGATTGACCCCAATGCTACGGAGGTAGCTAACGAGATCAGTATAGAGTTCTGCTGATATTCGATTGGGTGTTAGAACGTAGGAGATTATGCTATCAGCGGTGAGATATTTTGGCGCCGCCAACAAGCAGTCACCATCGTATCGATCCGACATCTTACGTTTTACATAACGTGAAAGCCCATTCTCGCATGCCAGGCCAAGACGGTCCATGAAATCCATGTTCTGTAGCGATATTTTCTCTGCACGGTCCAGAATAAGGTCGACAGCAGGTGGATCTGCACATTCCTGGGACACTAAATATGCAAAGTTGAATATCTCATCCTAGGTTTCCTGCAACCTCTGGGCATTGTACCAGGCGACAGAAAGAGCTCAGAGTGAGAAATGCTGCATGGCAGGTCCTTACCCCGGCGCATGGTTATGCTATCGAACCAGAGACTTAGCAGCTGCTGCTGGTCTTGTTGCATGATTGAAACCCCATGATTCAACTTCTCGAGCTGCGTCTCGACAGCCTTTAGCCACTCTTTGCACCCAATCCTGAAGTCACTCTCCATCCAGGCAGGGGGAGGCGCATTCTTATTTTCCGTATTTTCCGGCTGGACCATCTTTCTGAGATTTCTTTCGGACTGTCTTGCGGATATTATGTTTGCGTGCATCTTTAAATCGAGTCTTGCGTCGTTCAGCTCGAGATTCTTAATGCTGTTCGAGATCTCGGATATTTCGGTCCTATCGAGAAATCGAGAACACACATTGTGAGCTCAGGGCCAACCAAACCAGCCTTAGGGAATTTCGAAAGCTTCACCTAACCATGAGTTGAATGTGTATATTTAGTTGGCTCTGGAGGGTAGATAGCCTGCCAGCTATCTCGTTCACCTTGTCGCGATTCCACGCCTCCTTCAACGCAACAATGACGCTTTTCTATTTCGACTTCTGTCCCTGTAGTTTTAGATTTTGCAAAGCTCCTAGGAGTTCTCGGCTGATGCTTTCTGCCTCGGCCGCTAGACACCGCAGGCTTTCAGGATGTTCGTGGGAAACCATAACTTCGCCTGAGAGGCGGCTGAGATCGGTCGCGATGACGTAGAGAACGGCATTTTCGTCACCGGAGCTGGACGTCGATTTGTAAATAGTCCGGGCACCCTCGAAAAATTTTCAGGCAAAAATCAACGAATTGGACAATCTTGCCCGCGAGGCCCAGCGCCGTGAGGGGCTCCATCACCGTTTTTCAAAAGACTGATGCAGAACGAAGAGAGGGCCCAGTATGTTCTGACGTGGAGGTTGGGCAGCACGAGAGGTCTGTTTTTTTTAATATTTTAACCCCATCTGGCAGTCGACATTTGAGAAATCGAAAGAATATGCAGCCCTGATTGAGTATGTTGGAATTCGATTGGCGAAGAGGCCGACTTACAGGTGGCTGTACCTGTCCGCAAAAGGCGCGAACTTGCGACGCAGTGAGAAACCATAGGCGTTTCTCCCGTTCGGCCACACGAAATGGCCTGAGTTCCTACCAAAAGCATCACAGCGATCGTCAAATCAGGCACACGGCGCCACAGTTCACCACGGTAGAGTCATACAAAACGAACAAGTCGGTACCGACGAGGATTCTCAACTTTGACGCCTGCTGATCTGACTCGAAGTCGTGCTTTCAGATAGCTAATTTTAAGGTAGAACTGAGGCTGTCCATGCCGAATCTGCCGCCCTAGTAGCAAGCCCGGTCTTGAGACTTGTTCTAGTACGTCCTCAACAAGCGCAAGATGTCCCACTTTATCGGCCCTGCAGGTAGGCGAGCTCCGACTAGCTACGGCTTTTCTCCGACCAGGGCAGGTACAAGAACGTCCAATCAAGGCCGGAAGGCCTGCAGGTCCGTCAACGGGCAGCCCGACCAGTGTAAGCCGGAATTGAGACAGCCGATGCATGTCTTTGAATATATCTAACGGAGCGCGCAGCCGGAAGGTTTGCAGCCGTCAGACCTCGACCCCATCACTTCTTTTTTATTGATCTCTTGTCCAAAGAGCATTTTCCTCCTTCTTGCCGATGGTCGCCGAGAGCTGTGGTACTGCAGGGAAGTTCACACTTCGGGCCATCAATGCCCATCTACAGAGAATTTGCCAGCGCTTTTTCAAAAAGAAGGTAAAAATTTTTCACAATGAAATCTAGACGATGAACCTGAAGTCTACCGTACTGTAAGATTAAATACAAATACTCTCTTTGTCCTAACAGAAAGGAGCGGACGTGGGCTAATTAACAACCTCGCCTCGGCCGACTCGAACACAGAGCGCCCATCAGGACGCACCAAGGCGGAAGTTTGGGGAATAAATGGATCAGGTAATAATTCCTACCGCTTCGGTGCTGGAATCTGAGTGTCTTAAGGAAAACTATTCTGAACCGGCCAGCAGAGCTTATCGTTGTCACGGATGCGAAAGAAAATGCTACGGATGTTGGTAGAGCAATAAGCATGTTACGGCCCATAGGAGGCCCTCTATCAACTTCACCCCTTCCCACTTCAACCGTTCCGTATTCTAATGCTGACAGACTTGCCCCTTTACAGTTTCCTGGCCTCGTTGAGCTTGTTCAACATCTCCTGATCTGCGAAACTTCTCTGCTGCCCTGCGATAAAGGGACAGGCAGATTCCCATAAGAGACTCTGTAATTCTAGACGGTTGGTCTCTGGGACAATCTGTGGACAATATTAAGATATGTCACAACCCTAGTGAGTGGTAGGAATAAAACTAGCTTGTTGTTGCCTGGCCGCGTATCCCGTGAACGAGGCAGGTCCCACTTTAGGTATCGGGTCTCCAGTGCTATCATCAGGTTGGGAAGCGGTTTAGTTGAGGATGAGAACAAGCCGCCATGGGGGGTGCACGGGTACCTTGCCCGTTGATTCCAACGACCTCCGTTTCTCAGGCTTACCTAATATAAGTCACCAATGCGAATAATGCTCACAGAAACACAGACAAAAAGTCCGCACACCAAAATCCATTTTCGGCAAGAAGGAACACTGATTCTTCTAAATGCATATATTCACTGCAGCCTCCTACATATGCATCCCTGTCCTCTGTCCTTGATGCCCGACACTCCCCGCACCCACATGAGGGGTTTGAGTCTCCAAGTGTCTATCAATATCCGAAGATCAAGTTCCGGTCTCATTCATTCCCTGCACCGCCGCTCAAGCCGCTCAAGAACCCGCTGTGATTGCCGCCTTTGCCGACACACCGTCAAGTACAGCATTCACAGACGGTTCAATGGAACATACGCCCGTCGTTGCGACCGGGGGAAGCGCTGCCTCAAATGCAGAATCCCTTTCACTGAGTGATCATAAACAAGTCGGAGAACCTACACCGAGTCATAGCCAGCCAGCATCGGAATCTGGGGGTGGTGATTGTGGGCTTACAAAATTAAGTCAAGCAGGACAGCCACTTACGGACGAGGGTTCCGAGAAAATCGATGCATCAGATCTTATATCTGAGATCTCTCGCGGCAAAATCCCTTCGTATCATATCGGTCTCGGGGAAGGACTATTGCGCGGCCTTCCTCGTTTTACAGGCTATGACAACGAAGGGCAAGCCCAAACTAGACCGATCAATAGCTACATGCCACCACCACCACATCTGTTGTGGGCTAGCTTAGACAACATGGAAAGGTCGGGGAGCGCAGCTTACGAATTATTTAAGATGGCTTTTCCGACGGAACAGCAGTTGGAGATGGCCTGGAAAATATTCCACGAAGATCTCGATAAGTCGTACTCAAGGCTAGAGCCGCTTCGAAAGCTACCACTAGCCGGGCGCCTAGTTACTCATGCGGACGTAACAATCGTTGTTGTGGCCTCCAAATCAGCGAACGACCACAGCGAAAGGCTTGCCGACGCGCGTAACGAAATCCAGCTGCCTCATTTTTTACACATCCTTCGTGAACAATGGCCAAAGTCTCTGGGAAAGGTTGGTTACTCTGCATGGCCTTACTTTGCTTGGGATGTGGATCCTTTGCTTGCTCGCATCGATTGCAGATACGTAAGACTTGATGAGTCGGGTTTTTTAAAGCCGCTCCTCCCTTCTTCCCCAAGACGTTTAGAAGCGGTACAGGAGAGAGGCATCAGCCGAGGTGTGCTGTTGTAAGTGCGAGACATATATATGTTGCTAGATATTCCTAACTAATCATCCTCACAACTCGTAGCTTTTGGGCATGGGGTGATGAAGGATTTATCGACGTTCCACAGCTAGCGGCCATTACAAACGTCTGCCAGACACTGCGACTGGGAAATGAGAAGCTTAACGGACAACGAGACCTCTTGATGCTGAATTTCGTGGAATCGTTCGCCGGTCGCTGGGGCGGTATCTTCGACATGGCGCGTACCGAAAGCTATCTACTCTTCAAATCTCTATATCGCTACAAGCTGCGTTTCTGCCGGCCTGTTCAGAGGATTCCCTATCTACGCCGACCCTCCCCTAAATCCGGGCTCGTGCCACGGCGCCAAGAAGCCAGAATCCGAGGAAGAGATAGAGTGATCCATCTCCGCGAGCAGCGTGTTGCCATATGTTCAGCGGGACTAGGTCTTGATGAAGGCGAACGGTCTGCAAATATCGCGATAATGCTCTCGGACACACGAAACGTGAACTGGGGAGTCCTCGATGGAGGGCCTTGGAAGGAGCAAAGTCGATACCCTTGCGGAGATGAAGCCTGCTTTGGTGCTTTCCTATCCCTGATTACCTTCGCTTTCGACCAGTGGGAGCGGGGCTGGATGGAGACTCTGGATGACATTGACATGGTCGTCGGAGTAGAAGTATGTATACAGAGGTTGTTTCAAAGCTCGCGTTGCCCTATAGCTGACACGAATTTCCCTTTGGCCAATAGTTGAGTGACTCAATGGATGACAAAAAGTGGGAACGCTTGATGTTTGACAACTCGTTCCGCCTCTCGAAGCTTTATTTCACCGTCCTGCAGGTTTTACGAATAGCCAGCTCGTGCATTGAGGAAAGCGTCAGCGATCTTAGGCTTGTCCAAGAAAAGTGGTCGAATGCTGTGCAATACGAGACGACTGATGCCAGAAACGTAACTAGGGAACTCGAAGAGATGGTGACTTCCATGGAGGCCAAAAAGCAGAGGTTGCTCTCTCGCGTTGACAAGAAGGTTGAAGAAGTAAAAAGTCTTCGAGACGGGGTAGGAGCCGTTGCTTGGAATACCATCAAGACACTCTATTGTTCACGTCTTCCCTGAAAGCTAACTTGCTCTGGTTCCAGCTACTAGGCGCCACATCCCTTCGGGAAGCCACGAAAGCTATGGCGCTAAATCAGTATATCTACATCTTTACCATTGTCACCGTCGTTTACACGCCCGTTGGGTTCTTGGCTGTATGTAGGAAATCCGGACCCTGCACAAGCATACCCTACTAACACCTCCATTCGAAGGCTTTCTGGGCCCTACCCTTTCTCAACAACCCTGATGATTCTGGAATTGTTAGGACCCCTTCCGCGTTTGTGAGCACATTTATCGCTGTTCCTGTGGCAACTTATGCAGTGTGTCTCATCCTCGCCGCCTACTCTGCTAAGAAAAGAAATTCTATCTCGCTCTTATTTGAGCTGCAGCGGTTCTTATGGAGGCGAAGTTACAGACGGTGGCAGGAGGGAGAAGAGGAGGACTCTGACCACGAGGCTACCAGGGATGTATCGGCATCTTCGTTATCCGATGTATCAAAGGCGAAGAACTCAGCAAGCGTGCCGCCTGTATAACTACTAGATTGGTGAATAAGGATAGAAAAAAGTGGACTCAGTTGAAAAGGAATCTAAAATAGCACTAAAATCCTAATGGCTCCTGACTGTCCGAGAATCTGAACTGCCCTCATCAGAGAATCCAACCTTGGGATAAAGAAGGTAGTGCCGACAAATTAGAGAAATCACCTTTGCAGCGGCCCGTTACTGACAAAGTTTACACTTGCTACCCCTAAGTAGTGGCCAGCTGAACGTTACTAAAGGGAATTCGCTGCGTCAGTCGAGCCAACAGAGGATTTCATTGTTATTAGTAGGCTTTCGAAATGATGCCTCCCATGCCTAAAACAGATACATTAAAATCGGCGGTTGGCGTGGCTTGTCGTGATGTAGGATGTCGGGCTTCTACTTTCAGAGCTCATTCCACTTCGTCAAAACCATCATGAGTACGACGGCTTGCACGCTAGTGAGCCAAGCCCCGATCCCAACGCCGCCCTGCACATCGGCCCGCGCTAGCGCCCACGAGATCCCTATGACGCCGCTCACGAAAAGGATCGCTAGCGTGGCGATGAGTGCCCTGAACCTGTCCAATCCCTCGATGATGTGAACGCCCCAGCCCAAAATAAGTCCGTCGGTCCGGTACGTTTCGAGGATGCTTTTGTGGAGTTTCTGCGGAATGCGCCTGCCCCATATTAACCTCTGATGGGCGCCTTTCTCGTGTGATAAATAGTGTAAGAAAATATGGGCCGGAATCGGAGGTGGCTTCATCGGGCAAGGGTGATAGCCGTATCCCTCAGACAACATTTCTTCTTCGGTAGGTATGGCCATTGGCTTGTCTAGTATTCCGACACGATATCTGTCTTCGAGAGAGAACTGCCAGTCCAGTTTAGCAAAGGAATTTTTGGGGAGGAGTAAGAGGGATAGGAGACTCACCTGGACAAAATGGACATCAACAGGCTTGAGAAGAAAGTACTTGGCCCGAAAGCTCCTCAATTCCAGATATTTCTCCCTTACGCGGTTAAATAATTGAGAGTCGGTCTCCACGTCTGTGATATTAATCTCACCGAGATGTCGCTGAAACTCGCCAGTGTTTACACAGAGCTCAAGGAATCTCTTCTGCGGCTTGCTAGGCTCGGAAATACGATCAGAATCCCCAGAGCGTGGATGCCGATTGAGTTGTTGGTTTGGCAAACGGCCGATTTGGTGGTCGCTATCTTCGCGGCCTTTACTTAGTTGATAAGTTGAACCGGGAAGCTGGGGGAGACGGCTCGATGAGTGCGAGGTCAATGGCGTGGTTTCCATGCCGCCGTCGGGAGTGGTAGTTACGGAATTTTCGGGTTGGACATTCTTGCAATCCAGGAGTAGTCGTAACTGCTCAAGCGACTCGGAGTCAGACTCAAGAAAGTCTGCATACAGTTCTTCCTTGCAGTCCTAATCAAGAGCACCGTGTTAGTTACAGACGTTCCGCTGAAACAAGCTTTCTCTCAACTTACACAAGTCCATTCAAGTCTTCGGTATCCTTGCTTCAGGGGCGGTCGTGTAATGCGGTGGCAAACTCGGACAAGGCTCGTGTACGCCAAGGTTATCCAGTGACGCATTCCCAGATTGGATTCTAGTTGTTGTTCGATGTTTAGGTCGTTCGGACCACTGGTAATTCCATCGGCATCACCATTTTCTGTGTTGTCTGTTTCTGCATTGCCTTTATCTGCATTGTCGTGAGCTAGGTCAGGGAAGAGAAACTTTTGATACCTCTCCCGAAACTCGAGAAAAGATCTGGACTGGAGAAGAATAACTTCCAACCTCTGCCGCGTAAGCGTGCCTATGCCCACCGAGTCGACGCCGGCAAGATCGCTATCAGAGGATATTTCTCCTTCGTTCAGATGAGCATGGTCGCCAGGGTAGCCAGCCTGGCCATATTCAGCCAGGTGCTTTTTCATTTGCCATGATTTGTCCGGCCGCATCTGGGAGAGAGCTGACCAATCCTCCCCGTCCTTTATCCCAAAGATCTCCTTGCAAATATGGCTCGAAATGTTCCGTGACTGATGTCGGAGAAAGCGTAAACCAGTGCGGAGATCTCCGTCTACGATGTTAGAATCCGCCTTGATACCGGATAGCATCGAGCGGAATAGGCGCAGGAAGTTTCTCTGAAACTTGTCTGGAGTTATTTTGCTCGACGTGGACGCCAGCAAGTTGCGCATAACCTCGTCCTTGACGAGTAATTCTAGAAACCAGCTTGGGGCAGTATCGATCAAATTTGCAGGGACAGCAAAAGAGGACAGAGTGCTGGCCGTTGTCAGGCTAGGCGTGGCGGACACAACCGAGTCAAGTTCGTCTTCATCACTGTTGGCAACATGGAGGAGGCCCTCGACATCTAGATCCCCCATAGGAGTCACTTCGAGATTAACTGGTAGTGCTGCATTCGGGGATGATGTTGCTTCCGGGAGGAGTTCAGACTGCGATGCGGGTTCAGTCTCATCGCCAACATCAGCCCTGTCAGCGTGGCCAACCTGCGTCCCTGATTGAGCTGGCTTTTCCACTCGCTTCTCCATATCACGGAGACGCTGATTCTCAAACTCACGACTGAGCTGTTCAAAATTCTTGGCTAGCATGCTGACTTTCGAATCCTCTATATGCACTAATCTCGGTATGGAAGGAGTGGGTACCGGTTTTCGCGGGTTTGGGACGTCTGCTAGTTGGTCCTCCACATCCAATGTGGTAGCTAGTTTTAGCCTAGGAAGTGATTCGGCGTCACTATCGCTCCCAATCTTTCTCATCTTTTTTCGGTGCGCAAGGCCATTTCTCGCCTCCGTCGCGGATGACGGCAAGTCTTCGTTGTCTGAGGACTCTGTCTCACTAAAGGTTCTCATGCCGAGGTGCGAGCCGCGATGGATCCGATTTCTTCTTTTAAGTTCTCGTTGCCATCGCATAAATTCGAGAATCTCCTCTTCGTCGAAGTCATCATCCTCGCTCGAAAAGCCACCAGCTTCTAAATTTCCGAACCTCTCGAGTAACTCGTCTTTTCCCGCGTCTCCAGTTCTGCGCTGGGATGATGAGCTGGACCCCTCGGAATCGGCGCTCTCATAACCATCAGGTTGCAGGATACTCTGTACTTGGCCATCCATAGGATCAGACTCGCTCACATCCTCGAAAACAAAAATACGCTCCCTGTCTGCTTCAGCAAGCCCGCTTGGACCTGTACCTCGTAGGTTATCCTGGCCGTGTGCATCGGAGTCAGAATCTGATCCAATGTTTAATAGGCGATCATATGTATGAATATGATCGTAGGAAGCTTTGTCGTCGATCGGAGAGTGAGATTGCGCCGATGCGCAAGTCGGATCGGAGACCTGCGGGTCGTCCTGCTTTTGACTGCTGACCATACCTTCCCGTCGAAGGACAGGTGTCTTGGTAGATGCTGTCGGCGATGATGCAGGATGGGGGCCGGAATCAGTAGAAACAGGGTGTTTGTAGGTGATGGGGTTGCAAGGGTCGCCTCTACGGTAAGCGACGCAGCGATGGACTTCGCGGGTCTCATAATAGGTGTCGTCGGCGCGGATGAAAGTGTAAACATCGGTGGTGCACATTGTTGCGGGCCGGATAATGGTCACTCGGGTCTAGCGAGGCGTTCTCCACTCCAAAACACAAGATTGGGGTAATTCGCTTGGCGCACCCGTGGCCATGGAATCGAGAGCTCTATTTAACACCCGCGAGTTGGTCCGGCGATGAGGCATCGCTGAAGAGGGGTTCTTTGCACTGCCATGTGTACAGCCCAAATAGAAAAACACCCACCAGGACCCATCCTTGTGAAAGCTCTTTGTCGAACCAATCACTTCACCATACATAGTTGTGGCTGAGGCGGTGAGGGGAAGTGTCCACGGGGGGTCGGATCTCTTCCATAGTGGGCTGTTAGTATGAAGGCGCTTACCACTCGAGGACTGCAGGAGATGAGGAGGTAGATTAATGATGGCGAGAAGGGAAATCACACGAATTGGCTGAGCATGAAGGTCCCCGCGGAATCGCCATTATCTTTTAACTAGTCTTGGTTTCTGAGCGACTCCTCTGCACCCCCGGGGTGGATTTTACTAGCTACGGTGATGTAGAAACAGTATGTGGAAATGAATGGTAGGGGCCGGCCCGCAAGCCACCGTGCTCCCAGATCACCGAGCGCAGCTTTTTTCTGGAGCAGGGCTGCCATATAGTTGCTACATATCTGCTAACTTCAGAAGGATTTAATCCCGACTTCGTGAATTAAATGGAATTCGCTGCGTCAGTCGAGCCAACAGGGGGTTTCATTGTTATTAGTAGGCTTCGAAATGATGCCTCCCATGCCTAAAAACAGATACACCAAAGTCGGCAGTTAGCGTGGCTTGTCGTGATGCCTACTAGGATGCTAGGGCAGGAGACGGACGACTCGGCTCTAGGCCGGCCTAATTCGGGGTCGCTCCAAGAAGGAACCGGAGGCTTCATCATTGGGTAGGTAGTATTATGTCGGTTACTACTGATCATCATATTGTGAGTGTCCCTGTAAGGTTCTTATAATCTTATTACACAACCGGACCTTTTCGACATTGAGCCACTTTCGCCTTTACGCGTTTTCGTCAACAATAGGTTATACACCACAAACTTGTAGTTGTGTTGCCCGGCCCGATCACAGTATAAACTTAATATTAACGACTACTAGTAGAAGGGGCTCTAGGATTGAGGAAAATTTGCGGGATACTCCCCAGTGTCCCAGGCGACGCAAAAGGTCGGCAACGCTGAACAACGCAGTTAAGTCGAACTGGGCAAGATTAAAAATCGCGGGCTCTCCCGTGTTCTGCGCTGATACATGGTCTGGCTCGCTCAATCGCAGTTCGGGCACATCTATCTCTCCATGGGATGCTTCGGGCGGCCGAAACTTTGCGTATAGATATATAATTAGCCCCGCAGAGAATAACGCCTTTGGAACATGAATCGCGGGTTCTGCCTTGGTCTGTAGTACTTCAAGGCGCTTGTGGATGAGGATGGCGTGAGTGACGCAACGCTGCCCATCCGGCTCGGCTACCCAACGCTGGATGCGTTCGATGTCTTCGGCCCTTACTGACGGCCCGTCACGACCTATGACGTGCTCAACCAAGTCAAAGCAAATATATAGTGACATGAATGCCTCGTGCCAGAGGACCGTAAGGCAATGAGTGTCGCGACTCGGGTGATGGATGCTTGGAGAATACTTGTCGTACCAGGTTGTAAGGCGCCATCGAAGGTTGTGACGTGTTGCGTCATTCCAACTTGCACAGCGCGCTTCACATATTGCTGCGCGGTGGCCCGCGAGCATCGCGTATGCGTACATATATGTAAAGGACGAGTCTGTAAAAGCCCTCCAGGACGTTCCAAAGTCCCCTCCTCGTTCGAGCCGTGAACAATCGTCTGCGGTACTGTATTACCATCAGTCCCAGACTTCTCTCCGCTGAATAAACCCTTCCTTCGAAATTTCATCCTCTTCTAGCGCATGGAAAGTTTCGGCCCGGGGCCTGGGGAGTTGCTTGTTTCCTCGGGTTGCTCGTTGTAGCTTGTTCGCTCTGGTTGGCTCTCCGAAACTGTGCTCTCCCGTTCTGATGTGCCTCCGTGCTCAGCCATAGATACTATATCGCCAAGACGGCGGTCACTTGTAGTTGACCGAGGAGGGATGAGTGACATAGGGTCATCCAAACGCGGGTCCCAAAGTGGATTCTCACTAGCCTCGGCCGCAGCACTGAGACAGGCCATTCGGATTAAGTCCCATTGGAGTTTTAGAATCTCCATGTTGGGGATAGTATTTAGGTCGTTGGATGTAATATCGATGATCTCCCCATCGACAATCGGCCGGCCAGTCCTTGCGTGGTGGACTTGTAAACTGCCTTCGCACTGCGGAAGGCCCATAGTAGTAAGCGGATTCGTATCCAGAGGAATGCTGTCTCCAAGGCGGAAGTTTACTGCCCAAGTCATCCATCTAAACCTGACTCGTACGCCGTTCACAAGTTGGCTAAGAGGCTCGAAAGCAATCAAGCTTTCCCCCCACAAACGATGGATATGAGGATCCAAGGATATCATGTTGGAGGCTATATCGATTATATTGTTTTCCCCAACCAGGAGGTCCCCCAAAGCGCTGCGGCGTTGTGCACCCCAAATAAAGAAGAGCATCCGACTAAGGCTCGCATTAGTGGCCGTGGGACGCTGCAGTGAGGAGAAAGGGAAAATATAACAGGCATCGGGATAGGAGGCTCCAGTAACAACGCATTAGCGGCTGTCTTGTTCTAAGCACTAGTGTAAGCATTAGCTAGTAGCTTTCTATAATATATTATCAAGAGTTATTACAATCCTAACACTAGCCCATTAACAGTATTAGGTAGATATAACTAGTAACAGGATTAAGGTATTATCTATTAATAGTAGAATAAGGCAGTCAAGCAGTATTTACAAGATATAGGTAAGAAGTGTATATTTAAATATAAGAGTATAATTATATTTAAATTAACTATTAGAGAGTTTTAAAAGATAAACTAAATATATAAAGTAAACTATAGTTTATATAGACATTTCCCTTCCAAGCTCTCCTAAGATTACTTTAGCTTACTATAATCCTATATAATCCAGATCATTCCTAGATTATTATAAGTATAAGTAATCTAGTATTCCTATAATCTAATATACTTCTATAATTTATCCTTTTCTACTAGTCTTAACTACTTAGCCTTTAGCTATATATAGCTATAATATAATACCTCCCCTCCTTTAGTCTTTATCTCTAAAGACTTATAAATAGACCTTCTACCTATTAGTTTCTTATCTTATAAGTTCTTCTTTATTTTCCTAAAATATTTCTATTATAATTATTACTATATCTAACTATATTTATAAAGCTTTTTCTAAATCTTCTTATAATTATTTAAATTTAGCTAATATAATTAAGTTATTAGATATTAAAACTAAAATACTATATATATATTATTTTAAAAATAATAAGGTAT